CCCGTATGACTTGACGTGAGACCGCTGTCGGAATGGTCTTCAGGTAACGCAACAGCACTGTCATGAGCAGTGTCATGAGACCCGACAGAATGTCGTTTGTGACGTGACGGGGGAGCTAGGGGAAGGTGGCCTGATGATGTCATTGGCGTATGCGTGCGAGCACTTAATCCAAATGAAAGTCTGCGGGGAGATGCGGACAGTGGGAGGGGATTGGAAGGAGTGGGTATTGTGCCGGTGGATGTTTTGGTGACGCGCGATTCGTCAGTCGACTTTGGAGTGTTTGGTCTAGAGTTGAACCTGAATGATCGTTTACGAGAGGGCATGTTCTCAGCTTCCTTTGGAGAGAGGGATGAAGATGATATTTTGCGTTCAGAAGATCCTTGTGATGGTTTTCGTGACGAATTGGACAGCGATGATTTCCGTGACAAAGCAATGCCAAAGATAGAGCGCAGCTCTAACTTCCGGCGCCGATTGAGAGAAGAGGGGGTGTTTGAACGAGTTGCACGATCGTGATCCTCCTGAGATGCGCCCTGATCTCTGTTAACCTGCTGATCGTAATCTTCTCCGTGGGTGCAATCACGCGGGTAAACATGATGCGACATTCTTTGTCTTCTTCTGATAGAGTTGGAAGGAAGAGGAGTGATCGTGGAGTGTGTGGCAGTGGTCGTGGATGATATCGGGCGTGTCGAAGTTTGCGTGCCTGGCTTAGAATTTGACTGGCCTGAAGCAGTCGTACTGGCGTTGACTGCATACCCTGATTCGTACGCCAAACTGGTAGAACGCACATGACTGATGCGAAGCTTAGAGGCAGGCACCATAGGTAGGGTTGGTACGTCCGTTGCGGATTGCGCAGCACTTGAACTGACAGTCGACTTTGCATGGGATCTGGAGCGAGAACGAGAGCGAGAGCGAAAGAAGGCAATGATCTGATGGCATGATGCATGAGGTCATATGTGCAAGACTAGAATAGGCGAACGCACCCTGTTTTCCTTTCGCCCAGGACGACTAAGTCCAGACTCGAGAGACGATGAGGGAAGGGAAAGAGCGGTCATGATGCAAAAATGTGCAAGCTCTTCTTTGTGCGTTAAATGGCTGGAACCACCATCAGCTACTGCAACACCACGAAACGGAAGTGGGACCTCGTTTTAGGTTAAGCTGTGCAGGCATCAATTCTGAAACATGGATATTAAATTAGAGGATAACATACAAGACGCTTTTGACTTCGACCTGAGTTGGAGAGTGACCGTCTCTGAGAACTCTAGGTAACCCGGTCGCGGAGTGAGGACAGACGAGCTAAAGACAAGTCAGACACGTGCTATGAGCAAGGCATGCATTGCGAGAACGGATTGAAACGGAACGAGAGTATTACTCACGGCGACTCGGAAAAGAAGACAGCTACACGTTGTCTCGACCAGTCTTCTGCTTGCCAGCACACGACACACACCCACAACCGTTGTACCACCACGAAATTCAAGACAAGTCACGGTCCCAGACTAGGGTTTTCAAAGGGAACGTTTTGTAGTTTTGCAAGCAACCAAATTAGGACAGCCCCCAGTCTAGGGTTAGGTGCACGTGCACGTGAATAATGTTGCGCGATTGTTTCTCATCGACTCATGATCCCATGGCTCAGCTGACTGGCAGCTCCTCGAGCAGCCCGTGAGATTAGCACTTTCATGTATACTTCGTACATCGACTGTCATGAATTTGATAGCCAGAACTTCATTCAGACTCAGAGCACTTTCGCATCGTCTGAGCACTCTTACTCCTCTGCGACAGCAGGCAACATGCGCAACTACAGCAACACCAACTTTTCCGTGTGTTGATGCTCATACAGCTCGTGAATCCAGGATATTGGCTTCCTCGTTCTACCATCATTCACAGACAGGTACAGCATCAGACGACAGTGGTCCGGAACCTCCCTATGCTCGCCCTAATCCACTGTCATATAATACGTACCACCATCAGCATCCGCTTGAATTGACGTACGGGTCCACGCTACCTTCGTTTGACATCGCCTATGAAACATGGGGCACACTCTCTCCATCTCGGGACAACGTAATTTTACTTCATACTGGTCTCTCTGCATCTTCGCATGCCGCCTCTACGGAGCCTAACCCGACAGAGGGCTGGTGGGAAAATTTTATTGGCCCAGGACGTGCGCTCGACACCAACCACTTTTTCATAATATGCACAAACGTGCTAGGAGGATGTTATGGCTCCACAGGTCCTTCCTCGCTTGATCCACAAGGTCAACGATACGCAACTCGATTCCCGATCATATCAATCTTCGACATGGTGCAGGCCCAATTTAAGTTACTTGACCATCTTGGCGTGCAAAAGTTGTATGCCAGTGTTGGCTCATCCATGGGCGGGATGCAAAGTCTTGCTGCAGGATGGCTCTTCCCAGACCGCGTGGGCAAAATAGTAAGCATCAGTGGTACCGCCAGGAGCAGTCCAGGTAGCATTGCGATGCGTCATGCTCAACGAAGTGGTCTGTTGTTCGGACATCTTGCAATACATTTCCTTGCTGAATGTCATATCAGTTCTGATGGCCGATCCAAATTGGAATAATGGCTTTTATTACGACGACCTACCACCACATACAGGGATGAAATTAGCTCGTCGTAAGTTCCCGTTCAGTTTCACAGTTCATATCATAAAGCTACAATTGTCGGTCGTGCAGAAATAGCGACCATAACATATCGCTCAGGACCCGAATGGGACCAACGATTTGGAAGGAAACTTCGGGAACTCAAAGATGGACAGAGCCCGTCTCCGTCGCGGTCGCCAACACTATGTCCTGACTTCCTCATTGAAACCTATTTAGACCACCAGGTCAGTGCCTACCCACCTCAATCACCCTCCAGTTAAACTCACAGAAAGTAATCATGTAGGGAGAGCAATTCTGCCTGAAATACGATGCCAATTCTCTCCTTTACATATCAAAGGCAATGGATCTCTTTGACCTTACTCTCCCTGCTCTCCAAGAGCTCACAATGACCCCCGCGACACATGCATCACCGTCAACGTCATCGTCATCTTCTCTGCAATCTCCAGTACCGTCTAAATCTCATCCGCCGCCATTGTATCACGCACCTCATTTTCCCGAGCTTGCTGCAGGCCTTGAGCCGCTCAAATCGATACCCGTTCTGGTACTTGGGGTTCAGAGTGATATCCTTTTCCCAGTTGAGCAGCAGCGTGAGCTCGTCGATGCACTTCGTATGGCTGGCAGTACGCAAGTCAGCTACTTTGAGCTCGGTGGGGTCTGGGGACATGATACCTTTTTGTGAGTGTTGCTCCTTCGATTTGGTGGCTGTGGTGTGGCCGCATCTGTCCGGACTTCCCAATTAGGATCACGACCTTCATGGTGCTTCGTGCACTGCAATTGCAGCGTTATCGCCGATTGCGTCACTTATTGTTTTATTTTTCCAATCATGTTTCTATCAGATTGGTTTACTGATCGCTTGTATCTCGTTTTACCCACAGACTCGACGTATTGAACGTTGGAGGAGCGGTAAGGGGGTTCCTATCCTGACCTCGTCCTCGGGATGTTATTTCACCACAGCCGCCGGTGTTTTCATATCGCGCCGTTTGATCGGTGCAACGTTCGTAAGCTGTAAGGGTACTTCAAGTTGCTAAAGAAGTTCTAGAGTCCTCAGGGAGTACTATGTTAGTCCTACATCGGATCATGATCAATGCTATGAAGTTCTTTAACTTCTAATACTCACGACCTCACACCTAACTCAAATTTTGTATTGACCATGGATCTGATCTAATTGGCTACATAAAGCGTACATGTGCGGGCTGTGCAGACAAATGCCGGGGGGTTATTATTCTAGTCAGAAAGAACGAACTTTCAACTTCCGACAATCACAGAAATTCATGGTATCTGACCGCATATTGCGATTCAAATAATGCTTCCTTGTCTGATTGGTCTACACGTGTTTGGTTGTAATTGTTCCCTCCCTGCGCCCACAGTTGCCACCTTCAAAGTTAAACTTTATTCCCGAGATCGACGGGAGCTGCTAAGCCCGACCATCGCACCACCGCTGTGACTAATTTGACTCGGATTGGCATGTAGTACTATGGCAATTTTGCGTTTGATTCAGGCATCGAGAACCCACATACGATCAGCGCCAGTGGCAGCATGCCACATGGCTACACTGGTCCTTGAGGGTTTTGCCTAATTTTCGGAGCATCAAAACACTAGCAAATCGGATATGAATTTTCTGAAGAGGAAACAAAGTTAAGTTTGTGTATGCAGAAAATGGCAGGCTTGCGTGGCGCATCGGTTGGGTGTCATACAATAGTGCAAAAAGAGGACCTACAATCGTGGTGAGCTCGTCTGAGAGGAGGCAAGGCCCGGAAACATGCAGATGTTAAGCGAGAGCGGAAGCATTTCGGTTTACGTTCCGTTGATGAAATATATGAATTATATGGAGAAGATAAGAGGTGAGGCGTTGGGTGGTGCTGCAATTTCTTCTTCTCTCTGGGCCTTGGCCTTAGGCACACATTGGATTCGGGGTACGGCAACGACTAGCAGAAAGAGAGGTAAGGGACTTATCATTCAGACAACACAGCACCTCCCGCCTTATGCCATTAACACAGGATTTTTGTCAGAATACCGGGGGGTCCATGGAGTTTCAAATAAGGTATATTTTGGCGCAACAATTTTCTGGGTATAGCTGACAAGCCATTGGACAACTGACAAAGGGTTCAATTCTGCGAAGCTTGAAGTAATTTGTTTTACCATATGAAAGCCGTAAATTAACCAAGTTAGCACAGGAGAAAAGCCACGCCTTGCCACATATACTCCCAGCGTTACGCGGCCTCCGACAACAAAAGATTGGGCGTCAGCCCTTCTCGACAAAATGCGTTATTGGATTTCCTTTGCGACGTACCAGCATGTTGGCCAGAAAAAAAATTAATTAACTGACTGGACCACCTCGTGTTATCCAGCGGTATAAAATACATGTCTGAGGTTGACTTCCCTCACCGCAATGTCCACCTTCTTCCCTCAAGTCAACATCCCCGCGCTGAAGAAATTTGCCGCCACAGCTGCAGCGAAGCAGCATCCAGTCAAAGCGACAAATAAACGGCGTCCGAAGGTGATACCAACCCCAGTGGTGGCGAGCATCGAAGACGTGAATTGGGCTGGAGAAAAGGTCAGGTTGATCATTTCAAGATAGCCACCCGAACCTCACCATTGCTCTGGGTGGTGTACAGATGATTCAGATTACGTTCGAACGCACCTCTATACCTCTTGGGCCATACATCATGATGGCATATTTTCCTCGGGGACGCCAGAGGTTAACAACGCAGGCTGTGGTGCGCTACGCAAAGGTGCCCATTAATGGGCCGCGCGTACTTACCCCACTCCCAACAGTTGGGCATGATGGCCGCTGTCAGAAATTCGTCCTTGAAGATCGAGGTGCCCAAAATCTATGGGTACATGGACCTCTTACCCAATGATGTGGGAGCTGAGGTAGTCCTCATGGAAAAGGTAGCGTGTGCCGACTACTTGACAGTAGCTCTGCTATATTGTGACACTTCCTTGCGTACAGACAACCGGAGAAAATCTTCAGGATGTGTGGCCCACCCTGACGCCCGACGAAGAACTCAAAGTCTGTAGCAAGCTGGCCGACCTGCTATTGAAGTTGTTCAACACCCGCGGAAGGCTGATCTGCACCGACCTTCTTGGTACAGGCATCGACACCTCCGTATTCAGCGCCCTCCTACAGGAAGGACAGCAACACCAGAGCCCTGATGGGCCCTCACCGTTGATTTTATCGCGCCCGTTCAACGAGCCACCGCTGGATAGAATGATCCCACAATATGCACTATCCACTAACGCTGACTATCTAACAGCACTGTGCTGGCGCATTGCACGCCTTTGCGGTAGCACTGAGGATATCATCGCTCGAGCCCGTGACACAGGGTTTGCAGATAATCCCCTACTAACAATAGAAGACATGGTACAAGCCAGAGAAACGTTCAGGCGGCTGGCCAGTATAATCCCACATCATATCGGAGGGTTCTACATCCCGGGGACGCTCTCTCGCGAAGCGAGGGAGGAGGCCTATTCGATTCTGCAACACAGGAAATTTGGCATCTGCCACGGTGACATGCAGATGCACCGTTTCCTCGTCCGGTTCCTGCCAAATCAAGATGCAGGAACTTCGTACTCCCGGCTCAGATCTCGAGCTCGTGCTTTGCACGGGGTGGGAACATGCATTCCGTGCGCCACTTTGGTCATGCGCGCGCATGCCACTCTGGCTCACCAACCGGCCAATCTTGAACGAGCCCATTTCCTGGGATCGCCAAAGAGAATTACGTAACGCCATCTACGACATGATGAATGAGCCCAGTAGAATAGAGAGTGCCCGGGAGTGGATCATTTCGCACGTATATGGACGTACCGAGCGGTGGTTCGAGGGATGCGTCAGCGCGCATTGGATGTACGCTCGGAACATTGAAGCGAATTTAGTGGACCTCAAGAAGTATTGGGAATTTTGGCGTTCGGACATCGAGTTCCCGTTCCCGGTGGGACTGGAGCACACTCAGCAACGGCAGGCTCTATCCCATGGGTGGGCAGACGAACCCATCACTGCACCCGTTACTGAAGAACTGTCTATTCCTCTCCTTTCTGCGAGTCCTCTTGGAATTTTGATTGGAATGAGTAGATCTTGAAGCGCATGTGACCTCGAAGCTGACATTGGAATGTCTCCTGTTAAAGTGTATTGTGTACGATGGTCAATGGATTGTACAGTATGTCGGATATCTCCTCACAGAGTCTTTCATGCATTTCAATATAAAAACCATTTTGCACGCAGGCGAGCAAATACTGGTGCCTTTTTAGAGGTAGAAGAGACGGTCGAGAGTAATACATTAAAGTTTAAATGTCTGGGGCCCTGTATACACAGATCTAGACCGTTGTGGATGCGGGAGACGTTCGGGACATGTGCAGACCCCAAGAACCCTGTACGAGGAATTTCCACATACCGCTTTTGGATATTACCCATACCTTCAGGACCGAGTACTACTGCGTAGTGCCAACCATCTCCTTCCATTTCACCTGTACATAGTTAATCAATCATGAATCGCATATTTGGCTCTTCTTCAAGCAAGAAGCCAAAACCGACGCTCCAGGATGCCATCAATGCAGTGAGTAGCCTACCGTCGCAATCGAGCTCAGGCTGACTCACTGACATCAGACAGATGCACGCGTTGCCTCCGTAGAAGTAAAGATCAAGAAATTAGATGGGGAGCTCTTGCGCTATAAGGAGCAAATGAGCAAATTACGCAGTGGGCCTGGTAAAGTGCGCGAACACCTTGCCTGGTGCTGCGCTTGCTAATCAATTGTGTCTTACACATGTGCACGACACAGAATGCGATCCAACAACGAGCTTTAAGAGTACTGCAGCAGAAGAAGCTGTATGAAGGGCAACTGAACCAGCTCCAGCAGCAGACATTCAATATGGAGTCCGCTGCCCTCACCACTGATAACCTACGGAATACGATGGCCACTGTGGATGCCATGAAATTGGCAAACAAGGAGATGCGTAAACAGTACGGAAAGATTGATATCGACAAGATTGAGGTCTGTCTCATGTTTTATGCTGCTGTCAAGTGGCTCATTTATTACTTTTAGAATATGCATTATGATATGGAAGAGCTTATCGAACAGGCGAACGAAATACAGGAGTCACTGGGTCGGTCATACGCCGTTCCAGATGAGATTGATGAGGCAGATCTTGAGGCTGGTACGTACACGTATATCTTTTCATCTCGGTCATCCCAAAACGTCATGGTTATCGCAGAATTGGATGCCTTACAGCTTGAGGAAGAAGAGGAAGGTCCCTCATATCTTGCAGACCTCAACAAGGTCCCAGATTTCGTTGACGAGACTCCTATAGAGATAAGCGAGGTATGTCTAACGATCAATTCATTGGCATGTTTAACTCAACTTGATTGATCAGCCAACCACAAAGGAGGCCGTTAAGACGACATGATGGACTTTCGAAGTTTGTATTGTGCCCGTCTCTTTAAAGACGAGTAATCATGTGTCCTGCAGTAATAATGTACACTAGTACTAAATCCTACACATACCACTACCTCATAGAAAATGGCAAGGTAATATGCTATACCGTAAACATCATATTAGCCATATCTCTTCTGTTCTCCGCTAAACCAGTCGTCGGTTTGTCGAGACATATCAGCTGACGCCACATTAACGATGATCGATTTGCTCTGAGAGTCTGTATAACATGTTGAGCCATAGATTTATTATTCCAGCTAGCAAGACTCACAAGCTTCCAATGCCTCGACACCATTTTCCCGACCTATCCCACTCTCCTTCATACCACCCCTTACATGTCACCGTGAATCGTGCAATCACGATAATCAGCTGAGTCACTCACCATGGCGAGCTTGGGTCATTGCGGTGATATGTGTTCACCCAAACAAGACCAGCGTCAATATCAGCAGCAACTCGATGTGCTCTTGACAGATCCTGAGTCCAGACTCCAGCTCCCAATCCGTACCTGGAAGCATTGGCAAGTCTAACTCCCTCGGATTCAGTCTGAGGGCAAACTCAGCCTCACTGAGCGCTCGCATACTGGTACAACTCACAGAGAACTTTTTCACGACTACAACAGGGCCGAAAATTTCCTCTTGCCATAATTCATCGCTGATATCAACATCAGAGATCACGGTAGGTGGGTAGAAGCTTCCCTGAGAGAAATCGAAATGATCGAGGAGGGACTTCCCCAACATTCGCTTTCCACCCGCTAAAACTGTGCCTGACTGCCGACGTGTGACCATGTCCTCGATTCTATTCAAGTGGTGGGGAGATATAATAGAACCCATAGAGCATCTTTCGTTCATAGCTTCGAGAGACGTCATTCATGAGCACTGAAGGCATGTTGTACGACTCACGGTCACCCATTCCCTGTGTGATACTTTCGACTTTCTTCAAGAATTTCGCCATGAAAGATTCATAGATGTTTTCCTGTATGATAATGCGGGTTCCCGAGATACATGTTTGGCCGGACGCAACGAATGCGGCAAATGCGACCCCATTGACAGCGGAAACAACATCTGCATCATCGAAGATAAGTATCGGAGCCTTGTGGAGATGAGAACGAATTCTCCAGTTCAACAATATACTATGCAGCGCTGACCTTTCCTCCCAGCTCAGCTGTAAAGGCCGAGAGGTTCGAGCCAACGATGGCTCCTAGCGCCCGACCAGTCTGAGTACCAGCCTAGATCCACGGTGAGCAGACGATGGTGCATAAGAGTAAGAACATACTGTGATGTCGACCTTTCGAACGAGTGAATGAGTTGCGAGTTGCTTCCCCGTGGTATGGCCATAGCCAGGGAGAATAGTCAAAACTCCGTCAGGAACTTGGTTGAGATTTCAGCACATATGTACAACCATGACTGCCTATAAGCAATTCAGGAGTAGTTGTACTTACGGCCAGCTTCTTGTGTTAGGTTCGCAAACTCTAGTAGGGATATGGGGGTAAGCTGGTTTTAGTGAGTGCTGTATCAACAAAAGACAGGATAATTTATAAACCTCAGATGGTTTGACGATGACACTGTTGCCAGCGGCAAGAGCCGGAGCAATCTTCTTAATGGCAATGAAAAGGGGATGATTAAAAGGCTAAACGAGACCTCGGTGATGTGATGAGTCAGAGATGGTACAAAACGCACAGTGATCTGTGCCACGACTCCTAGAGGAACGCGTTGGATGTAATTAAGCAATTTCCCTTGAGTAGGGGCAACGAATCCTTGGTTCGTCCGTAAAAGTGCTGCATAATAGCTTCTACTCAGCGTGTCAGACCAAGGTCATAACTTGCAAAATAGCTACTGACAGCCATTCAGGAAGGCGAGTCATTTGTGCAGTCATTTCACGGATAGGCCTCCCTGTTTGCAAAGTATCTATTCGGGCCATGTCAGGGATGCGCCGCTGAAGAGAGTCTGCTAGCTGTGACAGGACGGATGCACGATGTAGTGATGAAGCCTTTGACCATATCCCGGAGTCAAAGATGGTCTGTGCATGAGACACGGCCCATTCAACTTCTTCGGACGATGCTGTGTCGACGCTAGGCTCAAATTGAGGCTTGAGCATGCGTTATCATTACTTAGGAACAACATACGTGCACAACTCTTTCCCGTTAGCGGGGTTGGTCACGGTAATTCTTTCTGGATCCCCGGTCACTAAGGAAGATGTGTCTTTCCATTGAACAAAGGACGGTCGTCGGTAGTGATCCTGAAAGAGGCGTTGCAGGTGGTGCTGTTGGCAGAATGTTCTGCTAATGCCGCCAGTTGCCATGTGGTTATTTTAGCGACAGTGTTAGAGTTGGCAATTCAGACGTTGAAGCGCGGAATTTGAACAATTGCAGGTGCCGATAATGCCGTCCCGGCTCCGCTCGGCTTTGTAGTCCTAGTGCGGCAACCGTTCTGGCAACGAGCTCGCTTTGTCGCCGTTTGTCATGCCTAATCTCACTCCTGCCCATTCTGACTACTTCTACCTGTGGATACTAGTGTACGGTCAAATTGAAACTGTCCGAGATATTCAGGGTAAGTTTACAATGCACCCAAAGACCTTCAGTTTCACCAGCGTGAATTACTGTGAATTGACATGTCTGTAAATCAACGCTAACTCACGGATGGATGCCAACATCTTTTCGCCCTTTAGCTAGACTGCCATTGTCAATTTTTCACATCAAGCTCAAGCCAAGGCCGAAGCAAACACTCGAGCGCCACTAACGCGTCAAATTCACGTGATGACCTAATTTTCCTTGTTGAAAAGCCTAGCCCAATTACATACCATCCACGGAGTCGTTGTGGACGGACCTTGTTCACTTGCTCCCATCTTGACCACCACGACCACGACCACGACCACCTCCATTGTCCATCTGTGGCGCTTCAATTGCCACAAGACCAGATACTTAATCTTGCATATCCTTAGCTATCTTAGACTGTAATCCCAATGTCCAACCCACCTCTCCGCAGATCGGCACGCGCAGCCTCACAAAAACCTGAGGAATCTAAAGCAGCAGCTATCAAGGCCGCTGTTGCAAAGACAACAGCGCCTAAAGCCGAAAAACCAACCCGACCCGTTGCCCGCACACCCAGTCGTTCTAAGAAGCGTGCTGCATCCCCGGAAGCGTCTCCGCCGCCCATCAAGCGCTCTCGGCCCAAGGCCGGTGTATCCGATGCAGAGGATGCTAAAAAGGCCCCTTCCAAGAAAGCTACAGCCACGACTGCGCCCAAAAAAGTCACTAGGCAACCAACCGCAAATACCCTCACGCCAGTTCAAGAGCCGAAACCTCATTTCAACCCTTTGCCTATGGCTTATGACCACCCTAGACCTGCTAATCAACTTTTTGTTTGGGGGGCAGGGAACTTTGGTCAGTTTGGATGGGGTGCCGACCAACTCGGGGAATTTGCTATTCCCAAGCGCAATACCTGGTTCGAGAAAAAAATGGAAGAAGGTGTCTTTGGTGGGCAAGGTGCTGGCCTCGAGGCCATTGCTGCAGGTGGTCTCCATACCCTATTCATTGATGAGAAAGGAACTGTGAGTCCAATTTCCGTGCCCTGATCTACTTGTGTTCATATGATTTTTGATTAGGTGTGGTCGTGTGGTGTGAATGATGACGCAGCACTAGGACGTGTCACCAAGGATGTTCCAGATCCAGACAATCCTGAAAAGTTTATCCACATCGACGAGCTTACCGCTGTTCCCCATCCTCTTCAGTCGCTTGTGGATGAGGGATTCCGCGCAGTCAGGATTGCTGCTGGCGATAGTATCTCCGCTGCTATCAGCGATAACGGCGAACTTAGAGTGTGGGGTTCTTTCCGTGTAGGTGCCAATTTTCATCTGCTCGCGCATTTTCTAACTTAAGATTGTTTCCCAGGCTGCAGAAGGATCCCTGGGCTTCTCTGGTGATGTACGACTAGAATTCCTTCCCAAAGCGATATTAGATTTGCCCACAAAAGCAGGCGATGCTGAGAAGGCCGTCTCCGTTGTGTCAGGCAACAACCATCTTCTCGTACTGACTACGCATGGCAACGTCTACGCGTGGGGTGCTGGAGAGCAGGGCCAGCTTGGTCGCAAAATTCTCGAACGTCGTAAGATTCACGGCACAGTCCCTGAAAAAATCACTCTTGGTACCCGCCATAACCGTGCAACATTGGTTGGCGCAGGAAACTATCACTCGTTTGCCATCGACGAAGAGGGCGACGTCTGGGGTTGGGGCTTAAATACGATGGGTCAGACGGGCACCGGCGTCGCGGAACCAAAATCGATGTCCGACGAAGTGCGGTCACCAAGAATCATCCGGTCGCTGTGCCAGAAAACCCTCGGCGAGTCAATCGTGCAGATCATAGGCGGTGAACATCACACTCTGTTCCTGACTTCATCCGGCAAGGTGTATGCGTGCGGTCGGTGTGACGGTGGCCAGCTCGGTATCAGCGACGAGGTTGAACAATATGCTTCACGCAAGAACCCTGATTTCGTGCCAGAACCTATGTTGGTTACATTCCCAGACCCGGATCCTATCGTGTTCATTTCGGCCGGTACACACAATAACATGGCTATTTCTCGTGCAGGCGCGCTGTACGCATGGGGAGAAGAGTCTCAAGGAGAGTTGGGTGTCAACGAAAAGGAGGCCAAGACCCCAACGGTCGTGGTGCGCAAGGATGGCGGTGCATGGAAGGCAACGAGCGTTGCCTGTGGTGGTCAGCACACTCTTGGGATGTTCAGAAAGAAGACCTAGCATGACATGGCTGTCATCCAGGTAACCTCTATTGATTGCACCATCTCGCACTTCAATTCCTTTGTTGTGTACACGTGCTCTATCCATGAACTGTGGAGTGAACGATGCTTTCTTGCATACATAGTACTCGGCCACCTAGATACCACCCTGCATACGAATCGTAATGTATGTCATTGCCTGCACTATAGATATTATACAATATTCATTCATCCAAATTTCGTACGAGTGTTCATGAGTATGTAGCTGCTAAACGTCCTACAATATATTGCTCTGTGGTGAGCGCAGGATATTTGCTCGGATTAGATGCGCTTGTGCAACTAGGCAAGCTCTCGATGACGGCGTCGAAATTTGGGTTGCAGAAGAATGCAATTGATTGTCGTGCGGGCGTCATACCTTCGGTAGCGTTGATCTTTGTTGCAGGAGGGGCAACTACACGATGGAGAGTTGAACGGAGGACGTCGTTGCTCCAGCGCGCTAAAAGATCCCCAGCGTTGACGACAATTGTTCCGGGCTATCAGGATATGTGGTTAAAGACTCGAAAAGCAAGTCGAGTGGAAGAAAACGAACGATAGGTGAAGCAGGTTGATAATGCTTAGTATGAGGGTTCTGGACCTCTAAACCGCCAATGGAATCCTGGAACAAAAGAGTCAAAGTTCCATAATCTAAGAGATAAGCCAAGTCAAATCCAACGCATATCATTCAAATGGAACGAACTCGCCAGTGTGAGAAGCAGCCCTGGCTTGACCGTCGCCTAAAAGTAAAGAGGTTCGAATAGGAGGATAGGACAAAAGCCGTAAGTTATGGTCCTGACGATTGATCTTATCATCGAAGAAATCCTCAGGAAGGTCAAGACCTAACGCAATCGATTTCATGACCATAGTATGCACTTCGTGGCAAGTCTATAGTAGCAGAGACCGACAGTCAAATCACTGTGCTACTATGCGTGACGCATTTCAGCGTACCTGGAAAAAGTGGAGCATCGTCTGCTTAAACCCAGGTACTTCAGTTTCCTGAGGCCATTTGTTACTGAACGTAGGATGGTTTTCACGTCCAATTTCCATAGACTCCTTGGTGTCTGGAGCCTTTGCACGTAACAAAGCAATTTCGGCCGCATCCAGTGAGTTTGTGACACGCTCACGGCCAACTTGAACATAACCACGGTTAGCCTTGGGGTCGTCCCAAGCCAGCCTTGCCTTGGTCTCTTCGGGCAACCGGAAAAATTCTGCACTCTGAATACACGATTCGTTATGAGCGTCCGTCCTACTCACCGATTATAAACTGCGAATACTAGCCTTCTGGAATACGCGGTTGACCGTCTCGAGTTCAATCACGCGGCCTGTTAGATACACAAATCCAACTTCTTTAAATCCGTTTACAATGTCATCCGCGATGCGACGCTTCTCAGACAAAGAGGTGGCTTGTTTATAAGCTGCGAAGTCAATGAGAGGTATCCTGAAAGTAGAATCCGAACGAACGTCCTGCAAGTTGCTAGGTTGAGTATTATGTATAACGAAACCTGAAATGCAACTAACCTCTGCAAGTGTACTATTGTATCTGGGTGTAGCGATGAAATGCGGGCAGGCTGCACGGAATGGTAGGACTTGGCGTATGAATGGTCTTAGAAGCATTTGATTGGCAGATATGACTGGTACTGGCGTGAAGGTGACAATCGAAATACCTAGACACAAATATGATCAATCTACGATCAGTCAGTGTGAGTAAGTCAACTATGAATGATAGAACGTACCCTCAGTCCCAGATATGCAGAAGACAGGTAAAGTGTGTTAAGTTGCATTAATTGAGGGTTTCGGGAGCAATCGTGAAGGAAGGCCGCCGGGTTGACGTTACAGTTGTGACCATAGTAATAACTAAGCAGTCACACGTACTGCGGCTGTATCACGGTCGACCTCTGCTGACCAGTGACTTTATGCTGCTGCTGACCCACCAAGGTACCCTCACGCCACAGCGTTCAGCTGAACAATACGACACCTGGGTCTGTCTTCGACATCAGGACGACAGATTGACTGGGAAAGAAGATGTGATTGGATTCGATGACGATCCGAGTCTTCGTTGAATGAAGACTCGGATCGTCATCGCACTAGCCCAATTGAACGATTGCCCTATCTTCCCTCAGTGCTTCCTATAACTCTTGTCTCCTCATCTTATGCGAAGGACCCTATGGTAGGAGATGACTTCGCTCTTAGGATGTGAACGGATTGTTATCCTTGTCATAATGTTTTTAATTGGAAACCTGCCATTATTGCATAGTAGCAACATCATGACAAGGTTATAGCACGAGGAAAAAAACAAAACCGCTGCGGATGGGAGTAATCGATTCATTCAGGCTGCAGCGCACATCCAGATTGTGTCATAGTGTTAAAATAATATAGTAAGATCATCGTTGCTTTTGACGTGCAATCCAGCTAACTGGCTAAAGCGATCAATCAATATGCATCGGAAGGACGTCGAAGGAATATGCGCACCACGAAGACCCATAACTGGAGCTTGCTTTTACTTCGACGAAGAGTCTGTTGACGTAACTTCAGTAAAGACCCAAAGCCAGAGGATGTTTAGGCAAACCATATCTCTCCGAGTCACTGATTCCGAACTCATCAGTGGAATCTCGGAGACCAGATATAGCTGGAAGTTGATAGGTTATATGTGATGCGTTGCGCGTCTCATAGGTACCCCGAGTTGCAAAATGCATCACGCTTCCTTTCACGACAGATTTTTCGACATCTGCAACTGGTTGGGCATCCGATCGAGCGATCTGGCTGTTAACTGAGCCCGCCCATACCGTTGCAAAGACGACGCCGATAACCGCAATTGATATATTCGCCAGGATTATTTGATTGATGACCGCTGGGTTTACTTCGCAGTAAATGACGATGATCTGGACAACCGAAAAGAGCGCTGGAATTATGAAGTTTGAAAGCGCGATCCAAAATAGCGTCCGGAGTCTCATTCTGAACGAAACTTGAGCAGAATAAGTCAGAATCTATGAAGATGCAATTGAAATTTACGCTTGGCATCGCCCGTGACGGAGCCGTGGTTCTTTTTCTGCTTTGACCAAAGTGTCAATAGGAATACAGAGGACGCATATCTGAAATATTCTATACATGAGCACCAATAAAAGTATGAGAGACATCTACTTCACATGTTATCCACCAATTGCGCGAACCACTCAATCTTGAGATACGGAGCTGCTGCCCACAGGGCTGCCAAGGTTGCTTCCGCATTGGGTTTTTTGGCCGCTTTTGTTAGAGCTGCGATAAAGAGAGCTAGATTGATAACACGGGCAACTTTGAGTAAAACGGGCAGTGAAACCAACATCACAAAACGTTGCCATGTGAGGTATCTTGGCGGATAAACGGAACAGATGCGAAAGAGCAGGATGGTATCAACAAGGATAGTTTGGACGGCCCCAAGGACGCCCATGGTTATGTCATATGAAACAGGGTATGGATGCGTCGGTGACAACATGGTATTAACCTATCCGGAGAGGTTGGTTTCCAACATGGCAAGGGGAGGATAAAGTTACTTACAGCTCTACTGTCCCCCATTATGCCGACAGAGAATGCCAGGCACAGATTCAAAACATTGAGGATGAAGATAGGCTGTCTCCGTGAATGATCGTTTGAGAAGTAGAACATTGCAATGAGGAGGGGCACGAGGATGACCGTAAAAGTATGCCCAATCATGACGTCAATGAGTGCAGGTTGGATTGCCGCAATATAGTTGAGACCAGGGGGAGGGGGAACTGACATCGTGATACACACCTCTTTGACCCAGGGAAAAGAAATAACTAGACGCTTGCTTCTGGAGGCAAAAGTACAGTCCTTATAACACTGGCAGACTCAAGCACTGCAATGTAGTGGGGGAATTTGATGGCAACAAAGATATCTTTCAATTGGCAATTATCAGCGTTCAAGTGAGACCCTGACCATGGCATTCTTGGCATTATATGATGGAAAAACTACCGAACCCAGTTGGAAGTCATTATACAAGACAGCCTTGACCATGATATAGAAAGAACGTCTCTCTTTCTAATGTAGTTTGCCTAGGGGAGACTAAGCCTTAGTCATCTGTTGTCAGAAAACTTGTCAGACGAACCTTTACAAATCTGACTCGGAGGCATGATTACACAGCAACACAAACAAGCGCTGGATACTATGAATGTTGCGCAAGTTTTGTGGACTGAATTTCTCACAACCTACTATAGCTAAAGATCGTATGATAATCCCGGTATCAAATGGATAATACAATTATATGCAAAGGCTCACATGTGTTGTTTGCACTGGATTGCGGCTGCCGCATACATGCACATCAATTATCCACACTCCGATCTTCACACCCAGGAGGATCAATCAGGTGATTAACCTGGTTCCAAACACCATTCTCGATCCTCGGAGTTTGCATAGGGTGGCTCGATAATCCGTAAAGCGTTGATCCTGACATTCATGACACTTGTTCTCCGCCGAACTTGAAGCTGTTACCAAGGATCAAGGGATAGGACTTAAGCCGGCGCCTCTGATTTTGGTACAGGATACAGCAATAAAATTATGACCGCCATCAATAAGTCTCCCATACTACGTCTGGTACCATCTCCCTCATAACTGCGCAACACATCAGAGCTACACTATCGAAAACGAATGCAACTCACGTTTCCAATGGTCAAGCGCCTCTCCTTCCTGCCATGTGTTCAGCGTGTTGTGTGCATCGGTTAGAACAAACTTTTCTTCCGTGGTTGCAGACCAGATAGAGCTGTCTCCAATTTGGGGGTGATGAATTTCTCGTTTGTCAAGACTGGATAGAATGTGACGGCGAAGATATGAGTGCAGATAGTCCTCTTCAACTGCAGGTCGGAACGTGAGTGGTGTTGGAGATGGGGAACAAAAGAAGACCTATCGCGTGATCGTCAGACTTTGACAAAGCTCTAATGATGAGAAACTCACAATATTAACGAATTGGGAGTGAAGCTGTTCCGAGGAGATGGGCTCAACGTGGTCATGGAAGGCTCTGCATTGTCCAAAAGCTCGCATCAAAGTGACGAGTATTGCTTGCGATGAGTCGGATGCAATTTTTCCAGCAAAGTTCTGTCCGAATGACATAGAATAAGTGATACGGGCAAACGCAATGTCCGAAACTGCTTACCACTGCAACAACGCCTTCTGGACTTAGGATGGTCTTGAGATCATCCCAAAACTCAATGGAGAAGAGATGTTCAGGAACTCCCCCTCCAGAGAAGCAATCATGGACGACAAAATCATACTGGATTGCGGAGGGATCTTCTGCTTCTACCATAGCTCTCCTCCTTCTAACCCACCCTCTCGCATCCTGCAGAAACACATTATTGTTACCAGGATCCGATAGGCCAAAATACTGGCGTGCAGCATCGTACACAGCAGGATCGATTTCAACAATAGTCGTTGCTATGCCATGTTGGGCAAACGCATTTGCGGAGATCCCGGTGCCAAGGCCGCTGTAGATCAAAGTCGTCACTCATGCCAGGGCATCAACCAGGCCCATCACCTACATTATGAGCGCATTACTCCATTCTCCCTTCCTTCCTTTGGGAGTACTATTGACCAGTCGCACTGCCTCCTGAAGAACGAATGCACTGTAGATCGAATCTCCTAAAGGAGTATTATATTGGTCGGTCAACGGAAGAAAGCCGTCGAGTGTAGCCACCAGGTCCCCGATCCATACACCCCCCAGTAACGAGTGAGATACTCGAAGGTAACGGATAGAGTGAAGAGGAATCGAACTCCTGTCGGCCGGAGGTAATATCTCGCCAACTACCACCACACCAGTCTTAGACTGGGTTGAATTCAGGATACGGAGCGGATATGTTGGACTGTTGTATGGTGTAACAATGGAATTTACGAGCGTCGGGGATCGGAGAGCTGGATTGAGACTTGAAAGCACAGTAAGGATTACAGGAATCGCAGTCAAGGCCACTGTGGATCGAGTGTTTCGGGCATTCGGATTAGCGCGATGTCTGCCCACATCGACTGTAATCCCACCATACACAGCAAGACACACACATCCCAGTGCAGTGAACTAGATAAAATGTTCTGTTAACTGGAAGATGTTACAACTATAATGGCAGCTGTTACGCACAATAACATTGTTCCGAAAGGCGTCTAACGATAATGCACTGAATGCCAACATTAATAGTGGACGAAGCTGTAGCGCATTGGCGGCAAGTACTATGAGGGCCAAAGTAGGCTAAAAGTAATGAATTGAATGTTAGTTTAAGGTACATGCACGACAGTTCTTCCCGGGAGTCGGGACAGGCGAGGTGGAACTCACATCAACGCTCATCGCCAAAGACACTGAAAAGTACACAACGGGAGCCAAGACAAGGGCATGGGTAACGAGAGGACTGTAGATGGGATCCTTGAACCTAGCAGCGTGAACACTGATCCAATAAGAGGTGTGGGGTGCAAGAAGAAGCAGACAACCGAGAATCAAGAGGATTTTTGAACTCGAAAGATTTGGAGTAATAACGGCGACCGCTGTGCTCGTGTGTACGACATAACTAAGGTATTTTAGAGTCGGGACACTGGCAAACAGCGGAATAACCGAATTTTCGTAGGCAGTCGTAAACAAAGAAAGCGCGACGCTCACGGCAAGTATGGAAAGAGAACTCTTCGCGCTCGTCCAAGTCGCAGACTTAGAGTTGGTAGACATAGTATTCAAGTGTGTGGTAGGCTTAGCCTTGCGGCACAGGCTAGCCCAGTGACAGTAGAGTGCGGCGCGCGCGCGGCAGTCTGCGTGCGGGTAAAATATACACCTACTATCCCCACAAGTCTCGTTCGAAACTTCAGGGTAGCAAGTTCAAGCGCTAGTTCAAACAGTTATGAATATGCTCTAATGAACAAAAGATTGAGGAAGTTCGCAGAATATCACAGATCCTAGACCTGTTCGTCATGTACATAGGACTCATATTTCTGATGATCTAGATTTACAGGTGAATAGTTTCAATAAGACCATCGATCATTACTTTCAATCTCCCCACTTCGTAGGCAGCAGCACTTGCGTTTTTGTCCATGGTCAGTGCCTCAGTGATCCCTGGGAAAGTAGTAGCGCCATAGCCTTCGAGTAACGATCAACCTTAGTTACGGGTGAAGAAGGGGATGACACTAGTACTTACCTGACCATTTGCCAGGAGCTACACCCAAGTGCTTGTACCACTCACGATCCTTAATGCCGTCTTTCGATATAAAACTACGTTCAAAGGCGATCAATCGCTTATTCACAGCTTGCACGCGTTGAATGGCTTTGAGAAGATGACGACTGGGTTGTCTGAAGGAATTGTGAGCTGTTGTCCATCGAGAATGCGAAGAGATGCACCTATGGGGATGTTCCTTCTCCGTGTCTTCGTGCTTGTCTTTCGATTCGCACTCGTGCTTTCCAAATACCTTCTTGAGTTTGCAGCCAGCCTTGTGGATCTTATGACGGATCTTGTGGCAAATAGCATGCCTCTTTTTCATTTGCTTGAGGATCTTACGGAGTTTGCGCTCTGCCTCAGTCTTGGCAGAGTCCAGCTCCAAACTGGCACTCTGTAGAGCGTGAAGGGACTCTCGTAGAGGAGACAGATCGACGTTATAGGAGCCAGCAAATGCGATAGAAGCAACCCTGAAGGTCCCCAGTCAACTATAAATCACCTGCAGAAAAGCCAAGTGTGCATACTTGTCGAGGTATGATTCCAACTCGATGGAATAATGGGTGGTGTTGAACGGTAAAATGATGTCGTCAGACAGACGAAGCACTTGTAGGCCAGTATGTTTAGCAATAGCAACCTATAAATATGAAGCTCATGTGAGCTGGTAGGAAGCCAAGTAGTACTCACATGACGGGAGAAACCAGGATCACCGTACAGCTCTTGCCAGTACTGAGAGTCAAAAATAGAGTGATAGTGATACACGGGATCGTGTAGCGTCGAAGTGAATCCATTGTCAGTACTCGGCACCTGGCATCATTGGTTGGTCAGGTGTAAGCTGTGGAAAACATACTTCGCTATCCATTTACTTACACCATGGTATTGCAAGAAGATGGTATAATCACTCCCTGATCCCAATGGACTCACTCCAATGCTATCAGCTGCCAAAAATTCATCTTCTTGCATCGCAGCAATTTCAGCATTCATATGCTCGCCGAAAAGCGTTCCAGAATCTCCTCGAGCGTCCCAAAGCCTTCGTTCCTCAGAGGCAGGGTGGGGAATCTGTTCTGCCGTTTCACGAAGGAGATGTGCAAGCAAAGGAGATCCTGAGGCTTTGAGACGCGACCCCGATGCAGAAGTATCTAAACATGAATGTTGAGGTTAAGTGCACAATGAATGTTGCAAACTAGCCCTTCATACCCATGTTCACGTAAGCCACGACATGTTCCTTGATCCACTCCGGGAAATCTTCGCCCCATTCTGTGCTGCCAATTAATCCAAACTATATAGAGAACTTATTTTGAGTATGACAAAATAAAACCAGCAGAATTGAAGACAGTTTCACCTCTTCACCATCCCAGCTTGTAATAAGGATCGTCCTCAAGGGCCTCCATCCTTTCTTTAACAAGACCCCAAAGCCACGAATAACCTCTGAAAGAGACACAGTGCCTGAGATTGGATCACTCGCTCCCGTCACCCAAGCTAGAAGATATCAATAGTTGCACAGGAATCACAAATAACCGTCAGTACTCACCATCTCGGTGGGCACCTATCACAACTACCTCGCTCTTGATGCGGCCAGGAATAACACCCATGACGTTCCAAATGGGAGTAACCTTTTCGTCCACTAGGAAAGAGTTAGGTCTAGTAACGGACAACTGAATCTAGTCTTACCGTTATTCACAAGACGAACGGTAGGGCCTTCGTGACCGTCCTTCATATGATTCAGAAGGACTTCAGCATTGGCCCAAGAAATTGGCAAACTCGGGATGGTCGGTTTGCTTCCTCCCTCAACTCTCGTGCTATTTTCATACGAGGGGTACCCAGGGGTTGAGGGATCTCCGGGATATAGCGACAAGAATTGCACGGAACCACGCTGCACGGAAGTTGGATTGCGTGCAGGCCCGTGTGGGTAGCTGTGCGGCTACTTACAGATATAGCTTTCAAGTACGAAATAAGACGCACGGGACATATCCATTTTCAACTGTCACTGTGCCATCGTCACGAAGGTCTGAGTAAACCAGAACAGCGGCAGCACCAAGCTCTTGAGCTCGTTTGATCTATTGAAGTCACTTTAGTCAAAATAGACATAACCAATAGGACTCATGAGGGCGAACCTTTAAACCCCTGAAAATACCACCGTAGCGAGTGAGGACAATCTTTCCACTGAAGTCAACACCTTTGGGTATAGAAGATCAAAAACAAACTTTCCACGAGGATAATGATTACGGACCAGCTTCTAAGAGCGCGTCGAAATCCCGTTGTCTTCCATAGTGTGCATAAATCAGCTTCCCTTCAGCTTGCCCCCCTCTGCTAATGCCATGCCAGGTCGGGACGGCATTTGCGGACTTGAAGGCGTAAGGATCAGTTTCATCAGCGACCTCTTCGAGTTCAGCGGACCAAACGGGGTTCCCGTCGTCTCCGAGAATCTCAAGGCTATGGTCCAAAGGGCTGTTCAGGATAGGGTAATAAACATCAACCCAAGCCTTTGTTTCGTTGAGGGATGAAATTGATAACGTTGCCTCGCGAGATTCGCGGGAACCGGCTGAATACAGTGGGATGGCGGAAGATGAGCGATCGATTTGAAGCTCTTCCTGTAGGTGCGCAAGGAAATATTTCGCAGTGTCAAAATCACCTTCGCTCCCGGCCATATGAGGCTTGCCCGCATAGACTCTGGACGCAGCAATGGCACTGTTCGTATCTGGTACAGACCTAGGCAGAGTTAGATTCTTCCACAAGAATTTGGGAAAGCAGTAACATACAAGAACACTTGCTCAGCTTGCTTGCCTCTCAGAACACTACCTTTCTTTGGAGCGTGGTGCATCAATGCATTCGATATCACATGATCTTGTTCCTCGTGTCCATGATGGTGAGGAGTCTGAGGACGCTTAACATCGCTCAAAAAATGGACCACGGACAAGAAAGCGAGTAAGATAGCAAGACGGCGCCCCCATTTCTTGCGGGGAGAGGTGACAGCCGGTCGGTGTGTAACAGGAACTGGAATGGCCCATTGCACTGACTTATTGTCTACGTGGAAGGGCTTCTCGTCCATGACAAGTGTAAAGTCCCTGCGTTTATGAGGGTTCAACGTTCAAGGACGTTCAGGATAAGACGCGGTGAGAACGACTACATCTGATGTGCGAATAAGACCCGAAAACAGACTTACTCCCGGCCCGTATGTAATATCAGAAGTGCGTCACGCGGGTTTGTATGGCTCGACCCTCAAGAGTTCGTGTTTTCACTCTCGCACACGCAATTCTGCACAGAATCCTTATGTACGTCGCGAATAGGTTTCCCCCAGCATAATACATATTGCCATATTTTTTTGTAAAAAATATTCAAGCGGGTCTCATGCCAGGGCTCAGATACATAGAATGCACACTCCAAGCAGTTATATCATCACGGAAAATTCTGGTACATGGTAATTTTACTAATACATAATTAGGCCATGTTAAAATAAATATTCGGGCCGGGACCGCTTTCTAGAATGACGTGCAGCGTGCAGTCGACCAGATCTAGACGTGACAATCCATCCATTTCACTTTGCTACACGGTAATTCTCCGCTGAACTCAACTCTTCTCATTTCAAGAAAAAAACTAGCAGGCATTGTATTTTCGACTCATCAGTCAATCCAACAGCAAAAGAACTATATTCCTAGCCCAGGTGTTGAGGAGCTATTATTGTTGCAGAAAAACGCGAACTCTATTTCTATAGCGGTTGCACACGAAATGTTGGTATTATATAGTAGACACAAAATTTGAATTCAAGTTGTATACATGAGTGATATAAATGAATCGTCATTTAAATTCCAGTTGAATGAGCCAGCCGTTTTATTTCCCCAGTACAATGCAAGTTCTGGAGGGTATGTAGATCTGCGATGATCGATTTAAATCATATATCACAATGTGTCGGGATGAGGTCGTACCTGCAACCAATTTTTCCTCCCATTCCATTCCATTGGTGTTGTAACAAATTTGCCGCCACATGAAATATTCTCGAACCCGCCGAATCTCTTTTCATCGCTGGTAAGGATGATATGGTATTCCCCTGCTTCATCGACGCCAATGCGATAATCTGTGAAGGACTTGGTAGGGTGGAAGTTGAAGACAAAAAGAAGGCCGGATCGTTCATAGGCGATCATCTTGTCACCCCCGTGTTTGAGAGAGACGTATGCCTTTTTTTGATATAAGTTAGGTCAATAAATATGTATTATGTTATATCAGACCCTAACCTGAGGAGCTGAAAGCCATTTATGCTCTTCTTCCAAGTGGTTTATCGCAGCATCGAAGTTATTCAGGTATCGATACCGAAGGAGTTGGTCATCTACGATGTTCCACTGTCTCCTAGCATGCTGGAAGGAGTTATTGTTTCCTTCTCGAGGAAAGTCAAGCCACTGGACAAGTAGATATGAGAGGACGGTGAGTGTGAGATTTTAACATTCCTTACTTCTGGGTGTCCAAACTCGTTGCCTTCAAAGTTCAGGTAGCCTTCTCCGCCAAGCGAGTGGACCAGGAGACTGCAGTCGTGAGTATTCGTGTGCGGCTACAAACAACAAAACACACCGAATCATTTTATGCAAAGAGATACCTCGCGCGATGATGGGCGTCATCGGTGTCATATCCGACATGTGCGTATCTGTGCGGGCGTTCGGGTTACATATGATACACATGATGAAGCGAACTCACACATTTCCTTGTCCATTAACCAGAAAGCCAGAGTCTTGTCTCCTACCAAGGCTTGGTCATGACTTTCAGCGTAAGCAACGCTCTTCTCGCCGTATCGTCGATCTGTAAGGGTGTGCACGATATTGCCTATATCCCACTCGTCATCGGTCTTGTGCTTCAGCAGTTTTATCCACATGTCCGGGATAGCCATTGACAAGCGGTAGTCGAATCCAATACCTCCTTGAGACACGGGAATGCAGAGCAGAGGCATACCTGAAACGTCTTCTGCGATCGTGATAACAGACGGATAAAGAGCATGCATCGCATCATTCGCCTTCAGATTGCTGTCAGCAACGAAAACAATGGCACGTCAATGTAACATTCACCAGCATGAGGTACACAATAGCCTCCTCATCTGCCCCCGGACCGAAGTATTCAGGGTAGCCACCCGAGAAACCCGTTCCGATACCATGATGGACATACATCATACTCGTGACACCGTCAAACCGGAAGCCATCGAACTTGTACTCCTCCATATAGAAGCGCAGATTGCTCAGTAAGAACCTCAGAACTTCGTGACTCCCATAGTTGAAAAGTCTGCTGTCCCACAGTTCATGACGTCCTTTGCTGCCTTCGTGGAAGTATTGATGATCTGATCCATCAAACGCGTTAAGGCCGTCAAGGACGTTTTTGCAGGCGTGCGAGTGTACAACGTCCAGAAGAACGGTTATGCCCATGCCATGAGCAGTGTCAATAAGTTCTTTAAGCTCTTCAGGAGTGCCATAGCGAGAGCTTGCGGCGAAGAAGCTGGTTACTTGGTAGCCGAAAGCTACCGAGAGGAAGGTCAGGTTGAGGCACAGAACGGTGGCTCATCACGTACATGCGTAATAAGGATGCTCCATAATAGCCATCAGCTGGATGGTATTGTAACCCAGAGCGTGAATCCTCGGAAGTGTATCTTTCGTAAACTCTTTGTATGTGCCTACGCGGTGTTCGCTGGTTGAAATTCCAACATGGGCCTCATATATTCTTATCGCTCTCGGTTGCGGCGGACGAGGGTTTTTGAACTGATATTTTTCCGAAGTAGAGGGATTCCAGAAACGACCTTCATAAGCAGGAGAGAAGGTCAAATCTTGGGTGACACGTTGGATCCAAGCAGGGATACGTTCAATACGAGCACCAGAGGGGGTAATCATGGATATCTGACGAATTTAGAGCAAAAGGATCACTGCTGATAACATACACTCACTTTGACCTTGGAGTCATGAGGTATCGCGCACACCCCAGGAGCCTTAGGAGGGAGGGTGATTTCCCAAACACCAAATTCATCCTTTTTTAATGGATGGGACATCCTGTTCCATTGGTCTGAATATATGATCGATGTTTCAATAACACAAGGTAGTATGGATGATGGGACTCACTGAAATCACCAATGAGATTTGCCTCTGTTGCATTTGGTGCCCACTCTCTGTAGACTACCTCACCACTCTCTTTGACATTGAAACCCATTTTGTCGAACCCTCTAGTGAATTTCTCATAGCCACCCTCATATTGATCGATGGTATCTTTCCATTTCTGAAAGCGCTCGTGGCGGTGAGCGATAGCAGGAATGAACGGCTCAAGGTACCCATCGAGCTTTAACGCAGTTTTGGGATCAAAGCTAGATGTTACTGCCATTTTCCGGTGGGCTCGCGAACTGAAATATGAAAACTTTTTGGGAGATGGGAGAAAACAACAAGGAACGGACGAGCCTCATCTTAGCACTCCGTTCAATGCCAATCTAGGTGGCAACTGGGCTATGACGTCTGCATAATCGCTCAGAAAGGAAGGTTCTGTGGTTCTCGACTGGACTGGGCACAACTGGGGTATACTGCGACAAAATAAAATTGATAATACAACTTATGGCTTCATCCAACCTTTCTGGACTCCATACAACACAACTTCCCCTGCCGTCCTTGGACCAGAAGGTGGCACAAGCATTTTCCGCTTCCGCTTCCGGCTCTTCTTTGCCGCGTTAATACAGTCACCTAATACCTTATCGATATCCACTAGGGAATCGTAACATTCTTGTTCGTCGTACCCTGTCAGGGATGTAACTTGTGTAAGCTCAGCCGTGCTTTTCTTTTTCGTGGCAGGAGGCTTCAGTCGTTTTGAGTGTAAGAGCTTCTGTGTAAGGTAGTGAAGCCACTATTTTTGGGTAAGCCTTATATACAAGCAATGGAACTACAGCTCTTACTATGACGTTTGTAAAGGGCTGATAGCCTTCCCAAGAGTCGTTATTATACTCTTTCATCATCCTGTAGACATCAAATTGGTAATCTCCTGCCAGTGCCGATCAGCAAAGCGCATATCCCAGGGGTATGTAAGATACTGACCCTCTCCTTCAAAAATTTCTTCATCAAACGGTGTCCAGTACGTCTTGGAACCTTGAGCATCTGTGGTTTCCATCCTCGAAAGCCCGAGATCTATGACAGTCGCCTTGACGCCAAACCGAACATCATCCATGGGGAGCTTTCTTCCTCCTTTTTTGGATGATGAACTTGAAGTCCGAACAGGTAGGTTCTTCACCAAAATTTGACCCCAGTGTAAATCACGATGCTATTTTTTCACGTCAGCCATGACACCATTTATGGGAAAGAATCTCACTTCAAACGCCATAAGGTCTTCCGCTTGATCTAGAGCAGTGGCCACCTGCCAGAAGATACTGCATGCTTGGTGCCAGCCAGACCTTGCGGCATTTTTGAATGTGAAGGCTTCAAGATCTGGACCACCATTTGGCAGGACAATGATTGCGTAGACTTGGGAAAGGCCGAAAGTGTCTAACTAAAAGTTATAACGATTGTGATTCCCCATATCCATATGCCTCATACCTGGTCGTATACTTTCAGAACCCTTGCGCTCGTTATATTCATCCCACAGATCCAGAAGCAGTGAAGGATAACGCCCACGGACGATGTATGTCCTGAGAAGCTTGATAAAGCCACTGCTCATCTCTCCCATCGCTCGAGTGACAATGATTTCCTTCATAACATCACTCGCATCGCTCGGTGCGGGAGTCTCCAAGTCGTTTGTGAGACGTTTTTCCTCATCTCGCAAGGGAATGATCTTAAGAACTACGTCACCAATGCCAAAAACCTCGGAAAAGGAGGCCTCGCCAATTTTTCGAAATTTGACATCCAGGTCATCTCCTTCCGTAGGCTGTACGATCGGATCGAATGGAAATGACTCTATGAAAGCAGAGAATTCATGTGGACAGGTCTGAGCGCACTCTGATAGGAGTGGGATGAGACAGCCTGGCTGTGATGGTAGCAAGTCCTCGAATTCGGTCACGTCCGAGATGTTAAGTTGTTCCAACTCGAGAGAAAGGTCTGCGTCAGTGGGTGTGGAAGGTGTGGGGAAGGAGCGCTGGAATGGTGCTCGACTTTGTCCTCGGCGTATAGGTGTCAGCTGTCGTACTTTTGTTGTCGGCGGGGCGAGAGGCACGAACACTGGTGGTTGCTGTTGGGCTAAAGGTGGAGGCGGCGGTAGCAGTGATGGTTTCCGGATAACTGTAGGTAGCTTGTGTGGTGAGTGTAGCTTATAAGGCGCAGGGGGGACCACGACCTCGAGAAATGAGGACTGTGGTTTGGAAAAGGTAGCTTTTGGCTCTATTTCGCACTTTGAAGGTTCATCGTCATCAGAGGATATGACGATCACTGAGCGCATGCGGCTAATGCGGTTCTTTGCTACCACAGTCACTTCCTCCACATCAGAGTCACTGTCACTGATGGCGATGATTGCAGGTGTCTTGGGTACCCCCTTGCACCCGAGTCTCGGAGCTACGACAGTTACAGGGTTTATCTGAACATCAGTCCGCGATACTCGCCGTTCCTGACTGAGCTTCTTGCCATTGTCATCGACTACGATGATATCAAGAGTCACAATTGGAGATGTGGGTTTCAGCGAAGCTCGTGGCGATAATTTGACTGGCGCTTTGCCCTTCTTCCTCACGAGTGCTGAAGGTGGTAGAGCCGTAGGCGACGCACCGTTCGTACGCAGAGGTGTGAGCGGTTGACGATCAGGCTTCTGCGCTTCAAATTTTGAAAGTACAGTCTTCTTTCTTGGCTTGATTGCTGGCTTAACCTGAGCCTTCTTCTTAGGTGGGCTAAGCGGGGATTTGGTAGGTGAGATATGTGTTCGCTTGGGTTTCCCGCGATGGCGAGGAGAGGGAGATAAGTAGATAGCATTTTCCCTCTGAAGTTGTCTAGGAGCTGCCAAATTGCGCACTGTCTTGACAGGTGAATCAAAGGCATCCGACTCGTTCCTCTCAACGACATTCACAATCCGGTGACCGCGACGGCCATAGGCAAAAACTTGTTTTGTTCTTGCACTAAGCATGAGTATGGCAAGACAACCGATATCGAAAGCTGACTCGGAAAAATGCGGTCGACAGGATGGTAGATGATGGGAGGTATAAAGAGGTCTCAGACTCCGAGGTGTAATATGTTAAATGTAGGGGTTGTGAGCAGAGAGGCGCGTATTCGACTTTTCGGTTCAGACGCGTCTTGGTCACGTGCGCAAACGCTCAATACTGATGAGGTGGGCGTAAATCAGTTTGTGACGGACCTCAGGCCTCAGGTCCTCATCCACATCTTTTGTGTTTCTGATCATCTGATGGCATTACCACAATCTCTGAGAACATCCGTAACTCCACTAGAGCTTGAGCTAATTGCCTCCGAACAACTAGTCGAGATTGTCCCCTTGGTCACAATGGAAAAAACAGCTTTCATTTCGGTACGCATGAGGCGGACTCCTATAGTAGTACCCACAAATGGTCGTGCTCACATAGGGCGCATATGGACCACTACGACCTCCAGCAAAATGTCGCATACCTCTTTGGATGGCTACTAACCTGAAGCTGAAGAAGAAATGTCATATCGTTCCCCCGGAATGGCTCAGTGTAGGTTTGTATACAGCCTTTCTTCGCTAATTACACGCTTGGTGATGTGTCATCTTCTAGATTTTTTGCAGGAGCGGCTAACGAGAGAAACGAGTCGGCAGGAATTTAGCAAACTGCCTTTCCGTTTTGCAGAGATAGCCAAGGTCATCCTTGATGTGTTAGCAACATTTTGTTTATTTAGCGGCAATATCTGACTTTCGCCTAGTGCCTCAGATGATGTGCAGAATGCAGACAAAATAAAGTCATTACTGAAAGATCTTCGTGAAGCTCGACAAGCCAAAAGTCGCGATGGTTTACAAAAATTAGATCACAGCGAGCTCAGTGTATGTTCCACTTGGTTGTCACGACGCGTATTCCTCATTGTTATGCAGTTGCCGAACCTGTGTTCTATGGAAATCAACGAGATCCGACCTTTCTTCATACAATCCATGGGAATACTTACACAACTTTTCAGAGAGCCTTCTGCTGAGTAGTATTTGGCTTATTGTCCTCGGTCACGGAAATGCACTGGGGTATATATTATTTATTGTTACTGCGAGACCAAAGCGGTAGAGGAATGGTCTCGCAGATCGCTACAATGCAATGGCATACCAGCTAGTCTAGAGCCCGATGTACGTGAGCCGTCGCCGAATAGTGCACTAATCAAATGAGAAGATGACCATGCAACGTACATGGGATCAGTCAAGCTTATTTCTTCTCGCTGCCAATGTCGCACTTCCGCTGTCAACGGTGACTCTCGTGGGAGCCTTGGACGCCCGCCGTGGTGGCGAACCAAGACTAAATCGATTGGGAGGCAATGCACCAGTCCCGCTAACAGTGTGGACTCCTCCGGGCGTGTGAAGGGGTACGTGGTAGACTGTTGGTGACGAAGGAGCAGGCGAGCTTTCCCGACGTGCGGGATTTGGGGTGTGCGGAGCTATCAGCCCATCCGTCGCTTCACGTCTGAATGCCTTGGGAAGAAACGGAATGAGACCAAACATCGCCTTGAATAGAGATGAGTTTGAATGAGGCCCCAACGTTCGCAAGTTAGCGGTCGGCGTGTTGGGTATGCCTAAATTTTACAGGCAGTTCTGAGTGCATGGTATCAGTGAAGCATAAGGGGATGCTTACCAGATGATGATGATGTAGGCAAGGCATGATCATTCGCACTCAAACTCAAGAAGAGGAAGAGCGGGACGAGCCAAACGCAGACCCCGAAGAAAGTCGCGATATCCGAGAATCCAGGTACTGTAGAATGCGTCGGAGTACGATATAAATATGACACCTGCCTTGCTTCCCGTGTGAGGTGAGAGAAGTAGAAGAACCAAATGAAGTGATCCGAGATTGCAAAAATGCAGGATGAAATAAAGGACAAGGACGAGAGCGAGATAAGTGGCCAGGTGCTGGAGAAGTTCTGCAGGTAGACGACATGACAGACTACGGAGAAAAGCGTTTGTGCTAAGGGGAGGGAATCTAAAATGTAGAGTGCAATGTGCAGCGCTATTATCGCCTTCTCTGCACGTAAGGTAGTTGCCTTGGTTTAAAAAATAAGGTCACGAACATATGTCACCCGCTGTCCAACGATCTTTGCAAGACGTGAATGTTCCTCTATTAACTCGGAGATGTACAGCAGGCCGCTAGCTGGGACTCTAGTTAAAAAACGGCAAGCACAAAGGTGACGGGAAGTATCACAAACCAAGTGAAAGTGTCATGAATGCAAGAGCAGCGACCATAGCAGCATAACTACATTAAAAGTGACCGTTCGATTAGAGCCATTTGATATTTCGAGACGAGCCATACCTGAGATAATGCAATAATGACATGCCGCAAGGCTTCGCTCTGGGAGGGTCTGGGTGAGGGTCTATTAGGCTTGTATAAAGTCGGTTGATCGCCCAAGAAAGGGTTCCGCTGAAAGGCTTAAGTCACCACGTGGCCAATGATATGAAACGCTCACACCGCAGCCACACATAGCCTGCATCTTCCACTTTGACTTGTAGCATCTCTTCTGAACGATATTCCCTATTATCAACACCATTTCCTTGGATCAATTGAACATGAGTTACATGGAAAGTGAGCAGCCCGTATCGGTCATGAGAAATCCGTTGACACTTAGATCCAGAGACGCTGTTTCAACTGAAGGTACTTATCAGCATGTCCAACAAGAGTCCTCTTCAGATTTCTCCCTCAGTTTACCGCCAAGACCCTCAATCGTCAAGCAAAGAAAGCGCAAAAGGATGAAAATACGGAAAAAGCTCGTCTCAAGAAGGTCAATTCGCACTGCTGTGCTGTGTCAAATGCACAGTAATCTAATGGGTGACTTCAGGCGTTGCAGCAGAGAAATACTGATGGCGCTCGGATCTATGCTTCGAATGCCATTCGCAAGAAGTCCGAGGCTCTGAACTTGTTGCGACTATCTAGCCGGTTAGATGCTGTCGCCAGTCGAGTGGAGACTGCCGTCACAATGAGACAGGTTACGGGAAACATGACCTCCGTGGTCAAGGGCATGGATAAAGCAATGGATAGCATGAATCTTGAACGGGTGAGTAGAGGATATGTCCTTCGCTAATGACCACTTTCGAACGATGTCATAGATTTCGCTTGTGATGGACAAGTTCGAATCACAATTCTCCGACCTGGACGTCCAAACGTCTTACATGGAGGACGCAATATCAAGCTCAACTGCTGTATCAACTCCGCAAGATCAAGTAGACTCTCTCATGCGGCAGATGGCGGAAGAAGCCAACATAGAGTTGCAGCACGATCTCGCGTCGAAAGACCTGTCTGGTGTTCCTTCTCTGGCTACGAAAGAGAATATTGGCGAAGAAGACGATAAACTAGCAGAAAGACTGAGAGCTCTGAGACCGGCGGCATAATAATCTAATTTATTCATTGCAGGTAGATAGAGGTATTCGATTTCGTGGATTTTTGTATATCGTAGTACAGGTTGTACCTCATATTCATTACTCTTATTCTTAAGCAACCTTTTTCACTACACAGGTTCACTTGCATCTTTGTACGATCTGGTATGTGCTAGTACTGCCACTAATGGTTGTTTGGGTCGAAGGCTTTTGCCAAACATGCAAACACGTCCGAGTTGGGCTCGGAAGTCGGATACTTATTTGGAGTTTATACTTCATATGCCAGGACCGGCCAATCAGGTCCATAGCTACTCAAGTCCATTCAAATACCAGAACGCCAGGATAGTGTCTCACTGCTGACACAACAGACCGGCAAGCAGCGCTACAGACACTGTAACACGATTGTCTCAATCTATTACCTCGAAGTTCCTTCCCAGTCTACTACCTGACTCGAATGCTATGCATCTCTACTTAAGTCACAACCCTCGTACACTCTACCTGGTAACTGGATCGCACGAAGAGCGGAAAGGACGGCCGCAACGGGCTCTCGTATTTCGTGCTGCAGAAGCCAATCCAGCACAGGTGATCGTCGAGTTCCTGCCGAAGGATGAGGTCAATCTGACCAGCGCTGTGAGACTGACCAGCCGTGTCATTAAAGGCTGTCTTGGCCTGATCTCTGTTGAAAATGGTATGCTGCTTTGCATGTCTATCTGGTTCAACTTGATCGCTGTCACTGATAGATACTTTCCTCGCGGTGGTGTCCTCTGCGACGGAGGTTGGAAACACCCGCCCCTCCCACTCTCAACCTGAATCCGTGGCGAAGATTCACGAAGTTTTGTTCTACTGCCTCACCTCCCACTCATGGGATGATTTTTCTGCTTCCCAAGATACGCTTCTTAATCCAGAAAATGCAGATGCACTCATGACACGAGAGCAGCAGCAGCACTCTCAATCTACCACACCTCCTGTGTTTGAGCATCCGTGCATGCCACTCACCAAAATTCTTTCTTCTGGTTCATTCTACTATGCTCTCGATCCTGCATGGGATCTCTCATCTAGGCTTCCCGTCCGTCTGGCGAGAGATCGATCCAATGCACATGATATCGGTATATTTGATGAACGCTTCATCTGGAATGAATATATCGTCCGCAGTTTGCTTCATTTCAGAGAGAGGCTGGATCCCCTTGAAAGGGAGGAACTCGATAAGTGTCAATTTATCGTGCGCTTGTGCTCGTTTTTTTCCTTTTGAAGATTATATGTAACATGGCGAATAGATATTAGCCATACAAGGCTATGTGGGCGTCTTTACCATGGCTTTGCCCGCGCCGCCAATTAATGGAGCACCCGTTATTGCGACATTGTCATTGATTTCTCGCCTTGGGTGGAGACGAGCTGGCACTCGTTTCAATACCCGGGGTGTAGATGATGACGGGAATACTGCTAATTTTGTTGAGGTAGGCAATGAATACTGAATATAAGATTAATGCCTGATTTGCATTCGACAGACTGAAACTATCATCACCACAGATCAACATTGTGTGAGTTATACCCAAGTCCGAGGAAGTGTCCCATGTGCGTTTTCGTAGCAGGGTGTTTACACACAGTTGTTGAAACTATTTGAATTACAGTATTTTGGGAACAGCAAGGGCTCCAGACCTTCGGCCAGCGCATCCAGATTACACGACCGCACGCCTCCCAACCTGCATTTGAGCGCCACTTCGCGCATTTGATGGAGGAGTATGGCGCCGCTCATGCCATCAATCTTCTTGGTTCCAAAGAGAACGAAGCCATCTTGACTTCTGCATATGCAAAGCACCTGCAAATTGCAAGAGGCATCTGGGGTGACGAGCTCAGTATCACCCATTACGACTTCCACAATGCCGTGAGGATAGGTGGTCATGATAGTGTAATGAGGGATGTCTGGTACGTCGTGGGTCTCTTAAGAAATGAATAGTTCATAATAGTAAGACGCAGTCGTTTGGAAGGCGTTGATAATAACATGGAACGTTACGGGTTCACCATGTGTGATGCAAGCGCCGACAGTCTGATCACGGAACAAAAAGGCGTATTCAGGACGAACTGCCTTGATTGGTGAGTCGAGAAGTTCATGTCAGAGTTTTTGTGTTAAATGAGCCATAGCTTGGACCGAACAAACTTTGTACAAGATATATTCTCTCGTAAAGCCTTGGAACAATACCTCGGTCTCGTGCATCGCGAATGGTTGCAGGCTAGTGCACTCTGGATGCATCATCGGGAATTATGGGCGGAAAATGGAGACGCTCTCTCCCGTATCTATGCTGGTACTGGCGCGCTGAACACGAGCGTCACTCGGACTGGGAAGAGAACATTGGCAGGTCAGATACATGACATCAAAATATTGTTACGTCTCTGATGTACCTTGAAGGTGTTTTGTCCGATGCGACAAAGAGTGTGTCGAGAGCATACATCAATAATTTTCAAGATAAAGGCAAGCAAATCGCCATTGATATGTTTCTTGTGAGCGTTTTCTTTTGATCTTCTTTCTGAGTTATGAATACTTTTAATCAGGGCAATATGAATAACCAGCGTCAGGTGAACATTTTCGACCCAATACATGATTCAGTCGGAAAGGCACTGCAGCAGCGGTGAGTGGAGTCGGCACGTATAGTGATCTCACTGCCAATGCTGTCATAAGCTTGTCCGAGTACTCGACTACCCAGTCGTGCAGTATATTCGCAGGAACATGGAATGTCAACGGGCGGGTAAGGTGGATTATGTGTATTCTTGCCATTGTTCACCAATTCTCTTCCGCGCAGCTGCCGTCATCAGAAAGCCTGCTACCATGGCTCTTCCCGCGGGACTAGTAAGTCTGGTTCTTCATTTCGAGTCGCATTTTAATAGCATTGTCTTTCAAACAGATTTTATAGAGTATAAGCCTAGTTTGATTCAATGGCGTAACTGACAAGTTTGTAGACCCGATCTTTTTATTCTCGGCTTCCAGGAAATTGTTCAACTTACCGCACAGCAGATCGTGCAGCCAGATCCAGAAAAGAAGTAGGTGATATTTTGCTGTACGAGGAGCATGTGTCCTGACATCAGTAGGCGTATATGGGAACAGAAGGTCATGGAAACCCTTGAACGTCGACCTCAAAGAACGTGTGATTATGTGCTTCTCCGCAGTGAACAAGTGATACACGTTCACGCTCAGGTGAAGCGATACTGACGCCATCATTGCAGCTTGTCGGGACTGCAATTCTTGTCATAGTTCGTTCAGATCTGACGGCTGTTATACGGAATGTCGAAGGTGCAGCTCGAAAGGTGGGTTTTGACTACATAATCCGAGGTCCTGGCTTAAAAATCATATTAGACCGGTCTGCGGGGCATGTCCGGAAACAAGGGTGGCGTTGGAGTCCGACTGGATTATTACGATACTAGCTTCTGCTTCCTGACTGCTCACCTTGCTGCTGGGCATAGCAACATCGAAGAGCGGAATGCGGACTTTCACACAATTGTGAAAGGCTTGCACTTTCAAAAAGGAAAGACGTTGTCCAGCCATGAGTAAGCTTGATTCTCGGGAATTATGGAGCTTGACACGTATAAGCCCTCAACAGAAATATCATCTGGCTCGCAGACACAAATTACAGAATAGACCTTGACAACGAAAGCGTCCGAGCCCGGTCGGAGGCTGATGATTTTGATTCTTTGGTAGCAGCAGATCAGGTGTGCTCGACAACTAATAGACAAGTGCTTGCCCTAGATTAATCCTACGACAGTTGAGACAGGCAATCGACAACGGGGATGCATTTGCTGGATATGAGGAAGGACCCTTGCTGTTCCGTCCCACTTATAAGTACGACCTGGGCACCGATAACTATGATACCAGTGAGAAGATGCGCATTCCGGCTTGGACTGGTAAGCGGTTGTGACGTTCAGAGGATGCATTCGCGCGAATAACACATCTCGCAGACAGAATTTTGTTCAAAGGTCGATTTGATCTAGCGGTATACTCCCGGGCTGAATTGAAAGGCTCGGACCACCGTCCAGGCAAGTTCTTTTGTGGTCATAGTCATTACGCGTAATTGATTGCTTGTACCAAGTTTTTGCACTTTTTAGAAGCGAGGTGCGAATCATAGATGTCGCAAAGAGGGCCACACTATCTCGGCTGCTCCTGGAAAACACACTGTCGGCTACTCCAGGCGAGAAACTTGATGAAAAACTTGCGTCTTTGGTACTCGCCGATGACTATTCTGAATGTTTGTATTGTGTTAGCTAAGATATTCGCGAGGCTCATATTTTACCAGTGCCCCCACCTAGCGCGGATGACGACGCATGGTGGAACAGACCTGGTAAGCATGTCGCAACATTGGCTCACATGCTCTGACACGTTTTCAGAACATCCAAAAGGCATCTTTCCTATCTCGATAGCTCACCTCCTGGAATCAAATGCAACCAACCCTTTTGACTCACCAGAGGAATCTCCCTTTTCATCCTCACCATCGTCCTCCGACGAAGAATTATATTCACATGCAATGGGATTGCAATCTCCGATCACACCTGTTCGCAAACCTCCTCCACCTCCGCCACGCTCCCGGTATACCGATGTGTGATACAGAGCTTAGATTAATTATATGGTTGGCATGGTCGTATAGGTCAACAATAAATTAATGAATGGAAGGAGTACAAGACTGCAGCACGGACATATCAAATCAGACCTTGCTTTTTCAGGTCCTCGTAAGTCTTCCTATTATAAACATTGCCCTCATCGTCCTCAAGTTCTTCCATTGTTTCCTGCTCGAAAATCTCATGTCGTCCCTCTTGCTTCAACTTTTCTGCCACTAAATAAAATTTCAACAGATATTATCTTTGAAAATGAAAGCACTTACGTGAGAGAGCATCTTCAATGCGAGTGATTTCGTGAAAATGTTTCGTGTTCGGCAAGCCCAAAGCTCGCATGCCGAAAGCGTGCCGTGATTCCTTCATGATAAGTGATCAGCTTAACACTATCAAATCAAAGCAAGGCTGCATACTTGGAAGTGTCGATCAAAATTTTTCCTGGTGCAGGGTTGTAAGCTTTCGTACCGCTATCCTGGAAATCAGAAGTTACTACCTTCCCATGTACACGTGGTCAGAGCATATTTCGCAGCGATATTCCACTCCAAGGCCGTGAAGCTTGTAAAGCCAGTATGGAATTGGCTTGCCGTCCCAGCCAAGCGGAAGTTTCAAGGGATTGTAGATCCTCTCTTCTTCCTCTTCTTCAGCCGCAGCATCGCCGGATGTATTGGTGGGAGCCGGAGGAGGTTTTGATTGCTCAAGCAGTTCTTGTTCACGTTCGCGCGCTGTGAGGGAAAAGCGACGTTCCACATTGGATTTCGTCTCGCTGATAGTGGGAACTAGTACCACAAGAAGGGATGTGGAAAGATACGTTAGCAACGCGGAGCTCCGAAGTCTGGATTTCAAAAATTGAACATTACTCGCTGGTTGCGCGGTAATGTTTTGTGTGCCATTTGGATTTTGCGGAGGTGTTTCAGAAACGGCCTGCTTGGCAATTGCTTTCATATGTTTCTTGGAGGTCAAGTGGGCATCATAAACGGTCTTCTTTGAATAGCTTTTCTGACCTGGGCAATGCTAACGTGAACACACGCGATTCGTTAAGATAAATGACTTAACTGACAAGCAGAGCACCAGATTCCCTCTCCTGGGCCGTCCACATTCGCTGATCGCTTGGCGGTTTTATTTTCATCCCAATCGACAAACTCGCCATCGTCCCATTTTTGGGAAAATTCGACTTCAGGCTTCCTGATATTTTGTTTGAATATCTACAAGCGGCTGTGTCCGTTTTACAAAGGACAGGAGATAATCATGCAAGTGTTGAATGTACCTGGAAAAGGAGTGAGGGTGGCTCATGCCGGAATATCCACCAGCTTACACCTCGTAATCTTTCGTTGCCCTAGCTTCCCTCGGAAGCTCGCTGTGCAGTAAACCGTTTTGAGCAGCAAGTAAGATATCAAGATATTGAAGGTAAGGCAGTCGTTTTGAAATGTTCTTCAAGTTGTTGTACGCGGTGTGATTTGCGTACAAATCAAGATACTTTCCATATGCTTCTTCACCAGAGAAAAGCAAAGATATGGCTGAAAACAAAAGGTGAAACAATGCAAAGTTAAGACGGCTGTGAACGCACGGTCTTCCTCCTCGTAATCATCATCCACCCCATCTTGATTACCCTCCTCCAAGATGGCAGCGAGCTCCATGTCGAAGCCTCCTGCTACAGCATCAGGATACTTGTTGTAGTGATCCTGAACCTTCACCAACCGCGCATAGAATTCAGAAAGGTCATTCTGCGCTGCTGCTGGAGCGCTAAGTGAAGCTATCTCAGCCTTCCGCGCATCTTCATCAAGGTAAGAGTTGTGCAAGGCTGTTACACGCGACGAAATGCGATCCAAGACCTGAGCTGCTTTGTGTTCTGTTTGAATCCTGATTTCATGAGTCGGTTGATTTCTTGAGAGCAGTGAGTAGAGAGCAGATTCGTATCTTTCTATCTCCTCGTGTGTCTGACGCTGTGTTTCGATGATGGAGTCCATGTCGCCCAAGACTACACTTACTGGAAAGTTCAAGTTGGGTTGTATTTTCAATCTCCGATCTTTTCACCACCTCACCCATCTTCATAGGTCAACATGTCTGGCATCAATCCTGGAGACGAGGTAAGTTTGTCAAACAGCCCAGAGAAGGGCAAAATAAATCGCATGTTTGTGCATGGTCTGACTTATCTCATAGAAACTTGTATTTGAGTCCTCCGAAGCAGTCTCGGTTGTGTCGACCTTTGACGACCTCAACTTGAAGGAGGACCTTCTTCGTGGCATATATGCGTATAGTAAGTTTATTTCCTCTCTGCAGTGTCGCAAGTGCCCAAGTTTGTGTACAGACTTCGAGAAACCGTCTGCTATACAGCAGCGAGCCATTCTCCCAATAACACAGGGTCGCGATGTTATCGCACAAGCACAGTCTGGAACCGGTAAAACCGCCACATTCTCCATATCTATTTTGCAGTCTATCGATGTCTCTGTTCGCGAAACACAGGCTCTGGTGTTATCGCCTACGCGCGAACTGGCAACCCAGATTCAGTCAGTGGTTCTCGCTCTTGGTGACTATATGAATGTCCAGTGTCATGCTTGCATTGGAGGTACATCCATTGGCGAGGACATCCGAAAGTTGGAATACGGTCAACACGTGGTGTCAGGAACCCCTGGCCGTGTTTTCGACATGATTCGCCGCCGTGCTTTGCGGACGCGCAACATTAAAATGCTGGTTCTTGATGAAGCAGACGAGCTGCTCAATAAGGGGTTCAAGGATCAAATATATGACGTATACCGTTATCTTCCCCCAGCTACTCAAGTTGTCCTACTGAGTGCAACACTGCCTTACGACGTGTTGGAGATGACGACAAAATTCATGACCGATCCCATTCGTATCCTCGTCAAGCGTGATGAGTTGACGCTAGAAGGGATCAAACAATTTTTCGTTGCTGTAGAAAAAGAGGACTGGAAATTCGACACGCTGTGTGATCTGTACGACACACTTACCATCACACAAGCTGTCATTTTCTGCAACACCCGGCGCAAGGTATGCCTCCGAACAAATTCTTATTCAAAGTAGCTTATTGGTTGAAATAGGTTGATTGGCTGACCGAAAAGATGCGTGCGGCAAACTTCACTGTGTCATCGATGCACGGTGAAATGGTTCAGAAGGAAAGAGATGCTATCATGGCGGAATTCCGCGGTGGCACATCGTGCGTAATTTTTTTTGGCTTGCTTGAATTTGAAAATGTTTAGATCTCTACTGCAGTCGCGTGCTCATCACGACAGATGTTTGGGCCCGAGGGATTGATGTCCAACAAGTTTCCCTTGTCATCAACTATGATCTCCCCGCGTAATTGATTTTGCCTCATTTTTTTTTTCAATCTACTGACTGAGCTGCCGCCTCACTCAGCAATCGTGAGAATTACATACATCGCATTGGGCGCTCAGGTCGTTTTGGCCGGAAAGGTGTTGCCATTAACGTACGTCATGCCCTCCATCACGCCCGCTTGATGTTCTCATGTATAATTCGTTAGTTTGTGACTGTTGACGACGTGCGTATCCTGCGCGACATCGGTATGTCGTTTTCATCTTTACCTTATCATCTCCATCGCTCACTCCACCCTAGAACAATTTTACAGCACACAAATTGTACGTTGGCCCCTCAGTCGTTGCTTCATGCTGTCTTCATTGCTGATAATTCAATTCACAAGGACGAAATGCCGGTCAATGCTGCGGAGCTTATTTAGGCGTGATATAGCAGACTGCAGCCAAGTTAGTACTTGCATTGAGCGCGGATGATATTCAATGGTCTGCATATTTGTACTTTATGACGTTTTATTTTTTTTTGCATTCGTCCTTAGTTGTTGTATCCCTTCTCGTCGACTGGTATCCCACCAATTTGTATGGTCGTCACTAAAAGGCCATGTCGTCTTCGATTCCAGTACACATTCGTGTGATTGTATGCCTGGCATTCCCATCGTCACTGTTCCAGGAAATGAATAGGAATACTATGCGCTCGTCTGCATTCCATCGATTGTAGGCAATAGTTCCTTAGTCAGTAACTTAACTTGAGTATATTAACGGGCTGGCGGTATCTGATTTGTTTCCGCTCTTGGTCGGATCTAGTCTCTTATTCTTTGCTGTCATTCTTCGCTGTGTATGACCAGTCTCTTGGCGGTTTCAAATAGGGCTTGTGTTGTTTTCTGAATCCCCAGCATTAATTAGCCATATCCGACGTAAACTTGAATTCGGAGTACTCCGAGTGGTCTTCTTGAGCACGGTATCACGCTGCTTGCCAGTAACAACGCCCGTCTGGAATATTTTTGGTGGTAAGCTTGCACCAGATAATTGAAATTTTTCGAACAAGCAGGTTGCAAGGGCGCATGTCTTTCATAATGGTACGTCTAATTACATTAACCCCCCGCAACGTGAGTGATGTGTTGCGTGTGCACAGTTCTATGGCTGAATGCGAGGATCAATTTCATTCAGTGCAGTTGCACGTCTGCGACAATATTTGTTTGCCAATAAAGTCCTTCCTGGAGAAACCCGAATTCAGAGAAGTTGGAGCATGCCTGTTCAGTGCGCATGTCAGTACAAGTCTAATCTCGCCGCATGCGAAGCTGCTTTCCCCATGATCGGACTGATGTAATCATGATGTTGAACAGATGAACGTCGGACATAACCTACTAATTTTACGGACTCGTGCGATGAGATAGCAGACAATCGTGACTGCTGGCTCCAATACATCATTCTTCCACTGGAAAAGGTACCTGGTATCAATCCTCATGGCCCCCTTAGGACGGTTGGTGTACAACTCTAGAACCAGGGTCTAGGGGTGATGGTGTCAATAGTGGTCTAGGTGAATCATTTGAAAAAAAAAAAACGGAGGGTGAGGTCGTGAGGGTTTATGTAATGAAACGGTAAATTATGCGTGTGCCGCGTTACTAGTAACACTATCTTCGAGTTCTATTGATGTGGCCTCTACGGGACCTACAGACAATGCAACGATTGCATGCTTCGACGTTCTGAAGTTCTAACGCGACAAATTACAGGCACGACTCATCGAAGATCAAATTGTTGAGATACCAAGATTCTTGGAAGCGCACGTTCAGGGGACCATCGGGGAGTTAAACGCGTGGCGGCAAAATTGACTTGCACTTTCCAAGTGCTGCTATAAGCAGTGTGCTTTAGTTAACCAGTGAAGAAATATGGACACGAAGACAATGTCATGCCGACGCAAAGCCACCGGACCACTGTTTGGGACCAAGCGGCGACGGGATAAAATGCTAGTCATGGTGACCGTGCATTCACCTCTTCACGCCTGAGAGAGGACAGTTGGCCGTAGTATGTCATCTGTACCTTCAATGGTTATATTACACGTTTCTGAGCAAAGACTTTTCGAGCGCAGAAGACTGCAGGGACGCGGCGGTGCGACAATCGCACGGTCTATGACGTTTAACCTGCCACAAGCAAGAAATGGTTCAAAATTATGGGAATCGTTTGGAGGCCGAGGTCATGCATCTTGAGAGCGAACGGGTGTTGGCCCGATGGGAGAAACTATCACAGACACCGAAGAGCTATGAATCATGTGGCAACATGATCAAATTCCACTGACTTACCATGTAAACTTGAATAAGCTGATCCAATGAAGCAGCCAGAAAATTTGGTCATGAGGCCAACAATAATATCATGCCGGCACAAGTCGACCACTATTTTGCGGACCAATCATGAGCATGGTAGATTGCGCGTACTTATTTCATCAGCTAGCCGCGATGCGATAATAATATGGATGTTCGTGGGACATATATACTTCGCCGCAATTTACGCCCGAGCTTGACTCGGAGCGGGGCGGTCCACCGTGTCCTCGTGTCGTTGAAATGAAATAAAATGTGAGCCGCACCGGTGACCAAAAAAAAAGAGAAAAAACAGGAACTTTAGTGCGGCTGTACATGGCAAACTTGAATATTCTGGAGAATTGTGCGGCCGAGAAGATCTTGGACCACACGCGCAAAAATCACCACGTCGCTGGTAGCAGATATTTGAGTAAATCACTATAGCCAGAATTGATCATCACAGGCCTACAGGATGCCATGTGTCGAGTATTGGTTGGGTATTGATGTTACACCTGACCAGTCACCACAACGCCATAGAAGGTCAAGAATATATTGGGTACACATACAAACAAACAGTGGAGCAGAGTACTTCAAATACAATCCCTAGATTGTCCCAAATAACTTCGGATCATGAAGATAGATACTCGATAATGACTACTAACCAGCTCATTGACTGCTCCGTGTTTGGATAGTCCGCAAGGACTATACTGTTTCTGTGAGTGATGACAACGCTTCTCAAATCGATATGAAAGTCATCTTTCAGCGCTGAGGAAGCCTCACACCATTCCATTTGCGAAAAGGCCGGAGCCCCGCAACTACATCACAAGTTGGTCAAACATACTGCGGTGTCATGAGCAAATTTGGCGGATCAAGCTTATCTTGGAGAAGTTGATCTGAGCTGCACTTCGGAACGAAGATGAGGATAATAGAGTTGGTGGGAGCGCGGACTGCATTCGCAATAACCAATTATGAGGCACTGTTGACATGGCGCTATCGGTGATAGCATGACAGCTCAAAGCCACGTTCACCGACGACGTACGTCAAGCCGTAAAGGTACTCACTCAGTTTGCCTCCGGGCCGAAAGGGGTAACTTGGGCTATAGCAACGTTTCAGTGCTGAAAGTTTTCTACAAGAATTTGTGGACCATTATCTGGGAATGAACGCCGTTTTGAGTTCGCCCTACGTCTGCAGAAGAAGAAAAGGTATGCTGTTCCGGTTCCTCCGCGCGCAATCATCCGCACTTCTTGATGGATTATCAAATTCGTTGTCCTATAATGTGCGTGACATTGACGCTCATGTGTTTATCGACAAGGGTCAGGGTGCACATTTGGTTTGAGTTACTGATTACTTACTCATCAGTCGTGCGACCACTGCGGGATTGCCATTTCCATAGCTGTTTGTCTTCACCGCTAGACGGATGCCGAGAATGGATTCTTGGTCTTCCCCATGTCGGCCTCATTTACTTGTCGTGTAAACGGTGAGAGAATTATCTCGTTAGAATGGCCCTGATTTTAGGTATAAAAGACATACATATCGAAAAGCTACAGAATCATATCTCGATCATTATGTGTTACTGGAGAAGGTACGTAGCCACTTGTTTGGCTGCAGCCACCGTCACGTCACTGACTCGCTGTCCTGTAGAGTGCGCAACTATTACAAAGGGTATGATCATATTCAGTGGCCAGAATGCTTGAGTTCATCTTCTTTCATAGCTGTGGGCACTCCATAAATCTGGTACGATTCTTGTTAGCTTCGCAAGTGCTGAATTCAGCCAATACGTCACCTTGTGCAGCCCGACGAGGAGGTCAGAAGCCAGTAACTTTTTTGTTCGCCATCTTACCAGGTGCCTAGATCAAGTGTGACCTCAGAAACTGCAAATTCAGCCCCAAGCATTCATCGGCATGTATACCGCCACAGTGCACTAAGGCGTGCTGGCAGTAGTAAGTCTTCATATCGCTGAATTCCAGACACCCGCTAACTTGCAATGATATAGTCGCCAATACCCCCAGCAGTATGGTATGCCAACAAGTCAACTTGCATTGACTCTAAGCTAAAATCCGCTGCTTTCAGCACCACAGATTGACAAGAAGTGCCCCAAATGTAGTATACGCGGCTGAGCATTCTTTATGGCAATCATCTCGAATTGACTTGATACAAACCGACGTCACCTGACAAATTTAACGTATTGCGATAAAAAAAAAATACATGAGCTGAACACATGAGTGAGCGTGAATATGCAACAATAAGTTCAAGATGGGCTCAATCATCCACAATGTTATGCTTCTTCTTCAACTGTGCCAACTCTTCCTCTCTTCGGGCTAGATCGGCTTTAGCGGCGGCAGCATCCTGCTTGGCTGGCATATGATATAGAACAACAATATATCGCTCTTGCAGATGGAAACCATTCAAATGTTCAAGTGCATTTTTTGCCTATGTTAACGGGGATTAGATAAAACGAACCTGTCAGGAAAGAGGGAAACGTACATCCATAACATCATCGAATACGACGAAGGCGGTTCCTTTCGTCTTTTGTTCATCCCCTATGCGTATCTGCCTGATGCTGCCATATCGTCCGAAGAGGTCATACAAGTCTTCCCCAGTAATCTGGTAGTTGAGATTTTTGACGAAGAGTATACGATTAGCACCTGGTGGCAATTTTGACTGTGAAAAGTTCAGTTATACTGATGAAGGTAACTTTGCGGTGCAGCTCACAGTCGGTCTCGGGGCAGCCATGGTGGTTTGTATTGACCAAACTCGATAGTTACGTAATATTTCAATGTTTGATCTCCTCGCGGAGTTATATAAAGTAGGTTCAAACACTGGCAAAATTATTGTCCAAGCTACTAGATGAGTCCACGGGAGTCCGCGCATTTTTGGCAAAATGTTTATTACTCCACATTGCACAAACAAACAAAATTAATTCTTTGACGGTTCCATAGCGTGACATCGAAAGTACAACGTCACCTTGCTTTGCAAGGTCATACCCGTGAATTCTGTGAATCGTCCACTCGAACAAACACCGGCAATTTCCTATTCACTTCCACCAGCTGACAAAGATGCGTCGGAGTGCCCAAAGCAAGGTCATCGCCGGGAACGGCGCCTAGTCTGCTGGTTTATTTTTCGAAAATCGATGTGTTGAGTCCAGCGGAGAGTTACGACGCAGAAAGGTGCATTTTCCGTAGAGTTCGCGCACTTCGTCACACTATGTTACACGTCTGCCGCAATGCCTTTTCACGCTCCGCAGAGTCCGCACCATTTGAACAGCGTGTCACGCTGTGTATGTAATCAAAACTCCGCAATGCCGAAATGCGGCACAATACGCCGCTTCATTTTGCGACTTCACAACACGCTATTCAAACGGTGCGGACTCTGCGGAGCGTGAAAAGGCATCGCGGCAGACGTGTAACATAGTGTGACGAAGTGCGCGAACTCTACGGAAAATGCACTTTTCTGCGTGGTAACTCTCCGCTGGACTCAACACATCGATTTTCGAAAAATAAATTAGCAGACGTTGTACTTTCGATGTCACGCTATCGAACCATCAAAAAATTAATTTTGTTTGTTTGTGCAATGTGGAGTAATAAACATTTTGCCAAAAATGCGCGGACTCCCGTGGACATCTAGTATGGCTGGGCGATCATGTTCATTACACAGTTTGCACGCAACTGTGATAGTTTCTCAGAGGTCGGAGCAGGTGTAATTCTTCCGCCCGGGATAGAAAGTGGAGTAGGCTCTTGTATGACATCAGAATCCTACGACAAGAACACGCATGCAAGATGATAATGCTCCTAGGAAAAAAAGCTGGTCAACCTGTGATCCACCGATCAGAAAAGAACTGTGTGGAAACACGGGCATACTGAATCATGAGGGTAAGTGGTTCTGTCTTCGAGGCAGGAGATAGGATTTGATAGCTACTCGCCATGTACATTCTATGAAGTCACCGATGACAGACAGAGGACGCATCAAGTTGAAAACGATCTCGTCAGTCGTTCGACTGGTGTACATTCCCCCACCCCTCTCACGCAAACAACCGTTGCAGCTGCTGTATCTATTGCGTCTGGAATGGTGCACTTGATGTCCTCTGCATTGGGGCATGGACAATCAGCCGGTCTCTTGACACACATTAGGGTACTTGGGCACAGGTATTGAGAACACGAGACTAAAAGAATCAAGAGTTAGTGATTCTCAGAGGCAGAATATTATGGGTCCGGATACTGACGAGCTTCTGAATGCGCCATCCATTGAGAGTTACCAGAAGGTCCGGGTCCTCTCTGTTGTTGTTGTTGTTGCTGCTGCTGCTGCTGGGAATGCCCAAACATCTGATCAAAAAAATTGAATTGTCCGCTCGCCAGCGGGAGGGAAGCTGCTAGAAGCAAGACCAAGCTGCGCAGTTGCATAGTAGTCATTGAATTGGTGGTTCGCGGTCTTGCTGTCCAAGAGGTTAGACGTGTCGATTGCCACGTGCACCTGGCACGCTTAAGTCACGGCAATAAGTTTATCCACCGACTAGTGCCTCAGACTCCAGAGTACCGTCTAGTCAGAAAGAACATAACAAATTAGACTTGGATTAAACCGACAAATCAAAGGTCATGGGTTGAACCACATGTTGTTCTAGCAACCGGCGTTACAGTGTCAAATATATGTAACTGACAATGTGCAGATAGTCATCAGATATCTCATAAATACCATGTGAATGATGTATGGGCCAACCAAGTGTCAAAAGAGAAGACAGACGGAAGATAGGAGAAGATAGGTTGTGTAAATCCAATAGACCTTCCCACAGGGGTTTCCAAAACCCCCTCCCATGTCTCTATGTTGGAAACGTAGCTGTCGCGGGTTATGTTCAAGACACCAGAGGAGTGATAACCCCATTCATGCAGTGCCTGCTAGCCGTGATACTAGACAGTTGATAGGATTGCTCTCGTGTAGTAGATCGATCTGAGCGAAACGATTTGTCTATCAGAGAGGACCGTGTCAAAGAGGCCTTCTTGGCTTTCTTTCGAGGGGGAATATTCTCTTTAGTGATCTCCCTTTCAGAGAGGACTTCTTCAGAACTACTAGGCCACGAGTCTTCATTATCAGAAGATGGACTGGTTCGTCGCGATGGTGTAAGAGATATGTGCGGATCTTGATACGTGTCAAAGCCAGGATAATGCACTGACTGACGGTCATAAGGCTGCGGCATTTCGCGAAGAATTGCCATTGAGGCAGCGCCAGATTCAGCGTCGCGTTGGGATGACTGGAGGCGAGACGAGCGACGGAGGCTAAGTGCAGATGCCGAGTTGTCTCCTGAGGCACTGGTTGAACGTATCAACTTTGGCGAAGGTCTCCTCGGCGTTCGTCTATTCCTCGAGCTTCCCTGGGTGGCACCAGCACATTGTGCGGATGATGTCAATGCTATCGACGAATCGTGGGAGGCTCTGACATCACTTCCAGAATATGGAATGTGAAATTGCAATGGAGACAGGGCAGCTTCACCAGGTAGGAGAATGCCTTCTGAGTGCAGAATGCGGCGCTTAGCCGGGCTAAAAATTGTGGATTTTGAAGGCGAAAGAGGGCGTTTAGCTGGTTTAGCAATGATGGGAATTGGATTGGCGCCGCTAGGTAAAAAATGCGCAAGTGGGAGTTCTTGCAGAGGACCAGTACGAGCCATTGAAATTGTAGAGAGCGTTCAAGAAGAAAACAAGCAATGTTGAAATGATGTACTTGATATGATTGATAGGCAATGATAGCGGATGGTTGGCGGATGGCGTCAGAGGCGCGCGAAGGGCCGGGTCTCATAAAGCACGTGACATGGATCATTCAAGTCACACTCCCCAGAGTATTTTGTAATTTATCTACGTATCAAGCAGGAACTTCCGCAAGTGTCACTACATCGAAAACACCAGTACCCGTTTGGTTAGGACGTCCCATGACCAGATTACCTGATGGCGTGGATAAGTCATCAAAGTCACCATACAATGTCGCGTCTGAAAGGAAGGCAGCAGTTGTCTCGTACGACGCTTTTAGAAGGGGCGAAGGGTTACTTGAGAGACCCTTGCGATTGAATGGCTTGTAGGCGCCTTCGAATGTCTGGCAGTTGATATGTTCGTGAGTAAGTGAGTTGCACGACTAACCAGTAAAGGTCTGACCATATAATCTGCAATGAGTTCCAGATGCCTCCCATCAACATCAATCTTGTAGGCGTCAAATACTCCACCAATCTCGCGTAATATCGCAGCACGCGCCATCTCCACGCCGTAAGCTTTGAGGATGGAGTAGATGTCATTGGAGTAGATAGTATCCAGGTCAATGATGTTGTCATCTGTTGCGCCTGTAAATTGCCAGATACCTCGCAAGTTTGATCCGTTGGTAGTCAGCTAGATTGATGAATTTCAGCTCCTAGTTCGGGTTGAACCATACAATAACGTACTCGTATCTTCTCCACTCCGCGTTCCTTTACAACTACACTAAAGCAATCCGTGATACCAGGGATCTCCCGGATAACAGTCCTCAGACAAGTGCGCTCGACTATGCCCACCAACAAAATTTTTGGGAAGTCTGCAGGGAACTTTAAACTTATGAGGTGACGGCAAAAAACGTCTGGCACAGATGACACGAACCTCGAGCCGAATAGAGCATTTTGACTTCGTAAACGTGAACGAAGTTGCTTGATGAAAGATATTCATGAAGGCGTCTGCTATGACTTGAGTTTGTGCGTGAATAGCCGTCGGACGATCAATTATGTCGTCGCCTTCGCCTTCGCCACCCCCCGTGTCTGAGGCATAAGCCGCCTCGATAGTGGTATCGTCCAAGTAATCCCTTTCACTGTCATTGTCAGACTCGTATGATGTCTGTTCCTTCTGCTGACGAGCTCGCTTGGCATCAACAGCATCACCATCCCCTTGCTCACTCAAGCCATCGTCATCCTTACCACGACTTGGGTCGTCATCCTCGCCACCTTCAGCCTCTGCCTCGCCAGCAACAGGTTCTTTTGATGCCTTCCCTTTCCCAAGCTGCGCAATCTGGCCCTTCAGATCTGTGTCAAGCTTTTTCATCTCCGTTTGAATTTCCTTCTTGAGTATTGACGGGAACTTCGCTGCAAACACGGCGAGAACTTCCTCGGGCAGAATGTCATACTCCTCGGTGTATTCTTCCGCGGGGAAGAAGAAGATGTCAATAACGAATTCGGTCCGACGTGCATCGCTCTCCACAGTCAAACGCTCTTTGACCGTCACATTGTCAACAAGCTGAGACAACGTCAACTTGCTAGCCCGCTTGCAAAAGATGTCAATGTCCAACTGGGATACGCCATGCGCAACTTCCATAGTCATCGAAGGTGTCTTGGGCTTTTGTGAAGCTGTCATCACAATCTCTCGCAATCGAGGAATACCCAGTGTTACGTTGGCAGCTCCGTGGCCTACATCAAAAGTGTGAACATTCAGCACGTTGGCAATTTTATAACAAAACTGACCTGCAAAATGGAACGTATTAAGTGTCATCTGAGTTGACGGTTCTCCAACGCTGAAACAAAAGTAAGGATTAAGATACGCACAGGGTCTGGAAACTTACCCCTGAGACGCCAACAAACCAACAGCTTCCCCAGGTTCCACCAAACTTCTTAGATACTTAATATTCATGAGCAAGTTGAAATATCTGGTTTTCATGGGTTCATGCCGACGCTTGATCTTGGGGCCCTCCGTCGCATTCTTATCTTTGTTCATCAATAACCCATGAGGGTTAGACTTGATGTAATGAGCCAATGCCTCCGCAAACTTCTCTGATGTGCTGCCAAGGTAACGACTAGGGCTATACACATCCAAGGAAGGAGCGCGCTTCTCTCGCTCGGCGGGCGTGTACTTGTCTGGACGTACTTCTGATTTCTTTAGAGTTTTCTTCATATAAGACACGGCGTCATTGTCGTTGATGTGACCAGCAATGTTCTTAGGCTTGTACAGGTTAAGAAGGGTGATCTGGTTCCGGGCGATGAACTCGAATTGGTAGAGGTGCTTCTGCTTTGTAACGTCTAGGGCATCGCCGCCATAGTGGAATTGGTATATGGATGAGTCACTGCCACGGACGGTATGATCGTAGTGGACCCGGATGCCCTCAAGGTGCTTAATGAGACAGCGCTGAAGATAACCGGATCGAGACGTCTTGACGGCAGTATCGATAAGGCCTTCACGTCCAGCCATGCAGTGGAAATAAAATTCTTGAGGTTTGATACCCGTCAAGAAGCGACTGGCAACATATCCACCTGCCATAGCTTTCGGCTCGAATGACTTAAAAGATGGAAGGGTTTTTCCGCTGACCATTACAGGTACGCGACGACCTTCGAGTTCCTGCTGGCCAAGTGCACATGATATCTGCTGTGCATTGACAGCACTACCCTTCGCACCAGATAGCGTCATAGTTTGCATGTGATTGTGAGGAAATTTGCGCAGGAGACCGTGAGGCATACAAGCATCAGCGATGGATTTGGTCAGGCCCGAAAGCTTAGTCTTGACGGTAACATCAAGGCCAGCCATTTTGTTGTCGTCTCGTAAGACATCTTCGAGCAATGTTGTCAATGCTGCTGGAACCTTCCTCCTTGGGTAGTTTGCTTAACGAAGGAAAATTCTCGACTGGCACCGTCGAACCCAAGATCAGCGGCCATGTTGGAGGAGTTCAGTTCTTCTCTGATCTCCATCGGGCGTTAATGCCAGATCGTCCATGCGACACGTGAAGGCCCGATGTTGTAGAAACTTTGTGAATAGCCGGCTGAGAACGCCGAGAAGCTTCCCAGCAACATCAGCTCCATAAAGCTCATACACTGAGTGCACAAGGCCATAATCGGTGGCTCCGAACAGCGGATTTGTCAAGGACACCACAGAGAAGTTCGCCATCAACAAAAATAACCTTGTCTTCTGAGGAATGTTTGTCCCATAGATGACCGGGAACTTTAGCTTTGGAATCAAGGATTCAGCCCCTCTGCAGTTGCTCGGCGTAATATTTTTCAGGACCGTCGAGATCTGCCTAATGTGATTAGAGGCTGAGTGGGCGAACAAAAGCACTCCTACTTACAACCTGCTTTCCTGTCCATAGCGGACGTGGCTTCCATATGGTTGGAGGTAGAGTGATCAGCCGCGATAGATGATGACTCTCATCTTCAGGACGGAGTGCTCCGTATAGTAGCTGGAAGTACTCCTCGCGGGAAAAAAAAGCGTCTTGACAGGTCATCCAGACCCCAGCAACAACGTGGTCCTGAATGAGGCCGCGTAAGGGTTTACCGGACGTCGGGACTAAATACTGATTTTCAGTATTGGCAATTAACATCGCCTCCGCACGAGCAACCTGGTTTTCTTTCAGGGGGTTCAAAATATGATATAGGTTAATATTCGAAGAAGCTCACGAGGAAAATGGATATTCATTTCTACCCAACGAGCATTTTAGTTTTGCGTTAACGCCGGAACTTTAAACCAAATACTCACCGTCACCATCAAAATCAGCTGAGATCAGTTACAATCAGGTACGGTTATACGGTTTGAATTGGGAATGCATACCATTATAAGAATTACTAGGCATAAAGATGATTAACCATTGAAGCTATACTAGCAATCGGAAACTTACCAGTTCGCATAATGCATCCTTATGGTCTTTTCGCCTCGTAAAATCCGGGCCTTGTGACACATCATGCTTGGCTTGTGAAGGGTTGGTTGACGATTGAGAATCAGAATGTCGCCATCCCGAAGATGCCGATACACTTTCTTGTTGATCGAAGCCGTGCGCGTTGAAAGTCCGCGACGACCTGACGAGCTGTCGCTACCATCTTGAGGTGTCAGCAGCTGGTTGGCGATAGCCGTTCTCTGCTCAGGTGTGAGTTTTTCCTAGCGAATCAAGTCAGAACTATGGAAATGGCGTAACATAAAAGATTACCAAGGACTGTTTATGCCCATCTTCATACTCAACCATCGTCGCTCCTGGGTAACCCTTCGGACCAGTAATTACCCATTGCCGCAGTTCATGGAAATTTGCAGGAGTCACAGGCTCAGGAAAGGTAAGTTTTCTCGCAAAGACAGGAGGGATGCCAATCTCGTTTGGCTCAATATTTATATCTGGCGAGATGACGGACCGTGCTGCATAGTTGACACGTTTACCCTGCCAAGGAAAAAATTAGATGATACATATCTAGAAAAAAAACTATTCCGCACCATCATATGTTTACGAAAGAGACCCTCCTTCTTTTCGAGCCCCTGCTTGACACCGGCTGGGGGGAGTTTACCGTTGCGGACAGGTGTAGGATTTTTGTTGCTGTCCATGAAGCTATTGACGTCGGCTTGCAACTGCACGAGTCCCTCGAGTAAAGCGCTAAATAAACGACGCCGCGTCGTATCGTCAATACCTGATTGCTTCACAGAAGCGGCATGCAAGTCTGCATTTAAATCACGTAACCTATACGACGTATTCAAAACCTTGGCCAAAAGCTCATTCTGGGGATGCTCGAACAACGTTTCACCCATTGTAGCAGGCGGGCGAAAACGCGTTGGTGGAACAGGGATCACTTCCATGAAGAACATGTCGGCAGATGCCAGGGACAGACCCGCAGCATTTAGGGGAGAGAAGGGGCCATGCCGGCCAAAGATGAGGGAACAAATCTCAGGGCAATTACGGAACAGAAGACGCAAATGGGCACGACATTCTTCTGGTGCCATAACACGCTCGTTGCGGCCGCGGGTAGTCTTAACTTTACCATTTGCAGCACGAGGAAGATCGTTCTTTTTCAAGAGACGGGTAGCTTGAAGTTCCTCTTCCTCGTCTGAGTATGTCGGCTCTCCCTCGGGTTCAGAGTCAGATTCCGAGTCTACGTCCATAGTATTCGAAGGTTCGGAGCGAGACTTCGAAGCATCCGCAGCTTGCTGCTGGAACAAGAGGACATCTGGCCTTTTAAGGCTGATGGCTCGATGCTGATTTTTTTGCTTCACGGAGAGATCGTATTCGATTATTTTAGTGAATCCCTCCTTGCGGAACGTGTAGGCGAAGCTGTTATCTTATGCTAAGCCAAAATGCAACAACCAGCGAAAACAGCAAACTCACGCGCCGCAACCTTCGTTACTACATTTTTTGGTGATAGTTGTTTTCAAAAACTCTTGGATAAGATCTTTCCGGGCCTGATAGACAAGACTGTCCTTGTAGTGATCTCGCTTGCTGCCGGAGGCCTTGCTGAGATGTACCGTGACGAATAAGTTGACACGAGATTCTAATTCAGGAATAGTTTCGTTGCGACTGTCTTCGTCGTCGTCATTAGCCGTGTGTGATGTGATGTTGTCCACGTCGAGAGCAGCTTCCAGGAGACCATGTTCCAAGAGGCGGAATTTGGCGACATATTTGCAGATCTGGCGAGGAGTGTTTCAGGCAATGAGAAAAGTGGAGGGGCATGTGCGTACCACTGATCGACTCAGTTTAAATCTATGACAAAACAAACAGGTTGCGCGGAGAATATTGTACATATTCACCATGAACAGAGGGTGGTATACAGGGGCAGGCAGTTCAATGTGACCAAAGTGGCCTGGGCACGTGAAGTAAGTTAAGTGACATGTTGCACAGCTAGATGTATAGCGTCAGCACACCAGTCCCAAGACCGCCAGGAGCTAGGCACTTACATGTCCTGACGATCGCTAGGACCAAGCGCAGGATCATACAGACCACCGATGTTCGGCCTGTTCAAGTCATCCAACAATACTGGGTTCAAAATCTGCTTGACTGATATCCTGCGGATGTCCTCCGCTGTCAGGAATGAGAAAGATATGCTTGAGACGGTAGACGGAATGGAGTGTGATATGTTCATGGCGAACGCAATGGTGGATGTTTGCTGTGGTGCTTTTGGGTGTCTCTACTCTCGGGAGAATATCATGTAAAGCTAGCACATCCTTTTCCAAGCTGGTAAATGCGACGAGAGCTTAGTATGATACGAGGCGCGATCGACATCGGACTAAGTTTTTTCTCCCTTCTGATTTAAGCGAGTCACGTGACATGTAGGCCTCATACCGTACCACAATCAATCATGGTGCTTCGAATACGAAGATGTGTGCATGACTTTTGGCGGCAAAATATTAAAGTGTGATGAATACGTTAACGCAGAGTACCGCTACGCTTGATACCTGTCCGACTCTGAACACTATTCTTCTGCGCCTCACTGACTAATTCTGCGATCAACTTGTTGTATGTCTCCGAGTCCTGCTGGAGAGCATCACGGGTTTGTAGAAGGTGCGTAAGTAAAGATGAGGCATTGGTTGTCTCTGTCTGGAGATCTACCAGATACCGTTCAAGTTTTGCCAAGGGTAAGAGGGTTAATTGATCTGCTTATCAACATGTCATTTAGTCAGACCACGGCTATAGGAAACAGACACACCTGTATCAAGTTTGAGTAGTTCCTCTATTTTCTTGTCATCTAGTTGTGGTTTGGGTCCAATACCAAGCTGTGATACGGTTGGTCCTGCTCGCGTAGACGGCTGTGGAGTGCCTATCCGAGGTGTCCCTGCACGAGAATTAGTTCTAGACGATGGGGTACTCTGCAAAGGACCATTGCGAGGCCCGGGGGGTGCAGACATCGGTCGTGTTGATATGTGTAGTGGGGGAAGGGGCTTGCTATTTGCGTGCGGTAGTATTTCGTCCAAGTTCACGGGTAGTCCAAGAGCGATTAAATGTTGCTGTCGAATGCGTGAGCGCGTCCAGTTGATGAGCTCCATGTGAGGCGGCGAATCCATGAGCATGGTATATAATCCACGACTTTATGACTAGAGCTTTAGCATTTGAAGCGAAATATCTCAGAGACAACGAACCTTTCAGGTGTGACTAATATTTGGCTGACACCCTCTACCTGTCTTATGTCTTCGTCTGTGGTCAGCGAAGAGATATCCCAAGTCCATACAGGATCCAAGATGTGGTCGATCTGCCTCTTCAGGTCTTCTTCGGAAGGTAGGGGGGTTAATCTGAGCGGCTCCCAGGCGGTATGAGATGGACCCGGTACTGGCTCTTCATGAAATGTAGCATCTTCTGAGAAATCCCCAAAATCTCCATCCTGCCCAAAATCTGCATCGTGTCCAAAATCCCTGCCGCCCTCCGTGTCCCCCGCTTCTCCGAAATCCCCAAAATCTCCAAAATCATCTTCCTGTGCAATAGATGGGTTCTGCGTTTGCGGGGGCGTATGAAAGTCATCGTAATCGTCTAGTCGGTCTTGAGAAGGTACAGGAGATGGCGGCACAGGTGATTCGGGCGAAGAGAAAGATGTGATATTTGTGAGGCGTGTTGCAATTGGGTCATCGGGCGTAGTACCCCAGACTGAGGCTCCAAACATGAAATCTTCATCCATTATGCGCTTGAATCTGTTTTCAGCTACGAATCGTGCTGTTCAGCAATCGATGAATTAGGCCTCGAAACTAGTTTAGTCGGTATAACGCCAGGTGGATGTTGTTATCGTGACCAGAAGGTCTTTAAAAATCATGATGAACTAACGTGACACTGGAAGTTCTGAATACTAAATTTGCTCCTCACCATGACTTTCAACTTTGAGTCAGAGCCTCCTACTTTCGCCTTTGAAAGAGCTTATAACAATGATCATCAGTTCCTGTTCGCTTTTCCGAATGCAAAGAAAATGCCCAATGCGCGTCAAATACAATTGCAGCGCCTCTATGATATTATGAATATCAGCGTGCAGAGAGACGACCTTCCCCGTGCCAGACGTGCCTGGTCCATCCTAGCCAGATGCAAAGAAATAAATTGGAAAGCAATGTGGAGGCTGGGCATCGCCTTGCTCGAGAATGATGTCCGCGTCATGGAAAGCAATCCACACAAAATAGATTTTCTACGGACAATGCTACTCCAACTTCCGGAGGAGGTATGTCTCAATTTACCGTCCTAATAATCGCGACGAAGTTAAACAACGTCCAAGCGAGAACGCATTCTTGCCGAATTGGTTCAGCACTATATTCTTGCTGGCAGGTACAGAGATGCACTCGATGAACTTGAGTTGTATGTTACTTTCTCTATCAAAAAAGTCTGATCTGATATTCTAGCAGCTACCTCCCTTCATTCCCTTATCGTGACAACCCAGTACTTCACGTATATGCAGGCTTGCTGTGTATTTTCATAGCCCAGCCTCCAGAATCAGCTGGTCAGTGTTCGAAGTGTCGATTATTCTGGCGTATCAGTCTCAGGTCCTTGCTCCAGATGCTGATGAAGTCGAGGGAACTACCTATGATAACAACTCGCTCAGTCGCGCTCAGATCTTTCTTGAACACGCAAAAGTATTGGATCCCAATAACATCGTAGTAAACGAGTTTTTGCACAAGGTAGGGTGTCGTGTGATTCCGTCCAGCCTGAGAGCTCACTTTCTTCAGCTGCATTCCATTTCTCAAGGACCGGGATTGCTCTCTTTCGCAAGCCATGATTCTGAAGATGAGACTCATATTCAGTCATTGCAACCAAAGCGAAGAAGAAATTTTTGAATTTACTCGTTCAATGGGTTACAAGTGAATGTAAGGCCGTACCCACTTGTATCACACTATCAACCATCTGAGTCCGACTCTACATCAATAGTCGGTATTCCTTCCTCTTCCTCGTCATCGTCCACCATCATCGGGATAAATCGAGGCTCGACCATAAGAGGGGCAAGTTCCATCTGACTGGAAGATGGCTGCAGCAAGGAGTTCACTGGTTGTCGACTTGATATCGCTGAAGGGATGTCAGCAGAATCTTTTGTTGGTGCTGTCGTGATCGAAGACGTCATTTTCTGACTGGTTGGCATCGGAGATGACATCGAGATTGATGCAAGAGGTGTGATTTTTGGTGTTGGTATGGGCAAATGCGTCGATACGGGCTGAGTTGATTCGGGTGTTGAGGTCATCATGATGGGATCTGCCACGACATCCATGATGTTTCCATCATTTATTGTGGCCAAGGCAAGTGATTTACGAGCAGTAAGCTCTTCATTGCTTTCCTCGGCGCGGAATAGAGATAGTGCCTCCACATGAGGCAGCGGGCGGACTAGTGGTGGACCGCGAGGATGGAGGAGAAGGTCAACTTCTTGTTGTAATTGGAGTCTCGTCTGCATGGTCTGCAAGCAATTCGCTCATTATGTTGGCAGAGAACCAAACAAAAAAAGGTGAGATTGCCTACATGTTCGTTGCCTTGCGTCACAGTTGACCTGAGGACCAAGCCAAGGCTTCTGCTCATCGCACTCGTTGTCCCTCGAGCAAGCTCTAGACATATTCCGTTCACTTTTGCAAGCACTAAACTGTGTAGATGAACGTCTTGAGATAAAGAGGAACGTGACATGGCTGTCAACGACAGTGACAAGGATAACATGACACGGCAGGCCAGAGAGCGGATGGCTGATTGCAACTCAGCACCTCGCATTATAACTTGCAGAGCTAGATGGTGATGAGCGATCAGTTGATTGGTCCCGACCTGAACTCACAATCTAGAGCACAAAGAATAGCCTCTCCTTCAGCGATCGATGAACAAACGACGTCTTTTGATAGTTTGAACACCTCGTCGCCTTCATAGTCCCGCCGGCGTTTCCTGCCTTTTTTGCTCTGTTCGGAACTCGTTTCGCCCGTGTGCACATCAGACTGAGTTGACAGCAGCGGCATGAGAGAAAGCATGACGGCTTTGACGAGTCTCGTGGAGCTAAGCTCGCTGGTGGTAGGGGAGCTATTGCTTAGTAAAGTTTGGATGCACCGAAGCAACGCACATCGCCGCTCTCTAAAATATACGTAGGTTAATCCTTCAGCGCTGACGTTTCAGCGACGCACGATAGAGGGTTTTGTTCGAGATGGTATGTTATCATGACAACCAGCCGGGACACGTACGGTGTCAGTCGACGCTGAACGCTAGATCAAGGCCGTCAATTAGAATATAGAGTAAATTGCGTTTATACCTACGTCTTTGCGAGGCAACAGAGCAGATCACATGCAGAAGTCTGCAGCTCAGGCACGATAGCAAGCTCCAAGGCTCTGACTGTCGCGTCAACGTGGCCTTCTTTCTAGCATTAATGGGGTTGAAAAAGCGTTGGCAGAAAGAAATACGAAAAAAAACACCTCTTCATCAGCGGTACAAGCTGACAGGAATAGACAGAACTCCATTATACGTCCTATAGGCACATGGACTGGTCTTTGAACGGTTGTCCTGTACTTGGGTAAGTATATTCTGCCATCCAGTTTAACATATTGACCTTAGTAAACTGCAAAGCGCTGCAACACTGCATTGTAATCTGTCAACATTGAGGGCGACGGTTAATGCTGGATCTTCACATGTCAGTCCACTGGAGGGTGGTGGGTTGTTCTTTGCTGTATGAGATATCAATAAGACGTTGATAGGTGGGATGCCATGGCCTTACCTGGAAATGTAGTTCTGAGACCCATCGACGCAGACCAGAGACACTGAATGGTCTCATCTACAGACTTCTTCCACAGATTTGCTGCCCCAACCTTGCCCCCGGTATAGTGAAGAACAGCGTATAGGCCCGCCGCGTTATGCAACAGCAATTTATTCGTGCGTTGCGGTGCAGAGCCATTGAGTATTTTATGACACATACTTGTGATAGAGGAACTCAAGGCTCTATTTAACGAAGGATATAGAATAACCATATCCTTCAATGTGTCCATAGCTAGAGCCTGACAATTTGCTTTCAGACTCCTGTTAGTTTTATGAAATTCAAACACGAACTTTCAGCTCGTAGTCCGCAGCCTTTTCGACAATAGATACCAGCACCTGGCTAAATTTTGGAACGGTAGGAGTGGCTACCTGCCTTTGGAGCTCTGGCATGTCGGTTGCTGCACTGAGGACATGCCGAAGATATCTTATTGAAGCCTTGAGCAGTGGCAGAGGTTCAGGTTTCTTGGGTGATATGTTAGGCATCTGAGTATCAGGACGAATACATCTCACAAACTAACTGTAAGGATGGACAGCGCGAGTCCTGCCCAGGTCTGCGCAAATTCTGTCATCGTAGACTTGGATAACGATGAAGTACGATATGCAATGCACATGCCAGCCCACCGAGCTCCAGCATCTTTTGAATGAATCAAGGAAGTCACCCGGGATGTCCATTTCTGAAGATGAGGGGAAGGCAACAAGAGGCCCTCTGATAGAGTTGACAGCACAGATGACAGGTGCAAAACTGAAGATGCGTCCGAGGCTAATTGTAACTGGAGCAGTGATTTCAGTGGATGAGATGTCATTGCTCGGGATATCCTGAGCTGAAGGACGCGCCGATGGCAATGACTTTGAAAAGATTGCCAGGCAGGAGCTTTAGCTTTCAACAACAGTAAACAGGTTCTGCTACGCGTCGGCTACTCAACGCCCTAATACGTACAGGTAACAACATGCAGCATTTCGGCGACCTCGACCCGGCTACCGAAGAACAACTGCGTCTCAACAATTTTGAGGTGCATTCACATGATTTATACCACACACAGCTGGGCTGATGTTCGATGTTGAGTAGGGCAAATTCGATGTTAAAGAATTTGTTGGATCCATATCTGAGAGGTTAATCACACAATCAAAGGCAAGCCCTGGGCGTACGCGTGTTTGTGCTCCCTGTGTAATATTGTCTCATCTTGTGCTTTATCCAGCATTCGATCCCAAGCCATTTATAAGAACATTTGAGGCAGTCGTAGACAAGCTGATCAGCGTGCGCAAGGATGTCCAGGCTAAGACGGAACAGATGGAAAAGAGTGTCCGAGTGGCAGAAAGGGAGTACTCAAAGAAAATGGCAGACCTGAACCGAGGATTTGAGGTACGTCTCTATGCGCAGTGTAGGCTGGCCTGGTTGATTCCCATGCTCAGGCCGTTGGATCATCCTTTTCGACAATGGAGAGCAAGATGAATGAAGTTGGACGCACTGCAGTCCGAATAGGTGGATTGTACCAACATTTTCAATAACCCTCGTTAACTGTCAACATCAGGTGAACAACTGGAATCCATTCACATTGAACGCCAGAGAGCCCAGGCTACCCATGACCTCATCAATTACTACAACCAATTTTCGCGCAATGATACTTCACGTTTGGATGCTTTGAAAAAAGAAGGTCGAGAAGGCCGAAGTCAAGTTGCCATTATATTGCGCCGACTCACAACTGTAGCCCGAGAGGTGGATCTCCCCAGTGCGGATAAGGTATTGCTTGCTGTCCTTTGTCTCCATCTAGTTGCATAACAGACATTCAGACCCGAGAGAATATTGACAAATACTGCGAGAAGTTCGAGAAAGACATGATATATCTCTTTGACCGATGCTACCGAAAGGGAGATCCAAAGTTGATGCATGTGTGTTTCTTTGTCTTCGATATATTATGACATATCTGATATTTTGTTAAGCATTGCGCACAGACATTATTAGATTTCAATGGTGGTGCATCTTGCGTTCAGATTTATGTCAATCAACATGATTTCTTCATGAATAAGGTTCGTGACACTGCAGACCACAGTGACGACCTGTTGTACGTTCCCCGTTGCCTACATAATACCTCTTCTTACAATTTCACGCAAGGTGGAATGCTGTTTCCAAACCGGACGAAAGTCCGCCCAAAACAGAATCAGGCCTCGCAGAGTTGTTCGGAGAAATACGATCAACTGTCGCCCAGGAATCACAGATAGTCCAGGCAGTATTCCCAAACCCACCATTTGTCATGCAAGTTTTCCTGCAGCGTGTTTTTGCTCAGTCTGTGAGGCAACAAATCTTTACATAATAACGATAGTGTCTGATTTTCTGCAGATTCAACAATACATGGAGCAGCTCTTAACAAAAGGCTCTTCTCTTTCTGATTTGGCTTACCTACGGATCTTACAACTGGTGCATAACCAGACATCTAACCTCGTCGAAGATCTAAAAGCTCACGAGCTCCCATCTATAACGCCAAGCAAATCATCTCTAGAAATATCAGAGTTTCGTAGGGTTCTCTCTGGTGCACTGACAGTTTCTGGAACGTCGACGACATCCGTTGTGAGCGCCATGCTAGAAAACGCGATGGCAGAACTGTTTGTACCATATATCGAGGGCCAGAAATATCTTGACAGAGAGAGTAAAAGTCTTGGCGAGCTTTATGCAGGACTTCTTGCGAATTTTACTCGATATCATGTAAGCATGTTAAATGTTTTTGCTGCAGAACGTGATTTCTATTTTGATGCAGATGAGAATGCAGAAGGGAAAGTCCTCGATGTTTGATCGGATGGTGGACAGGCTCGGTGCTGCTGCCGCGAACACCACAACATCTGGTGGTTCGAGCACATCTGCACAGGCTGCAGCGCTGATTATGCGGTATGGAGGGATAAGCTCAGAAAGAATACAAGACAAGAACTTGGAAGATACTGTGCGGGAAGAAGACGGTTTACTGAGCATTGATGTTGCGGAGAAGATGCTCAAGTGGCATGCGGAAGCTGTTGGGAGATGTGTTGAGCTCACTTCTCAGAATGACGTGTCAGTCCCGTGTTGCACGACATGATACCTGACCTGACCTTATTCACGTCACTGTAGCCCGAAGAACACATTTATCCTCCTCAGAGTGTTAGCGGAAGCTATCGGTGCGGCATATCTGGAGACTGCAATAGAATCGTGAGTGCTTCACGAAGTATGTGATGGTACATCTAAACCGTGACACAGGGCGATCGCTCGTCTTGAAGTTGCTGACCCGAAGCTCGAACCAAGTCTACAGCCACTCGAAGTGTTGCGCTCAGTAGACCTCGTATGCCATCTGTGGCAACAATATACGAATATGGCGCTGTTTCCGCTAGCAACGTCATCCGTCACTGTTCGGCGTGAAATGACCATCTTCAACAACCAGACCGTAAGCAGGATCGAAGGAGCAACGAATACGCTGATACAACGTATCATAGACGGCGAGTCCTTGTACACCGCCTAACAATTCGTGCTAATCCCCCGTGCGATTTCTAGCTATCATAACTTGGCTTTCTCTGCAGCTCTCGAAGCAAAAGAGAAATGACTTCAAACCACGGAATGACGACCTCTCATTTGCTCGTGTCAATACAGAACCTTGCGTAGCTTGTTGTGAAATACTCGAGAAAGTAAGAGATGCAGCAATACAGAATATCAGTGGCAAGAACAGGGAGGCTTTTCTCACCGAAATAGGCGTCTCTTTCCACAGGTTTGTTCCATTCATTTGGAAGCAATTTATATGATGCTCATCAGGTTTCTTAGTCTACTGCTTGATCACCTCCGCAAATATCCTGTTAGTGCGACAGGAGGTTTGATGCTTGCCAAGTAAGGGTCTTTACCATTATCGCGTTACCCCATTACCAATACCAATTAATTATTCTTGCAGAGACCTCAAATCGTACCAGGATACTGTGACATCTTTCAATGTACCCGCTCTGCACGAACGATTCGAGTTCATCAGACAGCTCGGCAATGTCTTTCTCGTGCGCCCTGAGATCCTCAAGTCTTACATCACAGAGAATTACCTTGGACGCATCGACTCTGCCTTGCTTAAGCCGTATCTTTCGCAACGAAGTGACTGGGGCCAGTTCGAGACCCGCTTCAACGAGAATGTCGATGTAGAGGATGTTGCAACAGATAGTGCTTCCAAGGGCCTTAAAGATCGATTCAAGATGGCGAAGTTAGGAACAATGGTGAAGGATCTCGAAGGTCTTAAGCTCGGCGACGGTATTTCCATGGGTATTCCCAGTGGATTTACTGGGAGTTTTTCGATAGGCGGACGTGGATTGAACAATAACAGTGCGTAGTATACATACCTCTGCATAGTGGTACATCAAATCGAATCCGGTCGACTGTATATTATCTCCAAGGTGCAGGCTATGGATAGTGAAGTGTTTATAAGTAATGGTGTGAAATCGTACCAGTCATACCGCATCAACTCCTCTGACAACGTCACTCCAATCATCGAGGTGCTTCAGAATCTTGGCGCACTTGTGTCTAATATCTGCTTCTGCATCCTTGCCTAGTACAAGATACAGAGGCCATTCCCGGCCTGCGGCGCAGCCCTCCCCTTTCACCACATCTATGACAATTTCCATGGCCTTGTCTGGGTCGCCTGGTTGTATGCCAGCAGACTTATAGAAGTCCACACATCCATCAGCACGCTGCTCGTCATAATCTGGGATAGGATTGGAGCAGTCCCACTGATAACTGAGGATGCCCTCGGTGCGGAACCCCCCTGGCTCCACGAGCAATACCCGGATATTGAATGGCTCCAGTTCTGATGCCAATGATTCACTCATCGCTAGCGAAGCCAAGTTGACTCTCCGGAATTTTATTTAGGTCAGAAATTTACTCACTATGTACAGCAGCTTTACTTGCGGCATAAAACCCTGGAATGAAGATGAGTGAGTAATTTGTCGTTTTTACTTTCCAAGACACCGTGGTTTACCAAGGCCCTACGGGTGACAATCATATGAGCTTCACCAAGTCAGACATAGGAAGTTAGAGATATTTACTCCGCGTTCCGGCTTCCATGCACTCCTACTGCCGATGACCACGACTGTACCATTGCGTTCTTAAAAGTGTCTTTCAGCAAGCGAAAACATTGGATTTTTGCTAAAAACACTCACTCTTTCTCATGTGGGGTAATACCGCATTGCAAACATTAACCACCCCGAAAAAGTTTGTTTGAAACTGGCGGAGCATAAGCGAAGCACTGTGATAAACATGAACAATACGCAGAGCGCCCGCAGGTTGGTGTGCATACCCTCCTTCTTCAAGAAGTGCAGGCAACCCGTAGCCTGCATTGTTGACCAAGACATCAATACCATTCCATACACGAGTAGCGTGATCTATTCGCGCTTTTATTTCCTTCGTGCTAGCACTGACATCAAGCTGCATGAGATGAAGGTTTGGGTGCTTGGGGAAATGTTCAATTTTGCTCAGTGTACGAGCCGTTGCGATGACGCGATCCCCTCTTGCAAGTGCAAGGCCCGTAAGACGACGACCAAAACCAGAGGATGTCCCTGTCATCAAATGGGATAGATGTAAGGATTCATTGTGAACAAGAAAGCATACCAGTAATCAACCAGACTTTTTGGCCTAACATGAGGAGGATATAGTACTGCAATGCTGATGGCTATTGGGATATATAACGAGAATGTTCAGGTACTTAGCTACGCTCGTATTTTGATGTGAGAGCCGGTCCGATTATTTCCAAAGGAGACCTGTCAGTCGTTAAACGATGCCTGCCAGGGGCATCATCGGATAAGCCTAAGTCACTTACAGCCTGTACATGTGTCATGCTGTCATTAGAACCAGACAACTTGACAGTGTACTACCATTTGTGTTAACGAGCACGGACATATCTAGAGCCCGTTTGAATCATTCTTTACTGCAGTGGTCAAGTACACCTCGTAATGATGCGGCCGCCAGTTCTGCTGTCGGAACTTTTTTTCGAAGTGTTGCTTTCATAGTTCGCCTTTGCAATTATGGCTTCTCCTGAGCATTGCGCCGAAAACATCATTCCAACCTCGACTGCAAGCGAGTTGTATGCTGGCAGCGACTGACTCTAGTGTTAAGAGTGAACCACCAGCTGATGCTGGCACCATGGCATCCAGTTACTGATCTGTTGGAGCTGGGTAGATAAGAGGCTCCAGTGAGAACGTCAGCGTTGAGCATTCATAGCAAAAAATTGTCCAGCTGTCATTCAGCATTCGTCATTATGACGAATGGTCCGATGTGTGCATAGTCTCGTAGAAATGAAGCGTGATCTATGACCATGTCTCGATGCACGTGGGGCAAAACTCACTTGAAGCTCCAAAAGCCATCGACCTTTCTGTCTTTTTCAGTTATAACCTCTCACGGAACACAAGAGCGCTAACACCTTTATCCAATCCATGGAAGCAATAAACTGCAGCTTTTCGTGTATACGTGACGTGGCGACCACTAACTCGCACACTGCGCGAAAGTTGGACATGACCATTCACGAAGTCTGGGGTAAACACATCTCCATCACCAAAATAGACTCGTGACCAGTCTATCGCCAGTCTATCACCAAAATGGCAACTACTGCGCAAATCATCGCTGTGCCACGTCTTGAAGATCAGTGTGAGTCCCTATAATACACGACTGGGGTGCTGTGATCCACCTCACAAGAAAAAGTGACGACTTGAAGCTTGAAAGGTAACCGATATGAGAGTCTACCCGTCATTAGTGTCAAGGACGTTTCTTCACCAACATCAGGCTGCGAGTAGTGTTCGAATAATTTGCTTTGCCTTGTCCTAAAGCATCCTGAAGAAAATGGAACATGAAAATGCTGACCACAATCCCGTAACATCCGCTAGCGGAGGCTGGTGGGAAGACGTTAGTAGTACTGTGGCTACCGAGTGGCGCGCCAGCAAGGATGTCGAAAAGCATCCGGAAACTCTCCCCGGGCGTTACGAAGTGGCATGTGCCGCCGATGACATGTTCAATGAAAACACATGCGCGGTAGATATAGATGATGGGTGCGCAAACACTGACGGTTGGTCGCACCATGCGTCAACATATGCAGCATACTCCAAATCAAAGGTAAAAAAACTATTCCCCTTTGAAAACGGGTTGTCGTTTTTCCTTGAATGCCTCTAAAGCCTCCAACCGATCTTTCGTGGGTAGAAGAACTTCGTATGACGCTCTCTCCAAATCAAGACCTGTCTCTCGTATGTCAACAACTACAACGATAAATGCAACGCAAAATACCTGATTCCAAAGAGAGGTCAGCTGCACGTGAAATTGCCTGCTTTGCAGCTCGAAGCGCTAATGGGGCTGTTTAATAATATTAAAGATGTTGAGAATGTGGTTGCCTGGGAGTGAGGCTGGGGTGCATACCGCTTTTTGTTATTTCTTGAGCCAATTCGACTGCCCGTTCGAAGGCCGATGTAGAAGGACATGATACATAATCCACTATTCCTATGCTCGCAGCCTCGGTCAGATCACATCGGGATACGATTCAGAAGTTATCTACCCCATTCATGTGCTTCTTGGGCTGTCAGCATCTTGGCTGTGAATATCAGGGCTTTGGCTTTCGATATGCCCAGTAATCTGACAGCACGTTGAGTACCACCTGCTCCAGGTATAATCCCGAGGCGCGTCTCAGGAAGACCTATCTTTGTTACACCATGTCCTTCAATACAGATTAGGTGGACTCCACTTCATGCAGCGACCGAACTCACCAGCCACACGCAAGTCACAGGCAAAACTCAATTCCAACCCTCCTCCCAATGCCGGACCATCGATTGCAGCAATTGTTGGCATAGGCAAGGTTTCCAATTGACCAAATGCAGCACGCAAGTCAGAAAGGAATTTCGCGACTTGAATTTGAGACATAGTACGTCTCTCTGCAAGGTCGGCGCCTGCGCAGAAGGAACCCATTGTATTGGAACGTATTATCAGCGCTCGGATGCTGCATCAAGCTATTCAGTATAGTCCACTGTTACTAGACAACATGAAATATGAACCTCTTGTCGTACTTGGCGGTTTCTAAACATTCGCGAAATTCCTAACGAACGAATTCAGCGTGTATGACGGTATCGGAGTTGGATGGCCTATTACATGAAGCAATTTCATTGAAATAGCATTCTTTGCCTGTGGTCGGTTGAGAGACAGACATGTTATACCGAGGTGAGACTGGAGAGGTTCGAGGAAAGCTTCGGGCACATGTGTTGAGAAGAGCCTGCGCGATTGTCGCGACAGCCCTATACTCATTACTCTCCCAGCATATAGCATGTTTGTTCCAAGTGTAGGCGAGACCTTCAATCGGTTTACCAATTCGATACGGAACCTGGCCATGGATAGTCACGAGTCTAACAAGTATTATACTTAGTGACACCTGCCATTTTCCCCACACGTATTTCGAGGTCCGCGAAACGACTACCGCTTAGATGCGTATCTTGTCATATTGGATGTGCTACTAGAGACCTCCATCATGCAAAACAAAAAGCGTTGGAATTAAATTATAGACGATCATGTCCATGAAATTTCCATGAACTTTGAATTCAAGTAAAGTAGTCATTCAATTTATAATTACATAAAAAGAGTCAATCAAATCGACATCGTGGTCCAAAAAAATGTGCAATCGTTGAAAGTGGTCTGACATCCAACACTAGGCAGCCCTATGAAAATCCAAGGTATATGTGCAGCTGCAAGTGTGTACATAAATAAAATAATGAAATACGAATCAAACATGCACTGCAGTGATCTTGAACGATAACATGAAGAGTGTCACAATGCACACGCATCAAGTATATGATGTTTGGTATGATTTCACATGGCGTGCCCGCTCGAAGCGCCCGTAGAGGAACCGTAGAAGGAATCGATAGAGTGGGGGTGATCCGGAGAGTGGTACGCAGTAGGAGGGGGAACAAGCGTGCGACTTCGTTGAACAGGTGACCGCAAGGTAGCTGGTAATCCTGATCCATCGTTGTCGAAGGGGTTTGGCATCTCTCCATAAGATTCATCAATCCCTCCATAAGGATCCTGTGCCCCATAAGGTTCCGTCGGGGGATATGCTATACCATACTCATCAGGAGTGTACACCTCTTGCGAATAGTAGCCTTGGTTTTCATAATCTTCGCTACCGTTAGCTGCCTGCCCGTGGTATACGTCCCGCTGCGAATAAAAGTGTGCGGCAGGCGGTACAGTAACTTCCATGGAGTTGCCGAAGTGATCCATGTCTTGAGATTCCTCAGCATCTCCAACAATGAAATTCTGACTCTGAGAGGGCTCTACAGAGGGTTCTAGCTTCTTTTCCAGATACTCCATGTCATCCTCATACGAGCGAGAGACACGGTGTCTTGCAATCATCATTCCAACACCAATAATTCCAGCAACTCCAAGCAGGCCAACAATAGTAAATGTTCCAGCGACTGCTCCTGTATTTGAGAAGAATCTAGATAAAAATATCAGCTGCTGATTGGCGATGAGTAACATGAGGTCTCACCCAGAATTGGAAGAGGACGTGCTCGAAGGAGTGGATGAATCTGTCGTTCCAGTTGCGAAGCTGGTAAATGCACCTGTATATCCTGACTCGGACGTGAGTCCTAGGGGTTGTGCAGCTTGCGTTGTTGCAACAACAACAGGTGCTGCGGACGTAAGCGTGGACTTGGATGTGGATAAGGACGCGGAAGGTTGGGCGGAAGATGTAGAAGAGGAATGCGGTTGAGAGGAAGACTGAGAAGAGGTCGATTGTCTGCAATGGGACGTAAGTCTGCTGTAGACGAAAATAATAATAATACTAACGAATCAGGAGTCTCATTGCTTGTGGTAGGGATAGCGGCATTGGTGACACTGGTCGACGTAGGGATGGATGTAGGAGTAGAGCTAGAGGAACTTGAGGTTTTGGCGAATGGATCTGGTGGCAGAGTTGGCGGGGAAGGACTAAGTGTAGGTGGTGAAGGTAGAGCGGACACAGCGGCGGGAAGCGAGGTAGTCGCAGCACTGAGCATGGATGACAGGGCGCTGGTAATACTACTAGTAGGCAACACGATCTGAGTTGTTAATGTTGAATCTCTGGCAATCATATCTAACGGTGCTCGTCTGCGCCAGGCATGATGGGCTCGGAAACCATGAACATTGGCTGACTCTGCGAGAGTGGCGGTAAATGAGAGTACGAACAAGATTGTAGTGAAAAGGAATGTCAATATGCGAGCGTGCTCTGGATGGGAGCAACGCATCGTATGGTGTTAAAGAAAGAAGAAGAACGAAAGACGCGCCCTTTCAACGCTGTGCGTTGTTAGTTAGCCTGAAAAACGAAAAGAAACAAAATATTAACTGATCGTGATGGTTGGCATTGTCCGCTGCTGCAATCTGTTAATAGCACTACTAGCGCTCAACTTTACCCGTCTAATTTGGTAATTCATTAATAATCCAGTTCCGACTTCCGTGGTGTTCTCCGCTGTAAATCACCGTTACACCAAGTATAAAACATGGCAACGAAACGGCGATATTATATTGTACAAATCCTGTCCTCCATCACATCACCAAACGGTGCACCAAGTATAAAAAAAATGGCAACGAAAAAAGACATTGCGATATCATTAGGATCATTGGGTAACACTCCTTCCTTCATAACCTAAGCTCGTCTTCGCAAATGCTCGACTGAGGTCCTTCAATGACCCACTGCTCACTTGAACACAGAATTGCTGCAGTCGCCCATCTTGAATCATCTCAACGATTTCTTGCGGGGAGAGTCTGCGATTGCAACGTTTCTGCAGTTTACCGGTAACGACTTCCTTAGCCTTGACGAAAATTAGAGTCAACAACCCTGGTACAGGTTCCTCAGACTTACTTTATCACCCAAAGTGGGCCAGACCTCGAAAAGGTCCTTTACATTCCATTTGTGGGCGCCAATATAATACCAAACTCCCTGTTATACATGACCAGATAAGATGATCAGAACTTGATTCTGATTGGCAGCTTACCCTTTTCACAGGAAAGGTAAACGTATGGAGAACACGGTCTCTTGGACGGTTCTTGACAATGTACGCATGGACTGTCTCGTTGGCGTCTGGGGTGCCCCAGTTCATCAAGAAAGATTCTCCTGGTCCGTCCATCGAAAACGGATCATGGACAAATGCCATGTTGTCGACAATCTGTAAAGGGAAACAATGTTCATCCGCCTGTCCAAGGCTGATTATCGGCTCAACATGGGTGCACTGCTTGTAAGAAAACTAGGCACCTTTCTAGAGAATATATCTGTCTAAACATTAGATTATACAAATGATATGCACGGACTACTGACCGTATCTTCACCTAGGTTTAGCTGGTCCTGAAAAAATTGCATGTCGACAGGACAAATGACTTCCGCACACCGGGGGCTGCGAGATGAAGACAGCTTCCAAACATCGTCGACACCGCCAGAAGACCTTTTCGCGGCATGTACGGACAAATCCACAGAAGGCTCGGACGAGCTGTTGGATTCAGATGATCTCTGCTGATTACTGAGATTAGACACAACTCCGCTTCCTCTTGTCCTTGACGCGCGAGAACATGAAGTTGAGGTTGGAGATGAAATAGGCACAGTCATCGAGGTTCTGGGCGCACTACGTTCCTTTCCCTTAGATATCGGGCGCGCAGTATCGCCAGAACCAGAGCTGTTAGAGGACGTGTCATTTCTGCGGCTTTGGCCAGGGGACGAGGAGGCACTAATGTCCTTGTATTGTGGCTGGGGCTCTGCCTGCAACAGCAGTGAAGCGGCTTCATTTGGGCTATCTCCAAAATCGGGCTGAAGTAAGAACTTTGATCTCAGGGATGGAATTCGGCAAAGAAGGTAGATGCGTTACCGGCAAGTCTACAAAGAGATCGCGCATTACACGCCGTACATGTCGCAATTTACGATATGCGGCGTCTCTGCCCTCGATCGCGCTGCTTACATCGGGCTTGCTGAGCTCGAGCAGACGTTTCAATTCCTCGTTATGAGCTCTGAAGGTGTTGTTCTCCGTGATAACATCATGATGTCTGGCTTCCCATTCCGTAGCTCGAATTTCATGCGCTCTAGATTTGTCCACTGAGTCGATAACTATTTGGTTGTACTCATTGCCTATACGGCGGAGCGAATCTGTGATCTGCATCCACTGGCTGCATTGTGAGTGACCGTGTTGATATTGTAGAAAAAAGCTACAGACCTCTTCATGAACTCCGCGTACTCTGGATAGCGGGGAATGCGCCCGCGGTTCGTTGGTCATGAGTGTTATGAAGTAAAAGCACTAGCCGGCTGGTGACCAGCATGCCTGCGTGTTGACGTTCCCGACAAATGGTAAATGGAACCCTTGAGTACGTGACTATTCAACAGAAAAGGTTTCGGCATGAATACCACTTTCTATTACTGCGCCGCCATCAGCGGCCGCCCAGATCTATAAAAACTTGTCCCAGCTCGTGTTTGGCAACTCACCGGCCTTATCGACCGATGAATCCAGTGAAGCCAGGTCAGTACGTTATGACTCAACTGCTCAAGAGCGTCACGAGGATGGCAAACATAAGGCATCCGATTGTTGATGTGCACACCCATGTTTACTTGCCCCAGTACGCAGCTGAGCTTCGTGCAAGAACTTCTGCTCCCCGTATCTTGAACTGGACAAATGGAGTCAAGACTGAAGAAAGATTGTTGATTTTGAATGGAGAGCCAAGTGGTGGTCGTCCAGTTGGTCCTCAGGTATGTCTACTATTTCAAATTGAGTGCAAGCACATTCGCTCAGACCATACCAGTACTGGGATCGGGATGAGAAGCTTGAATTCATGCGGAAGCATGGTATAAACATCTCATTCGTGAGGTTCGTTCGTTCGCTTCCCCGGATAGTACGGAGTAACTGACCATTCTCGTCGGCAGTTCAGCCAATCCATGGCTCGATTTTTTGCCAGCGGATCGCGCTCAGACGCTAGCTCACGAACTAAACAATGACCTTGAAGAGTATTGCGCAACTTCTCCCCCTGCCGAGGGGTTCTCTGGTCTCAAGACACTCTATGGCTTCGGCCTTCTCCCTCTCGTCCCGGATGTAGAAGTGTCTACCATCATTCAAACTATAGAACATATTAAATCACTCCCTCACATCCGAGGCATCATCATGGGAACTAAAGGTATTGGGAAGGGTCTCGATGACAATGCGTTGGACCCAGTTTGGGACGCTATTCAGGCAGCGAGGCTCGTTGTCTTCATACACCCACATTATGGCGTTGACAGTACATCATTTGGAGAGAATGATAATGGACATGTGTTGCCACTGGCCTTGGGCTTTCCTTTCGAGACAACCATTGTGGGTGTTATTTTGCGACTGATGATTGAGAATGAGTTTTTACGTCGATGTTTAGGCCATCACGCGCCTCATTCTGTCAGGCGTTTTGGATCGTTTCCCAGACCTCCGTTTACTCTTAGCTCATTCTGGGGGAGCCTTGCCTCAGCTGTCATCTCGACTGGCCTCGTGCATCCAACATGATCCTATCGTTGCGAATAGGTTGAAACATGATTTAAGATATTACCTCGGCCAACTCTATTTCGACGCTGTTGCATACGGGCCCGAAGAGTTGACTTTCGTCAGCCGATCCATTTCTCGTGCATCCAAGTTCAAGAATGGTGGGGAGGTTGTTGATCCTCTAGTAGGAAGCACCAGATTATTGTTTGGTACTGATCATCCATTCTTCCCGCCACTTGAAGCGAGCCAAAAGTGGCCAAGCGTAGAAAGCAATCTGGCAGCCATCCGGAAAATGGCTGGTGCAGATTCTAAACCAGAATATCAAGCCAACATCCTGGGTTTGAATGCGCTTCGACTTTTCGATCTCCATGATCAAGTATACACATAATGTATAATCAATGTCTGTTAATGAGGTATCTGGATCTTCAAGCTGAAATCTATGTGTTGGACGGACTGATGAACAACACTTGTGCTGAGGATGTCGATATCTATCACGGCATGGCTTATGGTAAATAAAGATCATCAAGAAGCAAACGTGCACTAACCGTTGATTGCACGTTCTTGCAGGTTAGCCTCGGTGATGTTACCGCTCGTCTCGAAGAGGAACTTCCGTTTCCCAACCCACTTCTCCTTGAGCTTTCGAGCGACACTTACGAGATGTTCCCCTTCCATATTATCCAGCATGATGATATCAGCGCCTGCTTCGATTGCCTCATCTGCTTCAGCTTCTGAACTAACTTCCACATCAAGCAACAAGCTAAAGCCGCCCACCGCGCGAGCCTGATGGATTGCAGCGGTGATCGATCCTTGGAGTGATATCAGCTGGTCTTTAATTAAGTCCTTACGTAGACTGAGGCGCACCAGATGACCATATATGATTGTCCTTGAGCATGATCATACTCGAAAGATCATGGCGGTGAGGGTCAATACCCCCCACAATCATTCCATACTTTTCGACCAACCGAAACCCTGGTGATTGTGAGCGAATCAAGCTGCTTGAAGGGGCAGCTTACCGGGAGTTGTTTTCCTGGTCCCAGCAATAATACCCTCGTAACCATAGCTTACTGCAAGATCTTTGATGCGTTTAGATCTTCCCAGGAAGACGCAGACGTAAACGTAAACATGATAGGTATTAGGTACGGTCAGAGTAATCGCGCAGCTTACTTCGTTGCAATGCCGCTGCACCTCGCAAGCATGTTCAAGGCGATACGCTCGCCAAGTAGAAGGTGCCTTGCTTTGCCTCGAACAGTAGCGATATGTTTGATGGGCTCAAAAGTCTCGCCCTCCTGCAAGTGCCATTCAACCCTGCAGGTCCCATCAAATCACAGCAAATTGATGTCGTTAACATGAGAACATACTCGCATCCAAGCTGTGCGAAGACTTCAGTGAAGAAGGGCCGTCCGGCCAAGACCGCTGTTTGTTTGCCTTTTCCAAAAAGAAATGCTTCGCGGTGGACCTCACCCACGACATAACCGCCGTAGTCAAATGACGGCGTGTCCTCTGCAAGCCAGCCCGTGACTTGAGTCTTCCAGCTGGGAGGAAGTAGATGTTCGTAAGAGTTGTTAGACATTGTTGGAGCTCAGGAGGCGAGGTGAGAAAAAGAGGAACGCCGTCTTCGGACTTCTTCAATGTCTGAAACGGGAGACTACTAACCCCACCCGGTCAGTGGTGAGAAAGCTATCACTGAATACGATTATCGACAAATCTCGAGAGCAAGACGAGAAGCATGTACGATACAGTAATGAAGAATGAATTGCTGCAACGAGGTGGAAGGGTATCAGGGAAGATTGTTCATATCGCAGCAACCATAAACCCAAGAAAACCACTACACGATGAGAAAATACCAAAGTGTCTAATGATAGTCTGTCTTTACGCAAATGTTCAGAAATGAGTGGTGATGAAGGCAACGAAGGCTGCAACGCCGGTCAGGAGACCTGTCTCCACTTTCATTCCAAGGAGAGCTGCGCTACTACTAGTGGGGGTAGTGCTGGTATCTGAACTGGTGGTAGACGCTGCCACAGCAGTAGTCGGAACTGTGCCAGTGGTGCCGGAGCTATGAAGAAATGGTTAGAGACAATAACTAGATATATAATAAAACTTACAAAAGAGAAGTAGCAGTAGAAGAAGTTTTTGTGGTAGAACCCGTTGTTGAGGAAGTCGACGTCGAGTTGATGTCGAACTGGTTGGACTGAGCAAGCAGGGTGTCGAGATGTTGAGCATCTGCAGCAAGGTTGACACGGAAGCCAGCGCCCGTTGGCCAGCCTCCACTTGGAGCGTTGCAGACGATTGAGCTCTGAGTCCCGTCAACAAGTGCGTTGAGAACCTGAGGGTTCATAACACCGTAGTTCTGAGCAAAGAGGATTAGAATTTTTCGGTAGAGCGCATGCCAATACACATGCCACGTTGGTCAACACCGCCGTGAAGTTCAATGGGTCGGTGTCAACGCGCTCCCACGTCAGGACGTTGGGTCCAGCAGTTGTCCAACCTTCACTATCACCTGGAGAGGTGACCTCGTAGGCAAAAGCCGATGCTATGGACGCCAAAAGGATAGCGACAGAGGAGCGCATGCTTGCAGAAGCAGTGAGCAGGTGATGGTGGGGGTTGAAAAAAAGGGCTGACTTCTTTTTTGAAAGGTAACGAACGTAGTCAAAGGGCAATTAAAAAGTCTCGCCTAGTCTCGCCTCTAAATTTGATACCGACCCGAATAGGATATCCTGTGTTGAAATTCCCACGTCGCATTAAATTTGGTTGGATAGATCGCCAAGACCGCATGCGTGTTGATGTTGACAATGGCCATCAAGCTCAAGGAGTTTTCAGCCCGTGCATTAGCAAACAGCATGATCCAGTGATCAAAGACATCGATGATAGGGGGTTCAAACGTTTCATTGTATGATAAACGCGAGAGATAATTCTAGGCTTCCTTGTTCGGGCTCCCGAGGCAGAAAATAGGCCTAACGCCCGGGCTTCGTCCATGCACGAGCACCGGTGAGTACAATGCGCAGAGAACGCCCGACACTATCGGAATGAAGTACCGGTCGTTCATTACTTCGCGCGTCAAACACAATTACAATCATGTTTGCGACCTGAAACTGAAAGCGAGAGTCCACAAATAACGAGGTTCCCGTCTTGCCGTGCACACGAGCTCAAGCAGCAGTCCGCTTAGCACGGATAATTGCCATTGAATTAGCTCTAAGGCAGTCAGTAATATAGCATTGTGACATTAAGTACTCGCCAATAACGTCTCCGCGTCCCGCCAAAGATCACGTTGTCCCCATATGCCAGAGATGGCAGTGAAAATTATCCAACACGATGTTTCAGACATGGCAATCTTAGATGACATGTTATCAGGCACTCCAGGTTCCTCGGCTTTCTGTCGCCGAACAAGTAGCTCCAAACAAGCGCGGGCTAGGCTCCTAAGTTGACTCATGTCATCTGCTGAGATAAAGTCTTCCACTTTAGCCAACAACGCAAACATCCAACGTGCATGACTCTCGAGGATCGTAAAGGTTGGTTCAGTGGGATGTTGCAGGTGGATGTTCATCCAGTGTGCGAAGTACATGAGAAGGTGAAGGGACAAATTCTGCACTCAATTTAGCTGGAAACGCTTGTAACAAGGCGTTGTCATACGCACATGATCTATTTTTCGCAGCAATGAAGGGGTGATCTCACGAGAGCTACAAAGCTGTTCCGGGCCTGGAAGAGTCGATAGGGGACTCGTGTTTCTGAATTCTGTCTCCGCTGGCGACATGGATAATCCAAAAGCATTTGAATGTGTCTGAACTGCGGATGATGGCGTATCTGCTAGGTTATCCTCCGCGAGTTCAACGTCACCCTCTGAATTGATACGCCAAGTCTCGTGAATTTCGTAGCAATTTTTCTGGTCATTGGTGCCATATTCCACCTCTAACTCGTCGCAAAATGCTGACACACGACCGGAGGATCTATTTTTCTTCGGCATTTTCTTTGTTTTTTTGGGTGGGTTCCAGTCCGACTCCGGTGAACCGGCAAGAAATGTCCACCACAAGTCTCTTTCTTTCTTATCTGGCATAGCCTTCCGTGACCCATGAGGGTCGATATGCACGTGGATGGTTGGTTGAGCGATATTCTGGAAGTCAAAGTTTATTACTCATTGAGGCACACAAGCCTGACAGCACCCAGTTACCTTCCTGAGATTTCGAAAGTGTGTTAAGAAAGTAGAGCGCCAAAGTTCCGAGGGAAGGTTGCTGTGTGAGCTCTCGGGTTGCACGAAATCAAGCGGCGGGACAGGTTCAGGCAGTTCATACGGGTTAGTGACCCTCGTGACGTGCGGTAGCCGTCGTGCATCACGTCTGTAGAAGTGTTAACAAAGAACCAAACGCAATCATGTCAACTTACCTGACCGTGAACAGATACTCCAGTCCATCTTCTGGCTCGCGATCAAAGTTCATAGGTAGATTGGCCACGGGTAATATTTGTTTTCCAAAAGATGGTTCATCGTCGTCTGAATCATATTCTGCATCTTCCCATTTGCGTTTGAGACCCATGGAGATCATTTCAGCCTTGCGTATGGCGAGTGAGTGGCCAGCTTCAAGTTAAGAAGATATTTGGTATGACAAGTTGATGGTCCTGGACCGCGGGAAATGATACCAAACTCCAAAAAATTGCATACAGGGGTGCTTCTAGTCTCTCTGCATGCCTCAAACCTACGATTCCATACATTTCACTGTTTATCTCTTGCAGGATGTCTATGACAGAAACGATGGACCCGATAGCTGACGATGACATTGACACAGAAACCTTGCAGGCCCAAATCAACATGTCCATGTTATTTGCAGAAGATCTAGTCTCATCGTGGATAAAGCCTATACATAAAGCTAATCTCAGCAAAAGCACAGTAAACGCCCAAACGTTACTCGACGAGCAACTACGTAGGCCTCCTAGGTGCGTTATAGTATACATGACGGTCGTGGTTTCTACGATTGACATCATATCGCCGGTCAGACTGGGTGTTGGTGCTCCGATACCGGAATCTTCTACAACAGCTCGTGATGCCGCGCGCCTAAAGCATCACTTGATAGGGAAAGGAGTTAAACGTGCCACTAAAGATGACACTACGTTCCAGACGGAACATCATTCAGAAGACGAGGAAACAAGGGGAGGGATGGTTAGAAAGAAAATGAAACTTGATCCGTTCGCGGTAAGATCAAAGACGAAAGCGAAAATGAGTGGAAACTCTGTCACGCAATCAACCCATAAGCCGAGCTCCCCGCATCAGCAGGCGGATGGTGAGGATGACAAGACCGGGGGTGATGATTTGGAACAAGGACACAACGTTGCTTTCATATCGTCTTCGCTTGAAGCGAGTAACATTAACTCGGATTCGTCTGCGAAGAAGAGGGGGAAGAACCCAAGTAAAAACTCTGCTATTGGCAGCGAACGAAGCACGGGCTTCCAGGAGCAGGCGATCCCCCATCTACAATCTATCACTACCCCAGATCGATCCGGCAATCAGAGTCTCTCTGTTAATTCACCTCCTGTCGGCAGCGAATTGTCTTCCGTTTCATTTTCGACGTCCGGTCCATTTTCCATGGCTGCTTCACAAACCGGTGAGTCATTGTTCTGCCGTTTCAATACAGGAACGTAAACAACAGCACAGAGTTGAAACGGGATGGCAAATTGAATACTCCGGATACATCGACTCGATATCCTCTACCACTTCGGCATACGTCTCAACATCTAGAAGCTCTGCGTCTAACTGTTCCGCTGCTGAACCTCCACGGTCCGCCGGACCGAGGCGATGGATCCGGTAAGGATGACAACCCGGATAGTTCCAAGAGGAAGCGCAAAAGGCGCAAAAAGAAAAGGCATACTCTTCAAAGTTGAGGCGGACAGTTAAAATCTCGCTTATACACTTCGTAATTGTCCTCGCAGATCTATATCTCACATCCACGAGTATTTTTCATTTACTGGAGCTAAGGACCCGGTCCGAGACTGTCATGTACCTGGCGATTTATTGCATATCATTGAAATGTAGTCCCCTTCCCTCACATTGTCTTTCCGAGTTGACCGTCATTGAGTCTTATCATATACAGAGAGGCGAGTATAAGTTACATAACTTCCGTGATAAATAAGTCCCTGCAGGTGGAGTGTTCAAATACATAATTATGATAATAGATAGTACCTCAACATGTCAGAATTAGTAGCGTGATCATTTTTTGGAAGACCTAATTCGCGCGACATCTCGTTTAGAATTATATGAAGGTTGTCGTGAACTTTGTCGTGTAGGTTGTCGGCTGATTGGAGCTCTCACAAGGACCGCTTGTCGGTTGCTGTAGCTCCTGTGAGAACTATGTGAGCCTCGAGCCAGTCGGTCGGTTCGTCTTGTCTTTGTGCTCCCAAAGCTGAACCTTGAGAACAGTCCCGGCTTTGCCGGAACATTCTTGGCTCTCTTCTGCTGTCGCTTGTATTCCCGCATGGCTTTAGCTTCGCGCATTTCGCGCATACCTTCTCGTCGAAGGTGTTCATTTCCACTAAATGTGGCGCGCCATTTGACTAGCCATCCATGGAAGGTGGAAGCCTTAGGCCTACTCCGGCGACGACCGTCGGAGTGGTAGTGCTTTACTGGTCATTAGTAAATTCACAGACAAGAACTTTAGGACCAACTCACTGATGATTTCCACACAACCTCGAATGTCATCGCAACGAGATATTAGTAGAGTACTGATAGTGACACGAGGGAAAGATTGATAAGAGCGAGATGTGTTCTAGATGCTGAGCATGCTTTAATAACTATATGTGAGTCAGTAATTGGCCGCCTGGCAGGAGCTGGCAGGCTGGCGGCCTTAGTAAATTCCAAAAACACGCCATTCGGCCATGGCCGGGTGGCCGCCGGAACGTGATATCAGCACTCCTCAGGCATGTTCCTGGACAGGTGCCACGGTAACCACGCCGTGTCGCCGCCACGGTCGACGCCAGCCAGCATCAAAATTTAGTGTTCATGTTACAGGGTGCTGAAGCAAACGCCTTCCGTCCTTGGATCACGTGGCACCCCTGGGGCAATCAATTCGGTTTTCAGCACCATAAGCGCGCCAATAAAGTGAAGTAACACCGTAACCAATGGTCTTGCAACGGTCCGTGATGTTATCCGTTCTTGCTGTATCGGACGGGTGCGGCAACAGGGGCCAAACACAAGTGGGCCAATGTTTTCAAGTTTGACCACAATCTTCGCAAAGGTTGCGGCTTTAGGTACGTCCAGTTCCCGGTCCTTATCAATTTTTTATTGTATGTTCCGCTCTTCACGCCTTCTATCAACACAATTCGCTCCAATATTCGCAAGGCCGCAAACTTTGGCATGTTTCGCATATTATTACCAGTACGGCAAGCACTCACGATGATCATAGAGACTCGGGTGTGAAATATTCGATGACGTTGTTCGAAGATAGCCTTTTTGCATGCTGTGATGCACCGACACGTACGGTCCCGCTGAGATGACCTGCCACCTGTCAGCTTGTGGTGGGCTTGAGCGATTCGGGTGACTGGAATACCCGGATGCTCACGGATTTACTCGCGTATCACCGTCACACTTGCCTTATTCGGATAATTACTTCTACAGCTTGCGAACAAGGACGGAGGGAATAGCACAGGATTACTCTGGAGGGTGCCCCCGGACATCACGTAAGCCACATCCGTCTCGTTAATAGTGATCTCAAAAAATGTAGTTTATTTTCAGCGTCATGGCTTGTGGTGGCGGTGAACGCGCTTTTCATAACTGTTGTCAAATTGACTTTTACGTTACACTGCTTTCATGTCTCTTTCGTGTCCCGCTCGAAATTGGCTGTGATGAACCCGTTTACCACACCGCCATCTTTCTAGCTCACAGAACACTGAGCCATGGTGACCAAAAACACGGCTACTCCATCCTCTCCGAGCCGTGTTCGGAAGGCAGAATACTCCATGTACGAGGAGGTACAAAACCAACGACGACTCTGAGCAGGACCTTAGACATTCTCGCAGATTTTACAAGACAAATCAACTAGACAACATGGGCTGGAAGAACGTCGACACAATCATTGAGGGCAAGTTGTATCTTGGAAAGTAAGCATTCCACGGTTTCCGGACTGTTGTATAGTCCAGACTCTTATTTTGTGGTTTCTTCATCCAGTATCAATGCAGCAAGATCACCGCGGTCGTTATCGGAGCGCAATATTTCTCACATCGTCTCCGTTTGCAACGACCCCATCCCTTCCGAGCTGCCCGAAAGTGGAATTACCTTTCTCCGAATTCCTGTAGAGGATGTCGATACCGCTGATCTCCTGATACATATGCCTGCTGTATGTCAGTTCATTGACCGAGCCCTACAAGCCCGAGGAGTGGTATTGGTACACTGCGTACAGGGTTTATCTCGCAGCGCAGCAGTAGTCGCGGCATACCGTCAGTTGTCTTCCTGCTCAGCTTAGCGGTGGTCTGACTGAATGTCTCTCCTAGTTATGTACACGAAACGCATAAACGCGACGCGTGCCATGGACGAAGTTAGAAAAGGTCGGCTCCACTATATTTTTCGGCGAGTATGCTGAGACTCACTGGCATAAATTAGCCCGCGAACAAGTGTGGTTCAACGCTGGTTTTCAAGAGCAGTTGGTTCTTTTTGAGCTCTGCAGATATGCGCCCAGCCCCTCCTGTGGAATTTACCTCTCGTGGCGGCAGAGGGTCAACAACGCCCTAAAGGGCACTTAAGAAACCGGGTTGTCGCTCAATTGAGATGGCGGCACACCTGGAAAAGTAAGCTAATTTCCAAAGCCACTCAATTGCATACCTTCCTAGTTCGATCATTAGACACTCCAATTGTACTTCTACAGAACACAGTGAATCGTTCATAGTGGATCGTTTATCTTGCTGTATAACAAGTTTTTTTGTATCTTTTCCTACAACATCATCATGTTTTCCGTGTAGCTTGGCTTTACTCTGTATTATGTTTTTTCATCGCTCTCGCACTGCGTTATATGTTACCTTGCTGTTTACTATGATGTCCAGACCTGCCACGATGACCGACAAATCCGACCTCAGTAAGATCGACTTTGTCATATAGCCGTTAGTACTAGATCTTAATCTGAGGCTGTGATCAAAGCTAATCTCATCATGAATCTATGGATATATAAGTCGGTCCAGTTGGCAGTCGGTCCTCTCGACCTGCGATTGCTTATGCACGTATCAAATGGCTTGGACCAATACCAAGTGGCACCCCGACTTGGACCCCGAAGATCCTCAACTACATTAAAAATCTCTGGAGTTTGACACATTTTTAACATGTTATCGACTTGGGGTCGATTTTGGGGTGTCAAAAACTCGTCATAAATTCATATATCAGTATTTGATCCCAGGTGTCATAACGGCGACGGCAATATCGCCATCCCAATACAACTCCCTTATTAGTTCTCTCTTTAAAGTATATACTAAAAACTATATCAAAATGCAAAAACATGAGAAAAAGAATTGAAATAAATCCAATGAATGTTAAAGGAATCTGAAAGACAGCTACCCCAATGAAGTCATCATCAAGACTATAGAGCTGTAAACGAGATCATAATCTGACAGTGTCCTGCAGTGCCGCAATCTCTACCTTACCTTGAGTTCGACTCCAGCCTCTGCGCACTTTTTGTTTGTATGTTTTTAAATACTGAGTAAATCCTGTAGTGCGAAAGTTATATGGTTACAGCCCCAGTACAGCCTCTATAGTAGCTCTCAGGCCAGAGCTGTGAGGCAACCAGTAATAGTGTTAATGACTCACACCAGGTATCTCACCGCAGCTGTCGAAATTTGGGAGTCAGGATCTAGGTGAATCGTGTAAGCGCAGCAGTCTACCAGGGACACGTATTGAAAACTATTTCGAACGTGTCGCGAGAATACTCAATAAAAAGCGTCCATGGTGAGACGATTAAATCGCCACAGAAACTCTTCCAAACGTCAACATGGGACTTGTTATTTCTCATATTTTTTCAGGGTTATTCACCCAACAGGAGTCAAGTAAGTGGCAGTCACAAAATCTCAATCAAAACGGGCTGCTTAGCACATCCTACAGGACTACTGATGGTATTGTCCTGAACGAGATGATGTCGAAACTAGTACTCACAGAATCAATAGCTTGGACTCGACAATGCGGGGAAGACAACGATTCTATACAAGCTGAAGCTTGGCGAGGTCGTCACAACCATTCCTACAATAGGTAAATGGGTTAGTGTGACCTAACGGCCTTATTTACCACGTAAATGCAGGATTCAACGTGGAGACGGTTGCATACAAGAAACTCCAGTTTACCGTGTGGGACGTCGGAGGTCAACAAAGAATTCGTCTTCTTTGGCAGTACTGTAGGACATTTACTCTGTGGTCGGCAAATGGTCTCTCATTGATATCCAGACTTTAATAACACAGAGGGCGTAATTTTTGTGGTCGATTCCAGCGATCGCGATCGCATTTCAGAAGCGAAAGAAGAGCTTCGCATGCTGATGAACAATGATCAATTACGGGACTCGCTTTTGCTTGTGTTTGCGAATAAGCAGGACATGCCTGGCGCTATGAGCGCAAGTGAACTCACCGATAAACTAGAGTTGCGGAGGTTCGGACAGAAAACGTGGTACATACAGGTATGCATTCCTCATCCGTATGGCGGCCCTGCGCTGATGTGCGACAGTCTACCTGTGCAACTTCGGGCGACGGGCTGTACGAGGGCCTAGACTGGTTGGCAACCAATCTCAAGAAGCGTCGTTGGTAGATCATCATGATGTTTCTATGTGATTCAGTAGGATGAGACAGTAAATTGGGTTTCGTAGTATATCCACAATATAGTGCAGTGTTAGTTTTGGTCATGGAGAGGGCATTTGTTGTTTGCTGTATGGCCCCTTTAAGCTCAAGATCCACGTCAAGGCTGAGTTAGTTTAATAGTCGACGATGAGGGCAGACGTGGAAGAACCAAGAAGGGACGCCACCGGCGGAGTTCAAAAGGGTTGTTCGCACACGACGACAAACTTGTTCTTAACCTTCAGTTTACAACTCATTAACGTCCTTACACTTCTTAGCTCAACATGGGTCTTTCGGTGTCACGTCTCCTTGCTGGTCTTTTTGGCAAAAAGGAGATGCGTAAGTCCCCTCCATCTATACCATGATCCCCGATATCGACTAGAAACTGACATTGCACCTTCTTCCAGGAATTTTGATGGTCGGAAATTGAGCTTGAGTCACGATGCCCTTTACTAACTTTCATCCAGGTCGGTCTTGACGCCGCTGGTAAGACTACCATCCTGTATAAGCTCAAGCTGGGCGAGATAGTAACTACCATCCCCACCATCGGCAAGCTTGTTTCCATTTCCCTAAGATACAAAATCCTCTAATTCTGCTGCAGGATTCAACGTTGAGACTGTCGAGTATAAAAACATTTCCTTCACTGTGTGGGACGTCGGAGGACAGGACAAGATCCGACCTCTCTGGAGGCACTGTATGCCGTCTTTCCGTCTACGGTCATCACCGAGCTTATTAGATTTCTTTAGATTTCCAGAACACGCAAGGTATCATCTTCGTAGTTGACTCGAACGATCGGGAACGTGTATCGGAGGCTCGTGAGGAACTTCAACGGATGTTGAACGAAGATGAGCTGCGGGATGCTCTCCTCCTCGTTTTCGCAAACAAGCAAGATCTCCCCAACGCCATGAATGCAGCGGAGATCACTGACAAGCTTGGATTACAAGCTCTTAGGCAGAGAACGTGGTATATCCAGGTCCGTCGTTTATCTCCCAAATCACTAGATCCGCTGACAGTAGACGCCATTAGGCTGCATGTGCCACTTCTGGTGATGGACTGTATGAGGGTCTGGAGTGGTTGGCGACCAACATTAAGCGTCGGTCTTAAGCGATATGTGATTTTCTGTCGTGTTTGGATCTTGCACGCGTTGTCTCCCGATCCTTACGATATCGAAAATTATGCGCCCGCCTGATATTTCTTTACTCTCTGCCTTCGCTTACACTCCCTCTTGAATTACCCGTTTTCTCTTTTATGTGTCCTGTAAATTTTGAGCCTTAGAGGCTGGTATTGACTGCTCTCAAAACGGATCAAAATGTGGTGCACATTGCAAGGCTCGACATGAAAGGGTATACAACATTCGTCATCGGTTTTCTCCAGGAAATACCCGCCCAACAGCATCTGCTTCCTTCCTCCGTCTCTCCCCCCTTTCTCGTGATTGGGCGTCACGCCGACTCGACCCGTACCTGGCTAGTTTCTCAAGGAGTGTCTGGAGTCTTTTGGGTCGGACAGCTAAATACGCCGTCTGCCGGACCTGCGGTATTAGATAGTCTTGCACGGCGTCCTTCAATATCACTGACGCCATCTACAGTATTTATAGTGTTAGCCCAGCCTGAAAGGAGGGTGGGTAGGTTTTTACCGAGTGAAGTTCAGCGAAAACCGAGCTGAGATGACCTCGGCCAATCCGGGTTAATTCCCCTTCTAGGAACTCTATATCCACCAAAATATTTGAAATGGCGTTCTCGTTCATCGCTGGGACGTCAGACCCAACCATGAAGTTCTGGTTGCGATAAGCCATGAGCGCTCCGCATAGTGAAACGAAACCACCTACGCACCATCAAGCACTCGGCGATATATCCAACTGCTCCTCGGTATGCCTCGTCCTTGTATACCTCCTTGATGACGAGAGAGTCCACAATTGTCGTGAGCCAGTTGATAAGTTCATATAAGTACATGCTGGGTGTGTCCTCGCGGGATTGCGGCGTCCAATCGTACTCTGCCAAATCAAAGAAGTCATCTAGCTTGGAGGTGATAAGACCCGTCACGCGATTAAGGGCGCGGGTGATGGTGTTGGCGAAAGAAGAGGAAGAAGACAGCCGGATAGCACCACCTCGCTGCGTCGATCTGGTGGAAGGGGTTTGAGGATTATAGATGACTTATCACGAACATCTTACCGGAGACTCGTTAGTGAACGTTCCAGTTCCGAACATGCAACCTCAAAATGCTCGAGATTTGAAACAATCTGAACAACTTGACTAAGCGTTGACGTGCTACTTAAGCACTTGGAGATACTGTTGCTGATATGGTGTGCAAGCAGCTTGTCTAGCGACTGTCCGATCAAGTTTGATTAGGTTGACATTATGATCTACGATATGCTCACCTTGTTCAATAGTTCGTCAATATTGCCATGATGTTGTGATACTCCATCAACAAAGTGATAAAACTTTTGTATAAAGTTTCGGATCTGCAGGTATATATTTACAAATGAGCTCAACAATGGAGTGGCAACAATAACACATTACATCTTGGCAGCACAGGAAAAAACCTTGAGACCATGGTAGACTGAGAGGGAGATCGCTCCTACGGAGCCCTTGAGCTGCTTATTGCCAGAAGGATGTGATGACATACTTGAAAAGAGCGTCTTGTTCTGACGGGTCCAACCATACGACTGCAAGCACAGAATCTCTTTCTGACGGTATAGTAACTTGCATTGGGAGATGGTCGTCTTGGAGGAAAATCTGGATTGTAAATCTTGAGCGTGATTGACGAAAGAAAAAACTGGCATAACATACACCATCGAACCTACGACTGAACTGGTCTTCAAGAAGGCCGGCATATCTCTCGAACAGCGTAAGGATGAGTGAATGCAGTGACTGGGTGGCATACGAGTAGGACTAGCAAGGCGGTCATCCTTTTGAAGTTTTGTAAATAATATCAGATACATACCTCTAGTGTCGTGACGAATCCAATGAGACACTCTTTTACCCTCAAAAAAGAATCTGGGTCAGTCTCGTTTGCCAAAGACGCGTTAACAGCTGAAGAAAGGCGTGCAACTAGCGCTTCCCATAACTCCTCGACCTCCCTCTCAGAACGGAAGTTGCCAGTTGTCTCAAGAACATGTGATTCTATGATAAAAAATCCGCATATTTCTTGAGTTAGGCTAACTAGGGAGGCGAGCGGAAGCGGATCCGGTAAAATAAGGTCTGATTGCGCCTGGAAATATATTGAGTCAGCGAGAAGAAAAAGCAGAGCACTGCCGCACTTTACGATCTGCTTGATAAGATCTTCGCAGGTCATCAATCGAATCCAACGTCGTGTAGGTATGTATGCATTGGTAAAGAGGCGTGAAATCAACCTTCAATTTCTCGCTGTCGAGAACATTGACTAACAGCAAGATATTAATCGACCAATTAAATTTGGGGAAATTATATAACTCACTATCGGACCGCTCTTGGATCACCATTTCCACTGCGCTTCCAACACGGCTCAACCTCAGCATAGGATCTTTCTCCCGACGTGATCTCCACTTGCGCGTCCGATAGTCCATTGCTTCCAATGCCAATTTGCCAACTAGCCCACTGACATTCCGAATCTCCAGCAACCATTGCTTCATAGAGGCCGTAACCGCATTCTGTATTTGAATCCGCAGCGAAGGCAGAGAGGACAGGAGATGTTGGTAGAATGGCGTCTGAGACAGTGAATTCGAAGGCATACTCTGTATGTCTTCCAATGACTATTGGGTGGTTTCAGTCACTTCAAGAGCTACAGTGGTGGCGTTACATACCCGCAGGGCACTCCAATACTTACCCTCCTTAATCAATTCGCCAATTCGATTCACAACGTCCAGGACTTTCAAACAGGCTTGCAGGGTATCAATTGCTTCATCGAGTTTAGATGCCGTCTTCTTGGACTGCAGTAAAGTTCTTTTCTTCTCTACCAAGCCTCGACCGACCTGAGATACACTGGCGTCCAAAGTTGTGATCTTGTCCCTGAGGTTATTAGTGTATGACTTGACTGTGAAAAGAGTCGAAGCGGAGGAAATAAATTCTTGATAATTGTCTGTGCATATCTGCTCGATCTCGCTGTCCTTTGTCGCAATGAGAGCCTGAAGATTGCGCAGGTATGCTTCCTGCTGACGGTTCGCATGAATTTGCTTGATGATAGGTCCGAGTTGTTCAAGGTTCTCGGAAGACGAGGACGGATCAAGAAGATGTATTTGTTGCAGCTGCTGGTCGATGTTCTCCTGGGTATATTGTGGGCGCCTTTGAGGAGCCATCGTTACAACGTCTGCAATACAATATTAATGTCCCAATTTGGGTGCCAGGATGGTGTTTGTTTGGCAATAGCCTCTGATACAAATAACTTGGTCCACCCACCACGTGGTCCTGGATGTCCGAGGTTTAGCGGCTCATCCCGTACCAGCGATATGACTTGTGACACCACAATATGGTGATTGTAATGGTACTACGAGCGTACTCACAGACAAATTGTCTGTTAGTGTCATCCAATTCAAAACTCTCGCACTCTGAGGGAGACTGTCACTGAAAACCTATTCACGACATCGACTCGAGATGATGGTTGGTTCGTGAATAGTGACAATAACTTTACTCGAGGCATCCCACAATGGCAGGTCAAGCAGTCAAAACATTATCTCTCCCCCACGCTAAGCTCGGCCGAAATCTAGCCGAGACCCAGGGGGGACGCGGTCAATTAATTTTGGAATCAATTATCAGGGTGGTGATACAATCGATCGGCAGCATGAAGCACGCACGCAACGAACTTTGACCCATCTATCATCACCTTATATTTTAACAAAGAAAGATGGGCACCATCACTTTTCATGTAGATGCCGTGTAAGTCAACATTTAATTGTCCAGGAGGCAAATTTGAATAGTATCACAGCTTGTTTGATATGGACGGTACTTTGGTAGATTCGACAGCAGGCGTGATCGGAGCATGGGAAACGTTTGCAGAGACATATTCCGGCCTAGATATCCAAAAGATCCTGAAAAGTGAGTAGCTTTCAGGCGGGGATGTTCTGTTTCTAAGTTGATTTTCTTTATAATTAGGTGCACATGGTGTTAGGACTGTTGACAATCTGAGGAACTACTGTGGACTTACGTCTGAAGCAGAGCTCAAAGTGATCGATTCCTTGGCGGATTCATGCATGATACTGATGTCTGTCTACCAACAGAAAGAGGCTGTACGGTTCGAAGAGGCCATCGTAACCTCCTCCACAGCTAATGGCAAAAAGGGCATCACCCTTTTGCCTGGAGTTCGCCCCATCATAAATGAAGTGAATTACATCCCACATCATATTACTTCTGCCCTTGATTTCTTATCATTACAAAGCTTGCTCCCGGGAAAAACAATCCCAAGCCGTGTTGGGCTATTGTTACATCTGCGACCCGTGCTTATGCATCAGCTGCTCTAGAGATTGGTGGAATCCCGATCCCAGATGCCTTTGTGACTGCTGAAGATGTTACACAAGGAAAACCTTAGTGCGGAATAGTGTCATGCATTGGATTATCCAGAACTGACTGAACGCCTTCCTTAGCCCTGACCCATATCTTCTTGGTGCACAGAAATGCGGAGTTTCGCCTGAAAAATGTCAGTGATCGTATCAGAGCGATGTTGAGGACGTTGACCCGTCATATAGGTCTTGTCGTAGAAGATGCTCCGTCAGGTGTAGCAAGTGGTCTTTCCGCTGGATGTGCTGTGATCGGATTGATCACATCTCACACCAGGGAACAGATGGAAGTCGAACATCCAACATATATGGTTGAAAACTTGTCTAGGTGCGTGGCAACTGTTGGAAATCCACCATGTATTCAAGCCTTCTCATTATCGTAGTGTGTTAATGAAGATGGGGGAAAATGGTGGCATAGATGTTGTCGTCAACATAGATTAGATGGATTTCATGGGCGAAATAGAGTTCACAAGGCAGATGTAACTATTTGGCCCTGATGCCCGGATAGTTGAGGAAAATGAGAAGTCTCACTTCCAACAGCACCGTCGACTTGAATTCAATCGACAATTCACAAAGCGTTCCTTAGCGAGGGGCAGGGTGGGAACGGCCACGAGGCTATCACAGCAGGTTATGTAAAGCCCGTTGATGGAATCCACTCGTTTACCATCAGCATGAGGTTGGCAGACATGTCACTCTTTCTCTGATCGAGAAAGATTCGATGGCATCCCGTAATCCTGATACAGCCTTTCACGCACCTGCCCCGCCCACTAGAAAGGAAAAACCTCGGGCTCACTTGACGCTCGAGGGTCATGAAGATTGGGTACATGGCGTGGCTGTCATCCCTGGAACTCATCTCCTCGTCACCGCCTCGTCTGATAAAACTCTTCGACTGTGGGATCTAGTCAAGGGGCAACAAGTTGGAAAGCCCCTGTTGGGTCACGATATCGGAGTCTGGACGGTTGCAGCATCTCCTAATGGGCGCTGGATTGTGAGCGGAGCGACGGACGGAAGCATCCTGGTCTGGGAGGTGGCGACGCAGAAAAGCGTGTCCGTATCGTTCAAGGGACATAAGCAATGCGTTTCGAGCGTCGCCTTTGCGCCAGACAACAAAACATTCGCAAGTGCATCGGATGACAAAACGGTGTGCGTTTGGCTGAGGGAGACAGGGAAGATTATTCTTGGACCACTCCAAGTGGGCAGTAATGCGTGGTCTGTTTCATACTCCTTCGACGGGAGCAGGCTAGCAGCAGGAACTGGGCAGCATATCATGATTTGGAATACATCCAATGGGAAAGAGCTCCTCAAGATAGAACAACAGGCAGTTGGTGTCGCATTTACTCCAGATGGTCTCCGTCTGATCAGTGGATGCATTCACGACATCCGAATATCAGATGCCATAACCGGAGACGTCATCAAACAGTTTGAAGCACACACTGAACTCTTTCAATCGTTGGCCATTGCGCCCGATGGCACCAAAGTCGCCAGCACATCAATCGACAGCACGACACGCTTCTTTGACCTGACTACGTTTGAACCCATTGGCGAGCCATTGGAGCATCCTGATGCCGTGTATTGCGTGGCTTTTTCCGATGATAGTCAGCTTGTCGCGACTGGTTGTGAAGACACGCATCTCCGCTTGTGGACAGTGCCTCAATGCGATTCAGACAAGGAGTCTAAACAGGTGAGAAAATCATTCACTAGTTATGCATTGTTAATGCTAACCTGCAGTACAGCCCCAAAAGGTTACTTAATCTCCCACATGTATATTCGTACATACTGACTATTGACGATGTATAGGATGGCCGCCGCCCTCGTCCATCCATACCGATTGTATGTAGTATTCAGTATCTACACTTGTCAGTCTCGTCTTGTTGTACCATCCCTAATATTGTTCCCGCAGGAAATCATTCCGCGTTTAGAGTCGCGACCAGTACGTCGTGGAATTCCGCGCGGGTTCTTTGATGATGTCAGTCCTCACATTCAATCAACTTAATATATGACTGAGTGCATATCTAGGTTGAGGGAACTTATCCCCCCCGCCGATCCGCGGATGGAGGTTCACAGAGCCCCACACTACGCTCCCGCCTCAAGGACCTCGTCAACCGTTTCCCATTTCGTAGACAGTTGCAACAAGGACAGCCCGAGGAGGAACGTTCACGCCACTGGAACGGATTCTCGCAGTTCCTACGACAGCACCCTTCCTTCCGTAGGTCAAGACCCAGCCAAGAGCCACAGGAGGTTGAAGTCGCAGCCGGACGTAAATTCACTGTAATGTGGTTCTTTTTGCACCTTTTATTATTCTTTCTGATTGATGCCCTCCAGCGTCTTGCTGCTGCCAAACTGCCGGAATACAAGAAAGTCAATGACACCCGACATTTACCTAGGGCGCAGCCTGGTGTGTCGCAGGGCACGGCAGTGAACGACCCATTGCCCGAGACGTCCGACATTGATTCATTGCCAGATGTACATTGGTGCAGGGCGTTCCTATGCTATTACTCGTGCTGGTCTCATGGTAGATTGAGGATACCTCCGCGATGGCACTTGGAGCGTGTTGATCTTCACCGCCAAGATCACGCGACAACTAGCGCTGGGGCTCTGAGTCATAGTCGCAGTTCTGCGCATTGATCAAATTTCCTACAATCGAACTATATGACATCAATTGGTTGAATGAACCCTTTATTTGACATTTCTAGTCCTGGTTCTTTGTGGGCGCTATCACTTCTCGAATGATTCACAGGGAATTACATCCTGTTCCATCCATGCAGAAATTCATGTACTATCAAGTATGCGAGCTGAAAAGCAAATATAATGATATGTTAGATCCTTTTGGATGGAAGAATGTCCCGGATAGAAGGACGGAAAATATATCAGGAAGACGCACGAAAGCGATGGAAACAGTGCAACAAGAAAAGAAAGTATTAGGAACAAGGATATGTGGTCGCTCTTCCCAGAATGATAGACCATCTAATATTCGCCCTCCTCTTCAACATCGGCAGAGTCGGTACCAACTTCCTCGTAGTCCTTCTCCAGCGCTGCCAAATCCTCACGGGCCTCTGAGAACTCGCCCTGCAACGTAGCGTGAGTAAGTCAAGGATACGTTGAACGATATACATACCTCCTCCATACCCTCACCGACATACCAGTGAACGAATGCGCGCTTAGAGTACATCAGATCAAATTTGTAATCTGCAAACTATTGTTAGTGTTCCAGTCAAGCAAAGAATATCGAAAAGCGATTACCTAGCCGGCTCCAAGCAACAGAGATGGCCGTCGTGCTATACGAAGAGAAATTAGCAACGGTCTATACCATATAGCGCATGTCTCACTTTGAAAGCATGCAGAGACTGCGAGTATTCTTGGCAAGGTCACCCCCTGGGACAGCAGCAGCAGGCTCATTGCAAATGCCCAGCTAAGGGGACTCATCAGTCGAGCTTAATCAAACCCAAGCTAAGCACACACCTTGAAGCCAGTCGGGCACCAATCGACGAACTGGATGGTTCGCTTGGTCTTGATGCTGGCGACAGCAGCCTGAACATCCTTCGGTACGACATCGCCACGATAAAGCAGAGCGCAGGCCACTGTTCAAAGATTAAAGAAGCGCATGAAAGAGCCATGACACACATACTGTATTTTCCGTCTTTGGGGTCGCATTTCACCTGAAATCACGTGAGCAAATCATGACTCGATCTATGGTGCAATCATACCATCTGGTGCCCAGTCTCAAAGCAAGAGAAGGTCATTTCGCTGACAGAGTTTTGTTCGTGAGTCGCCTTCTCGGCGGACAGAAGTGGGGCATATGTTGCTAATGGGAAATGGATACGAGGAAAGCTGTTAATTGTTCAACAACTTGTTTATGCCACGGAGAACACAATAGTGCTCACGGAACAAGGTTGGTTTGGAACTCGTTAAGGTCGACGTTCAATGAACCATCGAAGCGAAGCGAAGCAGTGATCGACGAGACAACTTGAGCAATCAAGCGATTAAGATTGGTGAAGCCGGGCTGAGAGACACCAAGATTTTTCTTGCAGATATCATAGATAGCCTCGTTGTCAACCTGCACAGCTAAGTGAGTACAGCGGCACAAACGATGGATGAGAAGACCAACCATAAACGAACAATCAGAATGTTCAAGAGTCGTATGGGTGGTCAGAATCGAGTTGTAGGGTTCAACTATCGAACTCGACAATTGTGGTGCAGGGTAGACACAAAACTCAAGCTTGGACTTTTTGCCATAATCCGTAGAAAGTCGTTCCAACAAGAGAGCGCCGAATCCCGACCCAGTGCCGCCGCCAAACGAGTGAAACACGAAGAATCCTTGCAGTCCTGAACAGTTGTCAGCCAAGCGACGAATCTTATCCATCACTGGGTCTATCAATTCTTTTCCGACTGTGTAATGACCACGAGCATCTGAATACGCAAAATCATGAGCTGCCCATAATGAATATGCAACTTGTTCTACGACTTACAATTATTTGCTGCGTCCTCCTTGCCCGTGATCATGGTCTCGGGGTGGAACAGGGACCTGTAAGGACCGGTCTTGACCTCATCCACGGCTCCGGGTTCCAGATCAATAGTAAAGAGAGCGAGGAACGTGTTTCCCTGAACCAGTCTCGGAGAAGAACGTGGAGAACCCGGCGTCAGTCTTGTGAGCTTCATCAAGGACGCGGCCGTCGGGCTATGTAAAATGTTAGACAACGGTGTACTTGGAACGTGGCGCGAACTTACGCTCAAGCCGTGTTCTAGGGTGTATAACTCCCCTGGTCAAAAGTCAAGACGATCCTTATGACGCACAAAGGGCACTCACAGCAAGCATTGCCAATCTGAACGCCAGCCTGACCAACATGAAGAGAAATGACTTCACGCATGATGAATCGTTAAGAAGAGCTGATGACTGGTATACCGGTTTGTCGTGACGGGAGGGAACAGAATTTACCGAGCCGAAGGTTTGTACTTCAAGTGTTCAAAATTTCTTGGAAAGAATTTCTAAATTTGGAAATATTATGGGGACTACACGGGCCCTCCGGCGCTTGATATGCTTCCCGCATTGCATCCGATAAGAGAGATTCGTAATTCATGTTCCAGGTAAAGTGCGTAAAAAACCACGAGGACAAGCGGGATATAATGGACGGTATACGTAAATCGTGATGGTAATGGCAAAGAAATTATGGCGGGAACAAACTTCCGAGAACTAAGACCAAAGGAGGATTACATGCATGATGCATCTAGTACTCGCCAGCTTCCTCAACATCAGCCGAGTCGATGCCAACTTCCTCATAGTCTTTTTCGAGAGCAGCAAGATCCTCACGAGCTTCCGAGAACTCACCCTCCTCCATACCTTCACCAACATACCAGTGAACAAAGGCGCGTTTCGAGTACAAAAGGTCAAACTTGTGGTCGAGACGACTCCATGCAGTTGAGATGGCAGTGGTGTTTGATAACATGCACATGCTACGAGAGACTTTGGCAAGGTCTCCACCAGGAATGTGAGCAGGTGGTTCGTTGCAGATACCAAGTTTGAAACCGGTGGGACACCAATCAACAAACTGAATAGTGCGCCTCGTCTTGATGACACTGACAGCTGCGTTGACATCCTTAGGTACGACATCGCCACGGTAGAGGAGAGCACAGGCCACTATAGTCGCATGAGCCAAATAGGATCTGCAATTAAGAGTAACTCTTACTGTATTTGCCCTCCCTGGGATCACACTTCACCATCTGGCTACCCGTTTCAAAGCAAGAGAAGGTCATGTCAGCAACAGAGTTCTGCTCATGATGTGCCTTCTCCGCTGAAATGATGGGCGCAAATGTGGCAAGAGGGAAATGAATGCGCGGGAACCTGACAGGGGGATTAAATGAAAATTTATCATATTACAGTAATTGAACTCACGGAACAAGGTTGGTTTGGAACTCGTTCAAATCAACATTCAATGAGCCATCAAAGCGTAGAGATGCTGTTATCGATGAAACAACTTGTGCGATCAATCGGTTCAGGTTCGTGAAGCCAGGAGATGAGATATTAAGGTTCTTTTTGCAGATGTCATAAATTGCCTCATTGTCTACCTAAACATAGGGTAAGAAAATGTAATACAAAAACCACGTAAACTCACCATGAATGAGCAATCAGAGTGCTCAAGGGTAGTGTGTGTCGTCAACACCGAGTTGTAAGGTTCAACCACAGAGTTGGCCATCGTTGGCGCAGGGTATACGCTGAACTCAAGCTTCGATTTTTTACCATAATCGGTCGACAGGCGCTCCAAGATAAGAGCACCAAAACCAGATCCCGTTCCACCACCGAAGGAGTGGAAAACAAAGAAGCCTTGCAGACCATTGCAGTTGTCTGCGAGACGACGAACCTTATCCATAACAACGTCGATCTGTTCTTTGCCGATAGTGTAGTGACCACGGGCGTCTAAGACATACTAAATATAGCTATATTTCAAAACGATACTGATGAAGAACTTACAGTTGCTGGCGGCATCTTCCTTGCCAGTAACGAGGGTCTCCGGGTGGAAGAGGCTCCTGTAAGTGCCTGTTCTGACCTCATCGATCACGTTCGGCTCGAGGTCAATGTAGAGTGACCGCGGAACGTGCTTGCCCGAGGATGTCTCCGAGAAGAAAGTGCTGAAGCCATCATCGTTGGCAGAAGGGGAACCTTCGACAAGACGACCGTCAGGCTACAATAAGAAAATTGAGTGAAAGCGCGAGGGGTCCCCAGGAAAGATAATCACGCTAAGACCGTGTTCAACGGTGTATAGTTCCCCTGTAAAGATACATTATCAACAATCATAATTTCATAGGGTCAAATCAAAGCAAATTGCATGCATCTAGCACGCGCCAAATGTTGGATTGAAATAACAAAGACGATTGGGCATGTCAAAAGTGGCGGGACACTTACAACAGGCATTTCCGATTTGAACACCGGCTTGGCCGACATGGACAGAGATGACTTCACGCATTGTTTCTGGGAAATTTGGGCTAAAAAGTATAATAATTGTATATCAGCAATCATACGACACGGAAAGACGCGTCTAAAAAGCTTACTGGTTTGGACGGGAGGCGAGGATGGGGTGATGGTCCAGATCAAAGGGCGCAGGGTTAAAAGTGCAGCAAACACATGGCGCTTACTTAAGCTAACCGTTCTCACGCCTCTTCATCAGTACGTTAGTAGACGGTTCTCTGTGGAGCTTGGCGAACATGTGTTGTCCCTCTGTGTAGTTCTGATAAGTCTTTACATGTTACAGACCAGTCCAACCGTCCGTTTTTAATAATTACTCGACGCGATCATCAAACCCTGCACTCCTCTCAACTGTCTACTGTGGCTGAGTTCACATTCTTAGTAGCCTTATATCAGGTCTCCATAAGTGCATCTCCTTAGCGTCGCGTGTCCTGCGCAGCTTTCACGGCAAGCTTACGTCCAAAGCAACTGGAGCTAGATTAGTATACTGACACGCGCGATCCGAATGTCAACTTACCTCACAATGGACTGCCACATACGCATTCCGTGAATGTATCGCATACCGGTGTGCACCTGCTGCTCTGAAACCGAGTGTCTAGGGCGTCGGCATGGGGAATCATCGGGATAAAAAGCGGCGAGAACAAAGTCCACTTTTTTAACTCTCGGAATGGTCTTGTGGGTTGCTGGCGCCGTGTGATAAATGCTCTCCTTGAGTAGAACAAGCGCTTCTTGCTATAGCGGCTGCTCGGTAAACACCTAAAACCTTAGTAAAAAAGCTCACTCACTGTGTCCCGTCTCGCAGCAATCGCTGTAGGTGGTGGATGTTCGTCCACCAGGTCTAACGGCCCCCATCTCCTATTCCCTCGAATAGCCCCATGTGCAACACTCGACCTCTCAACCATTGGCATCTCAACGAGATCATCACCCTCTCCCGCCAGTAAAAGGCCCCGTCGCTTTGCTTTATCAATGATCGAGTTGGCCTTTGCTTCAAATTTCCTCCTATTATTCATAACCTTAGTTGCGCAGTACTTGAAACGCCTGTCCCACTCCTCCTGGCCTTCCAGCCACTTGAAAAGAGTCTCTTCCTTGATGATGCCAATCTCTGATGGCCTCAGCTGTAGAGCTGCAATATCCTCTTTTGGTTCCATCCAGCGAACTCGACCATGGATATCAACGCGCTCACGAATCATCATGTCTCCCTGTCAAAGGTTAGCATTTCAGTGACAGAAAAGCCCCCAAGCGAATTCTCACCGATCGATCATTCGTGGCGCACGACGGTATATCAGGCCCGGGCGTTTGCTGTAGGACGGGGAACGGATTTTGGTCAAGGTACTCTGCCGAATGTTGGGTGACATGTTTCGCAAATTTCGCAATAGAATGGTAAGCATAGTCCGCCTATTCGATTCGTCAGTGATCGAAATGTAAGATCATAGCTACCTCACACTGCTGGTGAAGGTGAAGACTGTCAAAACATGACACATTCCTGGAGCCTTTGTTTAAACAGACAGTCTCGAACGAAGAGAAGTAATGTACCGTCATACACTTGGAGATGGACTTTGGTTGGCGTAGAAAATTTATGCGCATTCTCTTTCTGCCTCATTCCGTCTCTAATGACACCCTCTCGTACAGGGTACTCAGCTGGATTGGCTGCCTTATGTGCCAAATATATTATTTCGTCGCGAAGCACTTCTCCATCGCCTGCCAAAATATACAATGGGCAGAGGTTGCCTAAGGAGGCTTGAAGAATAGGTGAGACTAGAGGATGCGACAATTGCCTTCGCGGACAATACCCGTCAATAAGTGTAAGAATGGAATGGAGAGGTGCCTCACTCCGTTGTAGCATAATGCTGGATCTGCGAGCGTATTTCCAGCGGAACATCTCCAGGATTTTTCATGAGCACCTTCGGGGGGTTTGGCTCCCGAAAATCAATGTCGTCTAGATCAGTGACTGAATGAGATATAGGTCCGCGCCCACTGTTCACAGCAAGCTCATCTATAGGTATCGTATCACTTGGGTTTCCGTTCTGGTCACCGCCCCGCCCGTGCTGTCTGCCAGCGAGATCACACTTCCCTCCGTCAAACAATGATGTTTTCTCCTGAGATTTCAGGGGAACGCTTAATGCAGAACAGTCAAATGTTTCGTGCTTGGAACCGACAGGCATAGAATCACCGTGCTTTTTAGCATCAGTGGGCGGAACCTGGGCAGTGTCTCTTGTAGAAATTTTATCGGGATCAGCGTTTGCATGACGCAGTAGATCGGAGTGTGCACGTGCGACACGACCGCCTTCCTTGATTGGATCCATCGGCCACAACGCGGAGGGTTTGTTCATGAATCCATGAGGAGGTATGATATCCTACTAACCGAATCAGAAAGGAATACCCTGCGCTATGCTCAAAACTCGCCGTAGCGGTATTCGTGTGAATACTAGGAAAACTGTGTGTTAAATCTACCCACGGGCTGATGAGCACCGCTCCCGCTGGTAACGGTTGACCCAAATCCCGCAGTACAGTGAGCATTGTCAGACATAATGCGCCACCTGCCGAATCGCCAGCGAAGATGATTTTTGAAGGGGGAATGGGTTTATGAGCAGCACCATGAGGGGGCTGAATCAAGTAAAGGTCTTTGTATGGGGATAATCGGTCATCGCGATTTCAATCTCAAAAATAGAAAGTGATAAACTCACAAGCTGCGAGGACATCGTGTAAGGGGCATGGCCATGGGTATTGTGGTGCCTTCCTGGACAGTGACTATGTATAACGTGAACACGATAATAATTCTGACGCTTACCGATAGTTGACAGCAAACGCACGCCCCCGAATTTTATGTGCTTGCAAAGAATAAGTGAAGATGCCAGGAACTTACATAAACATACCGTATTTGATGATTTGATAACGATGGGTATCTACAGACCAGGTTAAGTCTGAAGGCATGTACAAGGTGGATTGATATTCACTAATGGACCCCCAATAGTATCCGCCTCCATGAATGTAAAGCTGTAGTCAAGGCGGTTAGAGAATGCGTCAAAGAAAACCAGTCAACTTACCATCGTGGTCTCTAATTGCTCCATCGACATTACAAGTCTTTCCTCTTCACTGTACCTCCTCCCGTCATCTATGTCAACGCTTTCGGGCCGTAAGTGTGACTTATCAGCAATCCACTCGGCATCAATACCGTCTAAACCACGGACTTGCCACCACCTTTCGCCACCAACAACACGTTTAAGGTCTTCGGGCCCAAACCATTGTATCAAGAGGTCTGCCGCCTTGTTGCACGACTGCAATGGGACGCGCACAGGGATAACAGCGGTCCAAGGGGGAGCAGGCACATGAGTGTTTGTGCTGATGACGGGAGATCATAGTAAATGGAGGACCTGATAAATATAAATTGAACCTCACAATGCTTGGAGAGATTCCACAGTGTTCTTTGTACCAAGAAGAATGAAGGATTTAACGATGTGAAATGCTCTAGAAAATATCAAGGAATAAGAATATTAACTGTAATGAAGCGCACTCGTCAAAGAAAATGTCATCAGTGGCCTCTTCTTTCTCATCTCCGTCCCTCAGCTTTTTGGCTTTCCGTTTTCCATGAGTATAGAGGGTCTTGATGACGGCTAAAGATGCATAAATGACTACATGACAGAGAAGACGGTACACCATACTTGGAGTAATATGCACTGCCGCTGAGAATGTAGAGACTGTCATTTGCGTTCAAAGGACAAACCAGAGTGTACGTGGCAGACGTGAGAGGATGTGTCTAAAATTCCCAATGATGTGAGGGATGCAAACTAAGCCTGAGCTGGAATGAGCTGGAATGAGCAACTCGCAACGTGGAGGTCGACGGAGCTGTCCCGACAAGCGGTCCTAAATCATCATTGCTGCGGCTGGATAAGATATGTCCGTGACATACACAGGCAAGCATAGCATCTGTAAAACACGATATATGACCTGCTTACGACCTGCTGGATAACGCAGGTAACACCCATTCAGGACACAAAAGAACGGTTTCGTTGAATTCACAGTGACTCCAAGTAAGTGGTAGTGATGAATGAGTACCCGAGTCGTTATATCATTTCAAGTTGTTTGCAAGTTGAGCAAAGCCTTTAGAAACAAACAAACGCTAATAGAACTTCCTTTTTGGTCGGCCGCTTCTCCAAGCATCACCACGTGCACTTATTGTCGTTCTTTTTGCAAGAGTTCGGCAGTCTAAAAGTCTGGCATTGAACAAGAAACAAAATGATTACATTCACACCTCTTTCTGGTGCCGCCCGGTCATGTCGAACTGTTCCCCTTGCATACTTGTTGCAGGTTGACGATATCCGTATCCTTCTCGATTGTGGATCACCTGACTGGAACCCCGAGAATATTGAAACTCAATCTGAGTCCGGGGATGGGGTGACTTATCCTTGGCAGGAGTACTGTGGCATAGTGAGAAAGTGAGTAACAGCTACATTGTAAGCTGCACGATCTAACACTAGCTAGGCATGCTCCAGAGATTGACTTGGTTTTGCTGTCTCATGGTGACCTTGTACATTCTGGCTTGTATGCGTATGCATACTGTCACTGGGATCTCAGAGCCCCATGCTATACCACACTTCCAGTCCAGGCGATGGCTCGCATTGCAACAATGGAAGATGTAGAAGGAATTCGAGACGAACAGGAAGTTGACGTTGAGGAGGAGGAAAATGACGAATCTGCAGCTGCCGAGGAGGCGGAGGGCTCTGAGCCACGTTCTCCGAAGCTGAAGAATGAACCCAAGAAGTTTGTTGCTACCGTTCAAGAGGTACACGAAGCATTTGATGCGGTAAACACCCTAAGATATTCCCAGCCTACTCATCTACAAGGTAACTTTTAACCATGAAACAATCATGAGTGGAACATTGATATTACCGACCTTCAGGAAAGTGTCAAGGTTTGACCATTACACCATTCGCAGCGGGGCACACGTTGGGGGGAACCATATGGAAAATAAGATCACCTTCAGCTGGAACGATTGTCTATGCTGTGAACTTGAATCACATGCGCGAGCGACATATAGATGGCACTGTCCTCTACCGTCCCGCAGCGGGTGGTGTCTTCGAACCACTTGCCCGACCAGATCTCTTCATTACAGATGCCGACCGCGTGAACGTCGTCACAAGTCGAAGAAAGGACCGCGATGCTGCTTTGATAGGTCCGAAATTTCATCCCGCCTGAATAGTTTCGTACTGATGTCATTAAACAGATGCCATAAGTGCAACGCTGTCGTCCCGTTCCTCTCTTTTACTTCCTTGTGACTCGAGTACTCGTCTTCTGGAGCTCTTGGTGTTACTTGATCAGCATTGGAAGTATGCTGATTTCCGCTTTCCCATCTGTTTATTGTCGCGTAACGGGCGTGAAATGCTGACCTTCGTCCGGAGTATGATGGAGTGGCTTGGCGGGACAGTGAGCAAAGAAGACGTTGGTGTTGATGGAAGTGGAAGAACGGGAGGTACTAGGAGGAGACGTGGCGATGATGATGCAGACGACGAGGCGCTGGGAGCATTTGCTTTGCGCTTCAAGTAAGTGAAACTTGGAAGCAAAAGGTGATGAACTAAAACCACACATATAGGTTTCTAGAGTTCTTTCCTAGTCCGCAATCCCTTCTACAAACATATTCGTCCAAGGAGCCGAAGCTGATCCTTGCTGTCCCTGCCTCGCTGTCACATGGTCCGTCACGACTACTATTCTCTGACTTCGCCGCGGTCCCAGACAACGTGGTTCTCCTGACTGGTCGCGGCGAAGAGGGCACACTGGGACGCATCCTTTTTGATAAATGGAATAATTCTCAGAGAGGTGATGATAAGTGGGACAAAGGTCGAATTGGTAGCAACATCATGATGGATGGAACTATGACTCTGAGGGTGACTTGCACGGTTTGTACCTACATAGCACGTTACTTATTTATCTGCGTCTAGATAAACTCCAAGGTTCCACTTCAAGGTGCAGAGCTGGAAGCCTTCCTTGCAAAGGAGAAGGCGGCAAAGGATAGGGAAGCTGCTCATCAAGCATCTATGGCTCGTAATCAACGCATATTAGAAGCGGACGAAGACGAGAGCGACGACGATTCGGATTCGGATTCGGACGAAGAGGACGAAGTCGAACGCGCATTGGACGAAAGCCAGATGGATACTGACGAAATCTCCAATCCTGCAAATGGTTCGACACGAAAACGAAAAATTGCCAAAAATGAGGACGATGCTGACTGGGGGCTTGACATTGACGAGGGATTGACGAAACAACTACTCTCCTTCGACATTTATCTTAAGGGAAACGTCTCCAAGGCAACATCATTCTTCAAGAGCGCTGGTGGTCAGACCCACCGTTTCCGTATGTTTCCCTACGTTGAAAAGAAACGGAGGGTGGATGAATATGGCGAAACTATTGATGTTGGCATGTGGCTTAGGAAAGGTAAAGTATTGGAAAATGAAGCAGAAGATGAGGCAACCAGGGAGGCAAGGCGAAATCAGGCTGAAGGCGAAATTGAGGTAAATTTTTTAGGTGCATTAATGATTATCTAACTGACGAACCGACTGCAAGGCTCCTCGTGAACCTCCTTCGAAGTTTGTCACTTCAGAGGTTGAGATACAACTTGCTTGTCGACTTCTCTTTGTTGATATGGAAGGTCTCAACGATGGTCGTGCAGTGAAGATGATTGTACCTCAAGTGAATCCTAGGAAGATGGTCAGTAATTACGTCGATCTAACATTTTATATGCTAACAGTACTCGGGGTAGATAATCGTCCATGCCCAGGCTGCTGCTGCCGATGCTCTTATTGACAGTTGTTCGAGCATTCGGTCCATGACGAGAGATATATACGCTCCTTCTGTCGGAGAAACGGTACAAATAGGACAACACACGAACAGTTTCTCGATATCTTTGAGTGATGAGCTATTGAGCACTATCAAAATGTCAAGGGTAAGTTTATTCCTCAAACCTTGAGTCCGTGTGAATGACCGTTTGGTAGTTCGAAGACAACGAAGTGGGTTATGTGACCGGACGCGTTACAAGTCATTTCAGCTCCACCATACCCATTTTGGAACCTTCAGGTCCAGCGATACCAACGCCGAATGCAAACGTATCGCATACCCCACGAATACTAGCCTCCCGGCCAATTCAGATCTTACCGCGATCGACAATGATAGGGGAGCTTAAGCTGACTGCACTTAAAAGCCGATTAGCATCAGTCGGTGTTCAGGCCGAATTGGTTGGCGAGGGTGTACTAATTTGCGGCGCTGGGGCAAGGCGGGATGAATCCTCTAGCTCTATACAAGACACAGTTGCCGTACGAAAGACAGGTAGAGGAAGGGTGGAATTAGAAGGTAACGTTTCTGACATCTACTATGTTGTACGCAAAGAGATCTATAATCTCCATGCCTTGGTAGCAACATGATGTATTGTTCCCAAAGCTGGGATGATTCTACCTATTTAATGCAGCGTTGTATCGAGTGCGCGCAGCGAGATCTATGATCTGAGTATTGGTTACACATGCTGTTTCAAATTGCATTGCTACGTAGCTCTAATGATATTGGCACTGTCGTATCGTAACTAGCCATATAAAGCTTGTTCATATCCCCTTTCCAACATCTTCCTTCAAGCTTGTAATGCGGTTGAGTACCAAATAATCACCTTGCCTAATCCCAGGAGCAACACCTGAGGGTTCGTCCAGAGCACCCAAGCGAGAGTCCGAATCTACTGCAAGGTACGCAACACGCAGACCTTGAAATCGTACACACTCTTTTCCGACCAGCTGCTCTGGTGTGATTTCTGGAGTGTTTGCGTCGTGGGAACCCGAACCTGGGATTGCTTTCGTTTTCGCTGATCTTTCCCGAGCCTCCTCAAGGGCGTCTGCAATACACCGCTTTGCAAGCGGCCAGAAACTGACTTCCACCATGGCGCCCTTGATGACTTCTATGCTGTTAGAGTTGATATCAGCCTTGAAGTCAGGGATGGCCGCTAGGGGGTTATCGCTCTTGAACAGAGGATGGAAGACTCTTGTCTCGTCGATACGAACAGGGCTTCCAGAAGATGCATGCTCTGCGACCCACTGGATATATGCCTTGGGTTTCGGAGGAGTACCAGAATTTTCGAGACGACAGAATACCTCCGTCACCTCACCAGTAGTTGAATCAATCTTGTACGATGTACATGTAATTGGGTATGGTGCCTGGAATAGACCAACACTCTTTCCAGGAGCAAGGCGGAAGTAATCTTTGGAGTCTTCCAGCCTGAAGTCGTCTGCGTCGATGTAAATTGTGCGGGTGAATGGGATCTGTGAAGATCCGAGCTGGGGGTTCTTGGGATGGAATGATTTGTCCACCATCACGAGGTAGTCATCGGGCACGTTCTCAATTATGACTTTGAGAGGACGCATGACCATGAAGAGACGCGGTGCACTGCCTTCCAGGTATTGCCTCACAGTTTGTTCAAAGCGTGCAATTTGGATGTTTGAGGCAGCCGTTGAGACACCCAACGTGCTGACAAATGACAAAATCGCACCCGGAGGTACGCCTCGCCTTCTGAGGGCGATGAGGGTGTAGAGACGAGGATCGTCCCATCCGCTAACGTAGCCTTCATCTACCAGCTGGAGAATCTTTCTCTTCGAGCTGATTGTCCCTTGAAGATTAAGGCGACCAAATTCTGATTGCCTCGGTTTGTACACGTCCAGGGCGTCACAAAGCCACTCATATGACTGGCGTGAAGCGATGAATTCCGTGGTGCAGAGGGAATGGCTAGAACCGTAGGTCAATCGACCGCAAACACGAAAAGAGTGCCATGATTCTCACGAGATGTTCTCGAAGCTATCCACGAGGCAGTGTGTATAATCATAGGTGGGATATATCTTCCATTTATCCAGGGTGCGATGATGGCTTGCATCCAAAACACGGTATGCCGTAAGGTCCCACATCTGAGGGTTGCCATCTGTCAGATCCATCTTCATCCGGAGATTGGCTTCCTTGGGTCGATAATAACCATCAGTCATCTTTTTGAACTCATCGAGTGATTCTTGAATCGGCCGTGATCTGTGCACGCAGGCTTTAGGAGCTGATATTTTCTCGCCCCTATCAGCTTTGATTTGTTCCTCTGTAAAGCAGTTCATATTCAGTTCATATTGGCCCTGAGCGAAAAAAAAAATGATACACTCACGAGTACAATGACAGACATAAGCTTTGTCGCGTTTTATGAGCTCGATGGCAAGATCATGTAGCTGATCAAAGTAGTCACTGGAGTAGGTTATCTTCCAGGGTTCGAAGCCCAGCCATCGGATAACCTCGATAATGCTCTCAAAATATCTGGCCTCTTCTTTTTCCGGGTTAGTATCGTCGAAGCGCAGATAACACTTCCCTCCATGGTGCGCAGCATAACCGAAGTTCACGAAGATAGCCTTAGAATGTCCAATATGCAGATAGCCGTTTGGTTCCGGTGGGAAACGTGTCCAGACTTGGCCATCAGTCACGCGTAGATGCTGCTCACGAAGTTCGGGCCTGGTCTGAGGGTTCTCTCCTGGCTTGTGCAAAGCGCCTAAGAATCCCTCTTCAAAAACGGTTTTTCTATTGGATGAACTGGACCCAGCAGCGGCCTCCGATGCAGTAATTGTTGGCTGCAAAGCCTTCTCTTTCTTAGGGTCCTGTACCTTGTGATCAGGAGTAAACGAAGACGGGGAGCGATGTAGTATACCTTAGTTTTTGGCTTCGCAGCCTCCTTCGCACCAAAGGTTTCAGTAAACGCCTTCTCGACGGCGTTCTTAACTTCTAGAGGGTTGGCCCATCGAAGAGCTGGGTTGGCCTTGACTCCACTGATGACGGAACCAAGGTTAGGCCAGCCAGTGACAGAATTCTCGCGGATGTAACTCGTGACTGTGTTATGGAGCTCTTCGGAAGTGATGCTGAAGCCTGTAACATTCGATCGGCACCGTGATTGTACATCATAATGACCGTATCTCACCGACACCACACTCTGTATCGAATTCAAGCTCGTTAATGGGTGCTTTAGATGTCTCGAGGTACTTGACAGCAGCTGCACATAGTAATCAGTCACTGATAAATGCAAACTGTCGCATAACAGAACTCACCATTGATCTGATCAACAGATTTGAGCTTGCCCTGCAAGATTGCCTTGACGGCGAAGGCTTCTTCGCTAGGTTCTACAGATTCCGTCTTAGCTAGCTGACTAGCAAGTGCGGTGACAACCGTAGCCTGCTTTTCATCAAGGTGAGCTTCGGCAAGATCGTATGAAACGATCAGATTGCGAAGGACATTGGCGCTTTTGGCGTTCTTTGCCGCTTCTACTGCTTTGGCCTGGGAGAGACCTATAGACTTGAAGAGGGAGATGGGAGTGTCTGATGCCGCAGGATCGGACTTGGTAGGAGCCATTAGTGGGTTATGACTGTCCTTAGACTAGATGACTCGGATGTGTGACACGCTGTATGCAGTAACTGCGATTGCAGGACAGATGAATGTGCAGTAGGTGCAGTCGGTATCTAATACCGAGGTTACTACTAGAGGTTTGTCGGTGAAAACTTGGATATGGTTAAAAAATGCGTACATTAATACCTAGTACTACTATAGATCCCAGGTCAATTAGTGACTCGAACTTTGCGTAAACCAGTGGTACAGTCAATTTGCAATTTGATTATCTATATGGGCGCTTACAGCCACCTATCTAATTCAGTGGGCTATGAGCTCCCCGACCTCGCCCACGAGCTGTAGTTGTGGTGAACCGTTTGGCTTTTTCCCAACTATACGAGTTTCCATCTTCCTAGTCGCAGTTTCGTTCAAGAACGTGTCTATGTTACCATCTATAAATGTCTCTGATAATTCTACAAGCCTGTCCATTACTATGCGTGCAGGTCTCCGAGACACAAGCGGAAGGAGAGGAAAATCTGAAAATGATTCGTGTTTTGCGCGTACTACAGCAAGCGCAAGTAAGATAAACTCCTGTGTGGTTGATGTACATCGAATTGGCATGGACTCACAGATAGTCAGCACTCTCCGTTGCTCGGGCTCCCAAGCTTGCACCACGTCGATCAATCGTGAAAAATGATCCTTCCACAGGCTAAATTTCTCAGAGTTAATGACAAGCAACTGAGGCAAAACATCTCCTGGTCCTTGAGGAGGTGGGCGTGGGCCAGGGGAAGGGATCGGTTCTAGCCAAGGATCCAAGATCAAGGCTTTATGAACAGGAATGGGTGCGGTGATGTTGGCAGGAGGATCCGTAGAAAGGATTGTGAACTGCACAACTGGTATAAGTCGCTGTACATTTTGTAAATATGTCTTACTTGCAACAGTAGCACCACCGAATGAATGTCCAGCAAGAAGAACGTCTTTGTTGCATTCAACTGCCTTGGTATCGACGTCGCTTAACCACGAAGACCAGTCGATAGATTTCTTGTCTATTGACTGTAAGCCATGGCTTGAACCTCGGTGGCCATCTTGAATTAATTGTTTGAAGCTACTGAATGCAAGGTATATCTCATGTCGCCTGAAAGCCAGCTGTTGCTGTCGAAAATTGACCATCGTTTGTTGGTCATTTAAAGTCCAGCTTGGGGGAAATTACTAAGTTCCAACTCCCAACGAAAGATGAAAGTGAAAATACACACATCAAGTCCTCTTCTCTAATGTAAAGTCCGGGTCCAGTAGTCGATGAACTGTAATGCATGACCCGAGCCATCACGGTGCTGGATGGCTAGAACCACTCGTCCCGAGGATGCAAGACGAGTGCACACTTGACTACAGCACAGTTCATTATTTAATTTAGGGCTGCAGAGGATAGAGAAATACCTGTAAGCTGTCTGACTACCACCCAGACCGTGTGAGAATATTACAAGAGGCCAACTTGAAGGACAAGTTTCTGATCTAGCCTGAGTAGTCTGCTCTGGAAACGCAATGGGACGCTGCTTCAAGAGGGGTGCATTTGGATAAACTGGGATCTAACAGCGCGGCCTAGGTTAGCCATGGTATTCAGCTCCGTGGCTTGAACATTGCGCACTTTCAACAGGCGACCGTAGAGATACACAATAGGCCACAGGAGCCAGGCAGGAAATTCCTGGTAAAAGCGCTCAATCACCCTATACGATATAAGCCACAAGACCTGCCTGAGTAATGAGCATACCCATGTAGAGATGCTTGGAGCGGACTAGAACCGTGAGCATGACCTGCTGGCAGTGTAACCCCGATACTGACCGAAGAAGCCAGTCCAGGCCTTTCTTGATATTGGTGCCTTTTATGTCCGCAGGATAATAGGTAGTGAATATGACTTCATCGAGTTGTAAAGCAGGTTTTACTGAAGGTCTATCGCCACTGTGACCATGTCTGCGTATGTTGGCAGTGCCCAGCACTCTCGTGGATACGGGAAGCTTGAAGGTAGTCGCTCCAACAGGAAAACGTCCATGGGATTCCGGCAGAAAAAGCATGAGTGATACCGCCAACGCTCAATGGTATATATCACGGTAGTAGTAGCACTACTTCACTGGCAGCAGCTGTTCCGACTTTACGTTTCCCATTATGGTAACAGTTTTTGTACGGCCTATGTAAGGAATTTGGTTTTGATCCATCGACTCCAACGGTCCAACCACTCCTCCACTGCTTGATGTCGACCCAGCCTCTACTTCAGCGTACAGCTTCAAAGCGCATTGCACTTCCAGTGCGCGTAGAGCCAAAGGTCTCGTTCGCCAACGAGCGTACCTTCTTATCATGGCTCCACTTCACAGTCGTCCTCGGTGGCCTTGCGGTGGGGCTGCTGAACTTCGGTGACAAGGTGCGTTAGCTAGCTGCTACTGGTCATCTGGCTTGTTCTAATCATTTGACTTGCACAGGTTGGGAGGATTAGTGCAGCAATGTTCTCTATCGTTGGTGAGCACACATCTTATACCAAACATTTCAGCTGTATGGTTTTTATTGACTGGTTGAAGCCATGGCTGTTATGATATATGCACTGTATACATATCATTGGAGGGCTGCTTCTATCCGCAAGGGAGGGCGCGGACCTTACGACGACCGACTCGGACCTGTAAGTACTCGGCAAATGTTTGTATCGTCTAGCTAAACGATTTAAAACCAGACCATTCTATGCTCCGCCCTCCTCAGTCAGTTCAGTTTTCATTCCATGAGTTTTGATATGGTCTGATTTCCCCACAGTTGCTATCGTCGTCAATTTCGTGCTAAAGTTCACAGAGACGTGAAAATACGGTGTTTCTGATGGTGCTCGATCTGTTGAATGAGATTTGGAGGATTTATATCAAATTTATTCTTGTCTACAAGCAAACACGAATTGGTTTTTATCATGTATCGACGTAGCATGAATACGTCAGCCACGCTTTTGTCTCTTACCAACTCGCGTAGATGCTGAAGTGCCGATGGACGATACGGACATCGATCGGCGAGACTGAGCACGGGATTTAGATAGCCATCAAGATATTTGAGAAAATCAACGAACCTGCTTGCGCCCTCGGCCGCTTGGTATGCTCAGTATACTTTGTGCTCTACCATCAACTTCACCCTCGGCGTCGGCATCGGCATCAGCATCAATATCTGCACCTGCACCTGCCCCTCCGTCAACTTCCATTGGTGTTCCTTCCTTGCCATCTTCCTCTGCGCCTTCACTTGCCCTGCCAAGTCTTACTCTCAACACTCGAATGTCTTGTTCTACACGATCTACGACCTTCTTCGTGTCAATCAAGGCAGTAGTCGCTTCGATGAGCGACTCTAGTCGTGCACAGTTTTCACGGGTAGGCATGACCAAACGCGTATGGTTGATGCCCAGCTCAGTAAGAGCCTGGGTGACCTTGGGTGATAGCGCTGCCTTCGGTGCGGGAAGCTTGAACGAGCGAAGGTGCACAGGGGTATGAGTGATTTTCGTCGTCGATGATGCGGGAGGTTCAACCCTGACAATACAATGTTGCACATCTAAAACAGGGGAATGAACTTCGCATTCGGTATTTTGTATTGAAACACACACACCATAAGCTGCTGACTTCGCTGAATGAGGCCTCTTTGGTGGTGGAGGACCTAAAGAAATGATATTTGATGGTGTGGAAGGTAAATCAATTTCATTCGCATTCTTCTTTCTTTTTTTGAATCCTTCCGCAGATAGAGCAGAAAGTCCGTCTTCTTCAGCAACTATGTCAGGTAGTCCGGAGTCAATACCAAGCAACGTGCGGAGAAGTTCATCGCGCTCTTTCTTGAACTTGCGTTCGTTTTGCTCCAACCGCTTTAGTTCGATGAACAGGGCTTCTTCCTCAGCAATTTCCTCAGGTGTACGGTCCTCGAGGCTGGCGATGTAGTCTTTCCGCATTCTCTCGCGGTCTGAAATATGACAAAGTACTATTAGATTCATCATCACGAGATCATAGAGATCACGGACCTTTGTCAAACTGATAACTATTGAGAAGTTGAGCTTTACTCGCCTCATCGCCTGCCCAAGGTCTATTCCGAATGAGTTTTCGGCAAACGCTGTAGTATCGATCCTTGAGATCCTGCCATAAGTCAGTGCCGTGCAAGTGCAAAGGCTGTTGTGCTTTACTTCAAGAGAGCGTGTAGGGCCGTCTGGTGGAGGCTCATAACGGTCATGTACCACATACCACCGTGTATCGTACTCTCGCACAACGTTAAATAGATTATCGGTCTCCTCCTTAGTCCAGTCCTTATCTATAAAGAAGGTAAGTAGTGCGGGTATATCGCGAAATGAACTTGCCTTCGAGGAAATGTGTGTATTCCTCTTGTGAGTAGGCATATGATTGAGATTGCACGTTATATTTGGTAAAGGGGTATTCTGTATGTCTAATTTTTAGGATTTATATAGTGTTAGTCCAATGGCACACACCTGCATCTGGATCATCACCTGCCTTGACCCAATGTCCCAGCTGCAATGAATCGGTGCGTCCAGCATTCCTAAATGGTCTCCATTCCCTACATGCGCCATGTCCATGTTAATGAGCATGCACATTGGAGTGTAATAGGAGACTTACCACTTCACGTTTCCACCCGACCCAAAATTCGGCTTCTGCTTCAGACGCGGTTTAGCCAAATGAGCTACAAGAGAGGGTGCAGAAGGTCCAATAAGTGCATAGAGCTCTCGAGAAATGCCCTCAGGTTTCTTCGTAACCTGGCCTTGAGATTTTCGAGGAGCTGATGCGGCGGATTGAACTGGTGTTGAAGAGCTTGGTAAAGATAAGGCGCTGCGTATGTCGGACGCTGAGACTGCCATAATTTCACAACAGTTCGTAGACTTGACGGTCTTACTGCAAGGACGGTATTTCTATAAAAGGAAAGCATGGCAATTTCTTACGGGAGGCAGACGCAGTAGCAGAACCAGCATTATGGCTACGCGCTGACATACGGAACTCTGGGCAGAAATTAATCTTGACATGGTAGAATGGAAGCCAAGTCGTAGTTAAACAGACCAACTATGTAGCAAGCTCTATTAAACGAGCTGGGGAACCTCCAACTACCCTTGCATGGTTCACCGGAAGGTGGACGGCACGATGCAGACGGGTAAGATACATAGTCTCAAATTTGTGCCACAAAACCTTCTGCTTCATGATCATGTTAATGAAGGTACACAACTAGTAAACCGACATAACAAGGTATTTGATAAGACACAGGAAGGAAGGAGAGCTATATTTTACCTTCCAGAAATACAACCCACCGCAGAATTGAGGCCCAATAGACGGCGAACAAAGATTACCTGCCAGCCATCATTCTCAGTCTGTCAGGATGCATACCGCCTGGTCCCGCATTGGGATCATTTTGGTTTGGTGGGGGCGGGCTACCACCCGGTGGCCCAAAGTTACCATGTGGGGGGAAGGGTGGCATGCTGCCACCAGGTCCGCCGCCATTAGGGCCATTCGGAGGGAATGGAGGGGGACCTGTTACGTTGTTTCTAATCCCAAACTTTCAATGACGCGAAGAAATGGACTTACCGCCTGGGAAACCGCCTGGAGGACCCATTGCTGCGGGAGGTGGCATGCCGTCACTAGGAGGGAAAGGTGGTATGGCACCTGGTGGTCCCATCATGCCCGAGGGCGGAAAGGGTCCTGGCGGGAAAGGCGGACGAGCTGCAAAGAAATTCAGTTTCAGGGCAAGAGGACAACTGAATCAAATACACACGCGGAAATGCTCCGGGAGGACCACCGAAGCCCATGGGAGGGCCTGGAAACGCTGGTGGAGGTGCGCCTAGATGATGAGGGCCAAACCCAAATCCTCCTGGAGGAGGGCCACCTCCACTCTCATATGCTGCAGTGATTTGATCGATGATACTTTGTGCTTTGTCATGGCCGAGCGCTGGAATCATGTCTCAATAACCTGTCAGTGCGAGAATGCAATGCTCACTCACATGCGTAGTAGTCTCGGACGTTTGCCAGGTGATTTCTTCCACTGTTATGAGCTTTCCGCACTACGTGATGCTTCAGAAACGAAACCTAATTATGAGTAATAAAGTAACTTACCTGAAGCAGAGTCATGAGTAAGAAAAACATCACAATAGTCACAGTAGTGTTTCTACATTGCAATCAGTAGTTATTGCACAAGATAGAATGATACGACGTACCGGCATGGCTAGGTCGCTACTGGTACTGTTGTTAGCGGAAGAAGGAGTTGGGTACAACTTGATTGAAGCTGTCTGAGTTCGAAAGACAACTTGCCACTGCTTACCTCATCTTACCTGCACTTCAATGGATCCTTCATCGTCGGGCATCCAGGAGCCTTTCGATCTCATCAGATTATCCCTCAGCGAACGTGTTTTCGTGAAGTTACGGGGGGATCGTGAGTTGACTGGCGTACTTCATGTGCGTTGAATCGGTGTATCTCATCAGCTCCACGTACTGAATTATTTTGGTTTACAGGCTTATGATGGTCATATGAACCTTATTCTGAGTGATGTCGAAGAAACCATCATGATCGTAGACCCCATCGAAGGAGGTATGGAAGGACAAGGAACCGTCAAAGTAAGTCTCAAGCCCGACGCTGAGCAATGAGGCATTAGTTATGTTGTAGGTAGCCAAGAGAAAAATGGAGATGTTGTTCGTTCGGGGAGATGGCGTTATACTGGTACGCGAATTTTATTGATAACTTATGACTAGTAACTTACTAGACAGCAGGTGTCACCACCATCGCGGACTTGAATCTCTCAGGACGACGTGTTGGCATCATAGATCAGTACTTTCTCTGCCAATATATTTTTCGGCAGCAATTCCCTTGCATTTATCTCCAAAACATTTCATGCATGTCCTTGTATTCATTGGGTAAGAAGTAAAAAATCAATTAATACATAGTTCTGATCGAAGAGGGGGTAATACATGAAGCGATTCATTCCAAGATACAACACTCCTACACCTAGGTCGCAGCTATTACAAGTCCAGAAGGTTTGATTTCATTGACCTCACTTGACATTCCTTCAGAGGTAGTATTGGGGGAGTTAAGGTTCATGGTAACCGGTGGTGAAGGTCCAGGCTGGTCTGCTGCAAGATCCTGATCTGAATCTGGGGCTACTGCGCCAGAAGGCCAAGTATCAGGGTCTCTGAGCCAACCAGCATGGATGACTTTGATCTTGGACACGTGAGAGGGTAGAAGTAAGATGGTAACAGATAATATCGAGATGATACGGAACTTACTACGAGAGTTAAGGGAAGACTGCGTTTCAAACGACCACCATTTACAAGACCTTTCCAGACTTTCTCAATTCCATTCTTCCAAGCTTGTTCACTATCGACGGCACCTGGCTCACTAAGAAGCTGCTCTAATCTCTGACGAGACGAGGATGGAGGAGAGCGATGACGGACTTTCGTGGGAGTGAGCCAGAGAGCCCGACGAGCATCATAATGAGCTGGACCAGAAGGAGGAAATTCAGGGTTGGATATTAAAGATGAGCTGGTTGATTTGTTTGGGGATGGCAGTGGAGTATCTTTTGGGCGAGGAGGGACATCACGGGGATTGAATTTTCCTGCAATTTTGAAAAACCGGGAATTGGAGGGGACGGGTGGAGCTGGGCGTTGTAGGTTATTGGAATTAGAGACAAATTTGTCTAGCTTGTTGGGTATCATGAAAGAGCGACGGGTCCTTAGTCGGCTAGGCCAGGCTACTAGGCATGCATTCAACACAAGGACTTAACGCGTTAATACAAAGTACTAAGATTAGTCATAACACAAATTTAGAAATTAATTCCCATATAACTCGTCAGCAGAGGCTGCCGGGCTCGGACTGCCTGAGACTTGCCTCCTCAATCACAAGCCCAGGTATGCCATCCGCTAGGACTTCAAGGGTCTTTTACCGCTTGAATTCACCATCACAGTCCACTACTTCTCTTTCAGAGAATGAAGATGATGATATAAACAAGTCTTTGTTTTTTGGTGGTCCAGTTTCCTCTGTTGTATCACCCGCTCAATGGGCTTCTCGCCTACATCACTCTGCGGATGGAGCAATCCATTCATCGCACTCTCCCATGTCCCAAGTTCCCCCAGAAGTCCTCATTCATATCCTAAAACACTTACACACTCCCAGGGATCTCTATCACTCATTATTAGTCTCGCGCTCTTGGTGCGAATGCTCCGTCGAGCTTCTGTGGCACCGCCCTGCCTTCACAAGACTTTCTACCCTTGTGAAAATGATGAGGGTACTTAGTCGAGGCGACCAGACGTTTACATATAGTCGGTTCATCCGCCGTCTCAACTTCCTCTTCCTCGGTGCCGACCTTACCGACGCCCTGTTCTGCCGCTTAGCGCAGTGCGACCACCTGGAGCGCTTGACCCTCGTGAATTGCAGCTCTATCTCAGAAGATGCCCTTCTTCGCGTGCTGCCTTGTCTCCCAAACCTAGTTGCTATTGATCTCTCGGGAGTCATCGAAACTTCCGATCAAATCATCATTGGCCTGGCATCAGCCGCCAGGCGCCTACAAGGCATAAATCTCGCAGGATGTAGACAGGTCACCGACGTTGGCGTGTTTGCCCTAGCTTCTAGCTGTCCCCTTCTCCGCCGTGTTAAACTTAGTGGCGTTGATCAAGTCACGGATGGTCCTGTTTCAGCTCTTGCCAAGTCCTGCCCCCTCCTTTTGGAGATTGACTTGAATAATTGCAAACTCATAACAGACATATCTATCCGTGATATATGGACCTACTCTACGCATATGCGTGAAATGAGGTTGTCCCAGTGCGTCGAGCTCACCGATGCTGCCTTCCCGGCACCAGTCAAACCTCAGGTGACCCCGCGGAATAACCCTTTCCCAGCTGCCCCTCTGAGCCAGGACGATGGGCTTCCACCTTTAGTGATCCCAAGGCCCTTGGACCATCTTCGTATGCTCGATCTGACGGGCTGCGCGCTTATCACGGATGATGCTGTGGACGGGATTATTTCCCATGCCTCGAAAATTCGGAACCTCGTTCTCTCGAAATGCATCCAATTGACGGATAGGACTGTAGAGAATATTTGTGTTCTCGGCAAGCATCTGCACTACTTGCATCTCGGGCATGCAGCCAACATTACGGACCGCTCGATCAAGACGCTCGCACGGTGCTGCACCCGCTTGCGTTATGTTGACTTTGCAAGTACGCCTTTTCTCCTTTGCCCTCGTATATAATTTAATTTATACAACAGACTGCGTTCTTCTCACCGACATGTCCGTCTTCGAGCTCTCCAGCTTACCCAAGCTCCGAAGAATTGGTCTTGTGCGCGTCAGCAATCTGACAGACGAGGCAATATACGCTCTCGCTGAGCGATACAGCACTCTAGAACGCATTCATCTTTCCTACTGTGATCAAATATCGGTCATGGCTGTCCACTTCCTACTGCAAAAGCTCCACAAGCTCACTCATCTGAGCTTGACGGGTATCCCTTCCTTCAGAAAACCCGAATTGCAGCAGTTCTGTCGTCAACCTCCACAGGTCGGTGGTGCAGATGTTCATGTATAATCACCTGTTGACAGTCCTTTAGGAGTTCAATATGAGCCAAAGGATGGCTTTTTGTGTCTACTCAGGCAGCGGCGTTGCTAAATTGAGAAGCTTCTTGACGGACTTATTCAATACGATAACAGAAGATATGAACGCTGATGATGATGAAACGGAGTACGACGACGACTTTGATGAAGGATTCGTTGAAGGTGCCATGGATGCTGATATGGAGGGTGGAATGGATGGTGATGTTGATGAAGATTTTATGCACGATAGGAGATATAACTTCCACCATACGCCTCAGCCAGCTTCCTCCACCCTGCGCATGCATCATCACCCAGAGATCATCACTCCTATCTCGCAGCACCCCGAGCTTACGATGCAGCGTGATATGACCTTGCGACCAAGTCATGTTTCCATTGCTTCATCTCCAGCCGTGTTCTCTGCTAACAGTCAACCGCCGCCTGCGTCATATGCTTTTAATCTGCAACCCGTGGCGGAGCCGTCCAATCCCGTTATGAGACGTCCTCGCTTTGGTCACCAGCCTGTCATTGAGATTTCCACTTCCCCCCCTCAGAGCGACGTCGCATCTAATCGCAGTACCGGCACACAATCGAACGGAGCAGGGTTTTTTCGCACATACCAAGAGCCATCATCATCTTCTGGTAGAAGTAATGGCGCTCTAACGCCCGATTACAACTTCGCAGAGATAGGTCATGGCCGAGGCGCAGAACATGATAATATCGACCACATCAGTTTACCACCCCATCAGTTGGCAAGACACAATTTTACATCAACGGCGTCATTCAATGCCGCTGCAGGGCCTTCGGCCCAGGGCATCACCCAAGTGATGCACTCTGCGAATTTTGATTTTCGCAACGGTCAGAACCCCGAACGTCATACTCTAATGATGGAACAAGCGAAGATGACTAATAATCACTATCCTCCTTCTGCCGGATCTTCCGACCGCCTCGTGCCATGGCCACCCATGCGCACTGAGCCCTTGTACGATGTCCCGTCGCCAAACAGCCAAGAATTACAAGAATCTGTTCAAGCCACTCTCAGCCCTCCGACAGATTCCCGTGACACTGAAGGAAGAGGCAGGAGTGTCAGGAGAAGCTTTCGAAACACCTTCCACGCTGCTGAGCATTTTTTCTTCGGCCGCGCGTCGACTTCGAATGGGCAGGTCCCTGAGACGAGTGTCCCAAACCCTTGGGCCTCAGGAAATGTAAATAGCAACGGCGATGCAGCTGGGAATGACAGTCAACCTCACTAAATGAGCGCTGAATATCCCAAGGTCCGCGTCGGCAATAAGTAGACCCATAAGTTCATAGCAAGCATGGACATTATACGTGTTCTTCCCCTCAAACGCATCCGAGTCGCGCAACCTCTCTTGTTGTAACCCAAAATCCGGAATATTTATAACCATTACGCCAGTATCGCTGTTGTTGTTCTTTTGCCTGTATCGTGTATCACTGGTACTGTCGTGTAGGCTTCATGGTACTTATAGTGTTTATCTCTACAAGAGACAATCAGAGTGTCTGGGTATAGAGGTGTGCTGAACCGCTGGTTGGTGCGGGTAGTTGGCTCTCACGATCTCAACTAAGTAACACTGAACTACTCGCACGAGCATCGAAACTTGCATTACCCTGCTACGCTGTCGGGAAGCTGAGGCAAGCACACTTTAAGTTCCAACATGAACATCCGTGCAGTTAGGGTAAGCTCGCGACCTCTCAAAATGCATAAGTTGCTCATTTTTACTAGGTTGAAGATCTTGCAGGGATGCAAGACTGCAACCTGCACAACCTGCCCGAGAACTATACGATGAAATACTGTTTGTCTTTCGCTTCATTTCCTCAGACCGCTGATATTGACAGATTTCCCGACCAGATCTATATCACGCGTTATCGTGGCCTTCACTTTCGTATGTAGCTGAGGATCACAATGGACGGATTGTTGGTTATATTCTAGCAAAAATGTGCGTCAAATGTTTTTGCAGCTGAACTGTATTCTAATTCGAAGCGCAGGGAGGAACTTGACGAGCAAGACCCGCAATTTGCAACTAATCATGTTCCTCATGGGCATGTCACTTCAATATCTGTCATGAGATCATATCGTCGACTTGGTCTGGCTAAAAAATTGATGCTTCAATCACGTAAATTCACCTTTTTTTGTTCAAGCTAGAACGTCCATTGACATTCTTTCATTTCAGAGGAGGCAATGAGCAACATCTACCACGCGGCATTCGTGTCTCTCCACGTCCGCAAGTCGAATCGTGCAGCACTCAGCCTGTATCGCGACACACTTGGGTTTACCGTCAAGAATATCGAGGAAAAGTACTGTAAGTCCCTACAACGCTTTGTCATACGGTCATCTGATCGCATTCTTTAGATGCTGATGGAGAAGATGCATATGCGATGCAGCTCACGTTCGAACGCTAATGCGAAGGAAACTGTGGGGCGGACTAATAGTTTACAGCTATATATTTAACACTTAACGAATTACTGTCGCTCCTATTGGCTATGGTGTTGAGTCGCTCCCCACCTGATCAGGCAGCGTCTCTTCCATTGCAGCAGCTGCTTCAACGTCCTTCCGAGCTTCAGTATCATCACTCTCAATAATACCTCTAGCTGACATGACAGCTTCCCGAATGATCTTGGCCGTATCGAGCCCTAACTGATAGTAGCCATCGTTAAATCTTGGGTTGAACATATTGGTGTGCGCTTGAATCTCATCCGCAGCCTGGTGATTTCTTGCGGGAAGGAAATGCGCAGCTATAGGAGATGTTCGCTGAGGAAGGATAACAAATGTCCTGGGTGACGAGAATGAAGGTGGAGCTGGTGGAAGCAAGGTGTAAAATCTTGAGAGAACCAAAAGTCAACAGAGGCCCCCAATGATTCTCGCTCTGGTGGACGTACGAGCGAAATGTGACCCCAAGGTGTACCTGTACCTCATCCAAATCTCGCATACGTTTTCGCAATGCTTCCTCATCCCAGAGGTTGCGAACGTAATTCATATGATCAGTAGCCCAGCTGTATCCAGAACCAATGTCGTCTCGGCGGTAGTATGCTGTTCCAGCGGCTGCGCCGGCTACTAGTGCTCCACCAACAGCATACGCTGCAGGTGCCCACTTTGCCCAACCACTTTCCGCAGTGGGGGCCGCTGCTATTGCAAGAGGAGGTTGTCCAGGGATGCTTGATGATGCTCCTTTCTTGCCAAACAATGAAAACACATCTGAAACAACAGTGCGGGCTGCATCGGCGTATTCCACAGCCTTGGTTGCACTGTTCTTGAATACAGCAGGGTGAAGACCAAGGTACTTCGCAAGATTAGTGGCAGTAGAAGAACCTCAGATAACGGTTAACCAACTCACGGGAGTGTCGAAGGCTATGCACGCGATAATGTTCGGCCACAGTGGAGCGTTTTTGTCAGGTCTGGAATTCACAAACGCGAGTAAAGCGTCAGCAGCAAGCAAACCTCCCATACTGAATGACTTGAATCAATCGTATTACAACTGCCATTCTTGAATTCCTGCTCACCTATGGCCGCATAGCACAATTCTTGTTTTCCCGGCTCCACCCCCTTGTCCGTCCGCGACTTCTCTTTGTACGGTCAGAGTAGTAAGCCAGTCGGCGAAGTGTTCTACTGCGGCGTTCTGAAGGGGAGTCTTCATCTGCGTACAAAGTTGAGGTGATCATCGCGCACCAATTGTCCTTTGGTCTACACAGCTCGTAGTTAGCGGCCTAAACGGCAACGTGAAGAGAATACGCTAACCTCGTATGCGGGAAATACTATACATTCCACTTTGAGGTTCTCTATGACTTCTGTGAGGACATGCTCTAGTCTCGAAGGGAAGTTCTTGAATGTCGTATCAGTTCCCTTGAATCTATGCGTTGTTAATCGGGGAGCATTCTGACTTGCATTGTTTAATACACTAACCCATGAATGAAGACGATGAGAAGGAGGTCACTAGGAAGCCGTTTGACTACCGCCAGGCTATCTGCGCTCTTGTCTCCTGACGGCGAATCTCTCGAGCTCATGCTTGCGAATGGTGGAGTGTTGATGGAGTGTATAGCTTTTTAGCGGTTAATTATGAGACGATCGGGTAGCGACTAAGTGAACGGTATACGTTAGAAATGTAAATCTATTGCACTCGTGTCGTAATAGAATGTACCACAGCTAGCATGAAACAATACTCACAACGTTCGCTCGATTGAGTCTGTTACCGTTACTACGCTAATACAGGCTTACCAGGTCTGCATATACTATACGCTGACTGTTAACGACTGCGCTCATGTACCGTCCGATACTACCATGAGAGAGAGAATTCTCTGGTCCAGACTAGACTCCAAAGTTGTGTCAATATTCGTTGGATAAGCGAGACCAGTCACTACTTGATGATTGAACTCGCTGCGATGGTCGTGGACCCGGGTTGTATTGCCTCTAGTAATCAAGAAACTTCAGGTGCAGGAGCCTGGAGCAAGCAAGCTTGGAAGGAAAGAGATAGAAGAAATCAATATGAGAGAAGGCTCGAGAGATTGAAGATGAGATGGAGACTTGAACAGAATGCACAAGTTGTAACAGTAAATAAAATGATAGAGTTCGATATTCCAATTGAGGTGCAGATGTGTGAGGAGCAGAAGTGCTCGACTGAACAGTGACGAACTTCGTTAGCAAGCATACGGGCCAGACAAAGAGGTGCGAGCTGGTGACTCGAGGGCTGAGTCACGAATGATTTGACTGGCGTCCGAGTCGTGAACTGATTCGTTGAACTCAGTCAACCACGACTCAAAGTTCACCTTTCATAACATATTGCTGATAGTAAACGACAACATTTTCAGACTAGGATGTTGGTTTTGCAGGATACCGATAAATATGCTGGGTAGGTGTTGTGGTTTCTTGTCGACCCCCTGCACGATAACAGAACGAGTCCCTCAGAGTTTGAAGGATCTAGTGCGGATGATTTCTGTGATACAATGCAAATTAGTACCGAACCGTGGTCCCGGCGAGAGAGAAAACGATCTCACTTTGAGCGAAATGGCGCATGACATCAAGTTTGATCGAAGCGCTGTTCATCCGCTAATCACACATACCAGCGATGCTCGTACAAACAAAATCATGGCACTCACCCTTTGTATAGTGCAAGTGGCATGATTGATTCCCTGCAGTGAAAGGAGTATATTATCGTCATGAAAATGACTGCGCCGGAGACCCTTGCGTGCATTAAGGGTTGTCAGCAGGGAGTTGCAGCAAATTAATAATGACCATGTCGATCCCGTAAACAGAATGATTATTTCAATTATACCTACGACGACCCAGACAGACATAGAATGCAATGTAGATAAAAATATCAGGCCATATTGAAATCTGTGTGGGTCAGGATTACAATACCAAGCCACTCACGATGTGTTACATACAGAAATGAAGGACGTGACCGCGCAAACGCTGGTGAGCAGACCAGTACTGACCGTAAAAGGAATCAGCTTATTTAGCGGTATCAGGCCTCCAGAAACCGGTGCGATTTTTTTGAAAGAACGTGCAGAGGTAGGCAGCGATAAGGACGTCTCCAGCAGTTGCAACAGCATTTACAGACATCGACGCTCCTTGAGCCCCTTTAGTTCGATGAAGGTTGGTAACTTGATACCAAAGGAGTAAATGCATTACCCGGTTGCCTGATATGACTTACTTTCTTGCAACGTAAGCTTCTGATATCACATTAGTGGAGTGATATCGATATTGAAAGGGGCACATACTCACTGACAACAAGGATAAAATTGGGAATGCCAAGGGACAGTACGACATAGTTGCAATCATGCTCCGTTGCTTACAGCATGAAAGTCGGAAATCACAGATACATTTATAGACATGCACGATGAGGAAGCCGTATGAACGATCAGTACGGATGCCAGTGGTTCTATTCGGAAAACCCTCTGAGCAATGAGCACTGTGAAGCCATTGAACAAAACTTTGATCTGTAATGCAAATGAATGGAAACCACGAACCACAGTCATGCAACCCACAACTAGACTCTACACATGTCCGAGTTCACTGATGATGTCGAAATCGGTGATGAAGTACACTGCAGCGGGTGCCTGGCGCTTACCTGCGTGCGCAAATAGAAATAGAACCTGATGTACAGCGCCAATCTAAAGGAAACATTAGTGTCAGATGAGCAGCGCATATCAGCCATTCCACGTGAAGCTACTAAAATTTTGATGCGCCCACGAATTCGAAGAATATCGGGTAGAGTAGTACCAGGTGAGCTTCTGGTGGGGAAAAGGCACGAGAGCATCCGTAGAGCCTACACCATAAGAGTTAATCGGTGAACGATTTGACAAGGAACCCTTACATTGCAGGGACCAGAGTGTTCCAAAGATGGACAAGATATTATGTACTCGCAAGGGGTATTCGGAGTATACGTACGTATCGTCCAAAGTGCCCATGACAGACCTATTTATGGTTTGGATGGAGTTCCTGGGATGGGGGGACAATCAGACATTTCATCATCAATACAAAAACGGCCTTTTGTATGTTTCTATCCATCACACATTGTGAGTTTCAACCTGTAAGATTTCAACCAAAAGCAGATCAGGACCTGGCTAGAGCGTTCCAGAGCATTCTAGAATACCTTTTGAATGTAATTTCACTAGGTGGTAAAATGTTAGTTTCGTTTCCCACTGTGTCACTGGAATATAACATCTAAATGTGGAATATCAAGGTGTTGCACTTAAAGTTCGAAACACCGAAGCGACAACTGATAGGAGCCTCAGCCATCTGATGCAGTCTACAGGGGTATCCCCATGAACTAGCGTAAGATAAGCTAGTGCAAGACCCCCAAATGCAGAACACCAGACCCACAAAGGCAATACACGCCGAGCAGCGATAATAAGGGTGTACCCGAGAATGTCTGGTTGTGATCATGATGATGAATATATCCCACGTCGAGTCAAATCAGACACGGAGTCCGAGATCGGACGAGGTTGCTCAATAGTACTAGTGCTGTGTGCCTGACACGCGATCAGCGTCGAGAGCGGAATGGGAACGAAGAGCGTTTATGACTCACTATTCTTGTTCTAATCACCGCCTTGGGGTAGCTATGCTTGCAGTTGCCTGGAACGGCATGATTAATTCTAGTATACGAACGCAGATACAGCACTGCATAGAATGATTCTGCAATGGACGGTCCTTTGTGGTGGACACAATTCTGAGCTACCATTATCTGAGCTTAAGCACTCAGATTGTAAAAATTAGTTATACAACGATGGTACACTTGCAACAAGTCCAAACCAAAGTGAGCACTATATGAACTGGAAGGATGGTGTTTAGAAAACCACGCGATACACCTCAACATTGTGAAAGACCGTATGACTGGCCCTGGTATGGTGCTTGCGTCTGAAGCACTAGGGAATAGGATTGGGCAGAATCCTGCGAAAGGTTCGAATTAGAAGTCATTTGAGACTCCTGCGACAGATGGGAAGGCCCAAATGCTGATTCTTGTGTGGTGCCATTGGGCAATGGCGAAATACGGAGCGTTCCAGAACGGAAGTATCTTGCTCTATCACGTTGAGTCACAACGGGAGAGCTGCGATATTCTATGCGTTCAACGTCCTCCCTCTCGGCCGGCGGAGAGAGCTGCCGAGATCGGGTAGCAGGAGTGTGTTCGGGTTCAGATTCGGGCCACTGGAGATCAGCGTCAGCCATGTCCACAGTCATGCCCGCAACATTGGTGGTTGGATCATCTGAGGTGGACAATGCTGCACCTTCTGCTGCACCGTTGTGAACCGTCTCTGGAGCTTGGATGCTCTGGATACTGACGTCCGCGGCATCCTCCCGTAGGAGCTGTCGCTCTACAGCATCTTGCGATGAGCTTGATGAATCAGTGCGAGAATGATGCAGAGACATATTAGCGTGTGCCTGAGCAATCTCACTAAGTCTACTGTGTCGCCGATCAAAAGAGTCAATTTGAGCTGTAAGATTAGGGCGAAATGAGAGCGTGCTGAGGTCTGGTGATTGCGGAAGAGACACGATAGATGAGGTGTTAGATGAGGTGTCAGCTGGTGATGACAGCTGAGCAAAAGATGGGAAATCGCGTCCTCTCGCAGGAGTGGCCTGCAGGGCAGCAGAAGGCTGATGTAAATCGACCCTGTGCGCTGCAGGCAGTGGCGGTCTTTTCTCCTGCGGGGGAAACGAAGTTGATTGATGGGAGATAGGAGGCGTCACAGAAGTTGGGCTTAGGATTCGCGATGGTGCTCGCGATGAGGTGACTGGCTGAGAACCCGAAGAGCCCTGATTCGTAGAGTTGACATTTGATGAGTCTAATCCACCTATGCATGGAAAGGCACGATTTATAAGTTGGTTGTTGAAAAAAAACACGGTATATGCGTGTCTTGGAACAGGTAAATGTGAGCAAGGAGACGTACTATTAGAAAAGGGCACTGGCAGCGAGCTGCCCGACGTCTCGGACATGCTTTGAGCATCCGCTGCATCCTGCTTTCTCATGCGCACAATTTCCTTTTTGCTCATTGGCTGAAGTTGCCAGATATGATCATGCCTGACATGGGAAGCAAGCTCGTCAACGGTTGAGAAGGTGAGTCTACACCAGTCCCAACAACAAAAGAATGTTCGTGGTGGAGAAGGTTGTGGATGAAATGAGTCTGATTGAATCATAGTAAATCTAAGCTATTTGCGAATAGATTGTGCAACATTTATGTGAGCACAAACATTCAGAAGGCGTGGAGTTGTTTATCTTTGTTGAATTCAGAAGCTTCTACTTGCCATATTGGTCACTACGTACGTAAACGCCTCGAGCAATCCACTTTCAAGTTAACATGCAATCCGGTTTTCAAGATTCTGACATTTTATCTTATCTCATCCTTCCTCAGGACTATGATCCACTTCCAAGTGTCGATCCCATCAATTTTTTGAAAAGACATTTACATGAGCTGCCTCCCAACATCATACAGCGGTTTTCGCACATCACAACACCGAAACAGCGAACAGCTATTACTGAGATACGTAATCGAAGACTGAAATTTACTGAATCAAGGCCACGGTCTCTGAGCTTCGCGGTTGCCAGAAATACCTGGCCAACACTGTGGCAGGGCAGAGAACGAAGAGGACAAGAAGAAGGGAAGGAAGAGCAGGAATGGGCAAAAATGAATTTCCTAGGTGGTGCAGAACAACAGGTGGGCAACCTGGCCAAGCTACTCGGTGACATGGAGGAGGAACGGGAAGCGGAGAGAGTACGATTTATCCGGAGAACGCAGGGGAACGATGATTTTGTCCCGGAAGAGGAAAGTGACAGTGAAAACGAAGACGAAGATGAAGTTCCTGAAATTCAAGAGTCTGAATTTCCAGAAGAGGCCCAGGCGTTGTTTGAAAGACGCATAAGGGAACGATTCATATATGGCCTGCTTGAAGTGAGTTTTGTCACTGTACATGCATGAAAGGCTAACTCGGACAAATCTCTTGTCAGGGAGCAGATTATGATTCAGTCGACTGGGATGAGTGGCTCGACGTAGAGGATGATAAAAATGCAGAAGAGCGGTGGTTTGACGATGATTAACGGACATCAGATATATTTAGTATACTCTCGGTATCATTCCGCCGGGATGCTGCTCCAGTAGGACTAGAGCTCCGGATGCTGAATCTTTTTGCTTGCCCTCATCCATCTCGTCGGCCCACCCTAAAGCACCTAAAGCATGGCCGCCCAGATTCATCAAACGCCAAGTCTTTCATCCGATATTCAGCGAGCGCTGCAACAGGCCGTCGGCGAAGTCAATAATGCATTTACACAGTCCCAGGATAACCAGTCAAAAAAGAAACGCACTCGTAACGATTCAACTGGAGTCTCAGTAGACGGGTCTCAGAAGAAGCACAAGCGAAAGAAAACCTGTACTGACGATGTTGATGCATTAACCGTGCAAGCCAGTGAGCAAGCTGTCGAGATAGGGAAGGATAAAAAGGACAAGAAGAAAAAGACTGACAAAGGGAAGGCAAAGGAGGTCGTACAGAACACCGTTGACACTCTCAGTCCTCAGTTGGTGGAAGAAGCACCAGAGACCCATCCAACGAGCTCAGTCGATTTTCTGAATGCTGTTGTCGCTGCTGCATCTGCTACAGCAGATGCGCAGCAGCTGGATGTTTCACCGTATCAGGCACATTCTTCTTACCAGGATCATCATATCATGCCAAATCTACAGCACAATCACCCCTCACCTCCTTACATGACGTATCCTCCCATGAATTTCCCTTTTCCCTCTCCAGCACATCCTTATGGTCAGTCTTCATCGCATCCTACAAATCTTCTTCCCAGCTTGGGGTTCCCCCTCCCCGATGTCCAGTTGGCGTCAAATGACGAGATTCTCCGTGCATTACAAGAACTTGATATGTCAAAACTTGCCGGAGTATTGAAGACATTAGGTGATGCCGCCGCTGCTGCCAATGTACCTCTTGGTGTTCCCCCAGGGTTTATCCCACCTCTACCTGGTCATTCTAATATGCATCTACAACCCCCGCCTCAACCGATGGGTCAGCCACCTTCTACATCGGGAGCAATCTTGAATACTGCGCCCAAGTCGATAAAGACAAGCCACAAGCGTGTTTTGGACATGAGCCTTCCGGGGCCCGAACATGGTAATCCAGATCATGCCCACATGTTGGCTAACAAGTGGATGAACGCAACAAAACTGGCTGAGATGGTTAAAACACAAGGCTAGTGACTTACAGAGGTCATGGATCATTGCTAATTTTCACCAATAGGTCTCGTTTACAAGAAGGGAAAATTTTCTGCAATTGAAGAGGAACAACTTCGGGCCGCTATTGAAGCTTTCAAAGCGGTGCGCTATTTGTGACGCTTGTAAACGCGACTACTCAACGTTGTAAATGACAGGGCCGAGGACTTACAGACGATCAGCTCCAGGACATCATTTTCCAAAAGAACGAGAAAGGCAAAGACAACGCGTTCTGGTCGGAAATCAGTAGGTTTCCTTGTGTTGTATGAAATGTCGGTCTCGTGTTAATATCTCGATTAGCTTCCGCTCTCGCCCTACGCCCTATCATTGCTGTTTATCACCACGTTCGTAGGGCATTCCACCCGAAGAAGCAGCAAGGCAAATGGATGCCCGAAGAAGATGCAGTGCTAAAGCAGTATGTTATCTCCGCCCTCTTCATCCATTAGCGTTTTATATGCTTGTTGTTAGAGCTGTTGCGGATCTCGGTCAACAGTGGGAAAAAGTCAGTGAGATTGTAGGTCGAATGTCCTCCGATTGTCGTGACCGTTATCGCAACCATATCGCTAATCGCGAAGTTCGGGTGACGGGCGCGTGGACAAAGGAAGAAGAGCAAGAGCTGACGGCAATCGTCACGGAAATGACAATTCAACAGGGCAAAGATTTTGATAACGATGTCTTCTGGGGGAAGGTGAGCGATAGGATGGGGAATAGGCGTGGCAGACAACAATGTCGAATTAAATGGTCAGCGACTTTAATATGCGATATCTATTATTTCTGACATTCTTGCAGGACAGATTCGCTGAGTAAAACCGTCAAAAATGAAGGGCAAAAGCCACGTTGGAGCGCTCAAGATGCCTATATCTTGGTCCACAAGTACGGCAATTGTCTGCTGTCGGTTTCTATATGCTTATCTGTGTCAAAAGGGTAGACTCCATGAACGTTAGGGATGATACTGAGATCGACTGGAAGACGTTGCCCGATTCGGATTGGAATTTATGGAGTGCTCACTCACTCCAACGACGCTGGTTGACGATGAAGAGAGGAATTAAGGGGTACGAAGACATGACCCACCAAGGTTCGTTCTTCAAGGACTACCAAGTGATTGTTACATATCCTACGTGCAGAAATCATGGATATTCTCCGAGTCAAGAAAGCCCACCTTCCTCCAGCTTCAGCAGCACGTAAACGAAAAGTAATCAGTGCAGCAAACATCGATGAGCCAGCGGACCCAGAACTTGGAAATGCGGGGCCAAGTGGTGTACAAGAAGGTGTATCTGATAGTCAGGATAGAGATGCTGATGGGTCAACCGACGATTCGGATGATTGATTTTATCGCCATAGTTATGAACCCCAGCATATACTTATTGCTACCGTAATGCTTCTCAACAAGTTTTGATTTCGGGCCAGATTGTTGATAAAGTTGAGATTTTGCATTCATATCTCGCCGGTCAAACAACTCCAAGAAGACCAGCACTTCCTCTCATCCCCCTCCCTCTTGCAGCAGCGAAGCTGATGCACACGCAACTGAGCAGAAAGCCGGTGAACCTTGCAAATTCGGTCAATACCCAGCACAGCAAAAATTGATGAATGTCTACCTGAAAAATGCAACACGAGATATGGATCTCTCCTCGTGGGGTGTACGCGAGGATGTGAATATGGAGCGCAATACAGCTGGTGTCACGGGAAATCGCCTAGATGGATTGGGTGGTGGCGGCTGTAATGGTGGCTGATTTGACAACCTTGTCGCCGTAATGGTCGACGAGCTCCGCGAGCTGGTGGAGGTCATTGTTCAATCCTGTAGTTATCCGAGTCGGGTAACGCCGAAGCCTGTTCCAGAGTTGTGGACATTTGTGTTGACCGGGTATTATGGACAAGTAGACGCCCGGTGGCCAAAACAATTATCACACAACTGGCGACAAAAGACAAGAAGAAAGGTTTTCATGGCTATGCTAGCGCTTCACTGGCGTCTTTAGAACCCTCCTTCCGCGTGCACACCTCAAACTCTTCTATCGCTATCTTGAACGTATCATGGATTATCCAGATGTTGCGGATATGAAGAGGATTGTTGATCGGCTGCCCCAAACAGAGTCAGAACGCCGAATCGTTCGCCACTTGGTTATTCGCGACCCCAATTGCGGGGTAAGTGACGAATGGGTCGCCCCGGAGATGATTTTTTGTCGTCAACTGGAGTCGGTAGTTCTGTCTGGGGTGACGGACACATCTGACAAGACTATCGTCCATCTCGCGCGTGAAAACTCCAACATACAAGGTCTTGACCTTACTGGGTGCAAGTACGTCACTGACGTGAGCATCATGGAACTGGTCGCAAAAACACCTCCTTTGCAGTGGTTGCAGCTCAGCGGGGTAATACTCACTGATGCTTCAATCTCAGCAATCGCTAAGACCTTTCCGAAGCTTGTGGAATTGGAACTGAATGACCAGCCGCTCATGACGGCTGTGTCTGTTCGCGATATTTGGTCGTACTCTAGGAAACTTCGCACCTTGACATTGGCGCGCTCTCCTCAGTTAACGGATAGTGCTTTGCCTTCGCCGATCAAAACCCTCACTCCTCAGCCTTCTGGGGAGAAGCCGTTACCCGCTCGCCCTCATACCTGGCTTGATCAGCTTCCACCCCTAATCCTACGTCATACCGCAATCGATCTTCGTGTGCTAGATCTGAGTCACTGTCCGAAACTGACCGATGCGGGAGTTGAAGGCATCGTGACTCATGCTCCATTGCTCCGGTCACTTGCATTGGCCGGGTGTCCCAACCTCACTGACAAGGCCGTTGAAAGCATATCCAAACTTGGTCTTCACCTCGGCAACCTTACCCTCGCGCATTGCCCGCGAATCACTGATAATGGCATCGTATCTTTGGCACGATCATGTACCGAGCTTCGATCTGTCGACGTGGCTTGTAAGTATTGGTATTGTTGAGTGTCCAATCGTGCTGCATGCTGACGGAATTATAGTCTGCCGACAGTTGACTGATATGGCTGTATTTGAATTAGCTAGTTTGGAACGCATTCACCGCCTTGTTCTTGTTCGTGTGCCAAAGTTGACCGACAACGCCATCTATTTCGTTGCGGACCATACCCCTTCATTGGAGCGACTGCACCTTTCGTACTGCGATCGCATCACACTCAAGTCGTTACATCATCTCGTCCGAAGTTGTAAGCGCCTTGTGCACCTTACTGCGACTGGTGTACCTGGTGCAAGGCGAACCGGCGTCGGGCGGTTTTCTGACCCGCCTCCTGCGGTATGTCCCAACTCACTGGCACTGATGACGTTGATTCTTATTCTCGTGCCAACCCCAGGATCTGGATCCCGATCAGAAGGCCGTTTTCCGTGCATTCAGTGGTCCTAATATAGCGGCGTTGTGCAAGTTTCTGGACAAGGAGAAGCTGAGACGCGAACAGGCGGAGGCTCAGAACATCCCATTCGTCGCGCGATCGGATGATAGCATGGATCTGTATTAGCCGGGAACGTTGTGAACTGGTGGTCGATCTTGAAAGCTTCAGGGTTGGGCTATCATACTTTATATCTCCATTTTATTCATTCATTGTGTTAACGACATACTTACCTTGCATACTTCACGTGCTGTTGTGCTTCTACTAGGCCTCTACACTATTTCTATAATGATCACACCAATCGCGTTGCTACCAACGTGATTCTTCTGTTCTTCGGAATCATAGAGGGGCTGTAGATATAAATTCTTACTAGGAACGCGGAGATAAGTCACTGCGGAGACGAGAATTTAGCTCCACTGTAATCCGAGGGTGTTTGAGTGTCGACGTGGCATAGACGTAAGACCTATTCGAGGTTTAAACTGGACGAGATTCACGAGATTTTCGCTCCACTAGTGGCGCCTGAAGGATTGCGAGCGCTGTCCAGGGAACCGAAACCAACCCGAGACCAACCCGAAGAAAATATTGCTGATATCGATGTGCTCGTCTAATTATAAGTGCAGTCACTCGTCGTCCTTTATCCCGAATTTCATAACTTCGGTCGCTAAGCTTCACTAACCGGAGTTGGTTGCTTCCACCCACGTTGTCTCCTCTTCAACGTTCAAGTTGGATGGTTGCCCAGATGCTATACGGTGTTCTCTCAACCGAGTGAAAACCTATCGGCCGCGGCTGTCATACCCGCTGGTTCAGTGCCGGCGGGTCATTAATCTGAATCAAAGAAAACCTGGCCGGGGTATGAAATACTTGTATCTAATTTTCTAACTCGGTTGCCATTCAACTTCTACTTCTGCTGTTTGACATGCGAGTCGGCCATGATACTAGTTACATATCGCACAGCATTGCTTTAAAAGACTATTTGCGACCTAGAAATCAATGCACGTGTCTAGGTCTACGCGTCTGGTGGTCGCGGACCGCAGATAAAGTTTAATCTCCGCTTATAGATCACTGACGTATTATCGGGATCGGTCCTTTTATTCATTCTACATCACTTCCAACTTGTTTGGACTAATAATTGCATCATCTTCAACGCCCGTTATTCGTCTTTCCTTCTTAAATCCAAGTATCCTTACAGCACTCATTAAAAGGGCAACGACCCACCCCAAATTTTGTATCAACCGTCGGGCAGGTATATGCTCGTCACCATCCGGTCACCCTCTCAATTAATTGCCAATTCGTTTCCACCGTCACATTAAGGTCCGCAGCTCAGCTCGCTGCAGGTCATCTCCAACCTACTCAGCCCTGTCTGGCGGGCAAGCCAAGAGGCTCCCTAAGGTCTGTCATCGGTGGTGTTCAACACCCCTCACCTGCCTAGAGCTTTCTCTATGGCATAATCTCTTACACATTCTTATGTACTATCACAGCTCTTTTGACGAATGGAGGATGGCTCTCTCGTGGTGCATTTAGTTCCCTCATCTCGCACGCGCTCAATCTCTCAGCGCCCGCGACCGCGTACTCCACCATCACCCATTTCCTTTTTGGAATGCCGGACAACGAACGCGACTGTTTTCACTTCAGAGCATTCAATGTCCTGTTCAGATGATACGTCTGCTGTACGCGAGATTTCCTCTACAACCGTGTCTCGTTCTACTCGGCAGTCACCACAGTTTTCCCAGCGGTTTGTTCCACTCACACCCATCATCGCATCCCCGTTGAACACGCCCCCGGCGAGCATGACAACCAACGTTACCTTCAGCTTAAACTCCGACACAGATGATGAAAGGGACACAAAATTTGCAAACAGCGAGTCTGCTGCACACGTGGAGATGACTATTCCAACCCCAACTTGGATGGCCACACCTCCTACACCACCTCCAAAATATGCTCACATATCTTCAACCTCTGTGTTCTTGCGGCCACATTCATCTTTCGTGACTGCCTCCGCCTCTTTTCCGGACCCTACATGTCCCAGCATATCCGAAGAGTCCTCGGAGCTGAATCTGAAGCGTCGAGCGTCACTTCCTCCAATGTCTGTTTCGAAACCCTTTCCTACCATTCCTCCTGCCGTACCGCCGTTGTCACTGACACCATTACGAGACAACCCCTTCAAGTCAGGCACGAGATCGTCCGGAAGTCCACTATGTGTGAGTATAAGCGAACACAGCGAAAAACGATCACATAGAAACGACAAACCAGCGTCTCAAGCAGCACTTCAGAAGAAACCATTGTTTCACATGCAGGACGATTCAGATAAGGAGGATGACGCCATGCTCAAGAAGTTGGATGGCCATAATAAGAATCCACCTGAATGGCAGGAGTCAAGCTCGGAAGCTGCCGATCATCCTCTTCCGGCCAAGCATGATCTCATTGGAAGCAAGGATGACGTGAGAAAATGCCATGCACTCTTAGAGTTGCTCTCTACGGAAGTCGGATACCTTTTTGACCTTAAGGTTCTTGTTACAGTGAGTCGATCCATCGGATTAACCAGTTCTCGAGATTTTGATCGTCGCGTGCTTCTCAGGTGTACCTAAGGCTCCTGCCCGGTCTGACCACACGTCCTCCACCCTCCACCTCCTCTAGCCTTGGGATGTCCCATTTCTCCCGTTCCGCCTCTCCTGCCTTCAATACACCTTCCTCGAACCCCGCTGCCCGCACACAACCTATTCACCACCCATTCTCTACCTGCGAAAACGTCCCCCCTTTTATCAGTGGTCCACCAGCGCAGGTCGTTGTAACGAAGGAAAAGTCTCCGATGCGGCACATATTCTCTCCCACTGACCTTGGTTTGATAACTCGTAATATGGAGGAGATTCTGAAGTTCCATGAACAACTAGTCTGTGAACTAAGGGCACTAGTTTCCCCTCTCGGCTTTCCGATGATTCTCGATGGGGCTAGTAGCAGCGTGACGACAATGATAATGCAGAAGGAATATACCTGCAATTTTGAGACTTTACACTCGGCACTTGATGCGGTTGCCACGAAATTCATTGAACGAGTAGGTGCCATGTGATGTTTCGCGTCCCGCAGTACTGAGTTTCCTTTAGGCACATGAATTTCAGTTGTACCAATCGTTCTGCTCTGGACATCCTGAAGCATTCGACCTCGTCCGAAAAGTACAACAGGAGTTCCCAGCCGAATGGGAGACGTTTGAGCAATCATGTGCCACTATAGCTGCTGAAATGCGCATCGATGGCTTACTCCAGTCTACTACCAACAAAGAAGCTGAAGATGACGATGTTGCAGACGGTACTCTCAATGAAAACGAGTCGATTGCGAGAAGGCGACGGCATTCGCTTTCATCATTGGATGCGAACAGTTGTCGGCAGAGTATTTCTCGCGTCAGCTCTAACGCCAACCTCAAGACATCTGTGGCTAGTACGTCTGAAAGCGGACACTCAGACCGAGGCATAAAGTCGAAGCTCGCATTCATGGATTACCTTATCAAACCTGTTCAACGCATCTGCCGCTATCCCTTACTCCTCGGTCAGCTCCAAGATCATCCGCGAAGTGCAAGCGGCGGCGGCGATTCACGCGAGTCAAGCTCTTTGTCTAACGCGGGAAGCAGATTGGGCGATGTAGAAGTAAATTTGGTCCAAAGTGCGCTGAATGTCATGCGGGCCGTAGCCAGCTCCGTGGATGAGGCACGACGCCGACAGGATCTAGCAATCAAGTCCTCGCTCATTGCCTCGCGGTTATCGCAGGGACTAGCCCTAGTAACGGCATCTTACACTAGACCTGCATCGCACAATCTTTCTTTGGGATTCTTGTCGTCCCTAGGCCCGTGTTATCTCGCAGGATCATTGGATGTGATCCACTACCACAGCCTCAATGCCAGTAGTAATGGCACAGTCAAAGCCAAGTATCTTGGGGCTTTTTTGTACCCTGGAGGTTACATCATTCTTGCCAAAGTCCACAAAGTAAGGATGTACGAGCCAAAACATTGGTTTTCGTTATCAGGGTTTGACTTAGTCGACTCGACAAATGACGAAGGTATGCAGATTTCAACCTATGAACATACAACGCTTTAATACCACCTCCGCTAGCCCTATTACCGAGTTGGTTTCGCCTTTCTGGGCGAGGTCACATTTTCGAGTTCGCAGCGTCTTGTCGCCGCGAGAAGGATGTCTGGAAGGCTGCTATTCATCACGCCCTTGAACTTCCTGCTGCATGGAGGAGCGAACCGATTTGCAGTTTTAGAGGTGATTCTAAAGGGGATTTCGTTTTGTCGCTGCTAGATGATGCGCCATACGAAGTGATCTGCCCTTTGCCCACTATCCAGTCTATTCCTGAGCTGGATAATGAAGCAGCATCTGGCACAGAAGACAACCATTCACTCTCTGTCCATCCGGATCCACCGAGATCGGGTCGGGCATCCTACAAAACCGACCCATCTCAGAAATCTGACTCTGGTCATCAACTTGCTCCTAGCCGTCGCTCGTCTACCATATCGAATAGGACTTATCTTAGCATGTTGTCAGAGTCGGATACGATTCATCTTGTACGTGCCACTGCTCCCGCACGTGAGCAAGTCGATCGTGGACTCCTTGACGTGTTCTCAGAGAGCTGTCTCTCTGCTCGCTGCTATGCGCATACCCACGAAGAAGAGCTGTTTGAAGCATCGAAGGTGTCGCGGTCGTTCTCGAGGTCAAGCTCAGGATTAACCATGGCTGGCGCCATGAGTGTAGCTGCAAAGAATCGCCTGACCAAGCGGGAGAGTGTGCTTGTCCCTAGGAGAAAGAGTTACATAGACGCTGGTGACACCCCTGCTGTGCCTACCCTTCCATCAACCAAGCTGGTCAAACACCGCCGACCAACGAAACTCAAGATCATTGCCGTTTCAAGGGCTGCGTCTCCGGCAGATGATGAAGTTAAACTAGATGGTACCCAAGAGTCGCCTTCTCCTATGTCGCAGTGCTCCTCTGTGTTCGCTTCTGCTCCAGGGTCAGTCGCCACTAGTCCTACTTTTCCTGGGACAGTATCAGCACCCACCTCGGTGCTGTCAGGTGCGACTTCTCGACCGGAGCCTGCAGCCCGGAAGGAAGCCTTCACGCCCAAGCGGAGTCGTTCTATGGTCGAGAACGTACGAGTCCTTTTCTCGCGCTCTACATCGCCAATGCTTCCTCTGTCGTATCAGCCATCTGAATCGGGCAGTGTATCAACTACACCAAGCCTACTCAGGTGGTGGTCGAAAGGGACACTTCGAAGAAGGGTGCAAAGTGCGCCCGATGTCCCACTAGAGGAGCTTCCCTCAGATGCATCAACCAAGTCTCTCAGTAATCCAATTCCAAGCTTTCACCCTTCTTTGGCGTCCGCAGATCGTCCAATGTCTCAACCTGATTTGATGCGCTTAACTCAGTTTCCGCAATCTGCACCTGATTCGTCTGTTGCGGGTTTCGGAGTTGTAGTGTCAACTCCGGTGCGATTGAGGACGTTGTTCGGGTCGCCTAGTCTCCGCCGCCGCTCGACCACCGCGACCTCAATTTCATCATCCCCAGGTAGCCAGGAGGGAGGATTTACTCCACGCACTGTGCGCATGCGCCGCAATCTTTCGTTTTTATCACGACTCACCCCCATGGTACCGGATACTGTTATGCAGAATTCATGATCATAGAACCACACTCCTGGGCTACATACCATAATTGACTGACTTCATTATTGTACCACTATTCATCGCATATCTTATTTTTTTTTACCAGCATCAGTTCATACAATCCCTTTTATTTCATTCTTTTCATTGTCCCATGCCCTTATGGTCGTCATATATCACGACATACTGTACACGTAGGAATACAGGTTTTTTTTTGACTCTTTAGAGTCGATTCAACTACTTGTCTTGACGCGTGCACGTGATCAGACCTAGTCCGTCACGTGTGGACGCGCCGCATTGTTCGCTTAACGCTAAGTTCGTTTACTTGAGTCTTGTGTCTTTTAATCATCTCTTCATGAATATCTTTAATCTATGGATTTAACCAGCTCTCCTCGTAAGCAGATTCCATTAGCACGCGGGGATGAGACACCTCGTAAACCTTCCTCTCCATCTCTGATCAGACGGGTCTTCTCTTGCGGGGTTGTGGTTGAGGGTTGTGATAGTGGCAGGAGGTTGCCCGAAGGTGAGCAGTACCGATAACTCCTGAAGAGTATAATTTGATTAGTTTAGATGTCCAAGACCTGGTTCTGTCTCTAGGAGATCCCTGGTTGAGTCAGAACGATAGCCACATTCTGCCTTCCGCGACAGATGCATCATTCTCAGAACACCACCAACCCGTGAGTGGTGCATGCTAACCTTTGGCTACAAAGGCGAGACGCTTCGCTTGCTCATACTCAGATGTGGTCTCCTTCGTGTCTTAGGACGGTTTGCAGCGTAAACGTGCGCTTACAGATTCGACGGCTCTATCTGATGTGGTTAACGAACTCGTCAATACCGAACGGTCCTACGTCAAGAGACTTCAAATACTGAAGAACGACTATGCAGATCCGCTCCGACAATTCTCCCGCAATAAGAATACCGCAATCTTGCCTGCGTATGAGGCTAAAACATTATTCGGGAACATCGACAACTTTCTCCCAGTTAACGAGGCGTTCCTGTTGGATCTCGAGAAGATGGTTGCACATGACGGTCCTGAAACAGTTGGGGGTGTCGGGGATGTCGCCCTACGACATTTCAAAGATCTACGAGGGTTTGAGCACTATAGACAGTACTACGTCAAGCGAGAGGAAGCCCAATCAATATTTGAACGCGAGATGATGAAGAAGTCGTCTGGTTTTGCTGCTTATATTGATGTAAGTGTCGATGAGACTCTTTTTGGGGTGCTAACCAGACTATTTGTTTCTAGCGGATCAAGTATTCAAATGCTGATACCAGGAATCGCGTTGGTCTGCGCGAGCTACTTATGGACCCTGTTCAGCGGATTCCACGATATACATTACTCTTTCGCACTATGATCAAGTATATGGCACCCGGCAATCCACAACGCGCCAAATTGATAGAAGCCGATGATATCGCCAGCAAGATCGCTCTTGCAGAAACAGACGAACAAACCAAGCGAGCAGCAATCATGCATTGCCTTAACGCAACAGTGGATGGTTTTCCTCCTGGTCTAATTTCAATTTCACGACGATTCATTGATTGCATTGATGTCGATGATATTGTGCAAGATGGCGCGGCATCTGCATCTACCTCCGTCTCTAGCCTCGCTCTCAACGTGCTGCATTGTACGCTGTTTCTTTTTGATGACAAGTTGATGATTGTCAAGCGACCTGGCAATGGCGAGAAAAGTGGTCGTGCACTGGCTGGTTTGGACGACGTCGACAAACTTGCGAAGTCTGGCGGCTTGCCACTGAGGATGAAGAAAAGTGGCTTGAGTTGCAAGGGTGTCATTGAGTTGCCCGACATCGTCGCTGCTGACGTCGGTGGTACTGGTGAGTTGTCATATATTAATTATCACCTTCAGTTTTTGTCATTGTTTCAGACTTTCACGTATATATCGAGAATCCGCCTCAAGACCAAAGTGATCGTTGGTCCGGTCGCTCGTTCCGTTGCTTTTCCGTTGTCTTCCCTCCTGCGCCAGTAAACCTCGATCCTACTCGGACCGCCAATGAGAAGGACCGGTTCCTCGAAAATTTATGGAGTGCTCAGGCGAAATACAGGACGAAGTCGGGACAATCAGTTGTCTTGTGCGCTGATGAGCGTGAAGTAGAGTCGAGAGGAGGAAGGGTTACTATGGCTCGTACTTACTTCAATGTATACCAACGAACGGCCTTTTTGCAAGAGCCCAAAAAGGTGCGTTTCATTGTTATGCGCCGACCATCCTATTTACATTGCGAACGCGTACAGACCAAGATCGTCATGCATATAGACACGCTGGGGACTGCAGACCCCATTCCATTCGGGATTAGCGGACCGCCATATGTGGTGGTTAGAATACAACCTATGGCAGGGGAGATTTCGCGATATACAGTTACCTCCAGCGATCCGTCTGATGAATCGGAGGAAGACATTGTTCAGACTGCAAGGATACCAGGCCGCATCGTTCAAACAAGTCTGTGTCCAAGTCTTTCTTTCCTTTTTGTGATGATTGAGAATTGTATAGTTCATCAATACGGCCTGTTCAAGTTCAAAACTAGCAATGACTCCCGTCCTGCCACCCCGACCGCGAGCTCAAGGTCTCGGGCACATATATTTAGCCTGGACGTGATCTCAAGAAATCTATTCAACGCCATACCAGGTTCTTCCAGGGGTGATTTCTTTGGTGGTTCCATAAATAGTCATCGCCGGTCAAAGTCGTCTACAAGCCGCTCGTCTGTTTACACCCACACGACGAGTACGACAGGCGACGGAAGTTTGACCAAGTTCTCTCGTCGATCCAATTCAACGGCTACTGCTCCGACCTCTCTGGCAGACGATGATTCTCTCTATGCTACCAAATCTTCGAGTTCGCGCAGAAAACTGGTCAGAAGAAGTCGTTCACCGGGCACTTGTCGTTCTTCTCCATTGTCCCGGAAGACCTCTCCATCACGAGATAGTTCTGGGATATCATCCTATAGCGATGGAGAGGAAGAATTACCAGTTCGCCAGGACCCGTCTGACCAAGATTTATCACTGCGTCTAGAACTCGCACGACGCAACAGCAAGAATCAGCATGGAAAGCAGACCATGAGGCCTTCGTTGGACAGACCAGCAGAGGAAACCATCTATGAAGGTAGGGCAAAATGTAGCATTTGATTTCGCTAGCCTCACTGATGCACTGCAGATGATCCACCTCGGTCTTTACGACCCACGTCTCGAGCATCTGCAGCAACAAGTCAGCGATCGACGACTCCCCGCCCGACGTCGACATCTCCAGGAAGAGGGATAGGGCGACCTCGTTCTCGATTTGGTCCTCGTAGCATATCCCCATTACCACCAAAGAGTCCGACAAGTACTGGACCTGATCTTCCATCCATGGATGATGAGCTTGCGTTGGAAGCCCGTATTGACTTGGAAGACCACATAGACTCTTTTCAAGATGATTCATCTTTCATTGACGATGATGCTCCATCTCCATTACCACGCAGTAAACGCCAACCATTCATTGCGACTGGTAATATGGATTCCACACCGAGACAGTCCAGCTCAACAACAGGCAGCGTAGAGCCTCTCTCGATCAAAAAGAAGCCATCTACGAGGTCTAGTACATATACTCCAAGCCGTAAATCGTATACTAGAATTTCCCCACTATCAAAAAGCACGGCGAGGATCGTGTCTCCACGCAAAGTTTCACCTCAAATTCGGATCACGCGTGTAACCCACACTTCTCATTCTCCCCAAGTTGACCATGCAGACGAACTGTTGCGAATCTCCCTATCTACCCAAGATGATGTACGTAAAAAATTCCGTCAATTTGTCAACTACTTCATAGGCAACATACAGGTTGAGTCATCACATCGTGTCATTAAACGGATGAAATTGGACCTACAAGAGATTCGAGCTAGTGATGACATGACGAGTCTCGACGAATCACGGAGATGCTCTTCTCCTGATAAGTCACTTGCTCGGACCCCACAGCGGCCCATTCCCCAGCCCATTGTGCGTGAATCTATTTTTATTCACAAATTTAACGCTGCGACTGATATTTATGGATTTAGACCAGGGAAGCACAACAACGACTAGACGAGATGAGACAGTTAATCAGTAAACGCCAGCAGGAGGGTGCACCTTTTAGTCGACCACGAAGCTTTGTTACAGAACTATCTACGCCTACACCACCTGCAACACTGGGTACATCGAACATCAGCCTGTTGAGCGAGTCCGTTGCTGATGCTGACAAGTTGTTGGCTTCTGCTTTGTCAAGCCATGAGACATTGCACCAGAGCCTTACGCAAGTAGTGTCTGATTTCAAGGAGGTGCGAAGGAACGACATCTCTGGAAGTCATAACTCACCTTTATCGCATAGAAACTATCTGACTTGGAGAAAGTCCGAGTGGAACTTCAGAACACGAAACGTCAATGCGAACTTGTGAAGAGTCTTCTTGCAGATGCTACAGCAGAGAAGGAAATTATGTACGAGGTCTGTATCGCGCGTTATAATCAAATGCTCGGGGCTCATTGATATCCCAGGCGTTCAATGAAGAGCTAGATGCTATGTATAACGATGCACATCTCCCGGATGACGAAGCTTGGACCAATATGACGGCTGATCTTCGTGAGTCGAAGGAATCGCAGAATATGCTGAGAAAGGAGAACTCGCAAGTGTCATGTTCTCCGTTCTATCGATCCTCGATTGAATTTTGTTTCCTACAGGCAACTGAAAAGGAGGCTGGCTGAGGCCGAATCTGAAAAAGAAGAGTGCGTATTCGTTTCAATTCGGAACACTAGACATAAACCCATTACTTCAACTCTAGATGGGGTGCATTACTGCGGGCACACGGACTTATCCCTTAACTCAGGAACTATCTTATTTATTTTACCATTTGCTTGTATATTGTTGTCATCTCTGCACGCACATATGTAATTCTGATCATCTCGTCCAGCAAACGTATAATATTAATCTGAAAATGTGTGCCGATGTGATGAATTTGACATATCGTCACTCATATTGCGTGAAACGACCTAGAGAGCGTCACTGCAACGTACCATAGGCTTATAATTGCTACTATGGGAACTCTTTACAAGTCCCTGTCGATTAGTGGTTAAATCGCCACGTTGTGGAACTCACAATACCGTGGCGCCGCAGGTTCAATTCCTGCCAGGGACATTTTTATATACAAACAAAAGATCAATGACCACTAGAACATGTTTTTTCCCGCCTGTTAATTTATGACCTACTAGCCATCATGACGGCACGACGAGGACTTTCATCGCTTAACTTGACGTTCCTCGGTACTGCTTCCGCGCAACCGTCTCTGACCAGAAATCACTCTGCACTTGCTCTCCGATTGAATAGCGATGTCTGGTTGTTTGACTGTGGTGAAGCTACGCAGCACCAAATCCAAAGGTCCCAAGTCAAGATGGGAAAGATTGAAAAGATCTTCATCACCCATACTCATGGTTGTTAATTTCAACATTGCTTTCCCAGTCAACTAAGTTCCACTGGCTGATAGGGGATCACATCTTTGGTTTGCTGCCCCTCTTGGCAAGTATGCTGAACGGTGCCGGAGGAACAGCTGATGGAGTAGAGGATCCTCGTACGCACATGGTCCAGGACTCATTGGATGTCTGTACATTTGCTGCACTATCTTGTTGTCACTGACCGCTTTCATTAGCCCATCGAAATCTATGGGCCCTTTGGAACCAGGGCATATGTCCGTAATGGCCTCAAGCATACACATACCCTCCTTGGCGCGCCTTACGTCGTTCACGAATTGCGGTTACCTTCTGACCCACCAGACGGAGACCATAATCTTCATGCATCCGAATCTCCAACCGGCCGTAACATTCCACAAACAAACGGTGTTTGGTCAGACGTGTATCGCGACTCCATTATTTCAGTTTCTGCTGCTCCCATCCTACACTCTGTGCCGTGCATTGGTTATGTTGTAACAGAGGCACCTATACCCGGTAAAATGGACCCTGCAAAGTACATACCACATCTTAAGCGTACCAAGACACCGATGTCTGCTATGAGCCGTCTCCAACAGGGAGAGAGCATGGAACTCTCGGATGGCACAATGTTGCATGGCCCTCTTAAGAGGCCCGGACGCAAACTTGTCATTCTTGGAGACACATATGATCCATCGCCGATAGCGGAATTGGCTTCATCTGCGGACTTGTTGATACACGAAGCAACAAATGCCCACTTGCCAGCCTTGGACTCAAATACCAAGGCCGAAGACACATTTGAAAGTGTCGAGGCACGTACAAAAGCCAGAGGGCACTCTACTCCCCAGATGGCTGGTGCTTTCGCGGCAAGGATCGGAGCGAAGCAATTGGTGCTTAATCATTTCTCGCCCAGATACCCGGGGAACGACGATGTCGATCCAACGGCGAAGACGATCATGGAGGGCATTGCACATTTAGCTGAAGAGCATTATAGCGGGAAAATTACATGTGCGAGGGATTTTATGAGTTTTAACGTGGATGTAACGCAAGAATCCGCATGAAATAAGTAAGTAGCAATGTACATTTAATCATCTGGCGGATCAGACAATGCGCTGCTCGCATCGCTTGCTTCTCCTTCCTCCAATTCTTCCCGGGCTTTTTTCGCCTTCACCTTTGGATCCTCTGCAACCTCTCCCATCTCTATGTCGTCATCTTCTTCTAGAGGTTGTAGTAACGATGGTGTATGCGAACTGGGTGCGAATTCATTAGCAGGGTTGAGTTTCGATGAGAACGATGTCCCAATAGACTGGTCATCCTCCCCATCCTCCTTCTCCTCAGCCACCTCGCCCGTTTCCTTCTCATCTTCATCCAATCTTTCGTCCATTATTTGTGAGTTATCACGCATGTGAGGCACGTTGTCATCGGTTTCTGTACCGTCTGGAGCTGGCGTAGCAGCCGGTGTCCCTAAACCTGATGTGACAGATTCTTTGTCTTTGCCCATAAGGCGAAGAGAGCCCAAGTCCATGACGATACTGTCTAAAGCAGTTTTCTGGCCCCTTATAATTCGGTCTTGAGTCTCGTGTTCCACGTTAATAGTAGCCATGTCATTTTCAAGCGACTGTATCGCCCTGAACACTGATAAGAAAGATACCAAAGTATTTTGAACATGACCCACTGCTCAAGCTCCTCGCGACTTGGAAGAGTGTTGATCTTCTCGGCAATCGTGTCGTACTCGACCTTTCGCTTGCGTTCCATGTGTGCATGCTCCAGCGCGACTTTCAGCTCCTCGATTTGACTACGGAGAGCGTCATGTTCCTTCTCTGCGTATTCATTCCTCAGACGTCCACTTCCATGCAAGACTCGATGCACTCACCAATCTTCTCCCGTTCCCGTTGATATTCCTCCACTTGCCTCCGCTCAGCTTCGCATACCATCATGCTCTTTTTAAGAGCTAGTTCAAAGGATGACAGCTCGATTAAGAATGCCTCCCGTGCATCCTCGACTGTTCCAGAAGCACTAGGTGGCACAAGGAGATGGTGTACTAAGGAGGCGTAGTTGTGAAACTTCTTGACCACCCGCCGAAGCGGTCGTTCGTCGTTCGTAATACGCGTATGTATGATAGCATCTGTTAAAAGCGCGTTTGTCAACATAGGAATCCAGCTTTTAGTATAATTGATCCATGCCTTCTTCTTCAGCAGTGAGTGGTGGAACTGGTTGTGATAAATCTGGCTCAGAATGTGAGCTTGATTCTGGGACTGCCATGAACGATGACTGTAATACTCTAACACACAGGAGTCGAGGTGTGAGATCTGAGACTTGAATTCAAAGGAACGTGGATTGAAAGCAGATGAAATTCCGTCAGGTTACATCAAAATTGTAAACTATATATAGGACAAGACAACTATTCCTTGAACGTTGGGCGATGCAGACATGATGTGACAATTGTATTGTATTCGAAAATACCAAAAAATGCGCAAATGCAGAACATCGTCTGAGCATAAATAAGTTAACCCCACTCATCTGGCACAAACGGCGTGACTAGATCATAAATTTCTTCGTTACCTCCCCGTCCTCTTGGAGGTTTTCCGCGGTTGATAACGCGTTTAAACATCCCACCCAGACTTCGAGAGGTGTCAGAGAAGTCTGCACTGATCGGCCTCTCATTGTCTCTGGGATAGCAAGAATCAATATTAAGAGCGAGCCTCCGGAGGCCACTGGAACTATCGTAAGCCGCTTTCCTGGAAGCCTGGACAGCTGATTGCAAGTACATTGCGAGGTTTGGAAAGTTGATTGGAAGTGTAGGGTATGGTGTGGAATTCGTCGCGGGAACTACATAGTATTTTGCCATTGGCGAGTCAGCCCCATCACGGAGGAGCTGCGGGAGTGGTGACAAGGTATAGGAGTAAGGAAGTACGGTTACATCGCCATTGGTGTACTTATGCGAGTTTGTGACAGATTGAGGTACTGGCATATCAGTTGTCAGATAGATGACCGTTCGCCATTCCGAAGCAGAGTGATGAATCTGCAGTGCCAGTCAGCTTTGGTACTCAGCTAGATAGCTGTCCTTACCTTGACAAACTGGATTACAATTCTCAACTTGAGCTCATCCTTTGCAACGGTAAGAGCTTCCAGGGTTGGTTCGACGCGAGTCCCACTTAATCGCGCCATTAGCTTCAACAGGTGATGCCAGGAGGGCGACTGAATGTGAAATATCGGTGCCTTCCCGTATGGTAATGTTATAATATTGGGCATGGCCTCTCCCATAGGTGACAATATCGTGGAGATTGATGGTGGTTTGAAGCCCATTGCTGCAAACATTTTAAATGAGTCAAGAAGAGTGGACGACGAAACGATACTTACAGACGCCCATCAGCATATCTGCTTCAACATATTGGTTGGCCGTCAGTATTGGCGCGGGTCGAACAGCAGAATCAGTCCCTTCATCATCCTCTTCCTCCTGAACGTCTTCATCAACTGAATCCAATATATCTGTGTGAGATGGCAAGTTGAAGGAAAGAGAGGGACTCGTTGATGCGGTTTGGGCCGACATTGCAGGGGTGAAGAGCGAGGCGATGTGTTCGCTTGATGAAGAACAACCACTCAACGAACTACTATCGGAGTTTGCGACAGACGGCTTGCGTGGAAGTGGTGGTTTGGGTGGTGGTGGAAGAGGTTCCGCCACACTCAGATTCTGCTGTGACGATGTCGAATATGAAGATACAGGATTTGGACCCGGCAAGGGACGAATGTGATCACTCGAGCTTGACCGACGGAACTCGATGGGTGGAGAAGACATGGTAGATGTTACAGCAGTACCATCGCCAGGGTTCATCGATAAATCATTTAGTTTCAAAACGCTGGAGACACCATTGTTATGCGATGGTGGAGTTAGAGTAAGGTTTTCTCGACTTGAGATAGTAGCATCAGTTACGGATTGAGTTGATTCTTGACCTTCTTTGCCTGATCGATAGATGTGTTTTTCTTCGTCGCAGGAACTCTCAGATGTGGAAGGTGTAATCATGTGTAGAAAGCTTTTGTTTTCTGAAAATTGTTGATATTTCTGGGGGCTGAGGAGGACGTTTTCCAGGGGAGAAGGCATGAAAGACGTCGAGGGTCCACCCGAAGAATCCTGATGTCCGTCAAAGAAGTTATCAGACACACTCCTGCTGTAACTGTGGGCGAAGGTACGCGATTCTTCTAACGCCTTCATCAAATCTGCTTCCTCCTGAGCGAGAATGTCATCCTCTCGCTGACGGGCCTCTGATTCGGATAACGCTAGCGCTAGTGCGATATCTTTGTCATCGGTGGGGGATTCTTCGTCGGGCATCGGTCGGCTAGATGGCCCTGCAACAGGACCAGGAATGGACTGAGGATAGAGCGGATTGCGCTGTGAGCAAGCATTAACTGCCAGTGGTGGTTTCGGAGGAAGGGGTGGTCGTGGAATGGTATGGACAAGAGGTGCCGTAATTCCTATCGGTTTCTGGGGTACGGGAGGTGATGTTGAGGAGGGATGCTGCCTAGGATAGAAGTAATCACCATAGAACGATGTATGTGGTGGGGATGCAAGAAATGAGGTGGGAGAATTATATAGAAGTGCAGCTTGTTGTTGCTGAAGACTGGCGTCACCGCAGGAAGGCCGTCGGCCGCCGGGGGTCAAACTCGCTGGAATATTATATCTCGTCGGGATACTAGAATCGGTAAAGGGGGGTTGGGGTTGAAACGGTAGACCTGGTAATGTTGAGTGGCGGGTTCGAGGTGGAGCCACTCGTCCATTACTAGTAGTGGACAAACTGATGGACGAGGAGTGATGAGGAGTCCATGGTGCTGCCATTATCATGCTCATTAACGCTGGGATATTTAATAAAACTTCAATCGCTCACACTGTTGATTGTAATGCATCTCAAACCCCTTCACTCGTAGAGTTTTAGCTGTGTACAGGTTTCCGAGTCAGCCACTGATAGCTGTACTGATCCGAGTATCAGCCAGCCAAATTTATTGTGGCAGCCTAAAAGGGCTTCTGCAGAACAACTGCTACGAAGAGGAATCAACCTGGAAGGTCAGAACGAAGAATCTAGATGGCAGACGGAAGGGTGTGAGAGAACACGCGGAAAAGTCATTGAGCGCGCTCGAACTCAGGCTCAGGACTCACATCTTTGGACATATTGGGCGCGGTCCCCTATAAACGCTCAAGCTCAAAACCCTGTGCGTTACTAGTCGAATGTGCCTTTTATCGGTCTAGACTCGACTGCGAGTGATTCCTGGACAGCAAGATCAATCCAGAACAAAATCCAGATATACAAGCCGAGGCAGTACTTTAACACATTCTAACGTACAAAATGCAAAGGGACAAATGAATAGTGTAAACATGTATATGTATGCTGGGTAAGTGCTTGTGTAGAGTCAAAGACAAAGAATATGCATAGGTGGCACGGAGTGATTGCAGTAAAAAGACAACGAAACGACACGGAGACCGATGCAACGCGAAACGCGAGAGCGTAAAGGGTTATGATACACGAGATGCAGTTACTTTTGCAGAAAGGCCTTGTACGGCCGAAGTCTTGAATCCAAGTCTCCGCATGACGGCTAGAAGATCAGCCCTCTGCACGGGTTTAGTGAGTGAGGCAGTAAATAAGCTGCTGTCGTTCGTATCTGCAGCACTGTAGGCGCTAACAGCAACCATAGGTGTGTTGGAATTCCTGCCATTGGTTGTCTTGATGTATCGAGCAGCACCCTCACCATCAACTGAAAGTTGCAACAAACGTCAGGAATCAGGCACAATAGACTGAGCGCATCACGTACCGACTGGCATATGTAAATCCATGAGGATACAGTCAAATTCTATGAGACATTAGATCATAAGATGACGCAGGCGCCAAGAGTACTTACTGATATCACCCATGGCAACGCTCATGGCCTCTGACCCATCCGCAACCACGACGACGCGGCAACCAAGACGGATGAGAAGCGTCTCGAGTATTTTGGCAGTTATTGGGTTATCCTCGGCGAGCAGACAAGTCACCGCACGGTCAGTGGGATCGGGCCCTTTCTTCAAGTCGATCGAATGAACGGATGAAGGAGGTGTGTCGAACTGACTCGAACTTTGCCCCGCCGACGAGGGCCAGTGGTCAGAGCCAGAACCTTCGCCAACACTACTAGAAACAGACGCCTTGCGCAAACGGCTTGGCATCGTGTTCCTCCGCTCCACACCGTCCAGATGATTGAATTTGAAACGTTCTAATGCTCCAAATTCAGACGGCTTGCGCGCGTGACTGCCATTACTGCTTCCAGGTGTCGAAGGAGGTATACTTGCTCGTGAAGGAGATGAAGCTATAGATGAAGTGGACGTTGATGGTGAAGGAGGACCCTGAGAAAACGACTTTTGATCTAGAGCTGTCACTACACTGGGCGGCTTCCTGAATCTCTGTGAGGTGCTCTTCCTCCTGCTATGCGAGCCTACCGGGTCGGATAAGGCATGCGTCATCGGGGCCAGTTGGTCGGTCTTCAATTTGCGAATAACATCGTCATTCGCTTGTTTTAAGACCGGTAAGTTCTTGAAACTGAACGACCCAAAATCGTCACTAGCAGGTGACGGAGCTGCATCGCGACTGCCCAGCATTGGTATAGGCTGTGCTGGGGGAGGCAGTGTGAGCGACGGGCTATCCATAGGGTTCGAGATAGCGATATCCTCCTCGTGGAATAACTGAGGTATAGCCCCACGCGGATCGAAGTAATCGGTTGATTCAGGATCAGAAACTTGAGGAATGAATGCCGCCTCTGCAGACGTCACTTTGTCCCACTCTATGCCTTCAAAGAAGGGATGCCCCTTAATTTCATCTGCGCCACCAGCCCCGAGACGAGCGGATGGGTCTATGCACATCAGCCGTTGCATAAAGTCACGAGCCTCATCGGAGAACTCCACCCAGTCTTCGTGCCACTCGACGTGTCCAGACAAGATATTCTCGAAAACTTTCTCTGGCGTCTCCGCATGGAAAGGGGGAATGCCGTATAAAAATTCGTAAGTTATGACACCGAGAGCCCACTATGCGGTAGACAGTTCAGCAACGTGGAAACGCACAAGGCAATAAGGCACCAACCCAGTCCACTGCAGCATCATCTCCACGAAGACCAAGAATGGTTTCTGGAGCAAGGTAATCTGGCGTACCAACAAACTTCTGCTCCCCCGGGGGAGTATGACCGCCCGAGTATGAGCGTAAGTCAGTGGTCAGTTCCGTGGCAAATGATTGCAGAGGACTTTCACCAGCCCTGCTTCGGCGTGAATGATGATTGTATATAGATTCGGAACCTGATTCGCTTGCGTCATCTGTGGAAAGCTGATAAGGCGAAATTCCCTGTCGTGGTACCGGATGTGTTCCTTGGCTAAAATACGAACCTCCACCAATCATTTCGGTTGAAAGTAAGGGCGATGAAAGAAAGCCAGAGTCAATTGAAGGCGGTCGCGAACGCGAATCATATCTTGTGCGATGTCGCATACCCATACCCATGGGTTCGCGCGTTTGACGACCAAGGAGACCAATCCTACTCAAACCGAAATCAGTGAGCTTCAGGTGACCGTGCTGGTCGATAAGAAGATTATCAGGCTTCAAATCACTGCGAAAATGATGATAAGTATGCGCCCTCTGCATATGTTGTAGAAGTTACCGGTGAACAACGCCACGCTGGTGGAGATACTCAAGTCCCAATACAACCTCAGCAATATATTGCTTCGTCCACTCTTCGGGAAGTGAGCCCAAGGACTTGATGAGAGCGGCACAATCACCACCATTCAAATACTCCATAACCAGATACAAGTTTTCCTTGCTCTGGAATGTGAAGTACAATTTGGCGACGAACGGGGACTCAGCCTGCTTCATAAGAATCATGCGCTCCGCCTTGACATTCGTGATCTGGTTCTTCGCAATCATGTCGGCCTTTTTCAGAACTTTGATAGCGTAATAGTCTCCAGTCGCCTTCTTCTTCGCAAGGAAGACAGATCCAAAAGCGCCTTTGCTGATAGGCTTGATGATGTCAAAGTCTTTGATAGAAGTCGGAGTCGATCTTGATAAAGGAGCTGTAGATGATTGACGAGGAGATAGAGGGACGTTTGACACTGAAGGACTAAATGTCGGATTCACCGTAGAATGACGGCGATGTCCGCGTCGTGTAGCAGTAGGAGCATCTCGAGGGGATATACTGGGTGACATAGGCGGGGTAACCAAAAGCCGCGGTTCCAGAAGGTTGCTGGCCGATCGTCGTGTTCTAACGGTAGCATTCTCTGGTTGAGTGTCATTGAGGTCCATGTATGGAGGCTGATCGTCTGGAGATGGTGATGCCGTGATTGGGGCGGCTAAAGCAAGAGGTGATGATATCGATGATGGCGTGGATGACCTTGTGGGCATCTTGTTGATGATTTGCCACACTGGGGAAGCAAACTGAGGTACAGGAGCAGAAACGGAGGCGCGACTAGCATCTGGGGTAGCGATCAATACAGGAGACGCAGAAGCCATGGGAGTAGGCTCGGATGACAGAAGCTCTTCGGATTGGTTGGTGGCACGATCGTCGTCGACCGGTGCCTCTGCGTCTTCGGGAATAGATAGAATCGATGGTTCAATTCCATCATGATATTCGCCCTCATCTTCACTGTCGCTACTCTCACCCGCCTCAACAATCGCTAGACTCTCGGTAACTTTCTCCTCCCACTCGTGCCAGATCTTCTCGGAGTACTTGATGGTATTCTGCATCCGAACAACATTATCGACCTTCTGCCTCATGATACGCTCTACGTCTTCAGCAAGCTGAGAGAGAGCAGCATCCTCAACAGACGGCCGACACCATGTACGTATCTGGGACATCTTCCGCTCCGATCCTGGCGAAAGCAACCGCTGACGCTCGATTGGCTCCTTCGACTCCTCCTCCTTAAGAGAAGGCATAGAAATCTCAGAAGCAACCAGGAGAATCTCGTCTAGCGATTCCAACAGCCTGCGCTGTGCCTTCTTCATGCTCAACCTCTGCATATAATCCCGCCGGAATAACTGCAAGGGACTAGGGATGCTTGGCGAACTTGAGTGCGTGAAAATGGGGACACCTCTGTATTCGGGGGGCGAAGTTGAGGAAGGGGTATCCATGGTGGCCATAATATCTCGGATCGTGTTCTTGAGCTCGCCAATAGACTCGTTGCATTCGACAATCTCAGCTTCAAGCCGGTGCACTTCGACGCAAGTCTCGCTATGCTTCTCAAAGTACCACTTGTGGGATTTGACACTCGCATATCCGACACAATATGGGCTCCGTAGAAATCGGCTGCGTGAAGGGAAAGGGCGTCGGTGGTTCGAGTCCTGAGCGGTCGGCCAAGCACTTCTTTCAAAGGCTCCTCAATAATGGGTTCATCTTCAACGTCACCGGATTCCAGGACAATGGAGGGCGAAGGATAATCCCATCGTGGGGGACCTACTGGCTTGACAACCCACATCGTGTGAGACGGTTGTGCATCCTCACGGTCGATCATGAGCATGCCTTTGCCCTCCATTTGTTGATAAAGAACGCCAGATATTGATGCATCATGGTCGCCCTCTGGCTCGACTTGAAGTCCAAAGCGCACCTCTACAGTATGCGAATCATCCTGTTGTAGTTGATAAGTAGCATCCCGAAAAACGGAACAATCTGCAGGGGCGAGAAGATGTGAAATTCTAGTTCCCGCAAGTTCCGATGGCTCCGTCCTAAGCGCCATGATACGTCAGTCAAGCCGAGCATCGCCAGAAACAAGTTCCTTACCCGACAACAACTCTCCATGCATAATTGACCCAAATGAAGTGGTCGCCGTCTAAACTTAGCTCCATCACAATGTTTTGGTTCTGTGCAGTCTCAGCTTGCAGACGTAATCTTTCGGTCGCCAGTACCCGTGCAGACTCATTGTGTTCAACGGCTTTTCTTGCCGGCTGTTCCGGCGAAACAGATGAGAATGAAAGATCTTTTGGAACATCATCTCTGGACCGCCTTCCCTGGCTCATCGGCCTTGACAACCGAAGTCGACTTTCATCATCGGCCGTAAGACGTAGCTCCTCCTGGCGACTGCGGACAGTGGGTGTAGGCGCTGGAGGATGCTCGTCAGGTGGCTTCAGGACGAACATGAGGGGTTCGTCTTGTTCGTCCTCATTATCATCGAAATTCCAGAATTGCTTTTCGGCCTCCCACCATTCGACTACACGGCTGAGACTAGCAACGGCAAGTAGAACTTGCACATACCAGTTCCGCCCATGCCAGTCTGGATGCTCATCCCACGCCTTACCAATAGTCTGTACCCGTTGAACGAGTGACTCACAAACTTTAGGCTGGGCTGTGAGTGAGGCTGTTGACATATCGGTGACATCTGTTGCTACGCCAATGAGGTCGTAAAGCGCAGTCATAATGGGATCAATAGGATCATCCAGTATTATGCGGGAAGAGCGACGATTGATGGAAGAAGGCGGAGGAATGGCCTCGGAAAAGCTATTGTGTGTTGCGGCCGGCGGAAGTGGGGACCTAGACCGGGAGGTTGAGCGAGAACTCTGCCCGGATTTAACTGGACGGATGGGAATGTGAACGCTGCGTGAAAGCCTACGGGAAGATATACTCTGAGGAGGCCATGTCGTGGGAGGCATCGTATTGGACTGCTTGCGAGGGTTGACAACATCTGCCAGCGTGGCAGACGCAACAATGGGGCTAGGGACATGGTTACTGGAAGCCCCAGATTGTTTTTCCCATGTCGAATTGCTATGCCTTCGTAAGGAGGGACTGAGAGAAGAATTTGATGCTACAAGAAGACCGGGCGATGAGACCCGATGAGTCAGAGAGGGAACCTTTGTACTGTCGTCCTCTGGTAACGCACGTTGCCGACTATGACTTCTTTCTTGTTCAAGTTCATGGCCGCTGTCAGAATAAGTATCAGCCTGTGAAGCAGGCCGAGGATCCGAAGAGTGGTATATGAAGGCCTCACGAAGAGGCTCTGCGTCACCGTACTGAGAGTCACGGTCGAAGTCCCTGTCCCGATCCCTATAGTCCCGATCGATGTCGCGTTCTTGGTCACCATCGCGGAGTCTCTCTTCAAAGAAGGCGGTGATATTGTTTATCACACGACGTAGCTCCTTGTCACAATCTGCCTTTGCAGTCTTGAGACGACGAGTGACATGTCGTCGAACGAAAGGCATGGAGACAGTATTTGAACCTGAACCATAGGAGGTGCTACTGTTTGACTGAGAAATAGGCTGTGGTAGCACTGACTCTGGAGCGAATACGAGGGGACTTGGGGGTTGACGACGATGAAAACTGGCAAAATCAGACATGTATGCCTGTCAGACAATGCCAGACCAGGTGCTTGAAATAGGATGCCGCTAGGAGGCTGTAAGCGTCAGACTTTGAAGGGAGAAGTATTTAAACTGACTTGGGAGAGAGATGATGATGGTAATTAAAGGTCAAGTTAACATGAGGAAGACTTGCAGGAATTATGATTCTGAAAGTGTGAAAAGGAGGTGAAGGGAGAGATCAGGAGCGGGATCGTTTTGAAACCAAGCTCAGCCTCAGTCTATAGCTAGAAACAGTTTAAGACAGATTCTTCACGACAATTCGTTAAACTACAAATTCCACTATCAATACACACTATTATAATTTCGCTTTTTAAACGGACTACGCCCAATCCTCAAATCATTCTCTAGCTACGGAACTTGATAGTTTGATTTAATAATATATTGATATTATTATCGGTGACCGGGGGTCTCACACCAATCTATAGGCAATCTCCGACCCCGTGAGAATTAAACCCATCAACTCGGAATTACATTCCTTTCCACCACATCACCATGCTATCGCTTTTTCGCGCCTTCTCCCAACAGTGTCCGCATTCCAGGGCCCGCATTCCTCCTGTATCTAGATACCTTCATTCCCCATTACAGAATGACCAGATACATTTGACCACCATCCTCGATGAGCTCTCGGAGGCAAGCCCATCTCCAGGTCAGTTACAATTTCAAGGTTATCAGCACTATCATATATCAAATTTATTTAGCAAGCAACCCAAATGTACCATGGATGCAGCAGGGCGTACGCAGAAGGTTCGACCATAAACTGGTTTGTCATTGAAAATATTCGTTCCGTGTTTTATAGCCCTCATACAAATTGCAGTTCATAAGACCTCATTACTTCTCGCATGACCATCGGTTCAAAGGCCCTTCGCCATACTCGAAACGACCTCTCATTGGTCCTGGAAAAAAACAAGCGAAGCAACAGGACGTCTTTTATCGCCTGGGCATCGATCCTCTACAAGAGGCTTCTAATGATGTCCTCATGAGCACTTTCGTCACCGAAATGGGAAAAATTAAGCACCGCGCTGAAACTGGTCTCACCACGAAAACCCAGCGCAAGTTAGGCAAAGCCATTCGACGAGCGAAGATGATGGGCGTCATACCTGTGCTCAGTAGTACAAGGCTTCCTTGGAATTAACATTGATCATTACTCCACTCTCGCCTATTTATCCGCATCTACTCTAGTTGATCTACAAACACTTTTTCGTCTCCCTGTTACCTTAATCAATTTGTGGAACCGTCCGGCTGAGCGACAAATCAATTTCCTTCTTAGCTGTCTTGTTCCTGCTCGGCAGATGCGGCCCCACAGTCTTGTGTCGGCTGATCTTTCGCTCTCCATTTTTGCTTGCGGTGGTAGGATGGCCCTGCCCGACGGCGGAATCTCTACTCGCGTCCTTGGAGTCAAACTGCCGGCGGGTGAGGAGATCAGACTGTAACTATACATTTTACTTTGACAGCGGTTGGCAAGGCGTACGAATTACTTTGTCTTTCTTACATAGTTGCCAAAACCACGGAAGGTTACAGGTAGATACCACGCACCCGCACTAAGCGATCAGCTATTGTGGTCAGTAGACGGTGCCAGCGGAGAAGCCCCTGATAGGTGAAATTTCGCAATAGACGAAGTGCACTCGAAGTTGGTCCCTGAACGCCACTCGGTGTCGAGGGTCTCACTAGGACGCTCTGTTCAAAACCTTCTGGTAAGAACTTAATTTCACATCGCCGCGATGGGCAAGATGCCACACAGCCATGTGACAATCTGAAAGGCTCTGGTCCGTGGGGCCCTTCTCGATTTTGAACTCTTGGCTTCTTTCATCATCATCACGCAGAACTCCGCGAGTTAACTGCGAGCCTGATATACTTCTGAATGACACCCATGGGAATGCAAAAGAAGTCTGACGAGAAAGAATCTATAGTTCGGCCAGCAACATCGTACCCAGGTTCTGCACCACCTGATCCCCAATTGCTTTTTCTACCGCTTCCTCCAAATGTCGCTTTGGATCTTGTTTCCCCACATGCCGCGTCTTCAGCTTTTCCGCAGATAACGTCGATTCCTCTTGCACAGACTTGTTGTACGCCTCGGACAGCGTGAGCATAGACTTCAGGGACCAGCATTGTCAGTATTTGAAAGTCAACGAATATGGATAACTAACCTTGATAGCCTTCTCATTGCTCTCCTTGTGCGAACAAAAGTCACGCAACTTCAAACCTTCTGTCCAGTTTCTCTTGTGCAGGTTCATCAACATTGATTGTTCAAGCTCTGTCTTGCGGTAATTAACGGCGATTGAGTAGTAGTGCCTATTCAGTCCGTGCACAAGTGCCTGAATCGACGGCTTGTTGATGAGACCGATGTTCGATGTCGTTTGTCGTGGTTCACGCCCAATAATAACGGTTTGAGGGTTGATTAATCTAAATGCGTCAATGACGACCTTCCCTTTGACGGACTGAATAGGATCAATAACGACAGCAACACAGCGGTTCTGCATGCGTTCAAACGACTGCAGGAGGGAATCAATCGTGAATGCATGTCAAACGTGAGGCGGCATACTTCTTGTGTATTGATATCAACACTCGAAAGCCAGCATCCGAACCCTGGATGTGAGTGGTACCACCCTACCACCATCTCCGGTCTGAAAGCACATGTACATCAGCGTGCAGCTATGTTAAGGTAGATGTTCCATTCACCGTCCTGTCTGCTTCAACATGTCGAGCATCTTAGTTTGGAAAACGTGATCGACCGACTCGACAGTTACTGTGGTACCGGACTGTGGCATGGCAAAGACATCCACAACTTGCACGGTATATTCATCGACAAACTCTCCGAGCATCAGGCCCATAACCTCCATAGGAACGCCAGCTCGGCCATGTTTCAACATCTAAAGAATGATAAGCATATCTCTTGGCGGTGCTCGTACACACCTCACCTTTAATAGTGCTAGAGATGATATGTGAATGACTTCTCCGCTACACCGATCATGAGGCAACACATTGACCAATTTACAAACAGAACTCACCTATCAGGCACTGCCGAATCTGACGGGGGACCCCGCATTCCACGAAGCTGACCACCCATCATTTCTGCAAGACCTTCCATACCTTCCATGTTTAATGAAGTGAAAGAAATGGCTTGACCACTTCAGCTACTTTCGCTGACGCGTCTCGCGAGTCTATTTGGTTGTGTTTGACAACAGCCTCAGAAATTAACAAATCTAAATACAACGCCTCAATGATCGGTTTAGTCCGCGTCTAGAGGACCGACAGGTTGGCCTGGTCGAAGTCGCAAATATTGACTGTCCCACGGCCTCATGTCCACCAGCGAATTGTCGCAGGCTCTGAATCCTTTCTTTGCGCAATCCAGGCCTAAATCTTCAAACACTCAAAATCAGTCCGTTCAGCCCAGCCAAGCACATGAGCCACATCACACTGAGCTCGAGCCTGCCATCTCGGAGCCCCAGAGGCCCCCTGCGGCATCAACAACGCGTCTTCAGTAGGTAATGTCAATTTTTTATAATCAAGCTGATAGTTGTCCAGGAACTTGGCCGTTCGTCCTGGCAACGCAACCTCCAGTGGGACTCACCCATTCCAGATAGTGATGAATTACTTAAATTCAGCGCGTGAGTCACAAGAAATAGAACAAAAACGGAGACTCGCATGGGAACAAGAACAAGAGGCCAAGTACACACTACGGCAGGCAGAAATGGAGCGTCGAATGCTCGAGATGCAACAAGAGCTCGGTGCGCTCAAAGCGAAGATCGCCTTTGGAACTCCGAAAGCTCCGGCAACTTCACCTTCAGTGCAGACGCCTTCTGCGACGGACCAACAGTCCACGCCAATGACCTCGCCCGTGTTGTCCCATTCTTCCACAATCGCAGGGCACCATGCATCGCCCGATCTAGGACATGCCACATCACCTTCTGTTTTGCCTCACACGTCAGCTTCGTCTGATGTAGACCCAGCTGCTGCTTCTCCTTCTGTTGGACACACCACAAACTCGGCCCACGCTTCCCCCCTTCTCCCTAGGCCAGCGCGGTTTATCAACGTTGATCCCTCATCCTCCCGGCGCAGCAGCTCATCTAATCCACGCAAGAGACCGACGCTTGATAACACAAGTGGTGAAGATGATAGTGACGGTTCCGAGTATTCATTAGTAGAACGACCGATAAAACGAAAGAATCATCACGACACTCGTTGTCTTACCATACAGGTAAGTCCTAGCACCAAAACCCGCATTTCAATACTCATAAAAACATCAAGCATGCTATGCGCAGCCATCTGTTGCACGTCATGCAGATTGAGGACGACAAGCACCTTCCTGATATTCACACCGAAGGTATTTTGCTGGGTCCCAACGATCCTGTCCGTTTCGTCTGGGACAAGACACCTAAACAATCTGTCCACAATGGACGCATGAAAGAGCGCGTGCTACAGGACATCAGAGCCCATCGCCACCTGTATAAACACGTTCCCGATAAGGATTTCAACAAAAGATCTCTGGAATCCGTTTTCGACCAGGCATTCGTTACACTCAGACAGAAGTTCAGGGCTCAACGGGACGCCTCCATCGCTATAAACCAAAAACAGCGAGAAGATGTCAAAGCAATGCGATCCAGAAGATTAAGCCGTAAGAAGACGGTGAGGTTGTCCGTTCCGCCAACAAGACAAGTCCGATAATTGACTAGAATCACTCTAGAAACTAAGCAATCGTTCAGACGCTCGAAATAAAATTGAAGTCTTTGAGCATGCCATATTTGACGGGGCTTTACAAGTGGAATGTATGTCTTCCGAGGAATCTGAAACTGAAGAGGATCCGGTCGTCGGTTCCCGTATGACTTCGCTACGTGTTCGGGGGTTCCCTTGGCGTAGCACCCGGTTACTGCGCTTTTTCGACATACTGGACGATCATGACAAAGCGGATAGCTCACAAAAGCCGCGGAGAGGCGTCGGAAGGAAAGAACGATTTCATGGTTCACCGAAAGAAGGCCTCATTCTCCCGCCTAAAGGCGTAGCCACATGGATGATCAGCAAACGCTGGATAAGTGCGATGCAGGCGTCTCACTTGGAGGTATTGGGTAGTTTGAAGGATGTTGTTTTGGATCCGGTTGGCTTTGATTGGAGCCAGTTTCATGCCCTTGGTGAGGAGAGTGAGGACGAAGAGAGACTCGATAGGGACCGACACCATGACATGATGATTGCGCATAATGGTTTACACTTTACTCATCCCGGTGATGGCACGGCTATCAGTGCTATTTCTTCTTTATATAATGCTTTGGTACATACCCAATAGGTTCGAATGTGAAGGCAATAACTTACATCTCGTGTACGGAAACTAATATATGTACAGTGGAACGTCGAAATGTTTGATTATACTATCCGGGGGTTATCAGGGGCTAACTACCATTTTTGGGAGTTTCTCACAGTCTCGTGCCTACACGTTGGTGTCCGATGATGATGTACTCCTACCTTCCCAGTATTACCTTCCTCAATTTATGTCTATCTAATTAATCACCCAACTCCTCTTTCAATCATTGAGCAGTTCTCTTTACAGAACTTACCTTCACTCGATGCACCTCTTCACCCCAAATCACGTGTCCTTAATTGCTGCATGCTATCCGTCTTCATCTGTATTGGCTTCTTCTGGTCCTGAATATCGTCCGAATGCGCAGGAGCTCTCCAAACTCACATACTATGCTGCTAATCGCCCAGGGAAAATAAACAAGCTCGGGGGTGAACTGGAAAAACGTGTCAGGGCAGGATGTCACAAGGCTCAGTATGGAAACGCTCGAGCCAGAGCGTACGTCCTAGGAAGCCTCAAAAGTTTCTTGCAGATCTTTATAATTCTCAATCAGATCCTTACTTATCACGCTTTCTGTCTTGCGTGCATTGGCGGTAGAATGTCGACGCGATATATCCTTATTATCCCCGGCTTTGATCTCATGCCTCAAGGTCACGCTGGATTCCCTCTCTTCTGACCTCGAAGTAGTAGCGCGAGCAGCCAGCGTGGTTAGTGCTAGACCTGCCCGTCTTATTCAGGCAAAACTCACTCAGATTACAGTTTACTGCGTGGTGCACTTTCACCGACGGTCATGTCATTGAAGCGGATTCTAACTTGGCCCGAGATTACCTCGCTGTCTTACGGCGATTTGCCCAGCTATCTACCGCCGACGTCAAGTCTGTTGATCACGAGCTAAGGAACAGGCCAGTTTTCTGTTGCTCCAATTCCGGCGAGTCATTTATTGGTTTGCTCAGGACTCGTCTAGTCGGATTGGCTGCTCTCACAGGCGCTGTGAATTCAGAAGCCCTTTATTGCTCTTCCAACCAGTACAAGCCCCAAGCATTAATTGTTTCGCGTGCGTTGCTTTTCCATGTTATGAATGCGGAGCTGTCTGTTCTCGACGAATGGTAAGTCGTCATTCTATATTTGAGGAGAACATTCGTCTTATTGCGATTCAAGTGCTGAGGCTATCAAAACCAATGCGACTTCAATATATCTTGCAGAATTTCGTTCTCGACCTGTCATTGAAAGGCGCGCTGCCTCCATCCATGCACACGTAGACGGGGAGAGCGGTCCATCTTCCTCCGATGTTCTAGATACGTCATTAAGAGCGCTACAACACATGATACAACACTCCGATGGCGCTCAAATGGGGCTCTTGATGCTGGCTACATTTGAAGGCCTAGGCGATCTTAAAGTTTGGGAGAAACTTGACCAAAGTCGATGGCTAGCTCAAAAGGCGTGTGAATGGGCCCAATACCAGTATCGCTATGCAGTGCCTACTCGATTGGTCGAACAGCTCCTTCTGATCCAGGACTCCTCGATATGTACAGCCCAGCATAGAGCCTTAGCTATTATGGTCCCCGCGGTCTTCACGTCCCCCGTACCTCTCGTCAATTTGTCCACATCGGATATCATCTCAAACCTTATCACTTTGGTCCTACGACGTGTATCGATCGATCCTCAGGATGCCCTCCTACCGTCGCTCGTAGAATGCATATCATCTTTGGGCGCTCACATCTACTATTCTGACCAGATTCAAGACCTCGCTAGCGAACTTGTCAGCCGCCTTGTAACTGTTGAGATGCAAGGAGTTACTGGTCGCGACAAAGAACCCGGTGATCGCAGGCGAAGTCAAGCTATTAGGTGTCTCCTTGCAGGTCTTCTAGGTCTCATGCGTGCTGCTGATGACTCACAAGTGGTGTCGGATGATAAAAATACCCCTCAAAATATTCCCTCATCTTCCATTCCACAGAATTATGATACTTCACAAAGACCTCCCTCTCACCTTCCCCGACGGACAAGGGTATCCGGAGAAGTATGGCACGAGACCCTGAGTCTTCTTTGTGATGGCGATTACTCGGTACGGAGCGACTATGCCCATACTCTTGTTGATTACTTGCGCAAAGAGATTCCAAAACGCGGAGACATGACAGATGAAAATGGAGTGAGACGTTTTCGCCCTCTCATTGAAGGTAGCCCGACCCGCCAAGCAAACAGCATCGGCATCCTTTCATACGGCGACTCGGCGACGCGATCGCTTCATGCTACACATGCTTATCTTTTCATACTGGCGACAACTTCGTCTCTTGGCGTTTCTTTCAACTCAACTCCTTCGACCGCCCACTCCACAAGCGGTGATGTCCCTTCAATTGGAGTCACAGCCCCTACTCCTCAGAATGAGTCGGGCCTCGTCAATGGACATAGCACTGACCCGCAAGGCTCTTCCCCTGCCCGGAGGTCACCAGGACTTCTTGCCCGGATTCGTAAAAGTTCGAATACACAGCGCTTGTTGGAGAGCGTACCTGAGAAGGTCTCAGCAGCCGCTTCGGCGTCCCTATCTGACTATGCACTAATCTTGCATGTACTGTCTGCTATCCACGAGGAAGTTCCGACCCGTGGCCTTCTTGTTGGTCTCCCGATGCTCATGGCGCTCCATGGAACCACCGAAGTTGAAGACGGGACGAATGAAGCTTCTAAGCAGCGAGTGAAGGTGATACATGAATTGCTGGCTCGTGTTTGGCTTGTACTAGGTCGCGTCTGGGAATGCACGGAACTGGTGGACCTCGCTGAGAAGGTCAGTCACTCTGAATATTATTTCCTCTACTCGGAGAGATTATTGATCAACGAAACCAGGCTTTGTCAACCATGGAAGCGGCACCAACCCTGCCTTCTCTCCCAGAGTTCATTCCTGGAGTCCTACGACCAGCACAGACAGCAGTTCGGTTCCCCCCTATAGAGGTAGAAGAAGCAGTGGGGATTTGGTCAAATGTCAATGCCGAGGAGGCACTAGCGATTCTAGTGTCTTCTAAGTCTGTTCAAGAAGCAACAGGACTTGACCGTCAAGGGCTACTTCGCCGTTGTTCGGCAAAATGGACGGTAGAAATTGCTCTCAAAGACTGTAAGGCGAACTGTTTGTTTTGGATTACCTTACTTATCTAAAACCCTAGCAGCGGATAGACCGAGCAATCACAGGATGATGGAAGGTGGTTCACCGTTGCTAAAGTTATCACCTGCTCTTATGGCTATCGAGAACCTCTCGTTGCAAAGTTTGACACGGTCGGTCCGTGGTGTAGGTGTGACTGATTTACGCGATGCACTTGAAGGACGTGCAGGAGCATCCAACCCGGCTCTTGTCAGGCGACCTTCTGTATCTACCCTCGAATGCTCACCTTCTCTGGATCTTCGCTCCAGCCCACTTGGGTTAACGCGAAGTCGGTCTAGACCCAAGAAGCGTGCTGTTACAAGTAGCGCGGGTGAAGTAAGAGATGTTTTGAATAGATTGGGAATTGGCAAACAGAACGGAAGTAGCTTGTTGAAGGCTTCTTTCCAGTGAGTTGTCCAAATTAGATTTTCCTGTACGTACCGTTAAACTGATCATGCGCTGCACCAGGTCACCTGTTTGATCTTCTATGCTATCAATTTGAGGCACCACCATTCCTTTCTCGTTAGTTTCCGATTGCATTTTCTTCTGATTCGTCTGTCCATCATGATCTATCGCATCGTATTTGATCACATGTTACTTATCCATCGGATCCCGCAAAAATGGACTTTCCACAGGAAATAATTAGGATCGTTCGACGCTATCTCTTACCAATTCGTCTACTTTGAGCAATGGACACTATTCGGCGTCGAGCCTCTTCTTCTTTCTCTGCCCAGTAAGCTATTTCCTTCTGAGATTTGGGGTGGGTGCTCGAATGAATCCCTTTCTGGATAAGAAAATATCCTCAGAAAATAACTTTAAACGGGCCGAGAAGCAACGACCTACATTTAGTCCTTGCAAAAGAACCTCATACATCGCCGACTGTTTGGTAGCTTTAGCAACATCGTCGTTGATGTTCTCGGTGTGGCAAGTGATCAATTTCGTGAGCTCCTGTCGGAGACGAAGAAGGCTGTGCAAACACTAAGCGCGATTAAAGAGAAAGGAAAACTGAATGGTCACTTGGAAAAAATCATGGTCTCTTCTTCCTGATCGGTCAGAATGACAAAGGAATTAAACATCACAACATATCTGCTGCAAACCTGCGTTGTGTAAGATTAGCCTGGCAGATGACCACATCAAGGAAACCTACATCTGCAACAGACGCATCCGTCGTTGAAGTAGCTCTGCTGAAGTAGCTGGTTGTTCGACCTTCCGCAAGCTTCTTCAAAGCATCATTATGTTCCGACATAATTTTCTGGAACGCGGGCCACAGCTGCAACCGCATGGTAAATAAAAAGTTTTCCAAGGGCGGGCAGTCCCTTTTTTGCACTTCAGTAATTACAGCCTCCGTGAGTCGGATCATCGTGAGTAGTGGCACGGCCGGCGGCATGGGCTCAAGAACGGTGGTCACAAAAGTCTGGGTATTGTTAGCTCCTCGGAAATATCAAAAAGGGACATAAAATGCTGTACCTTGCAATATTCTAGAACGGGATCTAGGATTTGTTTCCAAATGGCATCTAACGGCGCACGCTCAGCCTTGTCCATAAGGCCGGGTCGTGCTGTCATATCACGAGGTTTGTGCCCGTTGCCGCTGAAGGGTCTTGAGATTTGCATACCAATTTCAGAACCAGCATTGGACCTCCTATCGTCAAAGCCAAAATCAGGCGACAAAAGCGTGGCAGTGGGTGAATATAGGGCGCTGTTAGTTTCCATCGCAGGAGGGGGCGCAAAGGACTGGGAACTGAAGAAGGCAGCGACGAACGCATATTCTGCGGTGGCATTATCCATCAACACCAGAAAAAGGGACCTGAGAATAGCTTCGATAGGCTCTTCCTACACAGGTTTCTTCAAAATAGGCATAATATCAGAACGCAACCGCATAGGACTCACGTGAGTCTTGTCATCTGCCATATAGGCAAGGATGACGCTTGGTCCATCCATCTTCGCGTATGCAAGACGATCTTGATCTAGGTATGGTCCACCGTTATCTCTGTTTCCTAAGATAATGAGGTCAGATTTCTCTGAGGTCCTTGCCTGACGCTCTGGTTAGTGACTGCATCGAGACACAAATAGCATAAACACCTTGATCCATCCTAGGCTGCGTATATAACGACGAAAACCAGTCTCGTAGTATGCGCGGGCTGTGCTAGTATAAGCCTTTTGAACCTCGCCAGCAACGTTCGGTGCCTGCCGTTGGAGGAATGCATATAATGCTCTGTACTTCACGAAGACAGAAGTCTGCATAACTTGCATGTTCGTCGTGACACTTGTTCGTATCGGTTGTAGCAATGCGAGAAAGAAAGTTCGTAATTTCGTAGCTGCCTTGATCAAGTATTGGACAAACATGAGAGAATAGACAACAAAAGATACACGCACTACTATGCGAAGGCCTTCTGCAAGGTCTCCAATATCCCTGGCAGCTTTAACACGAGACCGAACCTTCAGAAGATCCAACCGTCGTTCAAGGTCAGTGATAGTTGCTATCCAAGGCTCCCCAACATCTGTATCTAAGATAGTAATTGCAAGTGACGGAGGTATGGCGAGGTCTGACAGAAGACTTGAAAGCGGTTTCTCTATTCTCTGGAGTCACGGCATCAGATCACCATCCTGTCTAGGTCAGTTATGACCTACGCGTCGGCTCTTCAGCCTGTTGTCAATGTCTTTGCTCCTTTCTTGTAGCTCTGATATCTGGCCAGATACAGAAGAAAGGTCCTTTTGAAATGTAGACAGAAAGGATTCCAGAGAATCCAGAAGATTCACGCTCGTCTGGAAAGTTGAACAACTTAAAGAGTAAGCGGCATTCTAGTAGGCAACATGCATACCTCGACCTGTTCGTGTAAGTCGACAAAATCTCTCGCTTGACCATGGTCTGCATTCACTCATCAACCTGCTTCCAGCGGTCAGAAGTCACAAGTACTCACAGCACAAACTCCGTTGTCCAACCTCAGACGCAGATTTTGTATCTCGAGTCATAATACCGCTTCACCCGAAGCAAATAAGTCACGGAACAGAGTGTCTGCAGTCGTGCAGAGGAACTTAGTTGAAGCGATTAAACTACCTAGTAATGGCAATAGTCGACTGAACTTCCGCTCATATGTGTTGCACTGCCACAGGTATTAGTAACCTCACGCGCACGGCTTGCTTACTACTTAATAGTCACGGTACATGATGGTGACCAAGGGCTGGCTGGTACAATTCTTATACTTACTAGTAGAAGGAACGATCATCTTCCTTCTATTTGGTCTACCTACGGGAGACGACGCTGTACCAGTACATGGAACCACAAGTAACTGAGAGGGGAATGAACCGCAAAGCAGAGTTTCTCTTTCTTACTGAAGAACTCTGGTCGCACATTCTGAGCTTCCTTCCCTGGCGAGACATTCTTCGTTGCGCATCCGTGAGCTACGATTTATCCATGGATGTTGATGTTATCGTTGTCCTAGTTTTTTTGTATACTGACTACTTATATCGTCTTGCAGGTATGCAAGGCACTTCATCAGACGTACGTGTCGTCATCGGAGCTTCAGTACATTGTTGAACTCGGTGGCCAGCGACTGCTCCCTGTGTTCAATACGGATCTTGACAATCGCACTCCTGTCTCCAAACGTCTACAACTCCTGAGAAATGGAATCTGTGCATGGTTTAAGTTTGACATTAATTCTGTGGAAACAGTCTCTATACCAGACCAATACCATGATGGAAGACTATCCCTCGCCAATAGGCATCTTTGCCTCTACAGTCGAGATGAAGACTCAGCCAAGATCTTTCCGATACTACCAAAGCCCTCACAACAAATAATTGAGCGTGACTTATCTCTGCAATCACTGTGTTCAGTTCCAAACACAGACAGCATCGATGTGTTCATGGACCCAACGCAAAATCTTATCGCAATCGCGTATGGCATTTTCCAACCAGGCGACGTGAAGTTATTCGTTGAACTTGGAGCCCTGGATCGAAGCGGTGCCCACCCCCAAGCTGCTGGACGAACGCTGTTCATGTTGGGGCCACCCCAGTGCGAGAACATCCGCTTTGAACCAGACAGTGGGAAGCTTAAGGGTTTTGGGAGGCATATCGCCTTCTGGTGCTCTCTGAGGTTCGATAATGCGGGCAACTTGGCACGCAACCAGGCTATGTGGTGGTTGCAGATATGGGACTGGCAACACTCAATGACGTCTATTGTGAGCCTTTGATCAAAATAGTTGCCTATGGCCTGACAGTTGATACTCAATTTAGAGTGTCCTCGGTGACACATTCAACTCAGTGCCTGATGACTCAATGGATTTTTGTTTCCTTGGACGTGATAAATTACTGATTGCCAACTACAGCTTGAAGATCTACTCAATCAAGGATATGTCAAAAGCACCACAGTTACTGGCGTGTTTCTTGTTGCCTGTACCACCAATGATGAAGATAAGGTGCATCCTTCCAGTGGACGACATCAAACAAAGCTTACAACCACAGATGCAAGCACAACAAACAATGTGGTCGTTGGACCCTCACCATGGACTAATATCTATTCTCACATTTTACCCGCATCTTGTCTTCATCATTTCCACCAGGATTTTCTTCGACCTCGACGTCTTTGAAGGAATGGTTCCCACAATGCTATGGAAATATTGGGGCCCTCTAAATGCTCGCGTGTTCTATGACCAATATCCATGGGTTCTTGGCGTTAGTGGGAATCGAGTTTTGTTTCGTGCAGCGGATAATGTTCCGGGGTGTAAGTTACATATGCTGGACTTCAACCCGTTAGCGGTCAAGCATAGGCAGGGTCTAGGACGAGTGGTGAAAGAGCCATCTACAATTAAAATCAGCGAGTGGGGGGAGGAGGTAACAACGTGCCTGCCTTACGTCGAAGTTGTATTGGACAGAAGGTTAGGTTCCTGCAGTTTAGACGAGATATGGGTTGAAAAGGACAGAATTTATTTGCTCAAGATGACTCAAGAAGTTGTAGGTTTATCCCCTCGTGAAGAACGTCTTACATACTGATTTTTTTGATCTAGAATGATACGAATCAGCTTGAGCTCGAGGTCATCGAGATCTACAGCGAAATCGGCTAGTCATGAGGACTTGTTTAGACTTGAACCATATAAGACAGATGCACTTGCGTATGTGTGATGACCCCTGCGTTTAAATTTTAACCGGTCTGAGTCATGTCTGGCACATAGACAGGTTTCGAATGATCTGCGATCATCATGCAAGGTCTGTCATTATGTCTTCTGGGTCTTTCCCGGTCTGTACTTCCTTCCTTTAAGTCATAGTTTGGTGCAAATCGATGGCCCTCAGCTTTAGGACTGCCCGAAGGGTCTGGATGGGTCGCTTTCTACTCCAGACACAACTGGGCATCAATTCTGACTCATTTGTTTTTTCAGGACTGATTGGGACGCTCTCTCTCGCATGCCTTGCGCTCTCCCTCTTTCTATGGGGAGCTGGGTACTCCAAGTCGAACAACATCGGGGCTGTGATCGTCATTCCGACAGGCGCATTCATCGGCTCGATATGGACGTAAGCCCATTCCGAGTCTGTTGTTAGTCTTTGCATTCATCAGAGCTTGTCCAAATCATACAGAATATTTACAAAGGTGGTCCATAAGCCGCAGCTCGTTTCGGTAGAGGCCACATGGACGTTTGCCCTGTTACCTTTTGAAATATGTAGGACATTTTATGCGAGACGAGACCCAGCATTCATCTTTTCACACAGTACTGGGTCTTTTCTCCGTCAACCTCAGTATCGCAAATGTCCCTGCTGCATATGCTGCCTACTTGTGCCTTGCAACACTCGTATGGCTTAACGCAGCTCTGGGTATGTTGATGTCCTTGGATTGCCGGTGGCGTGCTCAGTATGACTGCAGTTTCCATATACGTGGCAACCATCATTCTCCTTGCCCTCTTTACTCAGGCTTCGCATGACCAGGACGTTTGGTCCCGTGACATCGATTCGAGTCCATCTCCGTTCCCGCTGCATATCATCGTCGCATACGCGTTTTCGTCTCTAACTCGACTCTTTTCCTTGGTCACCCGTCAAAACCGACCGACGGCTCCTGTGTCAAAGGAACACTGTCTCCCTGACTGTACATGCTCCCATAAACTTCCCAACTCCTCATCTCCGGCAGACCCGCAGACTCTCGGACCAACCTTGGAAAATACTACCGGCGATGTATCATGCAGTCCGCACCCCCTTATTAACATCCGTGTCCCGACAGCGATGGAAAGACCAAAACCAATTGCAGTCACACTTCGGTCAAGATAAGATGCATAAACATATCTGCGAAATGCACTTAGATTCACTGTACTATGATCTTCATCAAACGGTATCTATTACGGAGACAAGCATCTAGTTTGATCGTACAACTAGGAATGTGATGAAAATAAAATATGCCTCCCTCTGTTTCCTTCATTCCTATGTCTGAAGTTCATTTTGGAGTTGCTTGAGCAAAGTGGGATCTGTCTTGTTTATATACTGATTGAAGATATGAATCCCCCCGCAGTTGCGCTCGGCTTCCTGTAATGCTGCAGCCACATAATTAGTGAGCTGTGTAGTGCGAACAGGATCGTTGTCCAGGAACTGCCAGGTATGTGTGGGTTGAGCGAGGAACAGTGAAGATTTCGATATTACCCACCATTTTTCGACGATCAAACTCGACGGTGGTTTCAGAATCTGCATAGTACGACTGCGGCACCTGATCAAGGTCCCAGTGAAGTGTCAAGGGGCTGAAATTGGTGTGTTAGAGCGTCACGATGCATTGACGATATTCCTCATGGCAGACGTACCCGGCATCCTCATTTTCAGCCAAGCTTCTGCTCTCTTTGACCTCAAAGAATACGTCTGTCCAGAGGTTGAAAATCTCGTTCGGTAAGCGATCAAGCACTTCAGGACGACCGGTTGATACTAGGGATGCAATGCCCAGAGCAGCTAGTTTGCGATGGCGAGGCTCTGACATATGGTCGAACTGCCATGCGAGTAAAGTATGTGAACAAGCCCAGCGCTTCGCGACAACATAAGACGAACCTGCCGCCACCAATGATCTAGCACTGCTTCCCATATTTTAGCTTCAGGAAGATTCGCAGTCTCCGCTGTTGCTGATACAAGCTGCAAAAACATCTGTCTGTCTGCTAGGGCAATCCTGGCAAGCAGATATATGCATTCGGTGAGCAGAATTGAAGAGCTCTGTGAATTGTGAGCACATGGGCATTGTATTCAATCAGTACAGACAACTCGCCTCGTCGTGATTCAGAAGGTTGACAATGTGACTAAACAAACCAGCAAAATGCATAGCTTGGCCCCAAAGCGTAGCGGGCGCCAATTGAGTTAGGAATTGGAGGCAAACCAGTATGTCTTTCTGATTAGTCATTATGGCCTGTCCTGTAAGCGCTTTCACAAAAGCATTCATTAGCGGTTGGGAAAAGCTCTAAACACTTAGCGGCGCCTTTAGGTGAGTGTTAAACAAAGTACCTGCAAGATGGCAGGAGCGTCGACAAACAAGTACGACTCGACTATAGACACTATTTTGCCAAGCAAATCTAGATTGTCCGACAACAAAGAGACTGCTAGAGGGACCAGGTCGATGAGACCGGGTCCACCAGCATAGCCCAACGACGATGAGTTGCGTACAGCAGCAAGCCAAAGATTAAGCGCATCTTCATCGAGGTTAATGGCAACCTTTGCTTGCATCAGCATATAGCGCGTCAAGCGCATAGGGAAGTCTTACGCCTGGGGAAAGACCGTCTTGTACAAGGGGGACAATAAGACCATTTAAAGACGAATGTTCTTTCATTGCCTGTAGTACATGAGCATCACTGGTATTGTGATGTGAAAAACTCACCGAGACTAGACTTGTCACGACCACTAAGAGTTGAGCTTTGAATAACCACTCCTCACCCGCAGCAGTCCCTAAACCATGCTGAGTGAACGCCGTGGCTAAGGAAGTGATGGTGAGGACTTACACAACTGAGGGATGCCTTCTGAAATCATTGGTGCGTGTGGTATAATCTAACAACAAGTGCGAATAATGAATGAGCTACAACGTTGCACGGAAAACTCACTCGAGGACCCGCACATTCGATCACCACGTTGAGACTCTTGGCTAGACGCTGTTTCGCTTCCATTGTGTCCGCCTCACCCATAAGCTTCACAAGTTCAGTAACCGCAGTGGGCAAGTAGGGTGCGAAGACATCGATGTCAAACTGAACAGTCTACAGAGGATGAACATAGGATCGTGAATACGCAAAAAAAACGCACATCGACACACTCCCGCAAGGCTGTAGCGGCCGTCAAACGAACAACAGAATCCGTGCCGGGACCTCTGTCTCGCAGCAAATGAATCAAAATTTCCCAAACATTCGGATCGTTGGCCGGTGAGCACATGTCGCTGATCCATTTTCCAATAAGCCATGCTATACGGCGCTTAATGATTGGATAGCTGTAACGTTATATGAGTGAATGTGATTGTGATGTAGAAAGACAGAGTAGACTTGCTATTGGTTCGTCTCCCTTGCTTCTGCGAGGAGGTTATGTTGCAACCACTGGCTGAAAGGAATTACTTCTCGTAGGTGAGTTGCACAACGTCCGATGGCACAATACAGAGCTTCTTTTTGTATGACACTTGCCGAATCAACCGTTGGTTGCGCTGGAAAGGCTCGTCAGTATAGAAAACCACACGAACTGGATATTCACCGATTATCTGTTTGAAGGTTGTCTCAAGTAGTGGCGTGACATAAACCTTGTATTGCGATGAAAGGGTCATTAAGACGCGTTCACCGCATGGCTAAAAAGATGAGCCTTGTGGCAAGCTGTATCTACGTGTGGAACGCACTCGCAATTCATACTCCCATTGATCGTTTTCTTTGTCTTCTACATTGACCCACTCTTCTGGATCGGACATCCAACCCTCGAGGTCTGCCAGGTTCAAGGGGATGAAACGTGTCACGAGAAGCCGGACGGCATCCTCGACAAACTCTTGCGAAAGAGCTAGGCGACTCTCATCAGCACAAGACCACAAGTCCCAAAGACAGTCAATACTAGTCTCGGTTTTTGGGCCACCTTTACGAAACGGCGTCCATTTCGAGAGATTCTCCTTGAACAGGACCATGGCCTGGAGAAGAAAGCGCACCGGGAAAACCGCCGTCGGAGCGTCTACGTAAGTGGTATCATGAGCAAAGCCAGCATCAAGATGGAACAAAACTCAGAAACCTTGAATTAGCTCTGGCGGACCATTGGTAGCTTGCACAACTCTATCCCAATAGTAAAGCACAATTTCGTTACCTGTCGGAAGCTGAACAAATTTGTCGGGTTTAAGTTGTTGTAGTCTGCGGAAAAATTTCCCAAAAACGCGGACATGACGGGTCAGTCTGTCAATGGACAAAAGCGTGAGACGGTCTGATGTTCCGGATGCTCTTAAGGCAAGAACGAGGTTGATTCGAAGTTCAGACAGTATCTTCAATTGTCCGGTTGAACTCTGGAAAAGCTGCAAGAACTGTATAATTGATGGCCGATCGATCAGTCACGCTCCTGTGTTCGCGCATAAAAAAACAAACCCAGGGTTCGAGTTTCGCGTACCCGCTGTCAGGCTGAGAGAGTCTAGGCCAGAACCATAGAGCCATCTTTACGAGACACTTGTAGATGAAATGAGCTACAATGAGATTGTCAGCGGTGCGCTGATCACTAAGCGCTAGCGGCACGAGTGCGGAAATCATTGACGACAGTTTGGAGTAGTAAGCAAACATCTCTTCGTGCAGTTGATCGATGATCTAATGGAGAATAAGGCTCTGAAGTAGTGATGAAATGAAGAGTGACGTGCATTAACCATCGTTTTAACGCCAGCTGGTAGCTTGACGCCGCTGAACTCTTTCAGGACACTGTTAAGAAGCGCAAGACCCCTGCGAAGAGCAAGAGTTGACCGCGGGTTGTCGTTAGGAGAACCACAGAAGACTTCAAGATTTGCGCGAATGACGTCCATGATATCGGCTAGCAGGGAAGGCCTAATTGAGAAATTAACGCTGCGAACCCAGTGGGATGACATCAAAGGTACCAGTGCGTGGGGTAATCTTGTCGAGCAATCTTCGCGACAATCACTTCGTTACACTCCACAATCTTATCGAGTCAGTCGTAAATCAAACAGAGCCCCATTGAGTGGTAACACTTGCCGTATCATCTTCCTCGTCGAAGAAAGTCATACATCGTGACCGGATTCTCACTCGTTGTTCATCTGATAAAAGTCTGCTTTATGTCAGTGAATAGATCATGTATTGAACGAAACACGCACTTTCGTGATCTCCAGTGATTCAATGCCTTGTTTTTGAATTGAATAATGCTTTGCTTCCTCACGGGCAGCGGCACTGATCGGGTGGCGGCGATCTCATGTAAACCATCGAAAGTCCCAAAGTAGTTCAACAACTCTTCGACGCGTTTACTCGACGCGTGGACTTCAGCGGGATTTTGGGACGACGCTTGAGTGATGACTCCATACAGCTCTTGAGGGTCAACGACTTTTGTGACATGCTCAAGCTTGGAGGGTTTGGCCATGTTCTATCAAGTTGTTATAGACAAAGGATCGGATAACTCGACCACAAAGAAGAACGCGGTGCCACTAAGATCTAGTCGATCACGTTTTAAGGAAGTAAGTAATTAAGACCCAAATAGACTCAAATAACGCGTCACGGTGGTAGCTTGACTAGCTGCTTGACCGGGCTTTCAGTTTTACTTCGTCCTCGATTTGCATGTGATCTGATTCATGTCATGCCAGAAACTCTCAAACGCAGGCTACCGCATGATGATGAGCTCGTGGAAGACTCCGAACCCGAAAGGGAGGAAAAAAGGCAAAAAATGAGGAGGAAGAAGAAGAAATGTTTGCGCCTGGACCAATCACGGGCTGATCTAGAGCAAGGTATCATTGAGCTAACTGATACCGAACTCGATAATTCTAGTCCATTAGCTGTGGGTGGTCAAAGTCAGATCGATAAGCCTATTGGCGGTGAGCCTGTGTCTTCACTGTCTTTCAAACTCTTGGTGCTCATGTCCTCTCAGCTTTCAGCTGTGATAAAATGATAGAGCTGGCTTCTTCTCGGGAACTTGAAAGTGCGGATTTTTTTGCGATTGATATATCTCGGCCTTCGCTTGCTGCTGGTGAGGCCTACACTCATCAGCTATTGAATCTTTGATTGCTAAAGGGGCATGGTAATAGCTTTTAATATGCATACAAATCGTGCCAATGTACCCGATACAGCGAACGCGCCATATAACGCACAGAACATGTCGGATATGAATCGCATTTCTACATACCCCACCCCACCTCCTATTGCGACCCTGGAAGTGCCGCTGTCTAGTGACTCTGAGGGTGAATCTCACCTGAAACTGTCTCGCTTTGCTTTCCGGGCGCCTCCATCTAAGCCCAAAATCACCAATCCCGGGGGTTTGTCGTACTCGGACAGTACTCTCGCAGCAGATAGTCTTCCGAAATCAACCTCTGCTCTGAAAGTCAGACTGAAGCGCTCCAGTATTCACCGCTTCTTCAATGACTTCTCAGATACACAACTTGCATCTCTCACCAGCTGTGTTGGCTGCAACCTGAAGTGGACCTCGACAAAGACTGCAAGCCAAAAAGTGATTCATGTCCAAAACTGCGCAAAAAAGAAGTTCCTTTCTGATGAAACAGTTCGCACGCTTATACGCAAAGAAGTTCAATCGTCCTCGGACCAGAAAGCTTCTCAAGGCAATGGTCAGAAAGCTACGGAAGAAGGCCAAAAGTCAGCCACTTTCCTGGAAACGATTGTCAATGAGGTCTCCCGAACGAAGAAAGGCAAACGCCCTCAAATACTGGGGACCGTCAAGTCTCTTCCTGAAACTCGTGGTAGCATACTAGGAAGGGCGCGGGCTGTACTTGATACTTCTATGCAGCACGGAGGTCCCGTCGTAGACGCTCAGGTGTCGAATTTGATCCAGAGAGGTAGAAGCGATGTTCCCTGCACTCAAGCTTTTGGAACTAGCATGCTTGCTCGTCGAGTAGACTCGTATCCTCGTGCACAGCCGGGACCAGTGTTGACCCAGGCTTTCAGTGAAAGTGCCCTCGGTCACTTGCAATCTAGCTTGGGCCTCGCTGTGCGACGTGCTCAAACTTCCGGTCTTTGATATATAGGCATAGTGGATCAGGGGAACGACCTGCTTCTACTAGCACACTATCAGGTCCGACGAGTTCACCCCAATTCGTGCTTTCAAATGCAGAATCCATTCCAAACTACTCATACGAATTTAATTCCGACGAGGATCCATGATCGTTGAGATCCAGCAGGTTTGCATCGCAGTTCATCTGCATCAGCGGCTTCAGCCCCATCATCAGAACGTCACTCCAGGTCGACATCTCTTACTTGCCGAGCTGATCCGGAATTGATCAATTTCAAGTTGTTGATTTTCAACATTCATTACATAATATTCATCGATTCTACACTGCAATTCTGCCCCTTTTTATTCATTTCCGTAGCGCGCGCGCTGTAGCACAACAATTCTGACTACAATGTCGTGCACGCTATTACCTCACATGCATGCAGCACACCTTGCCCATAAATCCTTGTCCCTCGCCCAATAACGTGGGCGACGGGTACCCTACGTAACGAGTTAACGAGGTTTAACAATTTAACCATATTATATAATTTACTGTGGAGACACATGATGTTGGTAAGGTTTTTCTCGTTCGAACTTCGCCGCTCGATGAATAATTATGCCTGGACGTCGCTCTCCTGAAGACGACACCACTCTCCTCGACAATTCCAAGTCCAAAGAATATGACTGTGCCCGGGATGAAAAAGGGAACCAGTCCGAGACACTGAACCAAACCCATGTGGAAGAAGATGGCGATTCCGATACGACATCAACAAACTCTTCGGATGAATTTGACTGGGACGAAGAAGAAGTCGCTAGTCAAGTAGAGAATCCTGAAACTGCCAAAAAGGCGAGGAGGGGCAGGGCCCTGTGGCTCGGCTTCATGAAGCTCGCAAGGCCAGTCAGGGCTCTATTAGTCGGCATTCTTGGTGCTGCATTCTTCATAATTCCGTTGCTGGTAGTGGAGTTGAGGTTCAAGGACAAGCAAAGTGCTCGGCTACAAGTCCGTGTTTGGTCCCTTTGGTTGTCGATCACCTGGGCAGCCTCCTGCGCGACATATTTGGTTGTGGATACAATTCCACGCATTGTGATCTACGTTATTTTCTTACTTGGTGGCCAAGTCGAACGTTTGAAGACACAGATTGAAGTATGTACTGCTTGGACTTCTCGTAGGCAGTCCGACTGAATCCATTGGTGTAGTTGACACTTGCTGTCTCGGCATGGCTAAAACTCTTACTCAGTATTTCATGGGCCTGGGTAGCGCTATCTGCAATCATGGCCTTTTACGAACCTCCTGGCGCGTACTGGGTCATTATTAACCGTGTCATGCAGGTAAAATGCTCCTCTCGTCTTTATCACATTGGCTAAATGTCATTTTATTCAAAAGGCTCTCTTTACTGCGGGTATCATTCTATTTGTGGAAAAATTGTTTTTAAGATTTGTCGCCATCAACTTCCACCAACGTGCACTCGCAGATCGTCTTGTGGAGAATCGGACGGGACTGAGGGCACTGGACCATCTATCAAATGCACAACCTGCTCCGGCAAAGAAAAGTTCAAACGTCAAGAAAGGTCGCAAAAATACTCTGACTTCTTTTGGGACTGCACTTGACCTTTCCGCATTTCACGGTAAGGGTCACCGCCGAGATGAATCAGATGGAACAACCAGTGGGCAGGCCAGTACAGCTGCTACACCTGTTCTCGAGAAAAACGAGCACGAAGCACACCATCATCGGTCAGACAAAAAGCGCCATACTAGACGCGCCGAGGTGAAAAGACAACGCAAGAAGTATATGCCAACTGTTGTTGTCGACCAACTGACCGGTGCTATTGGGCAAGTGGCGCTGAAGAATTCCAATTTTAACCGGGGTGGCGACTTCTATGCCCTGGATTCTGCACGGAAGCTCGCAAGAAAGCTCTTTCATGCTCTCAGTGTCGCCAGCCCTGGACGCTCTCATCTTGTCGTTGAAGGTATGATAAATTGATGATAAATAAAATGGCTCAATATCGTTTCTCGATAGATTTCTACCCTTATTTCCGTTCGACTGCTGAGGCGGTGGGTCGCTCCATTTCTATGAGTTCACTCATCTCAGAATTTCACTAGCATGCTGCTTTTGTTATTTTTGATAAAGACGGCAATGGTGACATCAGCAAGCGAGAAATGAGAGAAGCTGTACAGAGGATTTATCGAGAGCGTAAGGCCCTGACTGCCAGTCTGAAAGTGAGTCGATGTCTTCATTCGAGAAATACCGCTCACCCCTTCATGTAGGACGTCGACTCAGCCGTAGCGAAATTAGATGCAGTTCTTGTCTGCATTGCATTGCTCTGTGTTCTATTCACATGTCTCCTCATTTTTAATAGGAGCGACACACTAGCCTCACTTGTTCCTCTTGCGACGATTATTCTCGGATTTTCATTCATCTTCGGACACTCTGCGCAGACGCTTTTTGAGTCGGTAAGTTAGAGCAATTTGCTCATCTATTATGCACACCAAGTTCACCTCTGCTTGAACAGATGATCTTCATATTTTCTACGCATGTCTTCGATGTTGGCGATTTGGTCATGATTGACGACCAGGTGTGTTCCTCACGCGAACAACTTGTATCAAGCTAACAAATCTCCCTCCAGTACCTCATTGTCAAGGAATTTGGTCTATTTTCTACTACTTTCCGCCGGGTTGACGGCCAAGAAATCATCGCACCGAACTCGCTGCTGTCAAGCACGAAGCTCGTTCATAATTTGCGGCGGTCAAACAGCATGTGGGAGAGCACGACGCTAATGGTAGCATACAACACACCTCTCGAGCTTGTTGAGCAGCTCAAGGTACGCATTCAAGCCTACATCACAGCAAATAATAGGGAATGGAGTGGATCTGCGGTGAACATCGACAAAATGGAGTTTCAGAATGCGATACATCTGACGGTAGCCGTTGAACGTAAGTGTCTGTTTACCTAGCCCGACTGGGGTTGGATATCTGGGTCTGATCCCTGCTTCAGATCGCCCAAACTGGCAGGACTGGGGAGGACGCTGGACGCGGAGAACTGCGTTCATGAAACATCTGAAGAGCATTCTGGAGGATCTAGATGTCAGATATACGATGCCCGTACAGCCTGTGCTGCTGCCCAACTCTCCACGCCCGACGAGCGGGTTCCGCAGTGTGGGTGTGGAGGTGAATACCCGTGGCGGAGAAGAGAATCTTACTGCATGGAAGTAAGACGAACTTGTGAACTTGGATTGCGTGTAGTTTCTTATGTTACGATTACACGAACTGGAACAGACTCTACATATCTAGCTAGAATCCTGTTGAAGGGTGGTTATATGTAGCTGCAGTAAGTTAGATGTAAACAAGTCGGCACCTCTGTAAATGAAACCAATAACTCAAAGGTCGGCGTGTTGAAAGCCGGGAATCGACAGATTTGAAAAAAAAAACTCGAGACGGTACTATGCTAGGTTAGATAGCTATATGAGAACCCAGTGAAAATGATGATGAAATCATAAATATTGTCATGCTTTTGGGCTCAGTGCTCTGTCTGCCAAGCCTGCAACCTCGATGACACCACCTACAAGGTGTAAGCTGCCCGTGACGAGTACGCTAACGTTGGGCGTCCTACACGCTTCTTCTACGGCGTCTTCGAATGGACGGCAGAACGTGCACTGTGCCAGAGTAAGTTGGGACAAGCTTGTTCCAGGCTGCTTCGATCTCTCTCTGAGTCTTGAGATTGAGGCTTGTCATCTGTAGATATTGCCGCGGAGGATAAGGTCTACCGGATGCACATATAAGCTTGCATTTGAGATGGGTGACGGATACTTACCGCCTTTGAAATTGCCGCTGGCATAGGTCACATTACTACAGAAAATGACCTTGGCGAAAAATTCTTCCTTCTTCTCCCGGCTTCCATGTATCGCCAGTCGCTCCTCTATCTTTTGTAGGATAGCTGTCAAGGAAAGTATCTCCTGAACGTCCACTAGTGCAATTGAAGATAAGCACTCGCGGTGGGTGCTCGTCAGAAACGGGGGAACTAAAATTCCAATATCAATGAGATGATACTGAAACCAATGCAGATAACAAGCGTACACAGGAAGCCCGACTGCTGGGCTTACAAACCATTCCAGACAGCACGCAAGGCTCTCTTTTGTATGTGCCCCATCGAGGAACCATGCCGTAGCCTCAAGCTTCGGATCGAGTACTGTCTGGCAACGGCCAGGCCAGTGAGCATTTTTGAGGCCATCCATAAAAGATGCAGGGAGGGATCTCAATGGTTCTATCTCTGATCCGCTCCATGTTGCGCTAGAAGTATCACTGGTGTTGGGATCCGACATGGGCATGGGAGAGTATGACTGATCTTTGATGCTGAGGAACGTGTGCACTAATTGTACCGCGAGACCCGCGTTCGATCTCTGGTGATCACCGGCAAGACCTATGACAACGGATTGATGTTATAGGTAAACGGAAAGATGTCACAAAACATGCCTAATGGGATGGTGGAAGAGAGGGCGTCAATAATTGTGAACTGAGATGCCTGCGGTGTAAACACGTATGAGCTACAGGTAAGTCTTAAGAGGGTGCAAATTACCCTCTTCTCTGCTGCACAGACACCAAGCTCCACTATGCCTTCCTCAGGCTGTTGAACAGTCAGGGCTGGAACCCCTTCCTATTCTATCAGTCAAACACTTATGATATGAACCTGAAAGAGAAACGCGCCTTGTATATTCCACCCTTGTGATATGCGATCTGACTGAGCTTTTCCCCAAGAATTCTTGTGTGGTCATACCCGAGGGCGGTAACGCCTGTAACAACTGGCTTGGGGACAATATTTGTGCTGTCAGAGCGTCCACCAATGCCTACCTCAAGAATTGTCGCATCAACCTGATGATAAAGTTAGACAGATAAATGGTCGGGATTGCTCGCGCACCTTGAGTTGGTAGAAGGTGTAAAAGGCCATGAGCGTTAGGTAGCGAAAGTAGTTTGGCATGAAGGGGATGGTGGCGACTGCGCACTAAATGGGTTGTTTATCTGGTACGTATAACGATTACTGCAAGAAACGGCCAAATACCTGTGTATTCTGGAGCAAATTCCACACCTCGAAGAAGTAATGAGTAAATTGCTCCTCTGAAAGTGGTTCTCCATTGATGCGAATACGCTCACGGACAGCGACCAGGTGAGGAGAGGTATACAAGCCTGTATTATTTGTCAGAGGACGCTCCCGTAAAGCTGGGAAAGTAAGGCACACCAGTTTTCCAGCCTGGCCTAGCTGCCCTCAATATTGATTCCGTAAATGCGCCTGTAGAGCCCTTTCCTTTGGTTCCCGTGATATGTATAACATTCAGATTATTTAACTGGGATGGCTGTAACGGTACTTCTTCATAAACAAACTGTAAGATTGACGTACGACATACCTCGAGGCCCACCCGGCGTAGATAATCAATCATTTCAGGTGTAGCATTAGGATTGAGCTTTGGTCCTGCAGCAATCACGGCCTCCAGGACAGCAGCGTTAGTTTGAAGGCTGTTCAATGCATCTATGGCATCCCTGTAAGTCCGAGTCGGAATGGGTGTGGTGGACATCCTGCGTCCGTAAAAACGACAAAATTTTAGTTTCTTGTTATGTACAACAATGGGTAGGAAGTTGAAACGATAAGAAATGAGCATCAGCAAACGTCACACATGAAGATAGCAGTGCCAGCACCTGTGGCTATGGAGGCGCTAACCACAATTGCGCGAGTCACTCCGAAATCACATGACCAAACTATTAAAACGCGTGATAAAAATGGAACAACACCTCCTGAAACACGAACCATATTGTACATGCACTAAGCAACAACCATACCATGGACAAGTTTGTAACTGTAACAAAGTCTGCACGCTCCTCTTTCAAGGAAAAGGAGAAATGTACAAACTCATCACGATTTACTCCATACCCTTCTTCAAAACCGAAGACCAACAAGAACTTGAACCTCCCAGATGAAATGTCCAAGTCAAACTACCCAGAGGCTGTAGCACAAGATAAGGCGCGCTTGCGCCGGTATGTATTTTTAAAGTTTTATTCTTCCATTTTTACTGACCGTAGCACCCGACAGGCTCTTGGCCCCTCTCAAAAAAGATAGTACCTCCAATCCCTCCGCTAGGGAAATCACGAAGCACCTGCTGAACACCCTTGCGGATGAGTCAAACCCAATTACCCATTCTAATATATATGAACGTTCAGGTACTTTTATATTCTACCCCCTCTTTTGCCTGCGTATTTCATTATTAACTTTTGACATTACGTCCAGACTATGTTGTTTCGGCCGCATCAGGTCACCAGCGCTCCGACAGGCGTAATGGCGAACATGGAAGAGGGTACCTCGATGAGCGCTCTGAGAAGCTAGAAGTCCAGAAGCATGAGAATGCGCGCGACTTATACCCAGTAAAAAGAGATGAAACAGAAGGGAAAAGGGGTGTGCTGAGTGGTGTACGCGTCTATATCGGGGGCTATCTTGCAGGAACAACCGACATCGAGATGAAACGGGTAGTTTCTGGCGCTGGCGGTGTCACGTTGTAAGCGCAATCTTTCTTCTGATCCCCCAAGTCTTAATCTCCCATTAATCTCCCACAGGCTGTCCCCTAGCGGCGCTACGCATATTCTCACATCGCAACAACTCTCAGGTTCGAAGACTCATAAACACCTCGTGTCAAAGCGCGTACCTGCACATGTAGTGCGGCCTGAGTGGGTATTCGAGAGTGTGAAGGCAGGCCGCAGATTGCGAGAGTGGGAGTTTACGGTCATTAAGCCTGGGAACACTATGGATTTGGTAAAGATGTTCGGGAACAAGAAGGGGCTGTGACTGGGAATATTTTTCGAGGCTGGTCCTCACTGTGTGCGGCTGATCTAGAGAATGTACCGATACCAATGATTTATTATTATTATTATTATTATTCCAATTGCTATTAACGCCAAATGACAAGAAAAAGATACAAAGATGATATACACTATAACTTAGTAGTCTTTGGTGCAATGATCGAAATAGCTGGAACTTCATTCAAGTTTTCTACAACTTGGACGCACATCATTAATTCAATTTGTCTTGGATGAACTTCGGTCCTTGTCGATTAGTGGTTAAATCATCGCATTGTGGAAACACAATTCTGCGAAGCCGGAAGTTCGAATCCTCCCTGGGACATACCACAGACATTATTTTTTCCTCTCCCTTTTGCCTCTCAACTGTCTTGCAACATCAAGCGGTGCATTACTGCCTTGATTACATGTAAGTTTGGCACATCATTGGGATAGCATTGCAGCAAGGCGTTAAGCTTTCAAATTTCAAGCTTCAAGTTTAAGCCTCGCTGCCTGTAAAAGTATAGCTTCCTAAGCTACCTGTCCCACTCCCGAACTCACTACTAAAATCGAATTCACTCCCCTCGTCACCTTGACTACTGTCTGCATCACTTCTCTCTCTCTCTCCATCACCCGTGCTTTCAATTTCAGCCCCACCCGACGTGGAACGCTTAAGGCTTCCGCTTTCACTTTCCAACCTGTATCGATCTGCACTTCTTACTTCCTCCGCGCATCGCAGACATGTCCATCCACATGAGCCATCATCCGCGGCGCGGAGCATGCGCTCAGCAAGACAAGCATAACAATAAACATGTCCACAAGAAGCAAGATACGGCGTTGTTATTGGATATGGAGGTTCTCCGTCTCCCTCGGAATTATTATCACCAACATCGCCGTGTGACGATGCAGGGAATGCCGGCGTGTACGATGCCAGTGCGCCGGCAGCATCACCAAGGTTCACATTTAGGGAAGCGTTCTCAGCACAAATTGCGCACTGGTCTGGCGAGAGGGAATGATACTTTCCACGTTTTGGTGCACGTATCTTTTGTATAGGGGAGGGGGCAGGGAGAATAGATGAAAATGCTGATGTGAGCCTTCGTGTCACGGAGCGAGGATTGATGAGCGGGAGGAGGAAGAGGAGAAATTCCTATAGCAGAATGAGTCTGCGATGAAAGCAAATAAAGGAAGGCGTACTGTAAATGCGTGCCAGACCATCTGGCGATTCATAAATTCATAACTAACATCACGTTTGAGGAGACCCTGCGAAGGTTCAAGCCTCATCGCTAGGAATCTGTCAACAATTGTCCTGTACCTGTAATAAACCGTGTCGAAAATTCCCCAACAATGACACGCACTGTGGGAACGTACCTCCCATTCCATAAAAATGCAACGAAGTTGAGCAGACTGAATGCGCCATGTGCAGTCTCAAGACTCGTCAATGCAGCCCAAGCACGGCGACGGGTGTCGGAGGCAGGGGCATCTGGCCATGCATGCGAAAGCGCATATGCATGGAGTCGGTTGCGGAAATAGGGAACAAGGATGGTGAGTGCACCATGAATAATCAGTAGTCGTCGTCGTGGGGTCCTCCCTGCTATATATCATTCAGACGTCGAATATTTGCAAGAGGTTTTCACTCGCGGTTCAAGCTGGAACTTGGAATAGAATACCGCAGGCCCTGAAGCATTGCGCCATAACTCGCACCAGAACTCCAAACAGAGAAGCGATAAAGTACAAGCTGGACGAGCAGTGCTAGCTCAGGCTCAAACCGAGCTTTCATGGATGCCTGTTCATGTGTCAGCAGATAACATAATAGCGTGTAGAAAGCGTACGTTGACGGTCGCAAAGGCCTTCGACACGGGCTCCGTGAGTATGTGAACAAGTTCAGCATCGAGGAGCTCAGCGTCTAGCTGTCCGACGCGAATGACACGAGGATCAGGTCTAGTAAATGCTGGGGACGCAAGGACATCTTGTAAGGAGTGAAGGCGGGGCTGTGCAGCGTCCCATGCTTGCTGCCATACGCGACTGCTCATCGTTGGAGGCGGGGATACAAAGTTGGAGTGCGCACGTGATTACATATTGAATTGACTCACTAGATTTGATCTAATAGCTGATTGTCGACGTCGATGATGGCAGAACAACTACAGCAGTTGATACTGGATACTCTTGATGCTCAGTCGACTTTACCAGATTCCCGCACACTAAAAATCTCTGGTCAATCCAGCCCAGCATCCAGTCATGATGCACAGATCACCATTCTCGGTGCCCTGAACTCGCTACTCAGCCGGGAGGCTAGTCTTTGCCTTCTTTTCTCTCATGATATTGTATTGAGTAAACACGCAGATGATAACATATGAAACACATGAAATTTCATCGCATGTACTTACGCCCGAGGGCGTCCAGATCGTGCGTGAGGGTTCGCACGAGGCTCGTGTCTGGGCCGCCCTCCCCGAACGTGGTAGTGCCCCGCTCAGCGCGCAGGATCTCAAGAAAGCAGTGGGAGATGAGGCTGCAAAAGTCGGACAGGGGCGCGCGTTTAAGAGTGGATGGATCGCGAAGGAGGGGAATGGTTTTGTCAAGGCCGTGCGTGTTTCGTGCTGATATCTCTATGACTGTGCGATTGATAGGCCGCTAGGTGCCTAATATTACAGATACAACACAGATTGAGCTGCGCGAGTTAGAGTCGTCAGGGACGCTTGCGGCTGGTGAAAAAGCACTCGCTGAATTACGAAAACGCAAGCTTATCATACAAAGGTTCCACTTATCCCTCCAACGTAAATTATAAAGTCTGACTATTGTAAAGAAAGGGCCAATGGTTTACTGTGCATAAGGGCGCCAATTTCACTACTTCGATTGCAAAACCGGAGACCGATTTGACCGTTGATATGCTCACTTCGTAGGTTTAGTGTTCCAATGCAGCAGTGTCAAAGCTTATCCTGCTCTAATCCTTAGCGGCTCTTGGAAAAAATCCACCTTCAAAAAATATAACTTTGACGCAGACGGGATACCCACATCCGGCGGCGCTCTCCACCCTATCCTTAAAGTCCGCGAGGAGATCCGTAGCATTTTCTTAGAAATGGGGTGCGTGATCATTGCAATGAAACCGCATTATGATAGTCTGATTACGGATGTTACAGTTTTGAAGAAATGCCCACAGGGACTTTCGTCGAATCTGGGTTCTGGTGCTTCGATGCACTCTTCGTTCCCCAGCTACATCCTGCGCGCGAACTCCAAGATACCTTCTATCTTTCTGGTATGTGCTTGTCTTACTTGCCCCTGTCAGCTTATCAGAATTTTATAGATCCCTCGACATCTCTCCCCCCACCATCCGATTACTATAAACGCGTCGCACGCGTGCATGAGCACGGTGGGTACGACAGCATCGGTTACCGTACGCCCTGGTCACATGAGGAGTCGCATAAACTCCTCTTGCGTACCCACACAACTGCCTCCTCCGCTGCTATGCTATACAAACTCGCAGCCAAGTGTCGAGGCGAAGATATCGACGGTGACCTTACCGCAAAATCGCAACTTGGAATCGCAAATCCGAGTCATGATGGATTCAGACCAGCAAAACTCTTCAGTATTGACCGCGTGTTCCGTAACGAGACAATGGATGCTACTCATCTTGCGGAATTCCACCAAGTTGAGGGCGTTGTTGCAGATCGGAATCTAACACTTGCAGATTTGATTGGTGCGTCGTGGATATTTTCTCAATCTGTCTTCCCTCCACATAGACATTTGCTGATAATTTTCCATCTGCACAGGTTTCATGCGGACTTTCTTCCGGAAGATGGGGATGAAGAATCTGAGGTTCAAACCTGCGTATAACCCGTACACAGAAGTGTGTTTTAATCCTTCTCTCCATTTTAGATACTGATTGGAATTTGATAGCCTTCTCTTGAGATCTTCGCCTGGCATTCCCACCTTGAAAAATGGGTCGAGATTGGGAACAGTGGCATGTTCCGCCCTGAAATGCTTGCACCCATGGGATTCCCACCTGATGTGCGTGTGCACGGGTGGGGAATCGGGCTCGAACGACCAACTATGATCCGGTGAGTAGTTTTTCCTTCGCCTTATTCCACCCCTTCTTCTCTTATTGCAGCATGATACTGAAACTCGTAACACAGGTATGGTGTTAACAACATCAGAACGCTTGTCGGGCACAAGACGTCCATTGAGAATGTGGAGAACTCGCCAGCTGTCATGTTCTAGATGCGTCAGATGGATGTATGCTGATTTAGAAGATACCGACAATGTATCACCATGATTTCAAGTGCATACTCAACGAGTGTCACGCAAAATAAAACGACTGAGGCAATCATAATTTTTTCATACAATATCGTGCATATATGTTCTACAGCTCAGGTATCATAAGGTAAGCTCAGAATGAGAATACAGCAGCATTCTTCCTCGACCCAAACATGTACACGAGCGCTTGGGACATGAACAGCCCAACCGTGATACCGATCGTGACGGCTATCATTGCGCTTCCAATGTCCACACCGCTTCCATCTGCTGTGATACCTCCCGCCTGCGACAGACCCGACTACAAAACATTCATCATCAGCAAGCCCCAACAAACCCATCAAGAATTAGCACCCACTGGTACAAGGAACAGCACACCCGTAACCATACTCGTAAAGGCCGTCCCGCCCATCTTCCTCGAATAAACATTCCCCAGCAATCCCACAGTAAAAGCCCCGATAGCGCTCACGATATCGCTCCGATTGAAGATATAGTGATTGGCAACTTTGTTGCTCGCATAACTCGCGCACGATATGACCACCATCACTGGAAGTTGCCTGCTCCGCCACGGTTGCAGATTCGCGAGGGACGATAGGATACTGAACAACGGTACAATAAGGAACTGCGTCCAGAAGGGGAAGGGTTGGAGGTACCAGCCAAAGTGTTTAGGGCGGTAACATCCGTCGATGATGTCTGTCTGCATCACGTTCGTGTTGTTCGTGAAGGTGAAGGTACCATAGACGGGTCCTAACCCCGAAGAGAGCGAGGAGTTGCCACTTGTGGAGTTGTCTGCTGCGAATGTGCCCACAATGGTGGCGCTCGTGGAGATGTCGGCGGCAAGCGCTGTGAGGTGGTGTCGTGCAATTGGATCGAAGAGAAGGTATAGGTCTGATCCGATCTGCAAACCGAAACCCAAGAAGAGGGTATAGATGAGGGCGTATACCATTTTAACGCTACCGCAGACGATGTTTTTAGAAGCCAGCTCCAAGGAACTACTCACTAGAAATAGGTCAGCGGGAGAAATGACTCTAGGGGGGCGACACTTACGGATCAAATAACCGGGAAGAATACCAATAATCGCAGAGGACGAAACAGCTGTATAACAGAAGATCTGGCTTCTGATACTACTAAGCCCTCGTGCTGTGAAGGACACCAGCATTGCCGTTGTAATCCTAGCAGACCATGAGCATCACGATAAAAATGCGAGTATCGAGAGATCTTACTCAAAGACGTTTGCGTACATAGCGCTCTTCGCGGCAATCCTGAGTTGCAGGAAACACAACACAAAGGCGCCACAGCCAGCGATCCCCATATCGATGAACGAGCCTCCAAATGCCAGCGGGCAGATTAAGACCGATAACCAGAAACTCAAGATACATCTGAACCACCACGGGTACAACGGCTTTGCCAATAACAGTTCATCAAGTTGCTCCGTCGCCTTCCGCGCACTGACTTCGTCGTGCACCACAGCGCGATAGATGATGTGGACCTTGTGCAGGCTGCCTAATGAAAGACCGCCACCGGACTTGATGAAGTGGGTTTCCGAAGTCATTGTATCGTTGTCGCCGAAGGAACAGATAATGACGCTTGGTAGATGGATGAACTCGGCGTCGACTTCGAGGATGCGCGCTGCTGCAAGGAGCTGTGATTCGATGCGGTGAGAAGGTGCACCGAAGGTCATCAACGCTTTTGCAAGCTTGAGCAGGAAGTTGTGGCGATGGATGATGGCTGGAACCGTGCAATGAGCTCCAATTAAGCAGACAAGAAAGAAGACTCACAAGTAACGTTGAATTCAATCTTGATCTTCTGTTTCTCCTTTCTACGCCTGCGATAGTCCATCTGCCTCAATGCCGTCCGCTTCTCGTCGTCATAGTCGTCGAGACATTTCTTCCTCACACCAGTAATAGTAGGATCATCTGGGTCTAACAGCTGCGAGTGTTGGGAATTATCTGTATTCGATCTTTGCATGGGTGCACCGCCCATTTCTTCGTCGTAATCATCAAGCTGAGCAAAACGACGGCGTTGAAAAGGGACGTTCTCCCCCTCGGCATCAACTCCATACAGATCGATGAGGTTAGAGAACAGACCACGTCTTCTTCCATCTCTGTCATTCACGTCGCAATAGTCGAAGTCATTGTCATTGTCCGCGTCCTTCTCATCATCATCCAGCTCGACATCGTCATACTCCTTGTACTCATCCTTGCCGTCCGTCTGTGCCTCGATATCTGTTAAAGTCCCCTCACTATCCCGAAAGTCGACATGCCGCTCGTCATCGTTCCACATGTGGGCATTTTGTGGTGGAGGGATATCATACGGGTGCTGATAAGACGACATTGAGTATCTGGAGTCCTCTTCTTCGTATAGCGTAGGCTCTGAATCATTGTGAGCACGACCACGAAACCTTTGATTAGGAGCGACTGGAGCTTCCGACACGTAGCCTGGGAGCGTCGGTCGTCTGCTTCGTGACGCTCGGAGATGGGCCTGAGCTGAGAAGGGGTCTGTGAAGTCCGGTACTGACGCACGAGGCCCCCTGGTCGGAGGTCTTGTAGATTCAGGGGTTTGAGGTTCAGGGATTTGGGACTCGGGAAAAATATGCTCAACAAAGCGCGGACTCGGGTTGAATGAAGAGGGTCTGGGAATACGTGAAGTCTGACCAGTGCTGATAGAGGGTCGCACTTGTTGCTGCTGTTGTTCGAAAGAAGAATTTAGCGATTGCCTTTGCGCTTGGCGTCGCTGGAAAGTATTTGTGGAGGATCGTGGTGGGTAACGGCCTGAGTCTCCGTCGAGATATGGGTTGCTATGTGACATGACTTGCTCGATAACAACGGAAGTCTAGCTTTCGAGGCAAGGACTGCAAGAAGGCTGATAGCGTCACTGAGGAGGATGCTGAAGAAAGTAGGTAGGAGAGAAAGGTGGACAGGCGATATAGCCTTGAACTGAAACATACGAGGGAAAGCAGCATGTGGGTCATTTCAATTTAGACCAGTAGAATGAGGAAATCACAATAGTGTCCAGTGAGATTCTAAATTGAGCCGATTGTTATATTGAACGGCAATACGGACGATGCGAGAAGTGGAATGTGGGCAATGATTTCGCGCATAAACCATCAGGGTGACCTGCAACCCACAGATCCCCTCGTCAAATGAATGTGCAAGAAATTCACTCGCCCAGGGACTGATCATGATCAAGTCCATGACTTGGATAGGTCACAAATTTACACCAGTGAGCATGTAGTGCTGAGCGTTGAGACTTGCTTCTTAGATCAATCACTGAGGAGACACATCAGCGCCGCCTTTAAGTTGACAGCATACAGCTCACCACATCTCGGATATTCGACTCTACAATTGTTCACTAAGAGTGCCCAGTATCAGCGTCATCAAGGACCGTTCTGTATTCGCAGTTGAACTTTAAACGGTATACTCCTCCCACTCCTGCACCGTGATACCCATGATGCCCTCCTCTGCGCCCTCAAACTTCCTGAAACCCAATCGGGTATAAAACGCGGCCGCCTCTGTATTCTTCGGATCCATGCCCAACCAAACGCTCTTGACACCATTTTCTTTCAAATTCTCTATCGCGCGTGCAATCAACTTCCGCCCCCATCCTTGCCGCTGATGGCTTGGCAGAATGTCGATGTGCAGATGTGCAGGTGCAAACGCCATCATTGCATCACTTGCTTTTGGGAAGGTGGTTATGGTGTTGATATAAGCTCTATCCGCAGGCGTGAGAGCTGCCTCAGAGTCTTGCAGTAAGGGCGCGTAACGGGCTCTGAGCGAGGGCCACCAGTCTGCTTCTGCACTCTCCTCGAATTTGTGGGTGTCTAACGCGCCGAGAGTATACCCTACGACTTCTCCGTCGTTGTCAAGCACGAAACCCCATGTTGATCCAAGGTTGAGGTAGGGGAGCGCGTAGATAAGGCCTGGGAGGGCAGGATGGGAATGTAAGTGCTCGGACGATGTGCCTGCATTTGCGGTGAGCAAGCAAATGTTGGATAGGGCAGACTGGTCAGCTTTTGTGGCTGGTCGGATGATGGGGGCCATGATGATAATCTGAGCGCCGGGAATCACAATATATGTGCATGAACTCACATGGGTGGATGCAGTGAATGATATGATAGTATATTTGTTTTTAGAAATACATAGGGTTAGGGTTAGGACCAACAAAGATCAAAAAGGAAGGCCTGCCCAGCCAGAGTGGCCGTGGCAGGACTGGAAAATATTGAGACGGTGCATGAACCTGAGCTCATACAAACCGTGATTACCCTCTGTATGGACAAGGTCGCCGTGCTTATGAAGGGTCCTCACAGCCCACAAACCCGGGTACATGAAGGAGCTCATGCCATCAAGGTAAGTATGAAGTTTACATTTCTTGACAACGACCATTATATACATTTCACAAACAGCGCACGGACCATCATATCCATATTAGGGCCGCGTGGGAATAAGGTATGAGCAGGGCGCCGCTCCATGTTGTGGACTACTATGGCCTCACCCTCCTTGTATGGTGCATCAACGGTATCAACAATCTCCTCTCCCGATTACATCCCCTTGTCGCTCAAACTGTCAGCTGCCACTCTCCCAGCAGCAGTGTTCTCCAAACTCCTGCAATAACCCAAAATCGAGGATTACACGCCGCTATATCGGGTGATCGTAAACAACCGCCGAGAAGCCATTTGGGCGTTTCTGAACTTCATTCCCAATTCATCACCTGCTTCCTATTTCTGATGCTTGCTATTCCGGCTTGCGTCTTGCGTGCATAATGGTGGCGACAACACATTGTTCAGGCAGCAGGGTTGAGAAATAAGTGCATGGTGCTTCATGCCGCTAGAGAGCATCGATTAATTCATCTTGCACAATCAGCCAATGATGACTCCTTGAGACAATTTTTGGGTTGTCCGCAAGACGAGGTTCAGGTACAAGACAAGAGTCATGGGCGGTGGTCGCTTCGTTGCTTCTTTCTGTTCCAGGATGTTATTACACAGGAAGTGAGCATGAAATATGTTGCCAGCAGTATGTGATCCATATTGCTGATTTTTCAAGTACAGATAGGAACATGTTATTCCCTGCGTGTAGGTCGTATATGGGCGTTGCGGTTTTATATGGGAAAGGAAGGGGAGTGGTTTGTTGCGTGGCTACTTTCAGGGCACATCTTGTCAGTGAATGGAAGCAATGACATTCTGCTAGAGCCCCACAGAAAGTCGCACATGCTTGTACCTGTGACTATCCTTTAATCCCTTGATGTCTAATATATAAATGTAGTTACATAGTCCCAAAACCATTCAAGAAAACCAACTGAATAAACTGCAACTTGGGTGATTGGCCATAGACAAGTAAGTTCACAATCTTCCTCGGAGCCGACAAGACTTGCTTCAGTGATTCTGTATTTGTGAACTGCGAAAGCACGCTACACATATCGCTAACGACGACAATGGAATAACACTTCCCGGGATAGATACATGCTGGCACTAAATCACTCCATGGTTGGTATTGCATGTGTCGAAGAGGCAGTGTTGGGCGATCCAGTAACCTTTATTATCTGCTTGGGGCACATGCAGTACACCTTTGTATCGTTTATGACATTGGTATAATTAAGCCACTGACTCGCGTCCCATAAGAGCGTGCGAGCAGTTCTCGCGGATGATTTCGAGGAGCCCTGGCAAGAGGAATCCGACTACGCAACTGCTGCGTCTTCTGTTTATGTCAACATCACAGAAGATATCAGGAAGCGTGCAAGAGTGTCGGGGTCGTGGGCGAGAGCGCTATACGAAACTAAATTGTATTATGTAATTATGATCTGCAATCCGTGACAGTCGCATCAATGAATACATTCTTAGTCTCCAGCGTGATCTTACTATGCTCCGATTCGATTATGAGGGCATCGATGTTGCGAAGCACTTCACATGCGAAGAAGGGATGGGTGCGTGGAGTGGCAATATTTATTAGTGCGGACAATGCGAGGAGTAGGTGTATCTCTTGGAAGTGGTTACGGTGATGAGATCTTTCTCACCGCCTGGAGGATATGCGAGTGTATACTGCGGTAGATCTTCTTTTCTTGGAAAGGCGCGGGAGATACCTTCTAGATAGACCAGGTCGTATATGCATGCTAGACGTACACTGCGGTTGCGCCGACTGGCACCACCTCATCGATGATCTTCCATGCACAGATCGCGTGGTGCCAGAATTCCTGTAGCACGATTGTTGTATATGAAAATGACGCAAGGGATGGATTCAATGGAGCAGTTGATACCTTGTAATTGAATGAAGTAGGTGCGAACTTGTTGGGAAAGGGATACTTCTGAGTCTAGAGAAGGGTCGGCTGGGTGTTTCAAATTGCGAGTCATGATCCGATAGCGCATGTTGATGTATGACGGGTGGTCTGGAATGCGGCGTAGTTCATATGCTTGCTATGTTTGAGCGCGCTTTTAATCCCGGCTGCAATCATCTCGGACAGCAATCCACCTTGGTCTGTTGCCCGAAGTTGCCCAAGGACGTAAGGGAGAGACGACGGCACCTTTTTTCTTCTCTTTTCAATTACAATTCCTGTCCATTGGGGTAATGTACCCATGTCGGGCAGTACTGATTAGTCTATAAGGCCCCTGCCTTTTCTACATCTCTTGATGGCACTGGTCGAGCGTAATTATTATAACCTGGACGATGTATCGCCGAAACGTACACGTATTTGACCGTCGGTAATGTGGAATAATAGTACCGACCGGCACGCCTTGCAGGTCTGGGTTGTGAACCTGGTGGCAATGAGATAAGAGCAAGATTTGTATAGGTCGGATCTGACATTGATGTCATGTAATATTGAATCTGTAGAGATCCTCGGTTCTATCCCCCAACAGTGCCAACACACCAACTCCTCGCATTCTGCTCATTAGCGTCACCTTGTATGACGCGTCGATAGAGCGCGGCAAAACTTCGACTCGGAGTGCGTCTCGGTCGCGTCTCGGTCTACCCTCTGACACGTATAGTACATATACGAGTCGACCTCATCCATGGATATGAGGCTGGAAGTTCAGGTAAGAGAGCTGAGGGCAGACACCTTTACCTGATCTGGGGGAGAGGGCTGCTGCAGTTATGACCGCCGGCAGACAAGAACGTTGTAACCCGTCAGGAAAGTGCAACGTAGTTGATCGTTCATTACATAATATTGTAACCCCGCATGTAACCCGCAGTAAATTGGGGTGCCGAATTGCGATTGGCCGAATAAAGCACAGTCTAGACCGAGGGCTAGCCCAAATCATGCGAAGTTTATAACTAGGGCACTTTCGACTTTTTCCCTTACCACCTTCTAGTCTCGGTCTTGATATCTTGGATTCTCGAGCATAACATCTAGACTATTCTATACGATGCTCTCGTCAGGGTACATAGACCAGCAGTCTTATGCTCAACAACAAGCGACTATGGCTATGAATACACTACTACCCACACCGCCCTCCTCACCACCACGGGTTGGATTACATCCTGTCGAATCGACAATTACGCTTCTCGAAAATTTAGTCGCGTTCTATCATCAGGAACGGATGTGGGTGTATCGCACACGTGCACAACTAGAGATGACACTGCAAGAACGAGACGCTAGTACAGCAGCAGCGGCAGATGAAGAAGGAGAGATGGAGAAGGAGGAGCCGGACTCCATTGAAGAAACATCTGAAACGAGCAAGTGGATGAAGAGAAAGAAGGCATTTGGATTGAAGCTAGAGGGTATTGCAACGACGAGAGGAATGCCCAGAGGTGGAATCGTAAAACAGCGTGCACCACCACCTATGTTACCGGCGTTTGCTCACAGCAACCAGACTGCAGGACAAGCTGTACTTGGATCTAGTGGAAAGGAGCCTGGAGTGGAGATTTTAGAGATGTTTGAAAGGATGATGCAAGCCAGGATGGAGAGCTGTGAGCGAGTTACTAGAATGGTTAGAAATGCCAGTGGAGCTGGTTCACCAGGGTGCTCACCGCCTAACGGTCCGGTTTACGGTCAAAGTAGTTTCTTCATAGGGGCTTAGCTAAGGACTTAGCTAATGGGGTTGATTGTTTTTATTTATTTATTATTGCTGTAATCCTCTTCGTCTCGTACCATGTCTAATCGTTATGCTCCACTTCCTAATCCACGCACGGACCCAGATTCAACAGAACTTGAAGCTGCTTTCGACGAGCAAGATGACGACGACTACGACGGCGATGATCTAGATGAATCAAGTCCTCTGACTCACCCAAATCCTTCGAATCCTTCAACCTATAATTTCGAGTCTCCGATTTGCGACTACGACCAACCTCCTCCTGGTTCTCCCCCACAACCATCTTCTCATGCTGTACCCAATGAATTTGGAAATTCTAATGGCATAATACCCGTCTTTACAGTAGACTCTTTGCCCCCACCCCCAACAGGGCCATGGTGGAAGCGAACCGCAGCTACTATTTTACCGTCTCATTATGTCAACAGATGGGGTCTTACTACTGGGGCTAGCTCTCGCACTCCCATTGGAGGAGGCACCAGAAATGATGGCGTATTCAGTAACGTAGCTGCCAAACCATCGCAAGGCGTACGTGTTCAGGATGGTAATCATCAATCGATCTTTTATCAAAGAACGTATTGACTCTTGTACAGGAGACAACGTATACCTTGTTCCAGAAGAATCTTCCAACACAGCTCCTCCCACTTACGCAGCAGCTCAGGCTGATGCTGCTCCCCCTTACCACACTCATTCGATCTTCCTTCCTTCTTCCGTCCATGCGTCCCTCACTCTCTCCCAAGGCTGTGTCGTCGTAGATGGCCTTCCCACAGGCACCCTTTTCTCTTTCCTCTGGAACGCCCTCATCAGCAGCACCTTCCAATTTGTCGGTTTTGTTCTCACATGGGTCATGCACACAACCCACGCCGCTCGCTACGGCAGTAGGGCAGGTCTCGGCGTCACTTTGATCCAGTGGGGCTTTAACCTCCGTGCGCAACTAGATAACGTAAACGGTGCACCTCTAGGCTCAGACCCAGCCGATGCCTGGCCCACATTTGCAAGCGCTCAAGACGCCAGTGAGTGGTTGGATGCCAACCTCGATCGTCTTAACAGCACTACATTCGCTTCTACCGACCACATGTCTTCCTGGTCCAACTCCGGAGAAGGAGATGAAGGGAACAATGGGTTCCTCACAAACGCAGCAGCCAGTGAATGGCTTTCCTTCTTCCTCATGACAGCCGGCTGGTTCCTCCTTCTCACAAGCGTTTTTGGTTTCTGGCGTGTTAAGCGCTGGGAACGCGGCATTATCTCGTCTTCCAGTTCTACCGCGTCACAGCCAACAACAGACGAGGAGACCAGGAGACAATCACTCTTTGAGCGTCTCGGAATGTTCCGCGTTCCCACACAAACAGCATCTTCAGGTGCAGATGGACTGGAACAGGTGTCTTCTTCCCATGTAGGTGATGACATAGTTAGCAGGGATACAGCGTTGGAAATGCAATCGCTCGTCCCAACCGATCCAGACCATGCACGTCGGATCAGGCGAGCAATCGAGCGCGAGCGCAGGCTGTGCGAAGACTTGCGCGCTGCAGGTCTCTTATAAAGTCGTTCAAGCTTCGGATTTCAAGGAATGGATGTACCGTGTATCATGCTTTTTATCGCCAGACGTATTATCTATTTTTCTAGGATTAAAACGATGATGGTCACAATCGTTCATACAGTCGTATTTATTGCAAATCTGTTTCTTGGCGTCTTTTCGTCTTTCGAAATTAGATTTCATTTCAAGTACATCTTATATCCTTCTACGCAATTTATTTCCCGCCATCGTCAACTATGACCGCTCCAGAAAAACTTCCATGTTGAATTCCAGGGCTGAGCAGGGGTAGGTTATCTCGAATTTTTCGAGCACGGTGGGGTGTAGCACACCCAGCGTGCCGATCACGATGTCTCGGTCTTGATTGATGTGCAGCGTGTTCTTGAGTTTATCAGCAAGTTCGCCTGTTTTTGATGTCTTTGGGGGTGGTGGGCGGTAATAGATAGTCGCTGCGCGTCCAGGGAAGTACGCAGGATCTAAAACACATCAGTACCACGTTACGCAAACAAGAGCCAAAACATACCATCCCCCTCCTTGATATAATACCCCACATCCCTCCCATCCCCCTTCCCAACCCTCGGAATCTCCAACATCTTCATAGCCCTATCCAACAACCCATGTACGACCTCGAAACCCGCACTCCTCGCACACCACACCGCCCCCGCATGTCTCTCATTTCGTGCTTGTCTCTCCCGGGTTGTATCTTTGAACACGACGTCGCTGAGCTCGAAAACGCGGATTGGGAGAGCATGCGAGCGATTCTCGCGAATGGTTTTGAGGAGTCCTGGTAAGAGGGATGTGCGGACTACCTGGAATTCGAGGGTTTTGGGGTTGGCAATTTTTACTGCTAGGGAACCGGGGTCAGGACGGCCCATAAAGGAAAAGTTTTCTTCGTGTGAGCACTATTGGATTTTGTTAGATATTTTGTGCGCTGAGGTAGGAAAGGAAGAGGAGGGAACGTACGAGAATGAAAGGTAACGCTTCGACCCATCCTGCCATCGCCCATTCCCTCCGGATGACGTCCGTGAGCCTGCTGATCGGCAAAGGTTGTGCGACTGTGCTAGTCTGGGGGAAGATATCTGGGAGGTTGTTGAACCCGTATGCGACCGCTGCGTCTTCCATTACGTCGACTTCGTGGAAGATATCAGGACGCGTGCATGGAAGTGAAACGATTAGAGCGTCGGGGTCATCGGGTGAGAGGGTGGGTGAGAGGGTCATACGCGTTAGGAGGGACTGAATTGTGGCGGGTGTTAGGGAAAGAGAGGTGCAAGAGTTGATGTACGATGCGCGGGCAGTCACTGTGCGTGGAGTGATATCAGGAGATATGCGCGTCGAACCGTCAGGAAAGACGATCTTGCAAGGCTCAATCCTAACAACAAATCTTCAGCTCTCCGAACCAAACTACGAGCCCACAACGACGTACGTGAAAGGCTCGGCACAATACTCCGAAAACATGCTCGCCACCATATTGATCACGATCTGCAACTTCGTATCGTCCGTGGCAGTCGTATCAATGAACACATTCTTAGTCTCCAGTGTGATCTTACTATGCTCCGAATTGATGATGGGGGGCATACTCAACACATGGTCCTCTGCATCATAGATGATCGGATAGACATCAGAATCTCGAATGATGTGCAAGTACCGGGAGAGATGTTTGTCCGATTCGTAGATCTGCATGAGCTCTGCAGCGGTGTGCACCGTTTCACGACCGAGAGGCGCGAAAGCGATGTTAGTGGGTATACGAGCTTCATATCGAAACGGAGGGGTGAGGGTGTCGAGGTCATGTGTTCCGATGGCGACGAGACTTCGCCTGCGCCCGATGTTTTGATGTAGTTTGTCTTGGAGGTCAATGAAGGACGCGTAGCTTATGGGCGTAAATTTGATGTTGCGAAGCACTGCACATGCGAAGAAGGGACGGACGCGTTGGGTCTGGGTGTGGTAATGTTTGTTAATACGGATAATGCGAAGGGCAAGCGTACCTCTTCGGAGATGGTTACGGTGATGAGATCTTTCTCACCGCCTGGGGGATATGCAAGTGTATACTGCGGCGGATTTTCTTTTCCTAGAAAAGCGCGCAAGGCACGGGAGATACCTTCTAGACAGACCAGATCGTATCTGCGTGCTAGTCAGATGGACATTGAGGTTGCGCCGACTGGCAGCACACCTGTTTGCGGGTACTTCAATTTTTAATTGCTAGAGCAAAGTATGAGCATGCGTGCGATTAGCTTACTAGAAATCGAGACGCACGGGACGTTCTGCGGGAAGTCCTTTCTTGATCGCAGCTTCTACCTCCGACGTGGTCTTTTTATTCGTTCAGCAAATCATTCTGGCTGTAGAAAAATCAAGAAGGGCGTACGTCTTCATCTAATTCTAGTCCATAGTCAAAGCACAAACTACCGAATTCCTCCGTGGCTGCGATGTGATCAGACGTAGAGAAAACACAGTTGGATGAGGACGTACTATAGTGACGTCCGAGCCGCTCAAAAAGCTCGGCTTTGTCTACTGAGATTGTAGGCATGATTTGTTCTGGATAATAGAGTATATGAAGCCAGCAGGATGTAGCTGGACTTCAGGATTGCTTGCTAGATCAGACTTGAAGACAACTATCAAATGATCATATCGAGTCAAGTGGGAGACCCCCGGATACTCCAGGTTATACCGGTGTCCTACCACAATAAGTGCTTCGCATGTGCACTGACGAGTTCCAACATGTATATCCCAATATTCTTCGCACTCCTAACGTCATCACTGTTCTGCCAGCTGGTTGCATCCCAAACCCATGAAACCACCGAGCTACGCTTAATGCACCGTGTTGTGCACCCTGACCTTCCCGTGATACCATGGGCTGAGCTCGGAACTGTCTCTATCCCATCCTTCAAATCCATTTCCACCCACTGGCTCACCTGCTCATTGTCACTAGCAGAGTCATTAAAAGATGACCTCGCAGAGTTCTCAAAAGCAGTCAACCCTAATATGCAGGGTGCAATGTACCACATCGCAATCGAGCGTCCAGAATTGGAGGGGTCCGTGTCGAGTATCAAAGCAGTCAGTCATGATTTATTTCGATTTATGAGTGAAGGACCGATATTCCATATAGTGTCTACTCCCTTCCTCCACATCCGCAAATATAGTTATCCATTTCTCTGCGACGGGAGAACCATTTGCGATCGACTATTCCGTTTCGCCTGTACCTCAAGATGGAATATGCCCTGTGACAAACACGGGGAGCTACCCAGCACATAATGCGAGTGTGGTGCTCAAGTCACCACGGATGGCGCCTCTGTATGCCTTCTCTCGCGTTCTTGAGCTTGTCTGACTGACATACTGTAGACCTGAGTTGCGGATCCCACCTCCGCTCACGCCTGAAGGCGAGCCAGTAGCGCCTGTTCCTGAGAAAAGTTTCGTGCAGAAGTATTGGATATATATGGTTGTTGTTCTAGGGGCATTGCGTGAGTTTTCGGGTTTCTTCTGTGTTGCGACGTGAAGCCAGTTTCATAAGGCTCAACCGGCTCGTCTTCTTGTACCTTTCCTTTGTTGCGAAGCATATACTGACTGCGATATTCGATCAGTGATTTCTGGGCCTGCCGAGGACTCTCCTAGCGGGGATGGGAAAGGAGGGAAGTAGAATCACATAAATTATCATGCTAGGGACTTTCAAACACAACTTTCCTGAGGTGACTCTGCCACCTTAAGATGGCGCATGTCAAAGTGAGTAAGATTGTTGTTAAGATGATAATGCAGAAACAAGTTGTTTCTGATCAGTTGTGACGGTGATCTTGAGCGATAGAACATGTAATCAAAAGCTTGCTTATCAAAGTAGCAGGCATTGGCCTGACAAACTGAAAAATCATTGCACGAAATGCAGGAAACCCTTGATCACGCATTGGCTTGCATGTTCGGTGAAGTGGTCAAAAATTTAGTACATATGGCGGCCCATCCTACGCTTTAAAAGGTCATTGGATTCCCAAACAGTGCCTCTTTGACGGGAAAATCATCCAACTATCTGACATTCGACATGCAATGTGTTCGTTTGTGGTGTCTATCCCGGGAAGCTTTATTTCACTTTCATTGTCGTCGTCAGCGATAAACGTAGAATGCCTTCGCAGTCCACTAAAGCAATTAATACAGTCAGGTCAACTCCATCCCGTGTTGAACTGAAAACTTACTTATCCATAGGTCAATCACACAAGTCGTAATACATTGCGTCGATTTCCTTGAATGGTTTAGGCATTATGTGCATGTTTACGACATAGAATGGTCAAATACAGTCGTTATTGAGTAGGACATGGTATGATTCAAAAGATGGGTTGTGTTGGTGTCCATTGAATCACGAGACGCCCACAAAGGCCACCGCCCAATCCCACTGTTCATCATTCCCACGAGCACCGATATATCGGCAAGGGATGTACGTGATTGCAGGAATATCCCTGTCTTCAAACAGGACGCGCGAGACTGATGACCCTGGTCGAAAACCGATCATCAGCATAAAAATCTCGGAGTCTGAGATCCAACGTACAACTGGGTAAAAAATCAGCTTCTACTTTGTGAAACAATCTTGCTGAGAGCGCTGTTGCCCAAAATGCATTGAGCAACGGTATTTTTCCAAGTTCGATTGCATCCTCCTGCGATGGATGTCCACGAGCGCAAATAACCACGCACTGCGGCGAGGTCCCCGATACGTTAAATCGAGAAACTTGCCAGTTCAATATGGGCGGCCTAGTAGAACCGAGGATTACTTCGCTCGATGCTTTCACACCGCACTCGGGATCAACATCTGAAAATGCTTGAGCACGAGAGGCCAATTCCTACTTGTCCTACGCACCAGATAGGAGCTCCACAGTGTGAAATATCTGGGTGCGTTCGGCGTGGATATCCCCTAGGAATACATGAGCACGTGAGGATGATTCAGATATGCTTGCACCTACCAGACAAAAACTCCGGAGTGCGAGATATTTGTGTGAAAGTGTCTTCCTCTTCGTCTAGGACCGCAAATTTTCCTGTATGCACCAATACTTGTTTCTCGACGCGTGCACCGCGCGGGAGGGACGCAACTACCAAGAACAATGTTGGGGTTTCCTAGATGTAATATCAATATCAATCTTGATTGTAAGTTTTTGATATCTCAGCTAACCTCGCAAAATGTTTCACAAGCCCGTCGAATGTGCATGATATCAGCATCGTCAACAAGCCAATATAGCGAAAGTAGCACATGCCCCCCTGCAGTGTCAGCGGCACGAATGACGCGATCTGTGTGCTGGAACACCAACGCAGTTTCAAGTGCCAATGAAGATGGAGAAGGGAGCGTCAAAGACGGAGGGAGTAGACCGATCTGGCCGGATACAAAAACATACGGCTCCACCTGATCTAAAAATTAGAAAGGTATCTCGCGTCGCGAAAGGCTGGACGCACGGTGATAGCTTGTGAATAAGGACCGATATTAGCAGGTGCCCAGTAGCTCAAGCCCTGTACATGGAGTGCCCTCCTTGTGTTATCCTTGCGCGCGACACATTCAAGTAACACACCCATCCCCTCAGGAAGATCCACACCCACACAACATCTCGAAGGAGGTGAAACACCAAAGAACTCAGCGTATGCCTTGTTTGCAGCTGCGAATATCTGGGGGGCAAGGGAAGGCAGTAAGAGTGTAACATTAGCCACATCTTCCATGCGCAGACCATGTGATTGCAGAATTCCTGTAAGCCTATTGGGACTGGATATGAAAATGATGCAAATGATATATTGATACCTTGTAATTGAACGAAGCAGTCACGGACTCGTTCTTCGAGGGGTGTTTCTGAGCCTAGAGCTGAGCCTGGATGGATGTTTCCGATCGCGAGCCATGATCCGATAGCGCGTGTTGACGGATGATCTGGGATGTGGTGTATTTTGTTGGTCGGTTCATATGTGCTGCTAGAGCCGTTCTCGGATTCCTCTAGGACTGAAGTTTCGACCACGTTTTTCAATTCATCGAATCTATCATCCAAGAGTGGGGGAATCTCGACCCTGCCATCCGTATACGATTCTTTGGGGTGGAGCGAGGCTTGTTTAATACGCAAATATGCAACAGGCGCAAATTCATTGTCTGTATGCATCACAACTTCTGTCTCATCCAGCACAACACGATGTTTGAAGGACGGGCTGTCAAGAGTAAGAGTTTCGTACTCTCCACCTTCACCACAGATATGCAAACCATAAAGGTTGTTCTGCAAGAAAATCAATCAACTTGTTTATGTGGAATAAATGGACGCACCAATCGCGTGAGGGTGTCCTGCATTTCATTTAATGTTTTTCCTAGGTGTTTTGCTGTGAGACCGATGCCTGCTACTTTTATTAGCACACTTTCAAGCCTGGCTGCAATCATCTCAGACAGCAATTTGGCTTGATCGCGCTGCCAGAGGTAGGCTAATGGCGTAAGGGATAGACGACGACACCTATTAAACGTGAACACTAAAAACCAACTTATACGTGGCCAATACGCACACATGCTCGACGCGAACGCGTTGGTAATTTGAGAGAATAGCGCCGACTGAGACGCCTTGCACATCAGGGTGGTGAACCTGGTTGCTATAAGACAGGGTGAGATTGGAGAGAGTTGGATCTAACCTTGACGTGCTCTAATAAAGTATAGAGATCCTCTGTCTCATCCCCCAACACGCCAGCTCCCCCAGCACTACGCGAACCATATTCTGCATTTTGCTCGATAGCATCACCTTGTATGACATGTCGATAGAGCGGAACTTCGAGAGCGCGAGCTACGAATTCGATCGCGTCTTGGCCTACTGTCTGGTACATATACGAGTCGATCTCATCTATGGAGATGAGGCGTTTTCGAGGAAGAAAGGTAAAGTCAGACCTTTTCCTGATTGCGGGGAGAGGGTCGCTGCAGCTACAAGTTGGTGACCGTTGGCATTGCAGTGGGACAAGTTGTAACAGCTGTCTTTCCCTCCGCTAAGGAGTGCGACGTACTTCATTGTCTGCAGCGTTATGTAACTTTGTATCTAGAGCTAGGTAGAAAATGATTAACTGTAAAAGGAAATTCTATGCCAGTTCTAACGGCACTACAGCTGTGATCCTTCGAAGCCTGATGGCTAATGTTGCTGGATCCAAGTCATACCAGGGGCGGTAAGTTATAAACCTTTGTGATATTGAATGTGAACGTAAAACAAGTGATAGACATGAATATGAAAAACTTATATGCGAGATACAGCTGTTAAAAATGTAATGTATGATACATCCGTTGTCCACCCTAGATCATAAGAATAAACTCAGGGCTCCTCTTCAGCCTTGAGCTCCTTCAGCACAGCAAGCCCACTCCTCATCTGACGCTCTGTCTTGGTAGGTGGCACCCTGCGACAGGCAGCAGCGCCAATCAGTGTGCACAAGCCTCCGAACCGCAGCACCCATGCTACACCGTTCTTACCCAGGTATGTGTTGTGATCGGGTTCGAGATCGGGAGAGGGAGTGACGACGGGGGTGTTTTCGTCTACGATACGGAATATCACAGATGAGACAATAGCAATCTAAGCAGGAAGAACTGAGTGAAGTTTCAAGGAAACAGATCTACGAGACTTACGATGAATTGTGGCATTACAATGGCAAGGTTATGGATGCCGAGGATCGTGCCTCCTGCTGGCCTGGTCTCACTACCGCCGGTCTCGCCATCATCATCAGAATTTGATTCGTCCTGTGAAGAGCGGCCAAGTAAAGGATCTTGCTCAGAGACCTCAGTTGCCGCTTCGGGTAGATGTGGAATCTTTGCATGTATCTCTTTCAACAGCTACAATTTACGGCAACTCAACGCAAATCCAGTTAAGAAAGAACACGACTGACCTCCATGATAATGGCGAACGGTACCCAACATGCAACAGCCCAACATATCCCAATCAAGCTAATTGCAACTGTAGCTTGCTTGACAGTGCTTATCCAGAATGTGGAGAACGTTAGCAAGGTAAACAAGATCATCGCAGCTGTCCATATGTCCCGGAGGAGCCATGGCATCTTGGGAAGTTCTACAATACCTTCTTGACGCCACAGGTGAAGTCTACTGCGGAAGCGCTCAATCTGAGCATCTTCGTCATCACCTTCTACAGGGAGAAGACGGTGGTCACGTCGTGCAAAGAGGGGAAGTACGCTGCCGGCGAGAACAGCCACTATGTTGACGTGAGGTTTTATTTTAGATGGTCTATATCAAGACACACCTATGCTGTATAGCAACATTGCGAATTCACCGGTACGAGTGGCTAACTCGTTATCTGGCTCCTCACCTGTCTCGTAGGCCATAACTTGACCAACATATGTGGTACTAGCGCGTAAAATCAATTAAAAACAATATATTTGAATTGAATTTGAGAATTCTCACGAGTAGAACAAGAATGGGAACCTAACTCGACGCGTCAGCACACCCACTCAAAGAAGTACATATGCCACGTACCATCCCATGAAAGCAAAGATCTGCACAAAACACATCCTTCTGATAGGTTTCGGAAGCGTTGTTATCGCGCTGTATATATTCTCCAAAATTTCACCAAACTTGCCGCGCCTGGAAGTTCGTTTAACTAACAAAATGGTTCCATATCAATCCACCGACCTTTGGCTGTTGTTCCTTGCTACAGAAGCTTTCTCCTCATGACAGAAGCAAGTGATCCACACAGTGATAACAAGGATAGTCATGCTGACAATACAGAACTTTCGGAACTGATCGCCACCCAAGAAGCTCAGGAAGGGCAGCTTCGCGAGAGGGATAAAACCTTAACATCCATCAGCGCGGCGTCGGTGAACGAGCATGGGTAACGACATACCAAACCCGTAACCAACGATATTACCTGTTTGGCACATGCGGCTATGCCAAGCATTACCGGCATTGAGCTGATCGGGCGGAGTGATATCCAGAAGAAGATTTCGCAAAGATGCTTGCAGGGCGTTGAGAGCAAAATCCAGAACGTAGAACGCGAAGACGGCTATGCCAATTGCGACGTTTGTAGCCTGGTAGTGTAAGAAATATGAAATGCGAAATGATGAATATCAACGTACCTGCTTCGTGCGTTCTGGATCCCAGTCACCAGCGCCTCCGCCAAAGATATCAACAAAGAAACCAGCCATGCTCTGACAATATGCCAAAGCTAATGTTGAGACAACAAGTGCACCCGTCGATAAAACTACCCAATATCTCCGCCGATACTTCGAAGTGGACGAGTCAGATATTGCACCTTGCGAACTGTTCAATCGGCTGCCAAAAAAACCTATCTGAAAGAACATACCTATGAGAGGTTGTGCAATAAGACCGCTGATAGGTCCAGCTAGCCAGACCAGGCTGGTAACCTGTTCTGATACCCCCAGTGACAGAAGCAATGGAGTTCCGTATCTAGCGGGCGTAGCATATTAATGTTTTTGGCGAATTTGTAGCCCACCAGAAACTTACCCTAGCTCCACCGTCCACGCAATTTGGGCGCCAGCCATGGATATACTGAGGGTCATGAGATTCCATGTGGTCAAGCGTGTTCGCCCGGGTTCGCTTGCGTGTTGCTTGACAGACCTGTCCGTCTGTTTTCCATTCCCATCTATCGCCTGGTATGATTCTTGTTCGACAGACTGTGTCTCTTGTTGAGAATAAGATGCCGTGCGCGATCTGTGGCTAGCTGGCCATGCTATCTGGGTGGTCGGGTCGGGGTCCGCGTCAGGATTGTATGCAATGGTCATTTTTCTGCTTAAGATGGTGACAGGGAGGAAACTAAGGGTATAAAATACAGCAGTAGAACTACCAAGCTGATCAGGTTCAGCGGTCTCGACGCAAAGAGGCGCAAACCTCCTTAAGTAGAGCAGCAAGTGCTAAAACCCGTAATCGGCATTGTCCGAAAAAAGCCTTGCCAAACCTCCCAGTGCCCTTCTTCAACTAAGACGAGTTGTTGGCATATTTAAGCATCTAATATTGGCTGAGAGGCATAGACGAACGTGACTTACGAATGACTCCCTCACAGCGACATTACCCTGTTATATCGCTGTAATGCTTCCTCGGATGACCAACATTAAGCGGCCGAAGGCTTATCATTACGCATAAAAATGAGTCACTTGAGATTATCAGGCTCGTGCGTGCGAGACCAATATATCGAAGCCGTCGCAAAAGTCTTCCTGTATGTCTGGAGGTAATCTGGAACTTGAGATCTGTTATAGGAGGAAGGGGCGTGCAATCGCTACAGATAAATTGTGCTACAGTACTAGTGCAAACAGACAATGCTGGGTGTATAAAAATGTTCAGACGGAAACGAATCTCACTACAAAAATTGAACAGTGGAACATACAACCGAGGTGTATGTAGTACAGATGAACATAGTACAGCAAAAAGATCACCCTCCCAGTTATCCGCGACTAGAAGCTGCCGAAGAGCCTCTTCGATGGCTATGATGACCTTGTGGTAGGTCATTAACCGGGGCGGGGGTAGGAGGAGGCTGAGCAGGTGAGGACTTGGACGAAAAGATACTAGGTAGTCTTCGGCTTATGGCTGCGGCAGTGGCCGATGATGCAATGCGGACCCCTTTCTTAGGTGGTTCTGGGAACTGCGCATATAGTGTGGGGGGTCCGGTAAATGTTTCAGATCCCTCCATCAACTTCTCCTCATGTTGAGAGGTATCCGAGGAAGACGCGCGCGTGAGAACGGGAATTGGAGAAAGCGTGGTTTGTGCTGGACGTGCGCTGGAAGGATTGGTCCCAGAACGATTTCTCAGAGCCTCTGCTTGACTATTCTGGGTTTGTGCGGCAAGGGGAGATGGAGTTGTACGGAGCTGTGCAGCAGAAAATGAAGGTCTGAGAGATCTTCGAGGTGCTGTTGACCCGGTGATGGCTAAAGAAGCCAGTGCGGTGATATCGTCGCCATTTGCCGAAGGGCCAGCCGAAGTGAAGTTATTCCCATTCTGTGATTTATTGTCTGTCGACGCTGTTCCCGCACTTCCACTACGATTTCTCCTCATGTACTTTTCTATTTCATCCGCATCTCGCTCCCGCATGCGGTTCACGATGGGTGACAATGAATTTGGTTGCGCGAGAGGTGGATTGAGTGTGAGCCCCTGCGAAGGTCCCGGGGAGGGGAAAGTGCCTGTACTACTGGCTGAAGACATGTTATCAGATCGCTGCGAATGAGTGTAGGTATATTGATGTGAGGGTAACCTCGAGGGCTGTGACGTTGTCGAAGATGCTGAAAGAGATGAAAGACTAGTTCCTTTCTCTTGCCCTTGCCCAGCACTGTCTACATCGCCGCTGTCAGATGTCGCGGTAGTGCGACTTCCACCTGAGCTGCTCCGCATTCGAGACGCGTTCCTTCCAACACTGGGTGGCTTTAATGGAATAGGTGGTGGTCTGGCAATGGGCCATTCGTTTCCTCGAGCAGCAGCTTGTGCAAACACCATGCGTCTAGATTTCTTATTAGTTTCAAATTGCATACGGGCAGAATCCTGCAAAGTGTCCCGCGTGCTGAAACTGCATTACTGTTAACAGCCTAGTAATCTGTACGAAAAAGAGCTAGGCTTACGAATATGCGTAATCGGACGCAGTGAATCCGTCATTGTTCCGAGCAGCAAATTGACAACCTCGTTCGATCAAAAGTTGAACAATCTGGGGTCAAAAAGTAAGCGAGAAAGAACGTCGTATTAGATCAGATGCGCTCCACGTACCGGGATATGACCCCAAGAGCTTGCACTGACAGGGACTAGTCAATTCCAAGACCCGATGACCGGAAGCGACTTACTAATGTAGAGGAGTATTGCCTTTATTATCCGACAGATCGAAGTCAGCACCCAAATCACACAGCATCTTGAGAAGGGCATCAAGATAAAATAAGCCCAGGCTCATGATATGATCTCGGGTGACTCACGCGGACGAGTTCCTCGTTGCCTTTGAGAGCGGCCATGTGCAGCGCTGTTTTCCCTTGTATGTTGGACCAATCAAGAATCCACGGGTAACGTTCGTAGTATAGTCTTGCCATGCGAAGCGCAGCACCCATGAGATCAACCTGCGAGGGGCCTGGCGCGTAAGGGTTAGACGGTGGAGACTTGAAATCAGCCAATAGCATAAGAATAGTGTTATTTTCGGATTCCTGATAGAAGAAGTGGTCAAAACCTCTGAGGGACAACACTTGTGGCGAGCGCGTACCCTGCTGAGCTCTTCATCGTCATGCCCCGCTGTAAGTAAAAACTCGAATGTCTCCTCATGTCCCAAGACAGCGGCCCAGGCTAAGGATGTGTAGCGCTTTGGACCAGGGTCAGGATTTCGCATGTCTGTTCGTTGAATGAGTCTCTTGACGAGAAAGAGATTGTTCTCTGTAGATATGGGCATCATTAAGTGTGATGGACTGATATCGATAAATAAAAACCTTTGACCGCTCTACGGAGGCGTACGGTGGCATCTTTTTCTGCCATGTACAGAGCAGTTGACGGTCGAGTGAAAGAATGAGGGAGATAGAAACAATTGAAGTTAATTACGATGGCTGCCTCACGTGACCATATGACCCTTGGTTTTGTCCTTGTGCCTACCTAACATCTTGCCAACGCCCAGGATTTTGTTTTAACCAGATTCGAGATCAGCTTCGACCACAAACGGCGCTTCTGTTTGAACAAGAGTTTTTGGTCGAACATTAATCATGCCAAAGGTCGTCTCTCGTTCAGCGGTTTCCTCATCCACGGATGGTCAGTCCCGGACCATTTCAATTATCTTGTCCATCAGCTGCTCATTTTCTTAGCACGGCCAACGGCATCAGCCGCAGCTGCTCTCAGGGTGTACTGTGAGTATCGTATCACACCAAATTTGACCGCATTAGTTCACCCGTCCCTTGCACAGACTGTATCTGTGGCGAGTTTATCGTGCGCGTCTTCAGTCAGGCTTGGCACTCCTCTCACGAACTTACGCAAGATGCATGACAGCTCGTGATCGAAAGAAGCCTTTCAGCGCTCCCAAAGCGCCAGACTGATGGTGCTACCATCATTCGCTGTCAGGATAGCGGTGCAGAGAACGCGGTTGTTTTCAAATTAAACGCTGTATCGACTGATCCCGTTCTAGTCGAAAGGTACAAACAAATTGTCTCCAGGGAAGGCGAGGCTGATTGTAAGCTGCAGGCCAGGGGGACATGAGCGCCAGTACAGATTTTCATGTCCGCGGTGCAACTTATTGGTCGGATATCAATCTACCCCACCTCCTGTCAAATCTGGTCCGTATCTGTATATCCTTAAAGGAGCCCTCACACAGATGCAAGGCCAAATTCCGAAGGACGCTTTTGAAGGCGAAGCTGCCCTGGACCCTCAGAAGCTGGAACCCAATAGCACGGTCATACGAGATGGGGATGGTACTGAATTGAACATAACCTCAGTACGCGCATAGATGATAGCACCAATTATGCCTGTCCAACAGTAATAATACAACATGGATATACACGGTCTAGCGGACATAGTCATTGAACGCGGCGCAAAACTAGTAGTCGCAGATGGCATGAATGCGTATGACAACCGATCACTGATATTGTGAGCGATCGAAAGGGAACCTGAGAACAACCATTAGTTATAAATCTTGGTAGACAAAATTTGACAGTAGAAGCGGCTCAGCTACCGTTGTAGAAAAAACTCACAATCCATGCATCCAATCGACGCACGAATTCATACAGTGTGAATAAATATGTCATCACCACCGCAGAAACAGAAAAAGAGCAATCGGTATAATTGTAAACTCACCTTTGGCGTCAATTGCATCTCTCATTGTGGAGAAAGTATGTTGATCGATATGTGAAAGAAAGAGAATTTTCAAATTTTATCCAAGACGAGTTTGCTCGTATTTGTTTGTGTGTGTTCCAGAAGCAAATACTATTATTATTAAGGTAAGGTAGGCCTCATCCGGTTCCAGCACCTCATGTAAGCACTAACCCTAACTCTAAGTTGTGGCCAAATCTCTGGTGAAAAATTTTCCTGACTCTGAGGACCACCTTAGAAGTTGCTTGAAAAAAAATTATTATCTATACACATCATGTATCTAATCATGTATCTATGCCTAGACAGATCCTAAGGTTGTTGTGAGCTTTTTCAGGAGGCAAAGCATGTGGAGATCACAAGTTACCGAGCACGAAGACTGTAGAACAGAAGGTACAATCTCAGTATCTGGAAAAGAACTCTTTTATTAACGTATCCTATACCTGTAGAACAGAAGGTACACTACGGTATAGTGAGTACTTCATAATGATACTAAACAATAATAGGAACTTACATCTCAGTATCTGGGAAAGAACTGAGATGCATATGTGCTAGGATGAGCGCTTATAATGTAAGTGGGGCTTGTAAGTAAATTTTAGGAATAAATGTTTACACATATTCAGGGCGTAATTTGACCTCGACAGGACACTCGCCATTGGTCACTTCAAGCTTGCACTTGGACCACACTCGGTCGTTGTGCCTCTGTCACTTCTTCCTCCTTGTTATCTCGGATCCTTTGGCCTCTTCACCTTCATTGATGTCGGATCGCTTGGATTCCAACAAAGCACAATGTCTGTGGTACTGTAGAGATATGCACTTAGCTTTGACATCATCTGGGTGTGACCAACTGAACCTTAGCTTTAAAGATTCAAAGACAGGTGTGATCTGTGACACATCAGAAATAGCTTTGAATCAGCACCACTACCAGCTGCTGTCAACAAAAGCTCACAGTTGATGGTGATGAAGAGAATTTTGGTCATGTAAAGCGAGATGCATGGCAAATACTCAGTACAATAATTTTTGGAAATATTTTTGCATTTTTTTTCATGTTTTACCATGTGTCACAATTTACCTTCAATGACTTCAATTTTGTGTGACAGTCACACGAAATAGCTTCAATTCATCAGACATGTGACACTGTGATGAAGCTAAGTGTGTATCTCTACAGTACTTTTGATTCACCCATGCAGCTGCATGTGCACCTTGTGAATATGATGAAATGGGCTGATCAATAGGCATAACTATGACTATGACTAACTATATTACATAAAATGTTAGTGTTGAAGAGTTTGTGAGTTGAATAACTTATTGTTTGATTTGTAGAGACTTGCAAGATGTGCCTGGATAGCTTTGGACTTGTTTCTCATTTTAATGCCAGTAGCAGGAGTTTTTGAAGTATTTCTAAGGCTCATACATCCTTGCCTCTCCCTCTGCAGGATGTCACATGTTTGATTATATAAGCGGCCAAATACTTCAAGGAGGATTTCTCATTATTATTTTTTGCTGTTCCAGCACATGGAAATGGATTCCAAGTCATTTTACACTTTTGATGTTTTTGACTTATTTCTTCATGAGTTCTGATTCAAAAATTAAAATTCTTCCTGGGCCTTCAAGAGGACCTTGATAAGACACCTTTCCAGTAATTATATTTGGTGCAGATTGGTTTTGTATGGATGCTATTTGAAGATGTTGAACAGCTCAACCTTGCTTACTTAAGGGGTGCTGGAACTGGATGAGACCTACCTTAGACCTCGTGCTGTTTCAGCAAACATTACGTGATGAGTATGACAAAGTGTGACAAAAGCAATGAATGTGTATAGGATATTTGTAGTGACAAGATATAAAAAATCAAAGACAGAAGGGTTCTAGTGTATGTACTTCTTGACAAGTCTCACACTTTAAAATCACAATTTGTGCAAAATTGAAGGAGGAGATGGCAACACAAGTTTTCTGTGACTTGCTGTGACTTTACTTGTCACTACTGGGATATGGCTTGCTTGTGTTGCCATCTCCTCCTTTAATTTTGTGCAAATCGTAATTTTGAAGCATAGGACTCGTTAAGAAGTACATACACTAGAACTCTTCCATTGAAGAACAATCAACTCAGCTCCAGGTCAAATGATAAATCTAAGGGAAGGACACAAGAAGCTGATATAGTGATCAATTGCGATGCCTAGGCTGCTATACTTGCAGGGACAAGCACATTTGATCCAAGGGGAAGCAAGAAAAACAAATCCACAGTTGCGCAGTGGCTGTGCAAGGCAAGTGACATAAGTGCGAAGCGCAGGAACACGAAATGTGAAAGTGCAAAAATGCGAAATGAAACTAGCAATAGATGAGGGCTCAATGAATGACAACAAAAAGGACTGTTAATATCTTCTAACTCTAGCTATGAACATGATGAGAGAACTCCACTAAAGTAAGGTATGCTCTAGTAAAGAGTGAAAAATGCGGACCTATATATGTATCTCGCTAAGTGAGCCAATGTAGAGCCTCACGCCTCCACAGGCACTTCCCTCGAATTCTCCCACATTCCCTATGTTACAATAACATTTAACCCTACTTATTTTTCTTCTTTCGTAACCATAGCGCCAGCTCTAGACCCATCTAGACCTGGCTATTCTCTTATCAAGCGGGCTGTCTGCACTTCTTCTCTTCTTGATTGTAACATAGCTACTATCATGTGCCGCATGATTGTTTCACCTATCCTTGCTATCTTGATAGGGTGTACTATTTTTCTATCTTTGTTACTTTTCTTGACACGGCTGCACCGCTCCTCTTTGCCTATATAAACCCCATGTACAACAGTAGTATTCCTTAACTTAATCTACTGGGTTTTCCCTTGAATCCTCTTCTATAAGGTCTCCAGCCTTATAGTCTGATATCTGATTCTAAGACAGTCACTCACTGTCTTAGCCTGAACCCTTGATTGCGGTAGAAGTGCTAAAACCACTCGCCGCTGATCCTAGATAGAAGCCGCGTCGCTCGTCTAGTGAGAACCCCTTGAACCAAGAACCCTCCTTGTATTAGGAGGCTCGACGAACTGTCAACTCAACTGGTTTATCTTGACCATTGACAGAAGAAGTATCCCAGTTGTAACAAAAGATTAAGTTCTTCACCCGGTACCTGTTTCCCAACAGTACTTAGCAACCATTGATTCTGTAACCGCGAACATCCTTGCTGCCACATTTGGAAACATGTCGGGACCAAGTGCAGCATCCAGCGCAGCTATCGCTGCCATGAACAAACCCATTGAAATCAAAATCGGAACACAACCGATCTATGATGGAAACGAGAAAACCGCCAAGAGTTTCCTACTCGCGGTCTCCACTTACCTTGACATCAACAGTGACATCTACAACACTGACAAGAAGTGCATTATTTTCACCACCTCTTTCATGAATGAAAAGGCAGCACTCTTATGGAAGGAGGACTTCCTAGAACAAGCCCAGAACTCTGGCAAAGTAGACAAGAACAGTGTCCTCATTGGATACGGAACTTGGGAGGATTTCAAGAAAGCCTTTCTCAAAGCCTTTACCTCCGGAGAAGCTTCAACTGAAGCATGGATCAAACTTAGGGCCTTCAAGCAAGAAGGTTCCTTAGAAGAATATATCGTGGAAATCAAGCATCTCTTCCATCAGACAGGCTTGACCGAAGAAGGTACCAAAGTGCACTTCTTCACCGCCGGATTAAAATTCAGAATTTCCAACACTATCTATAAAGCAGAAAATGTCTCGAAAGACCTCGAAGGCATGATCCAATCTGCAAGAGAAATGGACAACACCTACCAGCAGATCTTGGCGCTCAGGCCCAAGAACTATCAGAATCAGAAGAAGAAGAACAGATTTGGACCAGCAAGGTACCAACCTGCAGGAGACAAAGATGCCATGGAGGTTGACTATCTCTCAGAGAAAGAAAGGTCTGAACATATGAAAGCCGGCAAATGCTTCATATGCCACCAGACTGGCCACAGAGCCAATGATAGGGAATTCCACCCTAGAGACAAGAAACTGGTCAGAGAAACCAAGTATAAAGAAGAATTATCGGATGATGAATCCATGGATACCCGAAGGATCACTAAAAAGAAGGATTTTTAGAATGGAGGTCTGTATCGATGCCGGTACCTCCTATCCCAGTTCGCACTGTATATCATGTTGGAATTAAAGAAGAGTTACGTGTCCCTGCCACTCTCATCCCAACTAAATGTGCGCAACCAGTCGAAACATCTGTAGTGATTGATTCTGGCGCAGCCGGATCATTCATCAGCCGCGAGTTTATTCGAAAAACATCGCATTCGAACCAAGAAACTATCGAAACCCTTTTCCATGGTCACCACCGACGGTAGCGAACTGTAAAGATGGGAAGATCTGAGAATAAGTCCTACTCGGAATCAAGATCAATAACAGAACCATGTATGGGAAACTCAACGTAACCCAACTCCGAACCAAGGACCACATACTCCTTGGATTCCCCTGGCTACAAGCCATGAACCCAACCATCAATTGGGCAGAGAGACACCTCACCCTGGACGAAACACCAAGGTCCCAGGAGGTAGAGAAATGGTTAGACAAAGAAAGACAAGAGGCTGGCTTCAAACTGCTCTTCAAGAAACCCAAGCCTTACCCAAGGAAGGCTCCGAAGAATATCCTGCACCCCAAAAAGGTGCCTATCCCTGAACCCGTAACCTCCAAGGAGATCCCGGGCCCTGAACCCACCAAACCAAAGAAAGGAGAATTCCGTGCCTCCATTGAGGAAATTCCCAATGAAGATGAACCTATCCCACAGTTGAACCCCGACCCCGACGAAGAAGAAGAAGGATTTGATATCCCGGATCCTGATCAGAAGCGTGATGCTTGGGTAAAAGATAACTTCACACCAAAAGTCGAAGATTTGACCTCTTTTCCCCTCACCAATGATGAATTCCTCATTGAATACTCCCAAGACGCAACCGCAGTACGCCTTATAGAGAATTTGGATTTGGATACCCCCCTCACCCGCGACGGTACATCGGCCTTTGAAACCAAGAAA